ACATTTGAGTTCATATCCAAATTCACCACTGATCTCCATCATGTCTCTGGCATTGATAATGTTGTTGCTGATACGTTATCATACGGTTATGACATGAGCTTTTTGCTTCTACTCCTGTATTATGGAAGAAAGTGGTTCTGCATGGTTATTCCGGTTGGTTGGCGTGCGTAGTATTACGAGTCATTTGAGAACACGTAACAGCTGAAGTTAGACACAGCTCAAAACCTCTACAGTTTCTCTAGTGTGGAGAATAAACTTGAAGCTCAACACACACTCACCGATACACTAGAGAGTTCTGCGCATCCTCGTTAAACGCATAGTCAAACCTGACGGAGCAGAGAGAGAACAAAACAATAAGAAAATGGAATGCAGTAGTCAGACAGTGGAAGGACACTGCCAGTCAGTACACATCACTTCTGTCTGCTGGGGGTTGAAGTAATAATAATATTATACTAGTAGTATGTACGATAGCAAGCGGATTGGACTTTCCTTGTCAAGCAAAGTCGATCTGGAGGCGTTCCGTGCCCTTGCTGCTGACCGAAGCGGTTGGGTGGGCATCCGTGCCCGAGTGGTGTCGGCACCCTAGTTTTTTGTCTTCTTTTCGCATATTTCTTCTTTTTTCTGAAACTGTTGTGGTCTTTTTGTATCTATTCGAAGTGGCTTATGCGAACACTTTTGGCTGGTTTGCATGATTTGCGTGCCCATTAATGCAGCTGCAGGCCATGCTGATGTCTACGCGAACAAGCACATAATAATAATAATAATAAATGTACGATAACATCCGAGGTACATGTACAGCATGTATTACTTAGTTAGCTGCGGTTACTGTTTGCATAGTAGAATACTTTTAATAGAATTCTCCTGCAGTATAGTGGTGTGGTGCGACTAATGTGAGGTGTCATCTTTTGTATTTGTATTAATTTTGTATTTATGGATTCTCCACAGACCTTAGCCTGACAGTTAAATCGAGGGAGTCTCCGTCTTCCCTGCATGCTTGTGTACTTGTTTGGCGTAGAGCAGTGACTGCACTTTCGATACTGTAGTCTGTAGCAGCAGCAGATCCAGACTTATTAAAGGGGAAGTTAAGGCAAAAATTAAAATTTCACCAGTTGTAGTCTTCGGGGTGCTGAGTCGAATGGTCTTGGTCCGAGAAAGCTGAGACGCTCCCTTCCTACTTGAATCCCAATCGAACTCGCGCACTTCCACCGAAACTGGGTGACTGCGCCCTACCAGATGGGGATTTGTATGCAAAATGTCACTAAAAGCGCCATTTCGTTCTTATAAAAGCACGGATGACCGCGATTGGCCCATATGTTGTAGTCTTTTGGACGCTGAGTCGACTGGTTTCGGTCCGAAAAGGCTGCGATGCAGCGTTCGCCCCTAATTCCCAATCGAACATGGTTGAACAAGCGGTCACGTGCTCCTGGGTGCCAAAATCACCTGGTCACCACGCCAGCAGGCGACAACTTTCACACCAAGGTTCAACTCGAGTGACCAGACTGCACCCAAAAAAGGTCAAAACAGGCTGTAAGTTGTACCCTGGAGGCACGGTGACCAGGTGACTGGTGTACGCAGGAGCACGTGAACACTTGTTCAACCATGTTCGATTGGGAATTAGGGGCGAACGCTGCATCGCAGCCTTTTCGGACCGAAACCAGTCGACTCAGCGTCCAAAAGACTACAACATATGGGCCAATCGCGGTCATCCGTGCTTTTATAAGAACGAAATGGCGCTTTTAGTGACATTTCGCATACAAATCCCCATCTCGTAGGGCGCAGTCACCCAGTTTCGGTGGAAGTGCGCGAGTTCGATTGGGATTCAAGTAGGAAGGGAGCGTCTCAGCTTTCTCGGACCAAGACCATTCGACTCAGCACCCCGAAGACTACAACTGGTGAAATTTTAATTTTTGCCTTAACTTCCCCTTTAACAGCCTTCCCCATACATGTACAGTACTGCTCTATGAAATCCAGTCGAGTCACTCAAGTACGCGCCGGGCGCTGCGCAGCCATAGATAGACCTGCGAACACTGGGCTGAGAAACGGTGCAAGGCACAAACTTTGAGTGACGCGACTGGATTTCTTTGAGCAGTACTGTACTAGCTTACTAGTACAGTAGAACCTGTGACTAACGACCACCCCTTGGGGCCAGAGAAAGCGGTCTTTAGTGGCAGGTGGTCCTTACATATTACAGTTAGAGGTTGCACTGCACAACCTTATGTGGATGTGAGACCGTCCGTGCCTGGTGCAGTGGTCTGTAGTACCAGGCTGGTCGCTAGTCACGGTGGCCTTGAGTTACAGGCTTTACTGTACTGTAAAACATTTTCGGTGTAACTTTAATTTCGGTGATTTCGGTAGAGAAGACAGGCACCTAAATTTAAACTACACCAAAAAGGCACCAGAGTATGCACTGTATGTGAAGGGAAAGTTGTTCACCAAATTCTATGTTACACCGGAAACCTGGCAGGTCCCTGGCACCGAAATTTTGATGCACCTAAAATTACATGTTTTACAGTAAGTAGCCTGCATGTTGCCACTTGTGCTAATCTTCTTGTCTGGGTTTTACACCCTGTTTGTATGCCTCGGCGCCTAGGCTAGTGGTTACATCATCCATGATTAGTCATCATGACATTCTTCTTTTGCTTAGGCTGTGTGTCTCTCGGAACTCTGAGCTCAACTGCTTGCTGGCAAATAGCGCCACGGATGTCAACACAGCCCACTGAGCATGCATAGTCTCTGCCTAGTCTCTCTCCCCTTTTTCTCCGGTGATTCTAGAGCAACATCAGTGAATTCTACTTCAAACATCTTTCAAGAAGATAGCGTAAAAAAAACTGTCCTGTGTCTGTGAGCTTGGGATTTGGTGGTATTGTGGTGGCTTGTGAGCCAGGGCGCTGTAAGGTTACAGCCTATTCATGGTGCCGAAACCCGGGAGCCAGTGGACTCCGGACTGTGTAGCTGACTGCGGTCCGCGTGAAGCGAACGGATTCGGACATAGCGAAGGTAGGCGGCTATCTTCGGCCCTATCGTGGGGGATGGATGACTGGGGACGCTTTCGGGACGAAGTTCCAGGTTGTGGCAGGGATTCAAAAGTGGACCAATGATGATGCCAAAGCCGCAAATTTGCCGCTGTATTTGGCAATGGCGATGTTGTGCTGCGGGCAACAGATCTGACCCTCCGGTGGAGTGCGGCTAACAAGATGTGGGAGTTGCAGTGGTAATGGGCTGACAAGACAGAGCTGACTACATGGATCGGGACAGGCCTTGGGGAGTACTCAAGATCCAAACTCTCCAGTGAGCAGGAACAGCTATTTGGAGATAAGGTCGAAAAATGGCTCGGCAATGGCTGGCTAGTGAGGCATGACATGGAGAAGCATGGTGAGCCGAGATGTGTACTGCCTCTGCTCGCCGCTACGCAGGAGCATAAGGCGTCAACGCCAGCTCGGCGCTGCCTCGACTACCGGCTCCTCGCCCAGAAGCTGACATTGCACCCTGGCACCGACGCTTCGGCATGTGGCGAGACTCTACGGAGGTGGTGCCAGACGGGCGTCCTGAATGTGTAGCAGCTGCTGGATATCAGCAAAGCATACCTACAGGTACACGTACATCCTGATCTGTGGCGTTACCAGTGCGTTGTGTGGAGTGGTGAAGTGTACGTCCTGGAGCGAATGGGCTTCGGGCTATTTGCGGCTCCCAAGGCGATGAACTTGATAGTGAAGTGGGCCACGCATGATCTCGATGGCGTAGATAACTACGTGGATGACCTCTACGTCCCGGAGCAGCTCGTCGACCGCACAAAGTCGCGACTCATGGAGCATGGCCTACCAACCAAGCCGGCAGAGCCAGCCATGAGTGTGAGTGTTCTAAGTCTACAACTTCAGGCTGATGGCAAGGGGAGTGTGTCGTGGATGCGTCGCGAAGGCATGTCTCTGCAGCTACCCGATAAGCCAACGAAGCATGAACTGTTCAGTTGGTGTGGCCGAGTGCTTGGGCACTACCCTGTGCGTGGCTGGCTGCGTCCATCTTGTTCCTAGCGCCTCGCCTGCACGTCAGAGGTGGCATAGGATCAGGCTGTCCCGGAAGCTATCGTGAAGTGTTGCCACGACATCGTTCACCGCCTGTGCAATGACGATCCCGTTAACGGAGTGTGATACGCCGGCCCAACGATGGGTACGTGGCGAGCGTACTGCGACGCATCCAACCTGGTAATTGCACTGCAATAATTGTTTCCTATTCAACCCCTTGCCAGACAAAATACCCTCCCCCTCCTCCTCCCCCAGAGGGTCCATTTCAGTTTCCGCCTGATCTCTCACACGCTACTTCACACTCATAGCACTTACCGAAACGGGTGGTTTTCCAGATATTTGGTCAAATCCACCTTTAGTTTTGGCTCATGAACCTGGGACAGTAAACAGAGATAGCAAAGCGAAAGCGCAGGTTTACATAAAAAACGAGAGACAAGCAGCCCTAGGGTATTACATTTTCACTGGAGTTGTGTAATGCAGTCCTTGAAAAATGCAATCCTGGAAAATCCTATAATGTTCGCACTCACTTGCACATGCTACGGAAATTATCAACCTCTAATTGACTCACATAGAGGTGATTTCTGGCATCCACTGTCAACACGTCCACCTCCTGACGTCCCAACTCTACAGACAATTGCAACATCACACAATAACATATCAGCGAAAAGGAAAATCAACCATAGCATTAGTAGGGACTGAGCATGACTATCTTTCAGATTCTTTTCATCCATCACATACTGACAATCTCAACTCGATCGAGGCAGGGAGGGAGAGAGAGAGAGAGAGAGAGAGAGAGAGAGAGAGAGAGAGAGAGAGAGAGAGAGAGAGAGAGAGAGAGAGAGAGAGAGAGAGAGAGATAGAGAGAGAGAGAGAGAGAGAGAGAGAGAGAGAGAGAGAGAGAGAGAGGAGAGGAGAGGAGAGGAGAGGAGAGGAGAGGAGAGGAGAGGAGAGGAGAGGAGAGAGAGAAAGAGAGAGAAAGAGAGAGAAAGAGAGAACACACACACACACACACACACATAGTAGCCGGCACTACACACCTTTCCTATTCAGCGGACGTTTCCTGACGCACACCGTAATCCGCTGAGCTGACACCTACATGAACCAGGAGAATTCAAAAAAACACACGCACACACACACGCACACACACACACACACATACACACACCAAAACACAAGTGGTGGTGAGAGAAGGAGAGCTCTTGCCACAATGTTGCAGCTTAGAGAGCTTTGTTTGTGTGTGCAGGTAGTAATGGCGCGTATAAAATCAGGTGCTTACGGCCGTATAAGCCGGGGTTCAAATCATGCTTCTATTCAAGTTATGCTTCTATTCAAAACATGCTTTTACGTCAACATCTTCAGTCTACACTGTACAGTGCACATGGTCATGGATGTAGTGCGCACATACATGTACTTGCACGTATACTTCTATTCCAATCCTGCTTCTGTGTCACGCCGCTCTTCAAAAAATCGGCTTCTCTTCGAGTCATGCTTCTATACGGGTCATGCTTTTATACGCGACACTACAGTATGTATTTACCGCCATTTTACCAGGTGTGTATTTCACCACCATAACACCAGGCATATGTGTGTGTGTGTGTGTGTGTGTGTGTGTGTGTGTGTGTGTGTGTGTGTGTGTGTGTGTGTGCGTGTGTGTGTGTGTGTGTGTGTGCGCGCGTGTGTGTGCGCGTGTGTGTGTGTGTGTGTGTGTGTGTGTGTGTGTGTGTGTGTGTGTGTGTGTGTGTGTGTGTGTGTGTGTGTGTGTGTGTGTGAGTGTGTGTGTGAGTGTGTGTGTGTGTGAGCTGTTGAATGGTGTAATCCCAGCACAAGTTGCTATGCCTAACATAGCCGTTCGCTATCATCGCTTCCGCGATGGGCAGGTCTGAGGTCTGAGGTGTGTGTGTGTGTGTGTGTGTGTTATGTGTGTTGGTGTGTTCGTGTGTGTGTGCGGGTGTGTGTGTGCGTGTGTGTGTGTGTGTGAATGTGTGTGTGTGTGCGTGTGTGTGTGTGTTTACCACTACTCTTCTACATTTCAAGTGGTTGTGATGCAGTTATCACGCCTACCTATATGTACCTGGTCACGAGGGCTAAGGGATGTGATTCGCAGGCCGGACACATGGTCACGGATCATCATCAGAAAATCTGCATTGGGATTGCTTGGGTCAATCTCCTGCACAGAAACACCAGTGGAGACATCGGCGCAGCAGCAGCAGCCAAGAGCAAGAACATCAACATAAAAGTTGGCTCTCAATCCAGACCCTATTCAGGTCCACAGCAAACTGTTCAGCATGACACCAACAATGGCACAAATTGTGTACGTGTAGTCAGTGTTTACTAGTGAAATCAGAAGCAAAGCTTATCGTTTGTTCGGAGTTTCACCCGTTTCTAAGATGATGACAGCATATCTCACTATCATACTTGTTAAACTATCAAGCAAGGCTTGCATATACAATAAATACCAGCATTTAGTACAGTACAGGCAACATGTAGCAGGTCCATGCCCAGACCAGGAGAGATCACTGCAAACTAAGGTTACCAACAGTTACATCAAGTACATGTACATGTAGCCGCAACAGCAGATCCCGACACATGCATCAAGCAACACATGATCCGGAAGCAAGCAGTGCAACAAAGCCTTAAAATTCATGTGATAGACTAGCAATTCAGCTGTGCATCTACTTGTGCTTCGCCGTACATAGTACGAAACGAACTTGAAAATTGTTGAAATAGATGTGGAATATGTGGTGTGAGTTCTTGCAGACCCCACATGCTAGAGGGGTTATCTCTTGCAAGTATCAATATGCATCCAAACTGAACTGGCAGAGAGAACAAAACAAGATGGTAATGCTGACCTCAAGGCGCTGCTGGACTTGCTCCGCTTGACGTGCTCTGGACATGATAGGAAAGTGACACAGAAGACAATCGATTCTTCAATTAACACAGTTTGTGTTTTTACAGTCAGTCCCAAAGCACAAAACACATGACATGTTCAACATAAAAAAGGTCATCGAATAGAAGTGGGCCACTGTAACATTGAACAGTCTTCGCTTAGTTGCGTTTGGTTGCTGTGAGGCTTTGGAGCCATACCTTCGTTCTTCTCGGTTCTTCTTCAGTCGCTCGACCTCCTTCACACAGTGTGATCTTCTCCGATTACCCACTGCATGGAGCAGCAAACAATCAAAGACCAATATATACACACGTACACATGTCCGTCAAGAGAAGGAAAAGGAAAGCACGCAGCCACAATAGCTGGCAAAGAGAGAAGAGGAAGGTTCGCAGCGCAAACTATAGAAACACACACACACACTCACACTCACCATACCATACCATGTATACGCCCGTCGCAAGAGAAGCACGCAAATCTGCAAATGCACTGGATGTGCACCCACAGATTTTCTCTTATAGCAACAATAGCGAACAAGATCTGAATGAGACAGATCAAGACTTGCGCCAGATAACTGTCTAATCCACACAACTGGCGAAGCCATGTGAATCGACCACCAATGCACACCTGGTCTACACCACACGGAGTACATCGGCATAAAACAGCCTAGACAGTTACCTATGCACACCCTACACTTGCTGGGGTAACCAGTATAGACTGCACGCTGCTTTGATAGAAGCAGACACTAGATGCAATGGTACCTTGAAGTGAAATTGGAGTTACTTCACCAACCAGCCTCGGCTACTGAGTACTGAGAACCCAGAGCCAACAGACATACCAACAACCTCAGCCATGAAAGCTATGCACACACACACACTCTCTCTCTCTCACACACACACACACACACACACACACACACACACACACGACACAATTCTACACAGACAATACGGGCAGGAAAAGCAGCGGAAAAGCGCAAGCCATGCCCAGCGCTTTACTACCTTGCTCACCCCCCGACTCCTTTGCCTTCTTCGCGTCCTGAAGCTGTGCCCCGCCGATGCTATGACGAACAGCTGGCTGCTTGGGTTTCGATATCTTCGAAGCAGCAGAGGCAGGCACCGGGATACCTGGGTAAGAGCAGACATCATAACCGGTGACACACAACGTGAGTGGAACCAGCAGCACAGAAAGCAGCACACGGATCAGCAACTGAAGAAGCGCATCAAGCAAGTCGGTTTACACAATGTGAATGGGTCCCGTGGTTCTCTACTCACTTCTTTTCACAGGTGGGCTTGGAGTTTCCGCTGTTTCCTTGACATTCTGCACGTCAAATACACAGACACACACACGCACACACGTGTGCACGTGCGCACACACAGACACACACAGACACACACACATACATGTCGGCACGCACGCACACATGCACCCACCCACACATGCATACAATACTATGGTCGTGAACGGCACTGTCAAAACTATTCCCAACAGCCACAACTACTCAGCCCGATGTTGATGTGGACAAGCTTCTGGAGCCAACACAAGAAGACTATCTGGTCAAGGGCCTGTTACAGCTGCTTGCTATAGCCTGGCACACATATCTACACAGAGTATGGGAGATGCTGCATGAGCAGGGTGTACCGGATCCGGACCAGACAGTAAATGGGTCCAAACCAACATTGTTGTCCGAGCGGGACTTCGGTCAGCTCAACCGTTTGCCAAGGAGCAAACCAAATGCATCCGTGCTGGCTATCGAGGCACACATACTGATAGCAAACAATCCCCCTCTGGATTGCTTAAGTTCCTGTACAGGGGATGAGCAGTCAGCCATCCTCCAAGTTGCCAGGAAGCTGATTCCAGAACAGAAGAGGCTGCATAAAGGCAGGCAGCCAAAAGCAACTATTACTTGTACAATCAAGTACAACTAGCTCACTAAGCAGAACCTATCGTACAACTTTTGCTGCAGAACAAGGCCCGCATCGCACATCACATCAAGAAACCATACTTGCCAACCCTACCGGAATTTCCGGGAAAATCAAGGAAAACTCGCATTCATCCCGGTATACCGGAAAAGTTATATCTACCGGATTTTTGAAAATGTCCGTCAACACCTTTTTTATTGTGTTTTGGACGCTCGCTAGCAGTGCTGTGCCCAAAACGAAGGTCTAGCGAGCGAGAACTTTCGAGTTAGCGCATGAAAAAGTACTTTTTGTCGGACATGTTGTACTATTTGCGAATGTTTTTTGGTCATGCTGGCGTCACAATGATGTCATATACAATTTTTTGCACCATTGTGATGTAAAAATTGCAGATCAAGGAAAAATGGGCAAAATCAAGGAAAAACGTCATCAGTGTCAAGGAAACTGTTTGCCAGGGGTTGGCAAGTATGAGAAACTTGAGCCAAGTTCAACTTCTGAGACCAGCCAGTTGTGGTGGTTGCGTGAGGTGCACAGTGAGTGGGATTGGGGGGGGGGGTCCCGGATTCACAGCCATCGCATCACGTATTGCATCGGAAAAGCGCTTCTGTGAATCTCGATTAGCAGTCGCCTAACAGCGTGCTTACCTGGGGCCTGGGCGCCAGCGGAGAATTAACTCGCTTTGGTATTCCACTGGATGTGGAAGGCCGAGAGGCTGACGCTTGCGGCGTGGAGATTTGTGACACTGCCGTTGACGGGCGCGAAGACTTGGCAGCGTTCCTTGCCGAACTCCGCAACGGTGCCTGAAGCTTTGACGGCGGCTTCTCAGCAGCAGGAGACGAGTGAGCATTCGGTATGGGTGCAGGTGCTGGCATGGATGGCTCTGGAGTTGGCCTCAAGTCCTCATTCAATGCAAATATCTGCTTGAAGTCCACCTGTGACAACAATCACAACACATACATGTAGTAAAGTGAGAAAATGAACGTGCGCACTTGGACCTCGGCAGAACACTAGTGGATAACCAGTGCCAGTACGCACAAGAACACACATGTGAATGGAAACTCAGCAATGTGACAGTTTGAACTTGCAGTCAGCCGCACTGCTGTGTGACACATCATGAGTACATTTCAGCTTCAAATATATGAACAAGAATTTAAACACATAGCAAGGGAAATAGGTCCATGTCAAGTGGCTGAAGCCACTGCTGAAGTCTAACCTCCTTGCCCTTGGTTTCCCCATGTTCAAACCACTCCACCATAACCGTCTGCGCATCAAAGTTGACATTGCTAACCAAAGCAAAGTGCACGCGACCTGTAGAAAAGTAAACACCAGAAACACGCCACACATCATCACAATACCACGTGTATTCTCTCAAAGCCTCTCGCATTCAAACTCCTATTGCAAGTCTACAACTGTTCAGCGCTTTTAAATGTCAGCATTCGACTCTGAGGACTAAAACACATTTCAGCTGCATTAACAGTTCAGCCTGCACCGCTCCTGCCTGTCTACACTGTCATAGTACACCTTGCAAGCAATAATTTCAGCTGGAAAAAAATTAGGACCCAAAGGCCCAGGCCGAATATACTGTAAAGCGTGAAATTTTCGCAGCGCTTTTAGTTCGCGTTTTCAGAATCCGGACAGGTTTGCGAGGTTTTAATTTTGCGATTGCAGAATGGCATTCTTGCTAAACCTGTGGCATTCTTGCTAAACCTTTCATGGATCTCCTTTTCGCGCTGTCTAAATTTCGGGATTTCCACGCGGTCGCGAATTTCGCAGAAATTAGACCATGGCAATAATCTCACGGTTTACAGTAGTCGAAAATTGACATGCGCCAAATATTTGTTCACTTACAGTAGCCAATGCTGTAGACAGCAAGCTATTTCGGCCATATAGGCCTCATCAGTACAGCTACGAGCCTTAAGCAAGCCGAGCTACCGGCCATGGTGCAAAAGGAGGCACCACAGACATTGAGATAACTCGCGACAGTGAGTGAGACTATGCATATGTGTGCACGTGTACGCGCGCGCGTGTGTGTGTGTGTGCGTGCGTGCGTGCCCACGTGTGGAGTTTCTTCCACAGTCTGTCCCTCCAGGAAATCGCGATTCCACGGATGCAACAAATTTCGCGATTTTCGCCCAAACCCGCGATTTTCAGCAAAATCCGGGATTTCCCGCGTTTTTTCTTGTTTTATGCACTTTTCACGTGTAATGGGTGGCCGAGTGGTAGGCGCGGTGAAATCAACAAGAATTACTATTATTCTACTTCTTTCAGGTACACACCTGAGATATAATTATTAGTGAAAGAAGAAACGGCAAAATAACTGACTTTCTCTCCGGTGCACACCTGGAGGTTGAATAGCTCGTTATTATCAAAATCTCATCTTCATCAAAACAGAAATGCGCAGCCGCTTTTATGCAGCAGACGTCGTACGCTTACATACGGAGATACACTAAATATACATCAGGCAAAGCTCCGTATTAGTTCCGTACTACTTCCGTATTGGTCGGGCAGAGATACTACACACGCAGTGCTTTCCTTGATCCTGTAGGTTATTTGCACTCGTACTACTCCCGAGTAGATATACGATGCAACAAATTGCGTGATTTGGCCCAAATCTGCAATTTTCTGTAAATAATTCCTCGAATTCCTGGCAAGTTCTGCATCGTTCCGCACTTTTCGTCGCATTTTTTGTTGTTTTCTGCCGCAATTTCTTGCGCAAGTTTTCGAGAGTTTTTTCCGCAAATTCCCGCAGGGACAGCACAGTACAGGAAAATCGGCTGACTTCTCATGGCGTGCTTGACACAGGCTGCGACAGCACACGACTGGTGGCATCTTCATACAAAGGCTACTCGTTGTCTGTGTGCTGCCAAGTCAGACGTACTTGTACTTGCTCAATTCGATCAAGTGTGCCTGTACTGTCTGCCCTTCAATGGACAGTGATACTGGGAAGCTGTGTTTGAGTTACCCAGTGTGTTATAGATTGTACTGGTAAATAAACTTCAGTATTGCTCTGGCGGGATAAATGAGGCAAGTTTCTGCGTGTGTAAGGTGCTGCTGACCTGCACGTGTATTGAATATAAGGTTCTACTAAATACACTCATCAATAACTTCAGTAGTGCATGACTTATGTACCGTATTTCCGGAGCAGAAGCCGCACTCAGGTTTTTTTGCCACGAAATACAGACATCTACCCTATTTATCACCGGTAATTTGATCATCGGAGTATAAGCCGCACGGATTTTTTTAGGTGGATTACTGGTGCGGCGTATACTCCGGAAAATACGGTATGTCAAGATACACACAAGTTATGCATCGCTGCTGGTATGGACATTGGTATATGTAACCCTTGCTTGATCGCTTACTAGGTTAGGTATGAACATGTTTCTAGTTCTGTGGAGCTGCTTGATGTGTAGGTGCGTAAAAGTGCAGTGTGTTGTATTCAAGTCTCATTTCGCCAGTGCATTCTGGACTGGCATTGGCGTTTAATTAGCCCAACTGAGTTCGCATCAGAGACCAAACAGTAGAGTCATGCACATGCTACCCTTTGTCACCGTACCCGGGGCAAGAACAACTCCATGCATTCAGATGAGGTGCAATTCCTACGAGCACTTGAATCAAGGGTAACTCCGCATCATGAAAAAAATCAGCACTATGAAGCCTGGCACGTACCATTACTCCTCTGGATCTTCACACTCTCCCCCGTAACCAACTTTGAAACACTCATTTCTCCACCTTCACATCAACAGTTGGGACTTCTCTGAGGCATTCCTCGCCAGGCGAAGGTCAGCAGGAAGACCAACAACATGCAAGAACGCGTAAACGCTAACGATGTCTTTCAAAAGAAAGTCACAAGTGGTAAAAGTCAAGAGATTGAAGAGTGCTTGTTTTGAGCCGTGGAACACAGGTGAAACAGGAACATTCAACAACCACCCAAGCCGCATACATTCAGGAATTTGAAATCTCCAAGGAGACAGAACGCCTGGGCTGAGAGCCAGGTCGCGTGGCCATGTCAACGCCAAGAAAGTCAACGTTACTGTGGTTACGTTTGGAGTCGAGACGGGCTCATGTCATGAGCTCAGACCAGGGAGTCGTAAAATACCGTATTTTACGACTCCCTGGCTCAGACGGCTAGCTGCATACCGTATTATCTCTAAGCACAGTCTCCAATAATAGCACGTCTCCAATAATAGAACACCTTGGGGCGGCATTCAAAAAATAAAGTGCTCAGTCTCCATTATAAGCACAGTGTAAATTCATTATCTGTACCGGCGAAAAAACCCTGAAATGTGTGTGTCAGACATGAATTTGGCATGGCAACATGCCTCTGAAATGAGGCCAAGTTGAAATAATAATAGAACAGTCTCCAATAAAGGAACGTCTCCAATAATAGCATGGGGCGGAGGTACATTGAAAAAATAAAGGACCGTGCTTATATTAGAGATAATACGGTATGCGCATGACAAACAGGGTGTCGTAAAATACCGGTATTTACAGTATTTACTGTCTCTACGTAGCTACATCAGTATGTAGTCATGTTTTTCAGACTTTCAGTGCAGATCAAGCTTTACCGTAACTCCACTAACTGTGACTTGTAGTTTTGGCAAGTGAAATCCATCTGGATCAAAGCAATTAATTCAAAGGACACCCAAGAACTGCCCGGGACATGGGGATGTGGCCAGTACCATGACGGACTATGTCTATGGCCTAGCATGGGGGTGACTGCTCCCTACTGTAGGCCCTTCCCTTGGCTACATGTGCCAGGCAAAAACCTGCATTTGACCATCATCATGGGTAAATCTACAGCACTAGGATTGAAAGAAAATTTTACAAAAAGGCATACAACTTTAATACTTGGATATGATGGGGCTGTGCTGCAATTATGTGACTCGTTGGTATTATGGTAGCTCCCAAGGCCAAGTCCCAACTTTTGACACTGCCCTGGCCTACAGTCAGTGGATGCTAACACAGGTGGCGATTCTACTACACTTACAGTAGAGTCTACAGTGTAGATCTACTGGCTAAAGTAATACTAATACTGTAATGGCAAGAGTACATCATGTCATAAACCCCCACAGTGTGCAACGCCTGATCCAGTTCTGCATAAGGTCTTCGTCGAGTGTAAGTCGGATCTTCTGATGTCATGCGTACGCTCCACACCAGCGCAACCGCAAGGCCGGTCTCGAGGCAGGGCACCGTTGTTTTGATCCGAGAGTCCCCGCGACTCCCCGGGTACCCTCAGATCTGTACCGCACTACGACGCAAAGATCCGATTACACCCAACCAAGACCATACTTATGCAGAGCTGGATCGGGGGGGGGGGGGGGGGGGGGGGACTCTTAGTAATAGTACTGAAGAACGGAGAGGGGTTTCAGAGACGTAGTCTAAGCCATTCCTATTTTTCATTGGAGAGGTTAAATTTGGCGTAAAACTCGAAATTTCTCTACCGTACCCCGTCTTGGTGAAACTTCTCGTGCCCAAACCATGAGTACTGTAGGCTGCACCCTGGGGACAACTGACGCTTTTAGACACAACAAGGAATTTTTCAATCATATTTCAAAGTTGGAAAGAGTAAAAATTGAAAGAATAAAGCAGGGCAGAGAGCAGCAGCAGCAGCACTGCCGGGGACAAAGGTAGCATAAGATTCAGCAGCAGCAGCAGCGCCGCCGGCAGTGTTCTTTGTAGAGTGTACAATTGTAAAGGTCAACTCATCCACGTACAGTGCTCTCTCAACTAAATACCGGACGGACAACAATTGCCGACCCCGGGCCGCAGGGCATCTACAGCTCGTCCTTCGCTGCAGTGCTGTCTTCTTCCTCTTCTGCCTCCTCCTCAGCATCAGCATCACCTTCCTCCTCCTCGGCCTCTTCCTCCTCTTCTTCCTGTAAAGAGCAGGTATAGGACATACTGATTATAGCAACACGAATTGCAAAAGGCTTCAAAGTCATGCAGCTTTCCTTCAAAGTAACAAGAGCAGAGATGTTACATTGCCGAAGCCTAGCTTCAATCAGTAAGTCCTATTGCTTGACAGCAAAGTTTTCCTTGCTAGCTGGCTCAATGACTTGTGAGATCCTTGCTCCGGCACAAGACCTGCATTAGACTACCGGTATATTGGATAATGTCTATTAAATGCAAACCCCAAAAAGGCAGGGAGCAGAATGGACTAGGATCAGGATTACACCAGAGTGATAACACCTTTGTACATGTATGGTATCCCATATCTGTAGAGGTTGCAAATGAAATCTACTACCATGATCACAGCAGCTCCAGCACGGTGCAGCCCTGGCATGACAAACACTGGACTGTGCAATGAAAATGGTTCTTGTTCGCTCAGGACATCAGGCTTGACACCAACGTCACTTATTATTCCACGGCAACTAACCTTTGCTGACTCTTCGGCCTTCTTCTTTGCGTCCTCTGCCTCACGCTCCTTTCTCTCCGCCTCATCTTGCTGCACTCACACCAAAGCAATACGAGAAACATCGTCCTCAGAACAGCATGATCCACACTTGCACCTAGAAAAGGTCCTACCCAAAAAGATTATTTTCCAACCCAACAGTACATGATACCACAAACTGTAAGTTCTAGACAATGTCTGACCATACGGGTGTGCCAGAGTGAACAAGCATAGATACTTGGACATCTCAAGTTCATACCTCCTCCTTCATCTTCTTCTCGGCGTCCTTTGTTGCATCAAGGTGCTCCTGGCCGAATGTCTTTGCAAAGTCAGCATCGTCAGTTACCAGGATGTTATCAAAGATGGTGCCAGACTTGACCTAATGGCATAACAAAAGCACAGCAATGAAAAGGGTGAACATCACACTGCAGAGGCAACACCAAGCATTCACACTCTTCAGTTACCGTAGAACAGAACAGACCAAACTCCAATTCAGAGCCAAAGAACGACACACACATTGAAGGTCTCAGCCGCTCAGTTTCATACCTGCCAGAGGTCGAATCCAACAGCACCGACGTCGGTGTAGCGGTAAAGGTTGTCATCGGGGGAGTAGTCGGGATTGTCAATCTGTGGGTGCACCCATTCGCCCTTGTAAGCGGGGTTGTCAATTTGGCGTGGCTTCCACTCACCCTATAAGAACAACAGCACACAAAGACACAGAATAATGCAATCATGAAGCAATACTATACATTTTTCCACAAATACTACACCTCCACCAATAGGAACGGCATGTGAAAGAAAACTGCCCCTGATTAAATCAGCAGTTTGCATATTCTTTTATATACCTTGTAGTCGGGGTTGTCAATCATGGGTGGCTCCCACTCGCCATCGACATCATCATCCCAGTCCTCGGGCTTCTCAGCGTCGGGGTCGGGAATGTGCTGGGGCTTGTCAAAGTCCTCGGGTTTCGTGTCCTCTGGATCGTCGATCTTCTTTCGGTCGTCCCAGTCGGATGGCTTCGAGGCCTCGGGGTCATTGATCTGCTTTGGTGCCAGGAAATCCCAGTCCTCCTCTAGCTTTCCGCCGTCAGCACGCTCGTTGTCGATCAAGACCTCGTAGGTGTTGTCGGAGTTCAAGACCAGTGTGTACAAGTGACTGAACTCATCATCCTGTACACACAATAGTGCATTCACATATAGATGTAGCGACATGCAAAGACCGTGACGTCAGATCACAGTACAGTACACGCATGTACTACGTGGGACATTACGTACAGACATTAAGATCGTATAAACACTACTTCATCCTCTTAAATTAAAACTGGGCCGACTGTGACGGTTAAGAACAGATAAATAGTAAATACATCATGTTTAATTAAATCCAATGAGGAAGGAGAGTGATGCTGAATGAAATATAATCACATGAGACACTGTGCAGCTCCAGAACTGCAAACACTGAGCCGTGCACTGGTGCAGGGGGCTATTAACGTCTTTTCACTTGCAATCATGTCCGGGATGTACTTTTCGCAGGAAACAATAGAGTCCGTGCAGGACAAAAAGAGAGCATACATAAATGCACCCGTGACGGGCCATTCTAATACTGAGACTGACCCAAAGTACCCAAAAGCACTGGATGGCAGTGAAGCCAGTGGGACAGTTCCCCAGCCTATGTTACTGGCGACCGAACACCAGCACCGTACCTTGCAGCGGATATCCTTCTTGACAAGAAGGTTCTTTCCCTTGTAGTTGAAGATGACGTGCACTTTCTTAGTGGCTGGCCCACAGATGTCCGGTCCTGGAAGATAAGACAACGTACATAAATGAGTTAAACAAGCCTCGTACATGTAACTCACAAAAACGCCCCTTCTGGCCAAACACAGTAAAACATTGGAACCAGTTTCAAGGGAATGCATAGTGCACCACACAACCCTGCCGCTGTTGCTGCTGCTGCTGCTATCACCATGAACATGCTGCACACCCTGCAGTAAAATCATGCAATATACTGAGAGACGTTGATGCCCGCCTCCGTTCGCAATCCACAAGCACAGGCCGGACCTGGAAACTTTCTTATGGCAGCCCAAAGGAAGGTTCACCGAAGAGGCTAACTTATTCGCCTAGCAGGTGGTAGGCGATGCTAAAGGAAAGGGATTTTGCGCCATGCTCATTCTTACGACACGTCACTATGCTCCCATATGCATTTTTTGTGTCTTTGCCTGCCTGGTTTTGTGTCAAGTGAGAATTCAAGTCGGCAGGAAAACCGCGAGCTCCCATGTAGGGAGCAACACACTCTTCCCCTGCTATCGCCGAAGTCGCAGCAACCTCTTCTTCACATTGTTTGCCTGTGAGTTGTGATAATTATTGTAAAAATAAAAAATAAAATAAAAACGTTCCCCAGTCTACAAGTAACCACTGCCCTTGCTATTACTAGTGTGTATTACCAAAACCAGCGATGGCTGGATCATTAAATCTGTTCCCCATTATTATTCGAATTTACTTCAAGCTTAAACAACTGAACTGACTTCATCTAAACTGTGACTCATATCACTGACACTAAGACCGATTGGTTCAACCCCCTGTTCCCCAATTTATCTCACACTGGGTGCCCAGAATTACCCCCCAGTGCACAGACGCCCAGAATACCCCCCCCCCCCCCCCAAAGTGCACAAAACGAGCGTGTTAGCTTCGTCTTACCGAACATAACGTAGTAGTCGCTGTCGCCATTGAGCTTCTTCTGATTTACACTGGACGGGAACAGCTGCAGTGGATAGAGCACGGAAAGAAGCCACGAAAGGACACATCCGCATTACATTGTATTTCGCCTGTCGCTTGGAGTGGCCCTATTGTTTCAAGCATTATTCCTGCGTGCACTCGATTATGATACGCTCCCGGGTTTTATTGTACAGAGCACTGCTCATGTGGAAATGGCACAACCAAAACGAAGGCCGGACAAAATATATCGGCAATGAAAGATAAGATATCGGAATGATCCGGCATTTATGAAACTAAATAGGGCGACTGTAGGACATTGTGCTGCAAGTCTTACCTTGATGTAGCCACCGCCGCAGTCGATACTTTGCTCGTGCTTTACGCTGAACTGAACGACAAGTGACTTGCCCTCGTTCGAAAACTCGTCGAACTTTGCACTGGCATGGTAGAAGCGAGCGTCGGTGCTCGTCTGAATGCCTGGACGGACAGATAGCCGGAGGAAACATGCAGAGGGAGAAATCAAACCAAAGCAAGCACAGCCACGTGTTCGTTGCTACTGCAGAGCGCTCTTCTCCAGACAGCCAACTCCACCACCACATGTCATGTACTGCACAGCACTGATGTTGGTCAACAGCGTTCCACCGATTCACACCATTATTCACATGAGAGAGCATACGACATGGAGACCCAAGATGGCGACCGCCCCCCAACACACCACCACATACATTCAGATAGGAGCTATGAATTCGCAGCCAATGGCAATGCAACCATATCAGCACAACACAGCACAAGACATACCCTTGTCCTTCTCTGCATCTCCGTAGAACTTTCCAGCGGTCAGCTTGAACTTGCCAGCCTCTGCTCCTTTGGCAGTAGAGTGAATCCATCTATCTTCCCATGATGCGCCATCTACAAATCAAAAAACAAAAAAAATGAAGTGCGAAAAATGGCTATGGTACTTTGCCAGGATAGGAACAAATTTTCAGAAAAGCAACGCAACGTACCATCAAACTGATCCTTGAAATAAATAGAGGGCTCGCCAGCGAATGCACCGGCCACCAAAACAAGAAGAACCACAGGGACCTTCATTTTGACGACAACACGACCCTTCTTCTACCACACGACTACGCGCTACACAGCGGTGAAGAAAACGGTTGCCAGAAGACCATGTGCCTGATATCAAGCGCAGTTTGTGCACGCTGGATCGTGGCCAGCGCTCATTGGCCAACAGGATCGATCAACCTGGGCTGATTCAGTGTATGTACTGTGGTGTAGCGTCATCATTATCACCATCCATGTCAGGACGAGTAGATCTACGAGACTGTCCAACGACGTACCACAAAAGCAGTCTGTGGAGTATGTGGGCGCTAGACTATGCACTAGAAGGGAGTAGTATTTTACTACTCCCTGGCACTAGTGACTAGGCGCTAGACTAGACAGTCACCCATGCCATGGCCCAGTTCACACTCGTACTCACACGCACACTGCATGCACTGCGCATCAGGCGACTCGATATGCGCTATGCTGCATCTCTTCGTGTCCGTGATCCAGGACCATGACCAGGTGACTGGTCCAGGTCATGTGATGCACAACACGTGGTGCTAGACTATGACCATAATATTTTTTTATTTTATTGGCATGAACCAGGCCAGGGTACGAGCAAAGAGTACAATCATAAAGGTTATGTACTCTTGGTACTTGTAGCAAGAGTATAATAATAATAATATTATTATTATTATCATAAGCCCCCAAGCCTGGCTGGGGGCATATACTCTTAGTACTAGTAGTAGTTCTAGGACCATGGCATGCAGTGGTCGGGGTAGGCTGTAAAGAGTGGAATTATTATCTTGAATCTTGGCAGGAAAGCAGGGAGTATCCCCCCCCCCCCCCCACACACACACAAACACCCCAGCCTGTGCATTTGGCCACTGAGGATATTGCGACACTGCGATGTATGGAGGCAGGGAGTACCACCCCTCTCCCTTGCCTGTGTGTTTGGCAACCGCAATGTCACGGTGGAAGCAGGGAGTAGCCCCCCCCCCCCCCCCATGCACAATGATACCTCAGTTATTCGGGTGTAACAGGCATTTCCGAGGCCAGATCGGTCTACCGGGCACGCTTTGGGCGAGTTTTAGGGAGAAATTACTGTTGGTTTTTGTCACTTTTGTGAGAATAGTGACAAAATAATACTGGGCCAGATCAATGAAGTATGAGTCAGTGTACGAGTACGTTATTTTCTAAGACTAGAAGATCTACCCTGTGTTACGTGTATGGGATTCGCTTTCTAGGTACATGTACAGACACATCTTACATCAAGCGTCCATTGTACATAACTAAACCCCTTTTACATGTACATCAAGGGCACATGGCCCCGGTTATGGACTCTTGTTTACGTGTATGCATAGCCCTAGGCGGATACTGCGGGCAGAAAAATCGGCAGAATTTGACGGTACTTTTTCTGGTATGTTTCCTGCGTGCCTGGTATGTGGATAAAGAAATGGAGCAGAATTCGAGGAATTGCCCACCACAAGGTTTGCACGGTTCTGCCAATTTCACTGCTTTTCGAGCAGAATCTGCCAATTTTTCAAGCAATACATGTATCTGCCAAGGGTTATGCATGCATGCACGTGTAGTCACCAGTGAAATACAGTAGATTATTAGTCATGCCTATTAGCCAATGATTTAAGTACGGCATCATACACCATCAAATACAGCACCGCAATTATTTCAATTTCATGCAACTATAGCACATTTCACTAGGCTGCATTTGCATGTGATCTCCCACTCTTCCACATAATCACACACAGACGTACTGTAATGCTGCGTCACAGTATAGAAGCCGGGCTTATTCCTGCAGAAGCCAATGTCACGGCTATGTAGGCTTCCATTCAAATCAGATCTGTATTCAAACCAGGCATTTCTATGTAATGCAGGTGCGAGAGTTATTTGTGTGCAGCCGTGGCACCCACAAAGTGTACACATTTTCGCAATAACCTCCCACATTATTACCAGGAACGTCCCCGCTACATTATTAATGATAGTGTGCAATTTGTTTGCCTATCAAACGGTTTGTTTCACCTGCTGTATTCCACACCCACCTCGATATTATTTTCTATGTCTGCTTTGCTGCCATGCCTACTTTATCCCGAAGATGATCATTTTAGTGACAAAATTGTTGAACCACAGCTCAGGATGGTGTGAAATTGCAGTGTGACTCAGTGTTGGCCAGTGGTGCAGTGTTGCCATCTACTCAATTGTATGACAAAAAGAGTAGAGCAATTTACACTACCACTCCCCAAAGCCAAGGGTGCTCGGTAGAAGTGTCCGCAACTTCGGTATGAGCGTGCTACTAAGTAGTGTTAAGTCACATTCGAATCATGCACTGTCATTTGTGCGATGACCCTGATGCATTGGCCAAAGTCCAAAGTGACTACTCGCACCTGAAGACCAATGTAGAATGGGCTATGTTCCCGACTTGCAAATAAGTTATACCACAAGTACAGTGTAGCTCCAAAACGGAGCAAGAGCAGGCTGCATGGCAACCAGCAGAGTCCCACAAGCCCCCCAAAGGGGACTGCTGAAAAACAGTATGCTACACACTTCAGGCAGCTATTGGTACGTCTAGACCCAGAATTCTCCCGTGACTGTTCCCAGCAAGAGCAATTTGAAAATGACCAACACATTCCCAGCAATCACAATGCTCGAACATGTTCAAGGCACCGACCGATTGGCCGCGCAGTTCAAATTCAAATCTTTAAAACGGGACAGCCCTACAGGCGAGCAACAAAGAGATGAAACTGAATACGGAACTCAGAACGTTACGCAGATATACAGAGACGCAAACATACACACTGCTATGTACATCGGCCCTAACCAGCCACGCTGCCCCAGAGAACGGGGGAGGCCACCGATTAGGAAAGGAGAGAATACACACCGTACTATACACTTACTATGACGTTACATTTCTACTATGTACAGATAACCTATCAAAGGCGGTAGATTAACACACACACACACACACACATACACACACACATACACACACACATACACACACACACACGCATACTGATAATCTGACCAGAACTAAAGCAATCATCTCTCTCAGCAGCACGCGTTACACCTTCTTCGGCGCAGTCGGCTTGGCAATGAACAGCGGCAGGGCCGTGCTATCTACAGTCTTTAGGTGAGCGCTCTGAATGTTGCGCCAGCCACGCGGTATTGCCTTGGTCAGTGCTTCTGCGACTGCCATGATGTTGCGCGACAGCATCTCCACCGTCATGCCCGTGTGACCAACTTGTAGAGCACTGCACGGGAGAGATCAGAACAGGATAGACCGGCACATTAGAAAATGACTGTGACATGACTTTGCTGTTGTAAGGGGTGGTGAACATGTACAAGAACAAAACTCCCCTTATCCAGATTGTTCTACAAACCGGCCATGTGGTATACTAATTCGACTGTATTGTGTGCTGTTTCCGGGTTGAAAAGCGTTCTGACAAAGTGTATATGTACATGTACGCAGCTTGAATGCAGTCCCAAGATACAAACCGCTTCCAATTATAGGCAGGGTCTAGTCACACACAGGCCGGGTAAGGGGACTTGTAAGTGCAAACCCAAGAACCTGCTCACATACATGTACTGTTCCTGGACATGATCACTAGTAAACAGAACTGTACTGTACAGCGTTACACATGATGCTTTCTGAAAACTGTTGATGTAACATACCTGCAAGCGCCCATGCCGAGATGAAGGTACGTGGCATCGCGTGCCTTATCAAACTCGCCCTTCAGATCCTTTTTCTTCATGTCGACTGGATGTGGCCGCCTGGCACAAGCAGAACGTTATGATGACACCACAAACAACACGAGCTACATCATAGGCAGTGACTCTCTTACACACCAAAGTGTTAGCCAAAAAGCATGCCAGGATCAGGAAAAGATACAGTAGAAACTAGGAATTCCAATTACCGTTCAGATCGGGCAAAGTGGGTGGTGGTGGGGGGGGGGGGGGGGGGGGGTAATTTCCGAGGGAGTCTAACTTGTGAAAATGACTATCCTATATTCATACTTATGGAGGGAAAATCCAGGACCGAGCAAAAGTGGTCGGAAAGCGAGGTCCCCCTGCAGTCGCATATGCACAATATTCATTCCTCCATACTACTGTACTGTAGTAATTCTACTGCTTTTAAAATGTAATACCGTAAAGTGAAGTGAATACACCCTGTCTCGCGAGAGCGCCCCACCTTAATTTTACAGCCAGTGAAAGGAAAATCGTATGCCGGAGTGCAACAAATTGTGTACGGCGTGAGAACCTCAGTGTAAAGGTCACACCCAGCATGTTCTTGTGTGGAGCTCCAACGTAAACTGAGTACGGACTGACTACACAGCATGCAATCTGTGTACAAGGTAGGTGTCTTATTACCTACAGAGAGAATACTAGTATACTACCCCGCAGCATGACCAAGAAAGGACGAGTTGGTGGGGCGCTCTCGCGGTACATTACGGTACTAGATTACAATACACGGATGTTGTCAGTTACCCCTCCGTGACAAACAGGAATGCGAACTATCTAGATACTGTAGTTTCACAAATTTTCGGTGCTTTCGATGCATCTGTTTCCTACCTAAAATTCCAAATACACAGAACAAACACTAACACACATAATCCAATAGGGAACTGCTTCTCTGTACCTAAAATTTCTGTTCACCTATTATACCTGGCGTTTTGCCCTCATACCGAAAATATATAGAGCATCGAAAATTTCTGAAACTAGAGTATACAAGTGCAAAGCCCAAAGCACAAGCAAACCTACTTCTTCTTTTCGAAGAATTTCTTCCCCAGGTAGCGTGGCAACAGGTGGTAGATGTCTGCGTCGCACAAGAAGAAGTCGTACAGTGACGAGAGCTGCCGCTTTGCTTCAAACGTCTTGTATTTCCTCCGCAGGCTGGTAAGGGTCAGGATCTGGTACACATAGTCATACACGCAACACAGAAAGCAAGACCATGATGAAAAGAATGAGCATAGCAAACAGTGATGATCAAGTTACCTGACCTCGAGCAGCAAAGCTCCCTGCACTTCTCGCGGTAAGAGCACTCGGACTTTGACGCTTCGAGCCGCTTTAAACCGCTTTAAACCTGTTTATTGCTCACTAGACCACTGATTGGTTCAGCTAGTCACTCCGAGCTCTACTGATGAGACCAAACAACACGGTCGAAACACACAGGTTTCTGAAAACAGGGCCATTCCTGCGGAAGGTTATGGTATCAGTCCACAATCCAAGGTGAGAATGAAAAGGTGAGTATTGAGAACAACATCATAAAGAGTGGAGACCTGAATCAGCAAACGTGCGTGCACTGCAAAACGTGGAGTTCTGACGTTTTCAGTCCATGTGTATATACTGAGTTACAGGATGAATGTAATAGATGAAGCTGCTACTGAAGTCAGCCCACATATTCCACAAAAAATAGTCCACACCTCTACTTGTACAGCAATTGCAAATCGACAACCAAGCAACACAGACTGCTGTAACACCTACCTTGGAAATTCCTTCTACATTTTTGGAGGCTAGGAGGGCACGAGTGGCTTCCTTGTCATCCTTGATAAAAAGACAAATTTCCGTCTCGCCAGGTGAATGCAGTGAATGCTTCAGTGGTCTACAATGTAGGAGAACGAATGGGCACAAACAGAAGCAATTAAATCACAACATGTCTACTGCAATGTAAAGATGTCTCCTGCAATCACCAGCTTCACCAAATGTTCATCAACTTGAAACCAGCAAGGTTATGCGTGGGACTTTTTTTAATTAGTTACATGTATTGCGAATAGTTCGGTATGCTACCGTTTGAGTAACAGTTATGCACTAACTTTCCGAGTGTGCGAAAATGGATGATTTCAAGGTCGTGCCACGTGCAGTCAAATATAATGTTCTACAGCATACGCAGTTGTGATCGGTTAGGCAACCGACTAACGAGCTACATTGCAGTTGTCAGGCAAAATGCTCTAGTTTCAACCCCTAGTTGTGTGCAGAAAAAGCTGTTCGGACCATACATGTGGATCTGATAGGGTACTTGTGATGGTTGCTATACCCCTTGGCAGGACTAAATGTCTGCTACACGGACCATTACACTCAGCCATACCAAACCGAGTACAGTAAAACCTGTCAAGGCGACCACCTGCCCCAAAAGACCACTGCTACCAGGACCAAGGGATGCTATTTCAAGTCAAATGACCCTGGATAAGGAAACCATCTGGCAATGGAGACCACATTTTGATTGTCCCTTGAGTGGTCGTCCTAGACAGGTTTCACTGGACTAGAAACACAAGCGGATACTAGTACAGTACAGGATAGATTGGGAAACATTGCAGTTTCCAGATCAGTTTCCAGATTCGGCATGCAGCATGTTCTCCAAGGATGTCACCTCGGGCAAAGGGGGCTTGATCCCATGAGCAGCAGTTAAAAATTGGGTACCTGGAATTCGACTTGATCATTCACTTGTTTATTTTTCGTGGCTCATGGAGATGACCAGAACCCCCGCTGGCTAAGCAACATCACCCATGCCCCATTCAAGCAGAGAGAGAGAGAGAGAGAGAGAGAGAGAGAGAGAGAGAGAGAGAGAGAGAGAGAGAGAGAGAGAGAGAGAGAGAGAGAGACACACACACACACACGAGGGGGGGGGGGGGGAGAGGAGTGTGTTTGATCTGTGGGATTCTTGTTCCACTCGGATAGTACCGAGCCTCCCAAAACATACGTACATATATTTATTGGTGACCTTCATGGGTACACTATCATGGGGGTTTCTAGTCTAGAATCTGGGGGTTTCTAGTCTACACTCAGGTACAACACGTAGTAGATCATACAGCAGGCACAAGGTACAACCAAGTCTTCTTTGCCGATACTGGGTGAAAAGAAGACTTGTTTGTGCATTAGCTGTGCCCTTCTTGCATTGCTAGCTTTGTCGACTGGACATTCAGCACTCTATGCAGCTTCAGGATATATAAACTCATAAACTCTTTACGAAAGGCCTAGTCGAAACTACATGGCTTCTGTGCTCTGTGTGCTGATTTGCTTCCCTCCAAACAAGAATCTATTCATCAACTCCATAAACTCATGTAGTATATCATAGGTATAACTTACATTCTTTTCGGTTTGTGACGCACTGGTGTAGAAATTTTCTTCACTGTAATTATAAGTGAGCAGGTGTCCACATCTCCAAGCAGTGACTGCTCCTTGCCTTTCTTCTTCTTCGTGTACTCAAGAAGGGCAGTAGCTGCCTGCTCGGCCTACACAGTGCATATATAACCATCCATGTTACCGAAGGGTAAATGTGACAATAGCGAGTCTTCCAAATAATGTCAGTGTGAAACAATAACAAAACAACTCAAGTACACAAAAAATTGTCCCACCTGATTCCGAACAAGTAAGCAGTCCTTTCCCATCCTGAAACCAGCTCAGCAACCTCTAAGGAGTGTAGAATGACCTTCACCAGGAATCTAATCGTGGCGCGTTGCAAAGAAAGTGTTCCGTCGAGACAAACGAGTCAATTCCAAAGTCTTTCCAAACTCTCTTCACGACACTGATTCGATGATGATCGATTTCTCTTGGCTGCATGCATGCAGCGTGTTTTTTGCGGGGACACTTCGCCGAATACCAGTAAGAAGAGTATTCCTTACGTAATGGCCGCTATCTTGCAAGGGTCTGACGTCGACATTATGACTTTGCTGCCTGGCAACGACACGTTTATCATCGCGTGCCCTGCAGCGCAGCGCAGATATCCTTGACTTGAGAAAGAAAAAAAAGGAGATATCACAGACATTAATTAATTATTTAGACATAGTCATTATTTTAATTTATCGTCAGGCAATATTTTGTGTTTCTATTTTGTATGAAATGAGAGAGTGATATGGCGGGGCTACTGACTCAACGACTGTGCTCGTCGTTGTCGCGCCTGCAACCTTGCTTCGTGCCCAATGGCGCACTCGCGGAACGCACGTCGCGTCGTGTTCTAAAGTCATTGCCTCCAGCCCAATGTCGTTACCTGGCCATCACAGCAGAGTGTCGTCAAAAGTTAGATACATCAAAGCCAGGGGCACAAAGAAGTGAGAAAAGCAAAGGTGCTATTGAGCAAATTCTTGAATCAGAGGCAAGCCGCAAATCACAGCTCACAACAGCTGAGAAAGGTAGGTGCCAATGCCACTATACTGGGGGAAATATTCCTGGATTTTTCCGTACCGTAGTGACGCGCATATAAGCGCATGTGCCTATACCCGGGCATAAGCGCACCCTCACAAATAAGCGCATGGGCTTATAAGTGAACCTAAATGCAATTCCATCCGCGACACACAGACACCACAATAAACACCAGGTTCACATAGTTCAATGTGCATTATGCAAGGTATCGGTACGCTTGCAACTCAAGCGCATGTGCCTATGTGTGAGACAAACCGACCCGCAAAAAATAGCAAAATAACGCAAAAACTCACTCGTAAGCGCATGTGCATGTGCCTTTATGTGCGTCATGACAGTAAAACGTGCAGTACAAATACAGCATCAATTCTGTCATGGCATTCATGAAACGGCAACAACAGATTCATAACGCGATGATGTAAAATCACGTATACAGTAAAGGGTCTGTAGAAGCTAGGGAGAGTTGAATGGCCTTGGTCCGGGAAGACTGCGGTGCATCGCTCGTCAGACGTTCCCGGTGTCTCGCACATTGCAGCGCATTCCTGTGGCGACACAACCGTCTACGAAGCCCAACCAGAGATCCACACACAATTTGAATGCAAGATGATTTGGAGTCTGTTCTATTGGTGAACGGTGTATTGCAACCTCTTCGGACCAAGACCATTCGGCTCAGTGTCCACAAGACTGAGCTCTGGAATACTATTATTGCGTCCGAGGAATGCTGCACGTGCATACACGTAGTCTCCAGGAGGTTTTCAAGTGCACTGCATGCATGGGTACATGAGTACGTGAGCTGATAAGGCAGGCATGCATGTAGTGAGTGTACACAAATTGCTGGCCTTGGGATAGAATTGCTCAACATACAGGTACGGCATGTATGAAAATGTCAGAATGTGTAGATTTCTCAGCACTGGGTGAAGTGGTGGTGGTCTGAAGAGGCTGCTTCGATGCACTGTGACCCAGCCGAGTGGGCTCCGAAATCAACTTTCTGCATGGCTTACTGATTGGGCCCGAGTATGTCATGACAGGAATGCAACACAGGGCACGTACATATATGCAGAATGTGTGTTGTGTGTGTGTGTGTGTGCGCGCGCACGCGTGTGTGTGTGTATTGTTTCTGCAGTGGTGGAAGCTGGCAAGGATGCAGGCTACTCTATGGTTGCCATGTTCGGCTTGGGAATGGTCTGTAAGTACATGGATATCTGCACCCTGGTGCCATCCATCTGTTTGATTTATATTTTCCATATCCGTGGCTGGCCATCCTCCCTCACATTGGCAAATTTCAACTGAAGAGATTCTGCTTCCCTGAAGTGCCCCCCCCCCCCCCCCTCAGGTACAGTGGCGCCCTCACTTGGCTGCAGTGAGTCGAGCGCTGTACCCGACGATGACTCCGTGTTGTGCTGGTCACCACTGTAGCTGTAGAAATGCCAGTGGCTCGTGACCAAAGGGTGCCCGGATTATTCGGTTCTCAGAGCGCACCTATGCTTATGTATGCAGTCGATAGTTCTTGAAATATTGTTTTTACTGTTTTCCTTCCACCTTTATGTTGGTAATCAGCCGCTTTTCCATGCCAGTGGAAGTGGAAGTAGATGTGCTCAGGTCTGGGCAGTTTGTTGTGTATCTTGGTAGTATGTTCACTGATGGCATTATTCTGCTTGCCCGAATAGTGCAATGTCAGGCTTTCTTCTGCAGTACTAGACGTGAAAACCTTCGTCTTCACGCTGACAGCCGCATTGTGCTGCATACCTGCTGCAAGTCGATCTGCTTTGGAATGCTTCCTTTTGTTTGTCCTTTTCCTGACAGGTGTTGCAGGAGGTTTTCTCATCTACAATGAGTTCAGTGGCAGCCAGCCATCAGTCATATTTCGCCGTTCGCTTCGCATTGTCCGTAAAGACAAGCAGGTGTGTGTGTGGGTGGATGTATGGGTGTATGTGGTTTTGGGTGTGTAAACGTATGTAGGTGTGGGTGTGTATATCTGTGTGTGTGTGTGTGTGTGCGCGCGCTCTCGTGTGGGTGTGTCTAGAATCTAGATGCAGTACAACACTGCGGTGTCCAGCGTAATTACCTTGTCAACTGCAGTAAGAGACTGGTAACCATATCTCAAAGACACCATGCTCTACTTCATGTTCATTTTTTTACCCCCATTGTGTCTTCATTGCTCTGTTGTTCACTAACCTAACCACCTTTGCATCTCCTTTTCTTTGCCGTAGGTCCAGAGTTTAGTTGGATCTCCATTCAAAGCATTCGGATTCTCGAATACAATCAGCAGAGGCTATCGGCACCAGGTTTAGTGAGTTGCAAATCTCCGTGATCGACGAATGACTGTGCCTGCGTGTATGAATGGTGATGTGAGTCGCTGCCTGTGTGAACATGGCAATGCACTTGCGTGCAGGCAGGCATATTCCCCCATCAAGTTGAACTGTTTGCTAGGATAAACACTGGCTGATCATGTAGTACACAGACTCATCGTGTGGTCCTGTAGCTGTATTCTGTGCTGACTTTCCTCTGTTGGATGTCCACGATTGTTTTCTGCTGTTGACAATATGCAGTAGCGTGGACTACCTGTTGGGAGCATTTGAAGATCTGCATCGACAGGTCAAGTACAATATCAAAGGCAAGCATCGCCAAGCAGTCGTGACTGTCGACATGAAGGAGGTAAGTCTGACACAAGCAGGAATCAGTTCATCTCCATCTGATTGTCTGGTTAGCACTTGTGCCTGTGCCTTCTGTAGCACATCACTAGTATCAAGAGTACATAACTCTCCAAAGTGTGCAACTATAAACCTCTGTCACGACTGGTTTTCAGAATTTCACCATTTTCATAGTGTAATCGACTGGACGGTATACGAAACCCGCATTGCGCCCGCACTCAACCTCACACCTCAAACTCTGGTATAGGACTGATTTCATCGTTAATAAACTATGACCCTGAAGAGCGAGTCATGACAACCACTCAATGACTGTTTCACGCTCTGGGCAATTATGTACTCTTGCTGGTAGAGCAGGAACCCTCCAATGTGGACATACCAGGGACCAGACACACTTCTCCTGTATTGGGACAGGTCCCGATTGCTGCAGAATTCAAGGTAATGTTCATAGAAAGCGGTTGGGACCAATATGCACTTCTGAAATCTTATGTCAGTCCCAATTTCACATTCCGCAGCTGTACGTGATTTTTGGATGATTGCTAAACCAATGTCATTCTGTTGCTGTTGTTGATTTTTTGATCAGACTAAAAAGGGCAGTGGCAAGTTTGACTATTATAGTATCGTAGTTGAGGCAACCGGCTCACCACCTATCATGATCCTGGACAATCGCTACAGTGACATCTCCTTGGCTTCTTACAAGGACCTTGATGGTCCACCCAGTCCTAGCACTTGAAGAGTGGTCTGTACGGTCTTGCGACATTCAATCACTGTGCATAGCTTGCAACGTGGACACAATTCCCTTACCCTCCCCCCCCCCCCCCCTACCATGCCTGAACTGAGACTCTTTTTGTGTGTGCATATTGCTATCTGTTCTTCACAGATGCTTGCTTTGTACATACCCGCTGTTGTATATTTTTCTCTTTTTTCATACTGTAGCTTTTCTGCCATTCTCCCACTGCGAACAGAGCTTTCTCACAAAATGTTTACACACGTACAGTATGACGAAGCATGACGCAGAGCAGCAGCTTCTCAGAAATTTCTATAATAGCACAGCCATCGGACCGGGGCTGCTGGCAGCACACTGTTCTAACTCAATCCATGCATACAATATTATGTACATAACAGAATTAGATACGTTTTTTTAAATGACTGTAAAGATCAGAATGAAACGAGAGAAGAAGAAAAAACGAAACATAAAATGGTCTTCTGGGATGCTGGTGCAGGGGATGGTGTATGTTACATGCGGGCGGCTGTAAAAAACGCTACAACTATAATGGCCGGAGCGAAATAAAACTATGGCAGATAGTTTGCAATGTGAATTCATATGCGGCGGGAAGAAAAAAAAACATGACCCTAACGTGAGATTGCCAATCATCATGACTCCATTGCCTCTTCAGGTGCGCCAGCGCCCTGTGTGCATATGACAGCAAAGAACACATACGCAGATAAGTTGCTGGAAAGTGACCAATGACTTCACAGCAACCTGCCATGGCTGGCTAACGCCCCCTTCCTTAAAACATTGGCTGTTACCATGGGACGGGGAATGAAATAAAATTTAAAAAAACCTGTCTTGGTAATCCGGGCTCAGGGTCAACAGGCCTTCGTAATCCCTCAACTACACCACCACAATCCTCATTTAGGGCACTGCACCAAGGGTGAAATTGTGCAGATCAAGTACTTCAATGTATTTTTCAAGTCTTGAAATTGGCAAGGAACACAGGTTCGCTCTGCTAGCTTGATACAGCTATCATAACTCCACCGATATGTCAGACTTTCACGCACTGTTTAGTGTTTACAGGAGGCACCACGTGCATAACATACAGTCTGTATATACCTCATGTAGGCTATATCCAGCTTCGCACCACCGAGTACCTCACTAACAGCCAAGACACAAAGCCAGTAACCACTGGGGCATGGAAAGATGCTGTTCATTTTATGTATATGTTGTAGTCTACAACAGTTACTGAAGATGAGCGCATGTACTACAGATGTGGTAAATAAAATCCCAACCGATGTATACTTGCCGCGCCAAAGGCCACCCGGGCCTGGATGCTGTAAGCTCTTTTTCTTGTGGTCACCAAATTAGGCTCTCGCTACTGAAAGTGTACATCAGTTTCGATTTTACTTGCCTCAACTGTAGTTCCAGATTGTTTCGCTGAGCACCAGTCAAAGGTGGACTTCGCAATCAACAGTCAAGAGTTGTGCCTTGAAACGGAGGTGCTTCAAGCTGTCCACGAGGAACCATACGAGTATAATCCCTATCCAACAAGCTGTACTAACTCACCTCTGCTGCTGGAGCGTCAGCGGCGGCGGCGGGCGCAGCTGCAGCGGTGGGACCAGTCTCATCAATACTATCAAGGTATGGCTTGACTGACTCATTGGCGTAGATGGTGAAGGGAACGTCTTTGCCAACAATGGCTACAGAGCAGTTCTGCACAGACAAGTTGCAACACATCCCAAAGTCATTGCAAAGTATACTTTTGATTTCGAACGTCTATGGAAGGGCATGGTGGAAGCCTGCTAATATGCTCTGTTGACACTTATGCATGAAAAGCAGGGAACATGCAATGCATGCACATCGTTGACGTTCACAATCCACTTACAGACTCCTTCCTGTTGGATCTCTCTGGCCTGCTGGTGGTGGGTGGGAAAACACTCACCCATACACCTTCTTACTCCTCACAGTGTAATGTTTTAATCACGCCCTCAAACAGAACCAAAACTACTTAGAGCCCCTGGCATAATCTCCAATCACCAACACCCCCTCAGGCCTCACACACACGCACGCCCCCCCCCCCCCCCCCCCCCATCCACACACACACATAAGCGACATACCAGTGTGCTGAGTTCTGCTTCGTTTCGCAGACAATCACGCAGAGCACGGAGGCCGTGGCGAATGAGCTGGTCGGGCTCACCTGCAAACACAGCACAGCACACAGCCACCAAACAAGTAGAGAGAAAACCGAATAAGTTGACATAGAAGAAGAAAAAAGCCCAGAAAGTGATGAGGCCGGTCACAGTGCTTTCAAAATTAACAAGGCAGAAATAAACCATCAAGGTAACAAGTCATTCTGATGCCAAACCTCCCATCTTCCCAGTGCATATTCATTTGGCTAAACATTAGTGACAATCGTGGGTATGCATAGGAAACTTGCCCAATGCTCATGAATGAACTTACAATCTGGGAAGGTCTTGAAGTGCTTCTCCAGGTAAGTACGAGCAGACTGAAAGAAAAGGAGACAGGAAAACCAAAAAAAGTGAAAACATTTAAAGATACAAGTTCATACAATTATAATCAACTTGTTGATACTTGAAGTGGCTATGTTCCAGTTGAATACATGGCCATTGGCCACTACCCTGCAAGATAAATTAGACAGTAAACGTACTTTGATTACCTCTCTTGAACAAACAAATAGTTAGCCATAAATTGAGATCAGAAACAACTTATCCGAACTCAGCATTGTCTTGGACATGCATACAACATATGGCACTCCTTTTTCTTTTTTCGTCTTGCTCACACACGCTACCGTGCAAGCTATGAGAAACTCAACGCGCACAGAACATGCTGGGCGTTGTTGGGCAGTCAAAGGACTCATGCCGTTTCCGTGTTGAACAGCAGATAATTAGCAAATCTAGCGCAATAGGGGCACTGCACACAAACATACCGTCACCACTCTTTAACATGATGGTAACTTTATACGAGTACTTGGACTAAAGTTCAGCATTCAACCCTGCCACCATCACCACCACTTACCTGTGAACGAGCTCCAATAGCCATGGCCTTGCACTCATAGTAATTAGCTGAGGGACATGTCTGGAAGATATGAGGGCCGTCTCTCTGCAAGTACCCAGCAAACACATAGCAGAAAAATCAATCAGAGTCAGCTCGGTCAGGTAGTGAGCCAGTAATGTTTCGACCATAGTATCGACATGTCCCCGATGTACTGGACTGACGCTCACAGCTTCGTAGATGCAGAGTAGAGTGAAGGAATGAGGAATTAGCACGGCCGAGTGGTGTACAGGAAACACGAGAGGGAAGGGTTTGTCGAGTAAGTAGAACACAATACAATACACAAGGAAGCTGGCATAAGGCACACATGTACCATTCAAACTAATGACATCACCTAGAACAAATGATCTCTTGGAAAAGCAAACACACAGCAGACACACATGCTTTGGCATTGGTTGAAAAACTTGCCAAAGCACAATATAAGCAGTCAAACTCACATCGTAACCGGCGACCAGTATTCCAACACCATAGGGCCTGCTACCGTACATCTGGGTAGGCTTCTGCAGTTCTGAATACGTCAAGTTAAGGGAGCCACAATAATACTGATACATGTACATGTACATGGCCGGCAACAATGATCATACGAAAAGAAAGAAACCTAGATCTGTTCTGACCTGTGACACACGGCATCCAAAATATGTTCATAAAAAAAGTACAGGCATTACATTGAATTCATAACCTGTAAAAAAGGAGGATACTTTGCCCAACGGTGTTGACCAAATAACCAATGGGAACTGGCTCCGAGAGAGACCACCGGAAGTTTAGACTTTCAGTACGCATGAATTTCCTACACGGGAATAAATCGCACGCCACATGTGTACACACATTCATGCCCACGCACAGACGCAACAAAAAGAAGACGCATTATCAGTGCCAACCCTTTCGAATCCTTTGAGATCCAGAAGAAAGTTTGATAACTTTATCGACCTTAGTGAACAACACACTTTCGCTCGTACCTCAGCCAAGAATTTCAAAGAGACTTTTTTGAAGGGAAATTCAACATGATAGTTCTCGTCATAGTGTTGACCCTTTTTACGAAAACGGCGAAGGAGCACAAGAGATAATATCTCTTGTGCTCCTTCGCCGTTTTCGTAAAAGGTGCTATAATAATATTATAGCACCAGTGTACAGTAGCATCCATAATCAATGCATCATAGATCGATCTATCGGGTTCCAAGGGGTCTAAGATAACAGGTTGACAAGCTAAGCTCAATAAGAATAGGCAACATAACGGTTTTCCCCAAGTAAAAAAAAACTTACCCGAGAAGTCGTGCATCAGACATCAAGCCGGAGTAGGAAATACCAACATGATCATCGATGCGACGGAATTTCTGCAGATGCGATGCCAACTCTGAGGAGGAGCGCTGGACACAGTTATTGCACAGCGAAGAAAGAAAATATGACCATTGGAGTGCGATACATCCAGACTACAACTGAGAACATCTCAGCACCTGTTTACCTTCTCTCCCCCCCCCCCCCCTCTCTCTCTCTCTCTCTCTCTCTCTCTCCCTCTCTCCTTGACACTCACCGTTAAGCTGACGAGAACAGCATGCGTCTCGGAGCGAAGCCCAATAGTTGCTGGGCCCTGTTTAACGGCCTCCATGGCGTAGTCCACTTGGAACAGGCGTCCCTAAAACAAGAAGAAAACCCGAGTGGAGACGTCAATGGAGTGCTGTGCAAACCTCTAAGGACCACCTGCCACTAAAGATCGCTTTCTCTGACCCCAAGGCGTGGTCGTTGGTCACCAGGTTTACTGTACAGTCATGCAGATAAATGAGTACAGGTACTCTTGGCACTAGCATGTGCAGTAGCAGCGTTCGCCCCAAAACACACCCATCTGCAGTAGTATCCCTGGTGCCATGACTAGCACTTTCACTCACACACCACACTACTGTACACATGTCGTATCGGGATATGCAGCTCACAGTTCCCCTGACTACGGCGGCAGCTTGACATGCTAGGTGAACAGTCATGTTGCCCTCATGTGCGCAACTATATTGGTCGATAGCCTGATTGTGCTATCGCGGCATGACAAATGTCGTTGCCATGGGATCGGTGTTGCATATCAATATGTCTGGTACGACACACTTTGGTGCTGTGAGCAGGATTCAAGTTCTGTTCACTTTATGCGTGCGATTGCTTACAGTTGGCCCCCAATGCGAAGCAGCACAACAGGAACGTCAAGAAAGGGCGGTTTATTGGTCAGCCCAACTTGACGAAGAAATGGAGACACTGGAAAAGAAATTGCTCTTTTAATTTTTCGGTAACAACAAAACTGACGGATGGGTTGTGTAACTGAAATTGTGTATTCATTTATTGTTCGACTAATTCTAGTCATGGCCGGGTTTGGATGGAACTTTGATTGCAGAAAGGAACTATTCCTAAATGAATTTAGTACATCTGCATAATTTCACAGCCTCACCAAGCTCACCAAGCTGCAACATGTTAGCCAAATAAATTGTCATTAACTTCTGTAGGTGTGTGGCGTGACGAGCATTTTCCTCTCAACAAGCAGCACCTCTTCGAATGGATTTTAAATGCATGCACCAGAGGTTGCTACTGCATACAGATATAGGATGGGAGAAGGTAGTTTCCAGATGTTGAGTCAACTGACCTGAGGACTCCATGTCGTTACGTCTCCGTCGTATGAATTCCGATTCTACGAACAGAGACAGAAGACTATCACCAGGCATCCAAAGGAGGAACATTTCTATTACTCTAGCCTACCATATTTCCGTTTCGGTTCCTCTGTTGTCCTCCCACCGACTGAAGGATTCAGCACACAACTTCACAAGCAAAATATGACTTGTTTGAGGAATTATTCACAAATCAAACGATCGAATTTTCTCGGCGTTGACAAAAACGAACATTTCCCTCATTTTTCACCCATTACGTCATTGGGCGGATATTTCGAAGTGTTGAGATGAGCCTGGATTTTTGGACTTCTTCACACTCACACAACTAAACAGTTTATCTACTCTTGCTCACAGTTCATGAAGACTCTTTTGAAGAGTGCCTGTTCATGTATTTATTTATTTATTTATTTAGAGAGGGAGTTTCAAGACTGTGATCACCTTTGAGCTGTTGAGGAAAATCAATAGAACTGTGACAGCATTATCGGGAGCACCCTCAAGCTGTTGAATGGTGAGACTTTGTACTTTTGAAATGCAATTCTTTTTCTAACTGTTTTTTCTTCTTCTGGTAATTGGCCCATTGACACGTGCCATAGGGTGATACAGTCAGTATAAAGGTTGGTAGAGAATCCAAACTGTGGTATCTCACTCAATCGTACTTTTGATATGACTGTAGAAACATAGAAAGTTACATACATGTTACCAGTACCACTTAGTGAACCAATAATTATTTTAATTGGACAAAACTCAAGTAACACGTTAGCTGTTGGAAAGATTCTCTAGCAGGTTCGAAGAGAGAGAGAGAGAGTGACGGAGACGAGACAGAGAGACAGAGACAGACAGACAGAGAGGGAGAGAGAGACTGTACTGAAGTACGTGAATTTTGCTTTCAGGAGAAATGCCTGCACACGTCCCATGACGTAATTGTTTAATACCACACGCGCACGTGCGGTAGTCCCTTTGAATGTAAACAAAATATGGAGGGGGGGGGGGGGGGGGTAGTCCCTAGGGCCCTTGTTCACCCATAATTTGTTGTGATAACTAAAACAGGTAGACTAGAATACAGGCATGCTTAGTTCGCTGACACCTGCTTGTGTGTGCGTGTGTGTGTGTGTGCGCGTGTGTGTGTGTGTGTGTGTGTGTGTTTGTTGATGGTCCAGGCAGGAAACTCACTGAGTGTAGTCCATCCAGTCTGCTGATGGCGTGGAGGGAAGGTGGCAATGAGCTGTTCAAGAAGAGAGAGTACTCGAAAGCCATCTGGGAGTATTCGAGGGCATTGGCGGATCACCCGGATGATCATCTACTTATCAGTAATCGAGCAGAGGCTTTCTTGAAACTGAAGCAGTACACGGAGGCGTACCATGATGCTCTGGATGTTACTCAGAAATGCGACACAGACGTCAAAGGATACTACCGTCTTGGGCGCGCTCTGACTGGCCTGGATCGCTTTGAAGAAGCACGTACTACCCTAGAGACGGCGTACCGCCTGGATCGAGCTAATGCTGCCGTTGTTGCCGAGCTGAGAAGTGTGCGTGCGCTCGTGCTATCCCGTCGCAAGATCAAGTGGACGCAATTGCTGAGAACGCTCCTGGGCGAAGCGAAGAGCTGCAGCAAATTGTACTCCGACCAAGATGATTACGTGGGCGATGTGGAGGTGCAACATACCTACACGGGCAAAGGGAGAGGTCTGTTCGCCACACACGACATACCTGCCGGAACTGTCGTTCTTGCTTGCAAGGCGCTTGCAATGGTCTACTCAGACGAAGGGGAGACATCGTCAGAGGTCACTGGGCCCGTGGACTACTCAGGCCGCCTTGTTGACAAGCTTCTTGATAGTTTGGTAGAGAAACTTTCTGTTAGTTGTGATTCTGGGAACCCTACTGAGCTGCAGGAAAAGATCTCATGTCTTTGCATTGGTAGTGGTCCGTCCACGCCCAGGCCCAAATCTGTGTCTGATGAGAACCGGGACTCTGAGGCTACTCGCGATTGGGTGTCACCTATTGTTCAGTACAACGCCTTTGCATCAACATCTTGGGACCCCTTGTCATCCATTGAGTTTGCAAACAGCAGCGAGGCACCAGAGCTGGAAACGGCCATCGCAGTCAATAGGCCAACCTCTATGTTTGTGTTTGGTTACGGACTATGGAACCTGCCGTCGTACGTTAATCATAATTGTCTCTTCAATGCGTTTCGTTTCACCATCGGCGATTTCTTCGTCTTAGTAAGCACGCGTGACATCTGCGCCACCGAGGAAATCACAACGTACTATGTACGTCCGGATGAGCAGGACAGGCGGCGCACGATGAAAGCCGACTATGGATTTGTGTGCAAGTGTTTGCTGTGCACTGCAGAGACCAGTCTGCCAAGAGAGGCGCATGGCTATGTTGCTGCAGCACGGGAAAAACTCGAGGCAGTATCTGAGCAGGTTGTGAAGTACGATACTGACTGTATGCCCGATTTGAAGCTATGCTTGACGTATGCTCGGCAAGCCGACGACAGGAAGTTGCTGCGGCCCAACCGTGTACTCTGCAATATCCTTACTGCTATGGTCACACTGTATGCCCATGGAAAGAGCTGGGACTTTGCTGTGGACGCTCTAAATTCGGCATACGACTCTCTTGTGGGCAAGCCGAGAAAGGAAGATGCGGATGACTTGGATGTCGCCTTCGGTGGTGGATCTGCCTCTCCCGAGCCCCTAATTGTCGAGCTAGCTATACAGATGTGCTGTGTGCTATCTCGCCAGCGTCGCTTCAACGAAGCCCGAAAATGGCTGCAGCGGGCTCGTGACATGTCGCTCCTTCTATACGCAGTCAGTGATGTCGCTGAAGCGTACTTCGGACACCACTTTCGTTTAGCCGAGCAAGGCTTGGCGGAGGGCCGTTCGAAACGTTAGCTGACAATTTCCGTGCCATCTCTACTTGTGCACCTAGAGTTGCCGTTGACTGGATTTTACGTATTTTGGATTACTGGATCTTTCTTTTCTTTCATGCTTCCTCATTAGATGTTGTGCACTGCCGGTTCAGTTTTGTTCTAATTTATTTCTTCCTGTGATGCTGGCCATCATAGAATTTGTGTTGAGTAGTCAAATCATACAATGGCATGGGATTTTGTACTTCAGAAATAGATATGAGCAAACATGAATTAGGTAATCTAAAATTTATAAGTTGTGTCGACATTACATTGATTGATTGACCTCACAGTGATTTTTTTTTTCGATGATGAAAGTCACAAGAATACATTCGGCTTCCTCCGTAGGTGTTTGTCTCAACGTATATTTGTAGATTGATGTGATCTGCAGTAGTGTGGTACTCCAGTGATTATGTTTGTATGTCTATTACACCTCAGAGCAAAGACTCACGGGTGCATGTGTGCGTGTGTTTGTGTGCCAGATATCCGTGCAGTATCTACCTCATTCGCGCATGCTCTTTACCGGACTTTTCTCAGTCATGTAACTACTGTCGTTGTTATCTACGCTTGACTCCTTTAATGGCTTTATGAAGATCAGGCTTTACGACTCCCTGACCATGACAAGCAAAACCGAATCTTTCGTCTGGCAAGAGAGGGCCAGGGAGCATGTACCCTCTGTTGAGCTCCCTAGCCGACCTGGTCTCGCATGTGAGCTCTTGACTCGAGTCTTGGCATGTCTTGCTTTTATACAAGTGTTAGATATTATCAAGAGTACATAAACCATGGTATGTACTCTTGATATTCCAATACGAGTACAAGTCGTGTTCTACAAAACAATAATGTCACGTGTACCGTATATACGTCACTAATGTGCGTACGTACGTGCATGGTGCGGTACGTGTGGTTTGAATCAGGAAGTCGTAAAATACCGTATTTTTACGACTCCCTGGTTTGAATTATTTGTTTGAATCAAGTTTGTGTTCTACTTCTATTTTTCGACAATTACATTTTGGTTGCAGATTATTTATAGTGCTCGGCCTCTTGAGTTTTGTCCTCGAAGCGGAATATCTACTATCTGAAAAATTCTGCTAGCTGCTGCCTGAGACATTTCATTTTCAAGCAGGGATTCATCAGGTGAATGTCTAGCGAACGTCTGGCGTAAGTCGCCTGCAGCGCTGCACATGTACTCTATCTGTCATGGTGTTGTAGATGCATGTATTATAAAAATTGAATGTTCATACCCGGTTTCTCTTTAGTGCACTTCCAAACAATAATCAGAACAACAAAAGTGCATGAAATCAAAGTGTGCAGCTGCATGTAGCTGGGATGGGTGCGTGTGGCTATCACTGTATCAGCCAATCACAGCAAAATCCCTGGATTGCATCATTGCAGCAAGAGTATTATAAGCTCCCAGGAAGCTTATAATTATATACTCTTGATTGTAGTGATACAGTGTATGGACGTGACATTCAAGCAGGTCTCTTGCGCAGCTTAGTCATACACACTCCGCCCCACTCGTTTGCACCACACTAGGAGTTACGCAAGGAGTTTCACCCTAACAGACGTACGGGCGCTGCACGCCTTGGCTTTCATGTGCTTTGATGATACCGGTAATAGGCAGTTCACACACCGGGATAAAGCCCAACTCGCACATGTTCTTCATTTCACGTACGGGAAATGTGTCGCAGCACTCGTCGCCGTGGAAAAAGTTAACTTGAGCTGAACTAGTTTGGTCCTCTGGACCGCAATGCATATGGCAACTGTGCACCCGTTGCCATACGCATTGCAAAGCGTTTCCCGTACGCGAAATAAAGTATGAGTTAGGCTCAATGCGTGTGCAGACAGTTTTCCACCGGTAGTTTGGAGACCTAGCAAGAGTGCATAACCCCCCAGAGTGTGCAACTCCACTATGGGTGCTGTCCCGACAGAATTTCAAGTTGACGTCATTTTGATGATGCAATGCGCACTGTACACGGATTATCAGACGAATCCGGAACCTGTGGTTGACCGAAGCCGATCGATCCTGTACAAATTATTGCAAAGAAAAACGTGTGATGCGTTGACACCCGTACACATGTTGTAAATCACTGCTGCAAGGAGCATTGCGTCATAAATAATGACGTCAACTTGAAATTCTGTCGGGACAACAGGGTATGTGGGAGTTGCACACTCTGGGGGGTTATGTACTCTTGGACCTAGTCATTGGGTCACTTGGCTAATCACAGATTGCCATACAGTACTGAGTATGTAGGTCGCCGAAGAACTGGGGGTCAGCCTCCTAGCCTAGACCGTTCTTATTTTCATGTATTACAGTCTATGCACAGTTGAGTCACCGTGTATACATTGGTATGCTGTGCGTGGTGAAATCCTAGCCTGGTCGTTCTTCGGCACTCCGTTCTTTGGCGCCCGACAGTACTGTGCTCACTTCTATATGCACTCCGAATGCCATTGGTTGAAACTTCAGTTAAAATGACTGCAGTAGAACAGTGAAACACAATCCAAGGTCAAGAAACTGTCAATCTACTTGGAAAGTATGTGGGCAGTATGTCACTATGTTTGCACGCATAAGGAACAAGAAGAAGGACGAACCTTTGTCACTACGCTGGCTTCATGATAGTCTTTCTGGGTGAAAGCGCACATTTTACCTGGTACGTAACATCCGCTGTCGCCATCAGCACCTACGGTCGACCTTGCGAATAACAATTCTCAATCGTGCATGAGGAAAGTGTCGTTATCCGCGGGTTGTCGTTATCCGTGGGGTTGAAAGTATGCAGTCGAATGATCACTAGGTCTGCAGATTGTGTTGTTATTCGCGAGTTGTTGTTATACCCGAGGTCGGTACTCGCGTGGTTGACTGTACCTTTTCTATCCGGTTTGTTGGTCACGCATTCCTGTGCAGTTGGTGACCGCAACGCTCCTCTGCCATCGCTGTCATGCCCTGCACGATATCTGAGACATGAAGTTGAACTTGGCGCACAGGTTGGTGGCTTTGCTGCATTGTATCTAGCTGTGTGGGCGTGTGCACACATGTCATACAAATCACAGTACAGTGGCACCATTTGTGCTAAGGGACTTCTGCTGGATTAGGGTGCTCGATTACAAAATCTAATTTACTGCTGCAATGTGCATGAAGAGGACATTTTTGCGACCATTTGAACCATGTGAGGCCTGGGAGTGTTTGCAAGCCACACACTAGTACTACAATCCCTGCATGTGATGGGCTTGCAGCGCTGGTCATGCCCTGCATCATGACTCACCTAATTCAAGTCTTCTCACAAAAGTTGTCAATGTGGCTCCGGTGTGTTGTTGTATATGCAGGTTTGCAAGAGCGTAACAGCAGCATGGATCATTTTCATGTCCTTCTAGCTGCCACGGGCAGCGTGGCTAGTATCAAGTTGCCGGAGATCATCCGCAAGTTGGTATCCGGCGAGACGGAAACAATCCTGGAGGTCCGAGTGGTCGTAACCAAGACCGTGTCAGAGTTCGTAAGCCACGAGGCACTGCTCGAGGCTGGCGCAGCGCAGGTCTACTGTGATGAGAACGAGTGGGCGCAGTGGCACACGGCGCACACCGTGCTGCACGTGGACCTACGGCGCTGGGCCGACGTGCTGCTGATCGCTCCGCTCGACGCCAACACCATGGCCAAGCTATCCGGAGGCCTGTGCGACAACCTGCTGACGTGCGTTGCACGTGCCTGGGACATGGCACGCCCTGTGATCTTTTGCCCAGCCATGAACACTCACATGTGGACGCACCCGCTGACCAGTAAACATGTGCAGGTTCTAACGGATGAGCTGAAGTACTTGCATGTGCCGCCAATTGCCAAGCGACTCGCATGCGGTGATGTTGGGGTAGGCGCTATGGCGTCTGTCGACACCATCGTGGAGTATACTCGTCAGCAGGTGGAGACATATGGCTCAGAGGCACGCAAACGCATTGCAGAGTAAATCTTGTTCAGTATTCCCCATCTGGCTGGGGGCATCTGGCTCTCTCTCTCTCTCTCTCCCCCTGACTGCTACTTTTACAATGCTGTCCTCTCACAGGTTGCCTTTTTATTTTTTTAATAATGACTTGATGTTGATCTAATTACCATGCTTGAAAATTACTTCAAAGTATTGTGTTCCTCTCCTGTGATGCTGGACATCCAGTTTAGAATAGTATTCGATGATTTTAACACCCGTCACATTTTTTACACTTTGAAAGTGTACGCGTATGTCACGAAAGGTTTTTTGTTTTGCTTTCATTGTCAACTTCATGTTGTGCAACTGCTGGAAAACTTAAGGACATGCACAACAACAGCTCTTGTTTGCTTGTGAGCAGGAAATACACCAGCTAACAATGACTTGACGGCAGCAGTACACAGGCATTGCTTGTTGCGCCGGATACAGCACGCTTCACCACATTCGTATGATGTCAGTTCAGCATACGGGCACGGCAGGAGGAAACATAAATAACTCACAAGGATCAATCTAGCGTATGTACAAAAACGTCTATGAAGGAACGAGTAGTACCTAATACAAAATAGCAGATCAAAGAGCAGTCGTCATCCTGATGTACAATAGTGCTAGGTCAATGATGACATTAAAACGTGGGCATAAATGGGAACTCAGAAAATAAAGTTAGGATGGCCAATGAGAATGCTACTCTGATTTGTCAACTTGAATGATAAGCTGGCGAACACCGACCTGGAAGAGAACACAAAGAGCACACGAGTGTGTTAGCTAGTCGGTACGCCGCTGACAGTCAGAATAAGACACAAACATACACGTGCACAGGAGAATTCATACCATACACAATACTGCAACACTCAAGAGCAAAGTATACCCATGCATTTGCTCCTTAAAAGGCAACTGTGTACCCATGCATTTGCTCCTTAAAAGGCAACTGCAACCTGATGACCAACTAGTGCTTCTCACCTGAGTAAAGATCGCCCTAGCCTGTTCCGTAACTCGGAACACGTCATCTACGTTGGGAACGAGAATAAGCCTCATGCTACCAATGTACACATTGCTGGTGGAGAGAAATAAGCACGCACACACGCATACACACAGCGCATTAGTACCATTTAACCACGGAAGGGCAAGCCGAGTAAACTCTTGCAAACATAAGGTGGAAACCACCTATCTACTGCCACCTCTACCCAGCTGAAAGGTTGCCTTGAATAGATACGTAGGGAAAGACCAGAAAAGGCGGTGGTTAGATACGGAAAAAATGTACTGCAGATGGACATACTACTCTCTTGGGAATATAATTCGAGGACGACCCAGCATTCAAGAGAGGAAATCATCCTTATATCTACAAGGTTATGTGGCAAATGAAATGAAGCCCCAGAGAGGCTTCAAGACGTATAAAAGAAGAGCTCACCTGCATAGAGTCCAGAAATGCGGGTCTTTAACACCGACGACTCCCTCAATTTGCTGCACACGTTGATAGCAAGTATCCAGCTGGCTATCAAGAGAGGGTGGCGCTCGCTGCATAAGAACTCCCACAGATGTCTGTAGCAATGGTATCACACTGTAAACACAGCACGAACGACAACAGAAAGAAAAATTGATGGGAATGAAGGGTGAAGAGACCAACAAAGGTCTCCTGGCGCTCAAGGTTGGTGCTCCCAGGACTAAAGAACCCACACGGCGTGTTGTCAGATGTTTAGAAACTTCACTACCACGACCTCCGCCGCCGCTAACAGCACTGTCCAGGACTTGAGCAGTTGAGGATGTTGGGTTAGCAAAACCTCTGACCGTGAGATTTAGAAAGGATGGTAAAGTTCACCTCAGACACTATCGCAAACGAAAATCACAGGTAAGAGACATAAACTGGCCCCAGTGTGGCAGTCTAACACAAATATAAAGGCTACCGTTGAAAGTTGAAACACACCACAAGAGATACGGCAGGGCTAGCAAAATACTGGAAAGAGCGCAGGGTCTTACCTTACTGCAATTAAAACGGCTATACACATGGAGCAAATAGGATCTGCCATCATCCAACCTGAACATGCATACAATCGCCGCAGCAGCAGCAACAACAGAAGCAAGGCAGCAAAATCATCATCCTACTGACAGAACTACCTGCACATCTGCTCAAGAACAATTCAACGCCTTAACTAGCACTACAGCACTCCCAAGCCAAGATAGCAAACGGGTGATTCAAACAATGGACTGTGTGTGTGGGCACGCGGGCAATAGATGCCACACGTTGCGATAACCACCTCCAGGGCCTGAAATGAAGCCGATGTCAGACTCAGGCTTTCCCACACGGTATGTCCAACCCAGACAAGTCTGCCATGCTTGCACGTGGTCACTCAACATGAAACAATTCACGGTTCACACCTCCACACTGGTCATCAGTGATTAGACTTTGGACAAACAGTACCTCAGCTACTGTACTTTGCAAGTACTAGTATGTACTATGTACTACTCAAGGTGTATTGCATCCAGTATTCACTTACGCTTAGTTACAGACTTACAGTACACATGCACGAACAGGCAGAGAGACTGACCGACACCCACAGTCAAACACAGTAGGCAGACAATGAGCTCGCCTTACCAAACTGTTGGATTAGGAAAGAAGAAATGATGACGCCTACACTTCCTAATGTGTCCGCCATGACGTGGAGCAGAACGCCTTGCAGAATCTGCTGATCGGAACCACCCTCTCCGTGACTATGTCCGTGCCCACCATGGCTGTGTCCATGCCCATCTACACACAAGAAACACAGTTAACCATATACTAGAACATGTATTTTAAAGTACTTTGAAGTAACTAGCTATGCACAGACATTGTCAAAACCAGCTACATTACAGCACAGGATTACAAACAAAAAAGATCTTCCTAATGGCATGCATCTTGACAAACATGAGGTAAACTGCCTTGAATACATATACGGGGAACAACCGCCCATTACACAGCCTGCTAAGATTTTTTATAAATATTGCTCTGGCACGAGAAATGCCTTTTCAATAGGTAAGGTATTCCTCATTCCTTATTCAGCTCAATCAAACATGGTATCGCATCACAACCAAGATTGTACACTAAGGGCTGGCTGTATATGGTTGTCCTACCTCCGCCGTGTGAGTGACCGTGCATCGCGCCACCGTGCTGGAAGGCAAAGATGCCGATCAAGTTGACGAGGAAGCCGAGGATCGACACGACCATCAGCCTGTCGTGTTTCACCTCCGGCGGCTGGAATGCACGCTGAAAGAAACGATGCAGTAGCAACCAACGCAACACGAGGTCAGCAGCAGAAAAGCAAAACCTACCGGAGAAGTGACCATCACCAATGCAACTTGAGATGATACGTATCCAGTACACCCAGCTAAGTAGTCGATACGATTCCACAGGACAGGAAAGTAAGCATGCTTTCCCACCAGGGTACATTCACCGAGATGTATAACCATGAGCGTGCCATTACGACACCCACTGCTTATCAGAGATCAGAGAATCACTGACCTCGATAGCTTCTGAGAAGATGAAGAAGGCAATGAAGAGCAGAAAGAGACCGTTGACAAAACCAGCGAGCACTTCAGCGCGGACATAGCTGTAATCAGAAAAGAGATAATTGTCAAGCAAAAAACGATCCGACGGACACGCAATAATGAATGTGCTGGAGAACTAAATCTGCACAAGAAAAAACCACAGGGTATTGTATCAAACACACATGAACAGCGCAGGCATATATCCTCGCCTCTCCTCACCAAGTCACCATCATTTCCACTACACACGCATCGCCGCGACAGTGCTGCCCCACTCACCCGTAGGAGAAGCGCTCGTTCGGCGACCAGCGCGTGATAACCGTCGCCACCAGGCCAGCGAGCAATGCCGTGCAGTCAAAGAACATGTGAAAGGAGTCGGCGATCAAACCCAGGCTGTACAGCGGCGGAGGACAGTGGAAGAAAGCAGAGTGGATGAACAAACAAATACACGTAGCATCAATCCAGCTGGCATGCGATGGCAGGACTCGCACATTGTTTTACACAGGACGTGCAATCAACCTGTGTTCTGTACGTACCGTACCATCTTGTATAAAAGCCTGCGTCATACAGAAGTCAGTTTTCACAATACAGGCCTGATATCCAAGATGGACCATCAGCACAAAAGCCTGGTTTCAGTGTTGACATACATTGAAATACCTGGTTTGAATAGAAGCCTATCTCTGACGTCGGCTTCTACAGAAATAAGCCCGCCCTTTATACGCGCCGTCACGGGCAGCACAGCAGCATTGCTTGCAGTGAATATGTATGATGTTTACGCTCGTGTCATGGAACCTGTGTCATGGAATGAGCCAGCAATGGCCCGTATGCAATGTCCATGATTTCATGCCTGGAAAGTAATTAGTTACACCTATGCACCACACTGAATTCCATGAATATACAAACATTGCATGGTTTGCAAGACTGGGTGGGCTGGGTGGAGACTTCATGAGCAACTTATAACAATCATACTCCACGACAATTCTTTGGTTCATTCCAGCACTCAGCAACACAGTGAACCACACCTGTTCGTCCATGCTCCATAAATCAGCTCCACAAAAGCAAATGTCAGGTTCAACAGCAGGAAGCAGAAGAGATTTCTCGATGCTGGCTTTGATAAGAAAGATCTGGAAGCACACATGGGCAGCCAAGCCGAATACTTCTAACATCTGACATCTAATGCATTCCGTCAGACCCATTGGTCTTACTTGACCCAATTCGTCGCCTGAGCCAAGATGCTAATGCCAGGAATGAATTTCTTTCCTTTGTTGGATGAATCATCTTTGTGGAGAGGCAGCATCGTCCACACGATGCACGGGACCTCTGCTGCACTATTTTTTAAATCTAGTGAAGGAATCAATCATCAACAGGCCAACACTACAAAGTAGAGAAGATGACCTGGCGACGTAACGTGAGACTGTGGCTGAACAATTCTCTCGGTGGTCAAAATTCAGAACTATTATTACTTCAAACAAAGCCACGCAAGGTTTGTGATCACTCAATCAAGCTCTGCATGACTCGACTTTGCAGTCCCGCGGTACTGATTTAGTGCAGGAGCTAGGAGGCCGAGCGCGAGGCCGTTCGCCTCGCGAGTGCTCTGCTCGAGTGGAATCTGTGCTTGCTCGCATGGCATGATGATGCTGGCTCCATTTTCAATCACCATGGCCACCTCCTTGGTGCACGTGACAGCTGCATGACACATACTACTATTACTATGGTGTGCATGTGCATATGCATGCATGCAATGCATGGCCGGCTAGGGCTCGGGCCCAGGGATCCCCGGGATCCCCACTCGGCCCTGGCCCGGGAGTCATGTCGATCAGAAAAAATGCCAGGGATGATTTATGTAGCGACCAAAAGTTTTCGTTTTTGTTTGGAAGAGAGTGATCTTTTTTTGAAGCTATTCCCTTTGTCCGGTTTAAATTTCCTTGCTTCATCCTTCCACAATGGCTCCTCCATCCGGAAAACGTGTGTGGAAGGCTCCTTTCACAATTTCAAAAATGGAAGTGAAGGACGTTCGATTCCCAACGTCGAAAGGAAAGCATGGATCAGATGCTATGGTGAGACAGTGAAATTTGACATCATACATGCAGTTGTCTAATGTTAATATTTTTAGTTGATCTGTAGTAAATTTAGCTTACTCGTACTCCACCGCATCATATAGCCCGCTGTTGGCCGACCCACACAACTTGCATATCACCAACACAGCAAGCACTGGTGTTATTTTTTTGAAATTAAAACAAAATCTGAATATGAATTGTAGAATTACAATATTCACTGAGTCACTGCTTCCCTCCAAATCATTCCAGCCTAGGGTATTGGGAGCTTCTAGAATGTAACATGCATGTACATGCACTGGACATAGTATTCATAAATCGTGGATGATGGTTGCCATGTAGCCAAGCTTGGGAACATCATATGCACACACACCCGCATACACACACACACACAGACACGCACACATACACACACACACACACACACACACGCATACACACACATGCGCACACACACACGAACACACTCAGACATGCCCATCGCGGAAGTGATGATAGCGAACAGCTATGTAAGACATAGCAACTTGTGCTGGGATTACACCATTCAACAGTTTGCAAGGCTGATGAATTGACCGCCACTAATTTTAGCCTGGTATCCACCACACAGCCGATTGAAGTGGCTTTTTTTCTGGCCAGTGAATCCCTACACACACACATACGCACAAACACACTCATACTCACGCTCATACTCTTGCCCATCGCTGAAGCGATGATAGCGATCAAGCTATGTTAGATAGCAACTTGTCCTGGGATTACACCATTCAACAGGGTCGCGAGGCTGATAAATTGACCACCACTAAGTTTAGCCTGGTCTACACCACACGGCTGGTTGAAGTCACTTTTTCTGGCCGGTAAATCCCCATTAATTTTTTCATTTTTTTCCCCTAGCACACACACACACCTACATACACCTACGGTCAAACACGCATACACATAGAGACGGCGGGGGGGGGGGGGGGGGGTGCAGAGGTGTGCCGGATGGTAGCACCCGCTCTAATAAACTTCAGAGATGTGGGTTATGTGGCATACCTGGCGCTCGCCATAGTATAGCACAAAGTTCAGTGGTGTCAGCTTAGTGACAAGGAAGAGTAGCCCTTGCCCTATCCAGAAATGGTTAAGCTACAGTGTAATAGGTGTGACAATAACCAAGTGCTGACTGTACAGTCAGACCTCGCATAACCGCACACATCCGTTTTCCACAAAAATATCCGGATAGGCGAGGGAACCGGATAATCGAACACACATACTGTATGTAAGCATGGCATATGCTGTACATTTGTAACCAACTATTTTTCTTCCGAATGGCGAGGGATCCGGATAAACGAGGACCGGATAAGCGAGGTCTGACTGTATTGGCTGCAGCATGGCAGAATATGTACACAGTTCTTTTGTGCTGAATGCTACTCGTAATTCTGTCACAAATCTTTGTTTTACGCCCACACAAGCACATACCGTTGTGTGTGCATCTCACCTGTGGTGATACTGTTAGCAACTGGCTGCTTGTCACTGCCAGCTCTCTGTATCATAGTTATACCACTGTGCACCACTGGATTCTGTCTTTCCCATCACCACTTGTTCACGACTGGGCATGCCGAGATTTTTTCTTAGAGACCATAGGGTACTTGTGCATCATCGTATGGATCTATGTATAGTGAACACCGGTTTATCAGTTGATGGCCCGTAGCTATGGTTTCGTGTTTATGTTCTCTTATCTTCGTGTCGTAGCACAAGGACCCGGATTACTCCGCGGCGTACGTCGTCCTTCACGCCGAGGGCACAGAGCTGAAGGGGCACGGCTTTACCTTCACTCTCGGGCAAGGCACTGATATTGGTATGCTCCCTACACGTCACATATCTCCCTGAGCCTCTACCCATCAAACAGCCACGAGTCCACATTTTAAAATTCTCCCAATCACTATGGCTGTTTACTTATTGTGCTACAGATACAACTAGTACAGTGCTACATTTTCACGAATAAACACACTAGAGGGTTAGTATTTCAACCCCACGTGTTCTGGGTGTAGTACAGAACGGTATGCATGATATTAGTCATATTACATTTACCCACTCTTGAACAATATCTGGGAGAATCCGAGATTTTTCGAACAGTATCTCGGACATTTGTTCCAGAGCACAGTTTGTGTGTGTGTGTGTGTGTGTGTGTGTGTGTGTGTGTGCGTGTGTGTGTGTGTGTGTGTGTATCGGTGTGTGTGTGTCTTTGTCTGTTTGTCTGTCTGTGTGCATGTGTGCGTGTGATTAGACTTTGTTTGGGATAGATTTTTCTATATTCCTGTAAATTCAGACGTGTTCTTTTTTTCCTTTCTGGTTGGTTTTGCAACTCTAGTTACCACTGCCGTGCGCGGTCTGGAGCAGTTTGTAGTGGGCCGTCGCCTGGAGAATATCTACAATGCATTCGGTGCTTATTGGCGCGAGCTGACAAGCCACAGCCAGCTGAGATGGGTAGGTTGGTGCCCCAGAGCATTGTGAATGTTACGTACTGCTAGAAGTAGAAGTGATGACTTTTGGATAAGCGGTTGTCTTTGTATGTGTGCATTTGTATTTATGGATTCTCCACTGGCCTTGGCCTAAGTCGGGGGAGTCTCCATCTTTCACTTGAGTTGTATTGAAATGGTGGTACCTGTACTTAAATTACTCTCATCCTAATCGTTCTGCTCCCTATCTTTTTGCTGTTGCTCTCCCATGATGTATTAGATTGGACCAGAGAAAGGTGTCATCCATCTTGCCACTGCCGCTGTCATCAACGCACTCTGGGATTTCTGGGCAAAGATTGAGGGCAAGGTGAGTTTACTGTGTACACGGTACACTGTGCACTGTCACACACTTGAGATATAACCTGCACATGAGCACCACTGTGTACATGTGCATGTTCGTGTAGGTGCTAGGAGTTGAAATTGCACACCAGAAGTAGTCTGTTGTCACGTGCTTGTCAGAAATGAACTCCGATTGTTGCTTTGGTGAGCTGTGTGATGTTGGTGAAGGTGGTGATCTGCACATGAAGGGCAGCCTGCCTGGAGGATGTTTGAATGTTCATTGATCTTGTTGAGTAGATGCGCTTTGCCCGTCGTGCCATAGTGGTATCGATTTTAACTCGTACAGTATTCTGTTGCTGTGCTTGCTCTTGTTATCACCTGTTTAGCCGGTTTGGGAGCTTCTCTCCTGCATGGTACGTACTGTGTAGATTTGCTAGTGATGTCCGTGCAATTCGCTGGTGTGGTCTTTGTGGCATTGTGTGTCATATACGCTGTATTAGTTACCAGTCGTATGTAGAAACCAAAGTCTTTTCTGGCATGAGAGCTCCGTTCGAATCAAGTTTTCATTCCGAACAGCTACCTGTAATTGCATTTTTGAAGTCAACGAATAATCAGACTTGTCAGTTGTCACTTAGTAATGACTCCCATGTGTTGACATATGCGAATGGGAAGTTAGGAGATGAGTCGATGACTGATTTATTCACCTCCATGTCCGCTTTTACCATATTCGACGCCAGCTTACAGAGATAGGTGAGAATAATAGTGCTTGAATCTTGGGATACATGTACCTGTGCCCAGGCAATAGTCATACCCATTTTCTGTATGTGCTGCGCATGTGTGTGTGTGTGTGTGTGTGTGTGTGTGTGTGTGTGTGTGTGTGTGTGTGTGTGTGTGTGTGTGTGTGTGTGTGTGTGTGTGTGTGTTACAGAGCCCTGAGGAGATTGTCTCTCTTATTGACTTCCGTTACCTGTAAGTTACTGTCACTGTTCCTATTGGTCAGCTTCCTCCCAACTCACCTCATACTCTCTGCATACGGCTCACCTCACACTCTCTGCAAGCAACTCACCTCACGTTGAACGGTTCTCTGTGGACAATTTTCTGAGCAGTAGTGTGATCAATAGCACACATTATATGAAGCTATTTGACTCATTTCTACGGTTGCAATATTAGGGTTTTTTTTGTATGTTTTCAAAACGAAAAGTTTCAGTATTTTTCAACCCCCACCCACCCACCCTTTCTGCAGGTAAAACGAATGTCAGCGAAATATTAAAATAGCTTGCATCTCTTTTCTAACAGGAGACTTGTTGATTTGACCGTTGGAAACTTGTTTTTGGGTTTTTTTTCCAGAACGGACACGATCACACCAGAAGAGGCAGTTGGTTAGTAAAGTGTTGTGATGTACTGTGTGTAGTTGATTTTCTCATATTTCTGCCTCAACAGTAAAACTCTTTGAATTCTTGTTTGACTTCAGGTACGAAACTAGTTAGTTACCGGTAGATGGAGTCAGCGCCAGAGGCCTGCTCTCGAGGTCTTTATTTTATTTTCGTTTGTAGGGACTTTGAGTAGCTATTCACATTTCATGTTTACTTTGAAGGAATTGTGAACTGCCCGCGATGTATCTACTTGTACATGTATGTTACTACATGTCTTCATCATGCACGTGTATCCCCTGTGCTGCAGAACTGCTTCGTTCAAAGTGGTCGGATGAAGAGGCACGCAAGAAGAGAAGTGAGTTTGTTCCTCTTGGTCCATGCTCCATTCTCTCCTCTTTGCTAAGTTCCAGTGTAAAGTTGCTTACATGTGTGCCTGTCTCTCTCTCCCTCTCTCTATCTATCTATCTCTCTCTCTCTCCCTCCCTCCCTCCCTCCCTCCTCTTTCTCACATCCATACACGCGTGCTATATCCATGTGTTTTCCTTCTTTCGTTCACTCATCGCTGTTGGTTGCCATGAGCGTTCCCTGCATGCTCACACCGGCACTCACAGTGAATACACAGAATTTGCTTTCATTATGCTGCTCCCAGGCAAACCCGGTCGCACATTCCCATTTGGGGGTCATGACTGTGTTTATACACAAGAGAAAGGACCAAGGAACTACAAGTTACGCTATAATGTCCTCTAGCACCATCAGTTACTAAACTTGTAGTTCCTTGGTCCTTTTTCTTTCTTACTTCGTATCTTCCTTCATGTAAAACATGATCAAGATGTTGACACTGTTTTTCCTCCCCGTATTGCTCTTTTTCTTCTTCTTTCTTCTTAAATTCAGAATCCATCTTCACTCCTCACCAACATCCTCATTATGACACTATATCCAGCATGATATCTACTTTATATAACCAGGGAGAGTAGAAGAGAGAGTTTGAGAGAAGTCAGCACTGCCACTAGGAAGCCGCTCCGCCACGACGCCGTCCACGATTGCAATTGTGTCGCCGAAAGCCAGGAGCAGATTTAAAACAGCGATCACAGGTAGCGCAGTGCTGGTTGCAACACGGATGGCTTGTGATTGGTATGCGCTGGGGTATGGGCGGTGATGCCGGGGCGGCTTGTTTGCTGCTACTCATCAGGCTTGATGATTGCGAAAGCATGAAACTCTGAGTAGCAGCGAACAAGCCTTGATTGCCCTTGTTGTTCTGTATGTAATAGGTTAAAAGCCAGCAATGAGTTGTGAAAACAGTGATAACAAACTCATACGGGTCACATTGTCAGCCAAATTTGCCTATTCTCTCTCAGCCTTGACTACCATCAGCAGTGCCTTCTGAAACTACTATCACACAACAATGGCACATAACTGCATCGTGCAGCATTTCCAAGCCACTGCAGCTTACGGGTTCCAACAGCCTCCCTATTTGGTGAACACCATAGTCATGTAGATAGGCAGTCTATTCTAGGTTGACCAGGGCCAAAAGCACCACTGTGAATTATTCCCCAAGCGATGCAAAGATCTTACGTAGTAGTGGCTGGCGTAGCCTGGGTCCACAGTGCTTTGAAAAAGTGTGTGTGTGTGTGTTTTCCTAGCATGTTCACATGTCACGTGACTGGTTGTAGGTGACAATGGGCCGGTGGGCAGGCGCGGTGGGCTGTCACATATACCATGTGACTGCTCACTGGCTCAGCTAGCTCCGCCGAATGACTTGTTCGTGTGAGGACCTAGTAGGTGAAGAACGAGCATAGCGAGAGTCCTGAGCTGGCTCTCTCTTTACTGCTATGTGTACAACTGTACATGCAGTACAGTAAAACCTGTGTTTGCCAAACCCTGTACCGAGCGGAATCCTGCGTTGGACAAATTGTCATGCACCAAAAAAGTGCTGTGGATTGAGCTTGCATCCCTGCATCAAGCGGAATCCTGTCATATCAGGACAGTTTCTGTTGGACCAACAGCATCCTGTTAGGGCAGTTTTTACTGTCGATACATTCTGCATGTAGTGTGCTGTATTGGTCGTGGTACTAGTGTAGTGCATGTACGCTTGCTCCCTGTGCTCTTGCTTTGTAGCGCTGTCTTGAGGCATTGAAGGCCGGATTCACTCGCTTCAAGGTGAAGGTTGGACAAAATGTGGAGGACGATAGACGACGCTGCGCCGCCATCCGTGACATCATTGGCTACGACAAACCCCTGGTGCGTGGTGATACGTGTGTGTGCGTAACCATGTGTGTGTGTGTGCGTGCGCGCGCGTGTGTGTGGGCGTAGCCGTATGTGTATGTGGGGGGGGGGGGGGGGGGGGAGGGCAGTGTTCAATTTCATGTGCTGTGTGCGTGTGTGCCGTAGGTATGCAGCGCACGCTTACTTGCTTACTTGTTGTTTTCCCCTATATACAAGTTCAAGAACAGTCTGTCCGGTGGGGGCTGTGTGCTGGCCGAGCATCTTGTTTCTTGTGTTGTTTTCCTTCGCCTTGTCACAAGTAGTGGTGCGTCCCGTCATTATGTCTCCCCCTCCCCCTCCCGTCCATGTACTGCTGTGAAAGCATGTGTTTGCACATGACTCTGTGTGTTGTCACTGTACAGATGACAGATGCCAATCAAGTATGGGACGTGAAGGAAGCCATCACCCACATGGCACAGGTGAGCATGTGCACCATCAATTGTGATGCTGGCATCCTCGCAGGCGCATTGTGAAGTCCTCTTCATGCTCTTGCGCCTATTGTGTATAAACTATAAACCTCTGTTTGTATCTCACCTCTCTCTCATCAGCTGGCCAAATAAACCTCTGTTTGTTTGTATCTCACCTGTCTCTTCAGCTGGCCGAGTATAAACCTCTGTTCATCGAAGAGCCTACCTCTCCCGACGATATCCATGCCCATTTGACTATCCGCAAGGTTAGTATTTGACATGTTTGATTGCTGGATGCAATGTATTCACTGACTGTGAATAGCTACTGCTACAGTGTTTTCTCTCCCCCCCCCCCCCCACACACACACACAAACCGGCACGGCAGCAGGACCAGCTCACATGCTAGCTCTCAGCTTAACCAACACTGCAATGTAGGATGTAGGTGGAAGATCTAAGGGTCGTGTTCACTGTAGCATTTTTTACCCTCCACCGAATGTTACTTTTCTATATTCTGTGTGCATGCCGCAGTGGTTAATCCAATCCCTGTTCTACTTACCCCTCTCTCTCTCTCTCTCTCTCTCTCTCTCTCTCTCTCTCTCTCTCTCTCTCTCTCTCTCTCTCTCTCTCTCTCTCTCCCTCCCTATTTCCCTCTTGTTGACAGGCGCTTTCTGCGTACGGTATCAAGGTAGCCACTGGCGAGCAGTGCTGCAACCGTGTCATGTTCAAGCAGTTCCTGGAGGCACGTGCGTTTGACGTGTGCCAGATTGACAGCTGCAGAATCGGCGGCGTCAATGAAATCCTCTCCGTCATTCTTATGGCCGGCAAATTTGGAGGTGGGTCCTTACTAAGACGGTGTGAAGGGCATCTACTCATGGCTTGCCGTTTAGCAACACTTGCTAACAAGTGACGGTGCTTGGTCCGTATTCAAATTGTAATCTGAATTACCGTGTGACGTGAATGAAGCATGCACTCGTGCTCAAGGCTCCGGTTATCATTTTATGGTGTTATATAGTGTATGTGGGTGGGTCTGGACGGGTGAAAGCCATTCGCAAGGACTGTGTCATTCTGCGTTTTGATATTCTGAGTACATCAAGAGTAACACACGACTGTATATCCTGATAGTCACAGTGGACATTTTCAAATTTCATGTACTGAAACGCACTGTTCAGCTAGCATGGTTACTTCTTCGAAGTACTTTTAAAAATCAGGACCTCTATGCGTCATCATTGCCACTCACCGTACCTTTCTCAGCTGCTGTGTGCCTTTGTGCACTGTTTGTTGTGCTGTATTCCAAGCACTGTTTGTTGTGCTGTATGCCAAGCACTATTTGTTGTGCTGTATGCCAAGCACTGTTTGCTGTGCTGTACCGGTGTGTCGACTGCAGTGCCCGTGTGCCCCCATGCTGGTGGTGTTGGACTGTGTGAGCTGGTACAGCACTTGGCCATGTTCGACTTTGTTGCTGTCAGTGGAACACTGGAGAATAGGTGAGAAGAACGGATGGCTACACGCTTTCCTGTGTGTGTGTGTGTGCGTGTGTGTGTGTGTGCACCCGTGTGTGTGTGTGTGTGCACCCGTGTGTGTGTGTGTGCACCCGTGTGTGTGTGTGTGTGCACCCGTGTGTGTGTGTGTGCACCCGTGTGTGTGTGTGTGTGTGTGTGTGTGTGCACCCGTGTGTGCATCCGTGTGTGCACCTGTGTGTGATCATGTTTGGATATGAGTGCCAGTGTTGGCATGTTTGCATACGTGTGCTGGCATGAGAGCCTTTAAAAAAGGAACCCCCAACCTCTGACCCACATTGGTACAGTGGACGTGCATGGTTAGTTTTCATGTACATGTAGCTCAGAACGTGTGTACGTATGTGTGTGTGTGTGTGTGTGTGTGTGTGTGTGTGTGTGTGTGTGTGTGTGTGTGTGTGTGTGTGTGTGTGTGTGTGTGTGTGTGTGTGTGTGTGTGTGTGTGTGTGTGTGTGTGTGTGTGTGTGTGTGTGTGTGTGTGTGTGTGTGTGTGTGTGTGTGTGTGTGTGTGTGTGTGTGTGTGTGTGTGTGTGTGTGTGTGTGTGTGTGTGTGTGTGTGTGTGTGTGTGTGTGTGTGTGTGTGTGTGTGTGTGTGTGTGTGTGTGTGTGTGTGTGTGTGTGTGTGTGTGTGTGTGTGTGTGTGTGTGTGTGTGTGTGTGTGTGTGTGTGTGTGTGTGTGTGTGTGTGTGTGTGTGTGTGTGTGTGTGTGTGTGTGTGTGTGTGTGTGTGTGTGTGTGTGTGTGTGTGTGTGTGTGTGTGTGTGTGTGTGTGTGTGTGTGTGTGTGTGTGTGTGTGTGTGTGTGTGTGTGTGTGTGTGTGTGTGTGTGTGTGTGTGTGTGTGTGTGTGTGTGTGTGTGTGTGTGTGTGTGTGTGTGTGTGTGTGTGTGTGTGTGTGTGTGTGTGTGTGTGCATGCGAATATGCACATTGTGTGTATGTTTGCAGGTTCATTGAATTTGTCGACCATCTTCACGAGCACTTCTTGGACCCAGTCAACATCACCAATGGTCATTATATCGCCCCAACTGTAAGTCTTAGTGTAGTGTAGAAGTACAGCTTTGGGGCGAGTAGCACATGCACAGTGTATGTGCTTCATGCTGCTGAAGTTGTAAAATAAGGACATAAGAGTCAGTTTATTGGATAAAAAACTTTACCGTAGAATCCCGCGGATAAGCCCATGGGCTTATCTGTTTCGGGGGGTTAAGGACATTTCGGTGGGCTTATACGAGAACATTGGCTTATATGCGGGCATGGGCTTATACGCCGACACCAAGTTGTGCTATTGAAAAGTATCAAGGAAGTGAGAAGTACATTGCTGAAAACCACTGTGCAAACAAAAACAACCGATGATTGTGCTGAAATGTACGAAAAATACTATAATGTGCATGTACTACGTACATGGTATGGCCAAGAGTCCATAATTTATGGACTCTCGGTATGACCTAGGCCCATGGGCTTGTACGATGAAGCTTTGTGATGTTCAAACAAACCCTGGGCTTATGCGCGGGCATGGGCTTATACGCGGGTGGGCTTATACGCGGGATTCTACGGTAGTCCCGGCAATCATCAGGTGGCAGTCTGGTATTGCGATGTGTGGATGTACTTCTAATTCTGGAGTACAGACAATATCAAGTACATGTCATAGATTTTAACTATGCTTTGTTGGCTTTAAACACATTGTCAACTAGTACAGTCAAACCTCGTTAGGACGAACACTGGTAAGGCGAACTTTCCATTAGTACGAACTAGGGCCAATCCTATGGTCGGCCAGGTATCAATTCAAGTCACAATTATTCGTTTACGACTAACTTCTGTACAGCGAACTTTCGCGAAGTCGAACTATTTTCAAGTGTGATTTGAACAAAGTCAGTGTGGTCATGTACATGTAGTACAAACTTTCGGTCCACGAGCGTGCGCTGGCTGCCTTTTTCTTCTTTTTTCAGTAGTCGAGGCCATATTGTACGTACAGTGCAAATTGTTTTCAAGTGTGTTTTGAACAAAATCAGCACGTTGTACGAACTTTCGGCACAGTCGTGATCCCTTGCACATTGTCATTGTACTTACCTAGTACCTGTTTCTGCCATTCTGGCTTATGCTAAGAATAAAATGCTTCCCATGCCCATGTACCACAGCATGCACCTTCACATAAATACAATCCGTATGATATGCATATCGATTTTTTGTCAGATCTGGATAAGAAGAACTCCCGATAAGACGAACAAATTTGTTCGTTCCCTTGAAGTTCGTCCTAACGAGGTTTGACTGTATCACGTACATGGCCCCAAGCAGCTTATGTGGTGAGGCGGTAGACCCCTGCAGCGGACAGGTTGCAGGCAGGAACACATTATCCTTCCTATAGTGTGTCCTCCACTTTGCTCCCCGCATTACCTGTCCGAGATGTTCGTACTGGTGCGAATAGTACAGCTCGCTCGTTTCAAAAGGAACCCCCTTGGGGAATTGGGCCGAGAAAAAACATTATTGTTTGCCATTTCTGAGGTTTGTCATGTCCCAAAACTTACAGAAATCGAAAAATCATGCAGTTTGTCAGGAAATCACTTCTTTATTGCTTGAGAAATGGAGAGAGGCTGTACACTGACTGATTGTAGGCTTTTTGTAGCACAGGACAGGTTGCATGGTCTGGACATCCACTCGATGGCATACAGGCCACGATGGCTAGGACGCAGTCAACATTTGATTGTACCTGAAATGCAAGGAGGCGAGGGTTGACGATGTTCGTAGATGCTGCGCTCATGTCGGAAAGTTCCGTTGAAAGGAGGTTGGAAAGTCCACTTGTCCGCTGCGAAACGTTCGCCTTAGCATGTACGCAGACAAACTGAGGACTTCTTTGTGTACACGACCGAGATCCCAGAAGCAGGCGGCGCTGACAGTTGAGCCAGCCTGCCTGTTATCAAGCACAGGCTGGAGTTGCACATGTGATCACCCCCTTAAAACAGGGGCAAGTTTCGTTCATGCATCCTACTTTCTTGTTTGGAACAGTTGGGACTTCGTGTGTGTTTTGTACTGCTTTCATTGTGAACACAGTTGCCTGGTTACAGTGCTGAGATGAAGCCACAATCACTGGACGATTACGAATATGGCAAGGGATGCATGTGGACCACACAGCAATAAGGTGGTGTGGATGCTTATTTTGGATTGATTTCAACAGGGACATTTTTAGGAAACGTTTTATAATTGGCAGTTTTAACGATAATCATTTTCATGCTTCTCTTTCTTATTCTGAGGGGTCTCTCGTCTCTCTGTATTAACTCATACCTGGATTTTGTCAAATTAATTTAAGTAATCTTGAGGAATGTATTTCTCATGGTATATTTCTTACTCATGAAAGAACAAATGGAATGGAATGGTTATGGAAATTTGAACACTGCCCAGAGTTGATGGCAGGAATGCATGTCTAAAAAGAAGTATCTCTCTCGCGTTGCATTAAGTAATGCTAAAACAGAAAACGTCTTTGTCAACAAATGGAATAGATATTAATTAAGATCAAGAATCTCCTCATGTAACTTATATGCCATGTTGTTATAGTTCAAGTAGATCAGAGCTGCTCAAGATGTAGAGGGGTATGCTGGGTGTTGGTCAGCTCCATCTGTACAATAGTCTCAACTAAAGGTCGCAGTAGGCTGCAGAGCAGCTCAGGCTGCAGCTGCAGTAGAAGACTTTTCACATCGTAGTGGTCATGCCGAAAATCGAGTCATAAGTCAGTCACCTTGAACTGGTTTGCTTTCGGTTTGATGTTGTGCCAGACGGTAAAGGTCTCGTTCGGCGTGTACATGGCATCCAGCCACTGACTCACTTCCGGACCTGACGTTGCATTGAGCCGTACACAGCCTGTATGGATCAACAAACAAGCAAAGCTTGAGCTTACACATTTGAATAAACCCATGGTTTATTTGAAACTGTGATAAGACTAGAGTAATACTTGGCGTGCCGGATTCTCGGCAGTACATTTGTGTCTTTAGAAATGTTAAGTTCTATTTAACCCTTTACCATCCCTGCGTACTTGAATCGATCTCTAGAGATCGATGGACATGCATACACTAAAACTCGATCGATTCTTGGCAGAATAAAAAAAAACTTCAGCTTTCCATTGCAGCAATCAGTGAAGAGCTGGGATGTCGCATTCCAAAGATATTACGCTCGACATTTCAGCCACGGCAAAAGTCGAATTTCTTTCCGAGTGACTGACCTTGAGCGGGGAATTTCCACTCTCCTGACATGCTGAGTCACTATGGCATACTTTCAGCGCGTGGGCAGCATGAAAAGAAACTCAAAGCAAAAAAATTGGAATGTTTACGATGAAGGAGCGAGAAATGGTTGGCGAGGAGAGAATTTCCTCGTATATTCAGCGATGGGGTGTAATTGAAGCTCCCTGGCGCTGGATATGTGATCTCGGTAGAGTCCTGTTCTAGTTCAGTACGCAGCTCGTGGAGAGCTTTCCAGAATGCCCAAGATTGTGAAAATTGATTGATTAGAACCTAAGATATTCTCCGAATAAGGTGAGAAATATTGCATTTAGGACTGCTGGGGAATATTGGTCGGATGGCAAAAGGTTAAAATAGTCAGAGTCTGTTCTGTCCAAGATCACGGCAAGATGCTTGAAACTAAGGACGGCCTGTTAATTCAAAACTGCAAATCAATAAAGAAATCGTGAACAACACAAGGTCAAACTTGAAAACGGGCGCTGAGCGGAGCCATTACAGTTTGCGACCGGATTTTTCTCTTTTATTTCAGCGTGGAATGTGTATTTAAGGTAACAATTTAACATTAGCTGAGACATACGTTGCTGCTTTGTGTTGCAGATGTGCTGATTGAGCAAGAAGTGACTGATGGCTTTCTAGTGTTTTAACTTTTGAACTTTTTGCACCATGAACTGACCTATCAAGGAGTTACGTGTAGCGTAGTTGTAGTCCCACACGCTGATATCTAGCGTACTGGCCATCAACCTGCGGGCATCCACGCCGTACACAAACGTCTGCAGAACAGGATTTAGAACAAGAGATACAGTGCTCTGACTGCTACGTACCACCAGAGTGGTGATTGTGAGCCGACGGGCAGGCTGATTACAGTGAGCAACTTACGAGCGTAGATTGCTCAGATTGGCCGATCTGTGTGTGGTCACAACTCCACGTGAAGTACTTCAGTAGTTGGCTCTGGCTGGTTTAGCTTTGGTCTTCATTGGCACCACTCAGCTGTGCATGCCTTATGGCTGCTTACACATGATGGAAATCGGATATGTGAGAACGAACCTGAGATGGGATTGCACGCTACGCTGACAGGAGGGAGTATGGCACCTGTGAGTGCCATGTATTGGACTGTGTTCTGACGTGGGAGTTGGGACTGTAGCTTTACCTAGAAACCAGAAGTTGCTACATCTAGGTATGTCATGTCATCTACATGTCCCGGTGTAGAATAGTGTGATGGGTAACACCACCAGCAGCAGCAGCTCACCTCGTTAAATTCTGGGTTGACGGTACGCTTCAGGATTGTTGTGCGGCGCTTGGATGACCTGCCTGGATCAGGTAGAAGGTAGCTGGGTGGCAGCAATACAGGAAAAATACACCAGAGTTTGGCTAAGAATTAAATTACAGAGCGTGATGCAGGGAAGTTAGTATTGATTTTAGGGCAATTTCGCACCGCACACAGGCTCATAATCACCGAACCTATGATAACAGTTGCACTCACTGGGGTTATTGACTTGTCATCCCTCGTAATGTAATCAGCACCGTGTGTGCATTCAAGGTGCGAGTTCGGCAAGTACAGTGTCACCTGGTCAATGGAATCAATTGAGATTTTTTTAATTATACTCTCATCTCACCATTTAACATAGGGATCACACGATCGCGAGAGAATATCAACCGCTGGAAGTCCTGCAGCACGTACTATTCCAACTCTCAGCTCTTTGTCATCGGCCTTGTAGCAGATAGAGACAAGCAGCTTGCCGAGGCCAGTGTTTTGAACATGTAGTGAAGTGGCAATGATGGATTCTGCACGCAACTTTACAGACAGGCGGGCAGGTGGACAGACAGACACACAGAAAGTGAGCACATGTACATGCAAGCATGTGCACACACACACACACACACACACACGCACACACACCAAAAGAGAGGGGGGGGGGCATATCGATCATTAAGAGTGCAATCGATAATCGTTAGTGTTCAAAACGAGCGCTAACGATCTATTATGCATGCATATCAGTGACAGCATTCTAGCCCTTGCACAGTGAATACGAGTACAATCATGTACTTCCAAGCGCGGTAAAATTGATTTGTGGCTTTGAAAGAGATCGGGAGAGAAGACTTTGTCTTTTTGGTTCATTTGTGTGAGAGGTTGGAGATAAGAGCAATTGCCAGAGGGTGATTACAAGATTCTTTGCTTTAGAAACAACATGAAATTCTCTAGTTCATGTTGATAAAACCAGCCAGATTTCCACAGATGTCAATAGTGCAGTGCCACAAATTTCTAATGTGCCAAAGGCATCATGGAATTTCTTCATAAACTGGTGTGCGAGGTACACGAGTAGAGCCGACAAGAATCGATAAAACCAATATATTGATCGTTAATGATATTGGTTGATCGTTTGGAGTTATTGAATGATCGTTTCAGCCCAAGAATTAACACAGGTGCACTTTGTTTTAGCTCACCATAACACATGTATCGATGTCTTAGTCTACACGGCAGCAACAGATGGAACATTTCGGTCATTCTTTACATCTTCATATTGGGTACAATGAAATATTTTTTTAAGCATTTGAAATGCAAAGAGATTAGGATTCAGTGTGGTGATTTGTGTAGTGATTTGTGGATCGGAAAACAAATCCAATGCCTAGATCTAAGTGCCTGCGGTGTAAAGTCCGTAGAGAAAGTTTATTTTAATCATTTTATACAGTTGATGGACAAGCCGCTGGTTAGCCACTCTTGCTGTGTCAGTGAATATAATTCTTTTTCTTACACCAAGATTGATACAAAGCAACCAAGCTAATAGGTGTTTCGATGCTTTTCCAGACCTTTCGTTGTTCTGAACAGCATTGTCGGTGGATAAAGAATGGCGGAAACCGAATTACATTCAGTGTGTGATGGTGGTACTGTTCAACAATCTAATCCAGGCCTGGTCCTTACCCTTGGTGCCAGCTCCAGCTCCCGACAGTACGTCATCAGCACATCGTTCTGCAGGCTACACATTCGGAACACCACCTCACCGAGAAAGTCGTTCGTCGTCAGCGTGTCGTAATCGTACACGATTAGTCTGCATTGGCAGCGATTGCATGCAGCAAAAAAAAATCAGTGCCTTGTATTTCAAAGTAGTGTTTGGGGTGTTCACGGTTTTGCAAGTGATACGGGATTATGCTGAGGAATTGGGGGAAGGGGGGGGGGGGGGTGCTATAGTGCGTTTCAAAAGACCTCTTTGAGAAATTTCTTCGGAATATTGCTCAGGCAGCTCAAGCAAATTTTTCTCATAAAATTTTCTAAGCGATTGGATAACAAACGCCCAATTTCAGAAATGTTATGTACACAAAGTGATCACAGATTTTACGTGGTATAGATGCTGGCCGAACGGTTTTGTGAAACCAGAGGTCTGGACTTTTGAAACGCACTATAGTGCTTCTAGTGTCTACATCACATGTACAAACTTACCTTAGGATCAAGTGATGAACTTCATCTTTCTCTATTCCATAGTAGACGAAGGACTCATCGTACTCCGGATTGAGAGTTCGCTTCTTCACGCTTGTCTCGTACTTTGATGGCCGGCTCGACTGTCACACAGAATGCAAACAGCATGCAAATAAAGTCTCCTTGTTATGGCAGTTGTTGCAGTTTTGTGAACATCTCTCCAGACAGTATTTGTTCCTTCAATAGTCAATACTATCACTTTCTTCACCCTACATTGCATACTGGCTGAGGAGTACTGCAATCCCGATAAACCCTATCCTTTGTCACATAGTGCCGGCACAGCTACCCCAAAGCTGTGTTGTATGAGCATCAATAGTCAGCTGGCGGGGGGGGGGGGGGGGGGGGGCAGTCTAACACCCGCTGCATCTTGCACACTGTTCTACTGGATGATGTGCTCAACGCGATGACTACATCAAGCATTGTTAGTTTTTGCCGTCGGCGAGACAAACAGCAGACCTATCGACGAGGAATTGCATAGACATTGGTGAAAGGAGAGTGGGGACACTGTGCTGCAATAAATAAAAGGATCGACTCTTGATTGTGTCAGTCGTCAATACCTTGTTGTGGTGGGGAAGAAGTTGCAACTTGACGAAAGGATCTGATGTACCATGAAAATCCATAGCAATGAGGTCCTGCAGGAGTCAAGAGCACACAGGGTGTTCACAAGTACATCTTCTGATTAGACTGGGTGCTTTGAAGCAACATAGAGAGAGGGGGGGGGGGGGGGGGAGAGAGACCCATTGTCTTCACTGCATTACAACGGGGGCATGACCACTAAAACTGTTCTTTTGGATATAGTCGTTTCTCAGTAGGTTGCTGTTCCCTATGTGGTGTGGTAGTAGCGTGGCCTGCGTATCCACTGCCAGCTACATGCCTCTGTGAATGGCGAGCTCCAAGTAAGTTCCGACCTAGCTGTAGAATTAAGCAATGGTGGTAATCTTTATGAGAGCAGTCAGCCAACAATACATACCTTGCAGCGGATTATAGTGATGTGCAGCTCATTTTCATAGCCCTTGTACAGAATGGAGAACTCCACATTGCCCAGGTCTGCACAGAGTGTGGAGGAAGAGAAGATGGTGCAAGATCAGCAGTCAAGGCGACAGTACGACCTCTCAACAAGAGCTAGTTGCATGCACATGTGGCTCAGCTTGTACCAGCAAAGAGTCTGTGCTACCCAACTAACGTTAATCCTTAGCTGTGCCCAAGGAGCGAACAGAAACAAAGGACGTACTGTGCAGGAACAGCCTGCACCGGCGGCATGCACACACATACAGGTTTCTGCACTGCCACCCAAACTTACCTCTTTTGGGTCCTTTCCTGGATGATCTGGACGCCTTCTTGCTGGTCTCGTGACCACCAAATACATCCAGGTCCGATTCATCTATAGGGGCTTGTCTTGAAGGGATCGGGCGCTGTGTAGATGCCTCCGCGCTAGCCATGCTAGCCTCAAGACCCTGGGCAGTTCCTGGCAGGTCTTCATCCGGTACAAGGACATGTGCTTGATTTCTCTTGATTAGATCTCTGTGCAGGCCAGCCCCATCAATGGGCAGCGACCCCATTCTTGTCAATCCCATTAGCTGCCTCTGGGGTGGCAAGGACTTGCGATTGCCACGGCCGGTCTCCACCAATCTACGCGGCTTGATCAGCTCACTTCCTGCCATCGAGTGGGCCTTTTGTCTGAAGCCTTCCACATCTTCACCAGTCCGCGTCAACGTGGCGGGCAGAACCACACTGGCGCCCCCTTCGGAATCATCCGGGTTTGTCCGGCTGAGGTTTCCACCAGGATAGGCACCCGACAACAGTCCTACCTGATCCAGAGCTGTCAGGCTGATGTGTTTGCTCAGACTGTCCTTGTCCGCACCGAGTCCGCGGTCACTGCCGTCACTCTCGTCCAGGCCACGAGCCGCCGGGTTGTGGTGAGCGGCGGCAACGGCGGTGGTGGCAGTGACCTTGTGTGCCATGTGCCGCATGGGCCGATTGCCAGTGGAGCTGGCGTTGCTGGCAGTGCTGCCGTTGCTACGCACGGACACGGACGGGTCAGTCGTGCGACGCCGCTCACTGACGCCTGGCGGGGATGTTGTTGCGTCTGTGCTTGCACAGCAAACAGCGGGCAATCCAACAGAGACACTCATGCATGACGGGTTGCAATACGCAGAGGCCAAACCACTCCAGCCAAGTGCATTACACTATTATACGGGCTGTCAAGTGTATAGGAGGTTATCATTGTGAGCAGCACCAGCAAAAACACGCACCGCTTTTTTTTATACTGTTCTTTCAATTTCTGACAATACAAACATTGCACCGACATAATTATCTTCATGCCCTCATGCCCAGTCATCTGGAGCTTCAAGATCGCACTGCTCCGAACTAGGAAGTAAACTCTTCAAAAGTCCAAAAGAATCACAATAGACTTGTAATTGGTAGTAACCGTGCACAGTACAATATCACAGTACAATATCACAGTACAACATCACGGTCTGGCCAGCATGGAGATCAGCGGTGTATCTAGTTGATCGGACCTGTAGATGATCGGATCTCGCCGATGGGTCAGTCGACAGTGTAGTGCATTGCACTATTCGAAAGCAAGCGAATTATTTCGTTTCACATACGAGCTTACAATGAATCGCTGAACCTCTGTTATCGATCTACTGCTTACCATACAGTTTGTTGCCTCGCTCTCGTCGCAGTGGTCGAGAGGTTTTTCGACCGAGGCTCGCCGATTTTTGAGCCAATACCACTGGGTGATCCAGGTGTTCTGCTGTGGACGACTTCTTCCTCCCCAGACCATGGCTGTGTCGGGATCTGGGCTTGGATAGCGGTGAAGTGGATGTCCGTTCGGGCGCGCTCTTGGCGTCGAAAAGCAACGGGGTCAATCGGCTGATTGTCTAGTTTCAGCACACAAGAAGAGCCGCAGTACGCAGTACACAGCATGTTAGAGACTGAAGTCATCACAACGAACAAGCAACATCAGGGTACTTGGAAGGGAAGTAAAATAATGGGCATGACACTAAATTGAAGGCCATCCAACGGATTTGTGTGACTGAACAAGACTTCTCTTGCTCCATTTCCATGCTGATTGTGTTTAAAAGGCGGTTGATCAGCGAGTCATGCCTGCGATGCTGCACCGCTGCTTTGCATGTCATGATTGGAAGCTGTGGCCTTAGTAAAAAAAGTGAAGCAACTCAAGGTTCAGCGGAAACTCTAACCATACATCCTCACACAATACTCTCCAACAAGCAGTCTCTACTCTCTAGGCTACACCAAACAATGAAATAGAATAAAGACATCCGTTTTTCCGATTTTTTGGGCCAGGCCCATTTCCAGGAATATGACTTTATTCTGTTTCATTGATGCGGCGTGTAGCCCAGAGATCGATTGGAGCGTATTGTGAGGATGTACGTATGTGTGGTTATAATGGAGGGCTACAGTGGAGTCGGCACACACTGAGAAATATACCTCCCTCATGCTGGCTTTTCACAAACAAGCATTTGGATAGTTGAAAGGAATCGGATATAACCAAGAACGAGTTTCACAGCAGATGGCAAAGAAACCAAGCAGGCATGTCTGATTGCATGCATTAGAATCATCTGTGTTTGGTCTACTAGTCTGTTGCAGTCCATGTATGACTGGCGGGTACCTCTTTGTCCACAGCATCATACGAAGGTAGGTTCTTGTAGAACCAGACACCACCCTTTCTCCACACCTAGCAAGTAGAACACACAACAGCAAGAAGACAATGAATGCAATTACCTCGAGACAGATACAGGATTTCATGCACTACTCAAGGCCGCGGGACCCCAATGACCATAGAGCCGAATGGCCAATGGGCTATGCGTGCCGGTATGATGACGACCATGATCATGATCATTGTTTGCATGCAATGAAGGCGGACGGCTGCAAGCAGCAGGTGTGCTGGACCACCTCCAAGAGTGTGCACGTGCCGTCATTTTAACATTCGGACACACACGTTGCAGGAGCAGTAGCGGAGATGCAATCCCCGAGAGATGAAGCAATCATTACCAGTATCCTCCATAGCACAGAAGAGAACTAAAGTGATGCAGTTGCTTTGTATCACTGACAATGCCGATTCAATGCAAGCAACTATACAAGTATCTTGGATTTGCCACTCACATCAATCAGCTTGCTACACAGCAGACACAGCCAGCGAGTATTGCCTTTGCGTGACTGAATTGATGCTATACACGAGGAATTCTGGCAGACACACTGCATTGCAACAAAACAAACAAAACAGCGCAAGTTACACACCTGGTGAAGTCTCCAGTGAAGTTACCTTACAAGTTAGTTTGCTTCGAAAATTATCACTATAGCACATTGGCACGGTTTAGCCCACACTCAACATTGCTAAAATGGGCAAGTAGAACAATCAATGAATTCAGACCTATCCATGCATACACTGGTGTTTAAGTCAGGGAGTAGTAAACATTGTACTACTACCGAGTAGCACATTTTTTTGTTGAGGCCCAAAGCAAGGAAAAGAAGGACCTTGGTGAAGGCTTCCCATCTCTCTTACAGCTAGAACCGTAACACTGTGCAGCACGTTGCATGGAGATTCATACCAGCGTCAACATTTACGAGGGGGAGGTGCCCCTTCCCACCCCTGTCTGGAGGTGCCCCTTCCCACCCCTGTCTGGAGGTGCCCCTTCCCACCCCTGTCTGGAGGTGCCCCTTCCCACCCCTGTCTGGAGGTGCCCCTTCCCACCCCTGTCTGGAGGTGCCCCTTCCCACCCCTGTCTGGAGGTGCCCCTTCCCACCCCTGTCTGGAGGTGCCCCTTCCCACCCCTGTCTGGAGGTGCCCCTTCCCACCCCTGTCTGGAGGTGCCCCTTCCCACCCCTGTCTGGAGGTGCCCCTTCCCACCCCTGTCTGGAGGTGCCCCTTCCCACCCCTGTCTGGAGGTGCCCCTTCCCACCCCTGTCTGGAGGTGCCCCTTCCCACCCCTGTCTGGAGGTGCCCCTTCCCACACGGCTGTCCCATGCATGCGATGCGCGTTCATTAAATATGGCCGCCAAATTTTAATCTTTTTCATTTTTTACGCGATCTGGCCTAGTCGTATGTTTGCAATTTCGCTCGACTTCCATCTCAAACGGGCAAGGTCAACCGAAACCACGGGTGTTTGCCAGGTCATTCGATAGAGTTTAGAGCTTGGACTGGCCTTGCCTTCGACTGTGCCGCCGCTCGAGCGATCTTCTTGGGTTACCCACGCGCTACGCATGGTTTCTTTCTCGACGTGGGTGCAATTATTTTTGGATCGTCGCTCGATTTCAAAGGCTCGCCAACCTCGTCAGCGAATTTTCTCCGCCTCGCAGACAATTTTCTAGTATACCTCGATGTCCTAGCCTTTCGATTTCGTGTAGTCCTAAGCTTGACGTGCATAACTGTAGCTTTTCGTGGCCATGTTAGAGACGTAATTTTGTTCAGAAATGGAGGCTCATGTTAGCTTCCTGTCGTCGTGTTGTCGTATTGGAGGGGAGAAATTCGCGTCAAGGAGTGGACAGACGAAGTATCGTGTGGCAGATCATACTGAATCCATTTTGGCAGTGTTTCATCTCAATGTGGATGAAACCAAATACACCCTGAACATTTTTGCCACACTTGAAAATTGGCCATGGAATGCACTGTTACTGCCAGGGGCCCAACATTCTCTGGAGCTCTAGAGGTGGATGTACACCGCTCAAAGACTGGGAGCCACACAGTGGGACAAACTGTTGGAAATGCAAGCCCAAGCCTGGCAGGAAGTCCAAATGCAGAACACAAACGCAAGACAAACTTGCGGCATGGGAGAAAACGCGGGCCATCGCCCGCAAGCACGAGCACATGCACGCCGCCACCACTGACAGCAGCATCACCAACAAAACCTCGCCCCACCACACCAGTACCTGATCACTGGATAGTTTAGTCTGTTCGGTTTACGAATTCAAAAAAGGCAGACAAAATAACAAAACTAAAAACACGAGCGTCGCATGGACCGAATCTGATGAGCAGCAGCGCGTCACACCCGCATACCAAGTTTAGTAATAGTAGTAGTATAGTATTTATTCATATTTCTCTAGGGCTTAGTGGGTAAATCTCTGCATCCAGAACAGTTCAGTTCAGATAGGAATGCAACAACACACGCACAATGTCCACTATGTCACAGTGTGGTAGGGAGAGAAGTGTATGCAGCTTGCTGGTAGACGTTCAGCCGTGCATGCATTGGCAAATGGCTAGAGCAGACGGCCCGCTGCCCTTAATGTAAGGCACACACGCAAGCGTCAGAGCTACAACAGCCAAACAGCATAGTTCATGGATTCATGAAAGACTGCACCATACACTGCGCCAGCTCTGGTAGGGTGCCCTTTTGAGCATCGTCACTGGTCGGTGACGTTTTGCAGGCCTCACCATCAAAGATGCGAGGTGATGCTGCTGATCGACTTGCTGGCATGATAGTCACAAGCATAACTAACGAAGGATGGCTGGAAGTCAAAACCAGCTGTAGATGTAGATTCCAGGTATACCAGACAATTACTGACGCCAGCACTTTATCCGATGCCCCATCAGCGTCAACTGTACGCCGATGGTCACAGGACCGTGACAGCCTTTCGATCGGTCTACGGTCGGGAGACGGGGCTGCAAGCCCAAAGCAGCGGGTATATAGTGTTCGTCACCAGCTGAGCAAGAGAGCTTGCTGAGAGATTTAGGTGTGCACTGTTCAGCAACCAGTCCCAATATACAATGTAGGTTTGTCCATGAAGGCTGGTGATCCTCAGCTATCATACAACAAATTCCTACTCACTGCGCATACGCGCATATGGCTTGTGAAACAGCAGCAGAAACTGCACTGCCTTGACAAACGCACCAGTTACCATGATGGAGCAGATATGCCCAGCCCTGGAAGCCAACACCAAATCTCCAATCGCTAGTACAAGTAGCTCTTCACTAAATCATGCCTAGTGCATGCTTGCAGTGATATTTTCAGCAAGAGCGCTGCAGTTACTGCTGAGGAGATATATTGCGTCCTTGAAGTCGAAGGCGCTCATCAAAGATGTCTTGCCATCAATTCTTGGCCTTATGCAGGCACGAGGTGGTCTCCCGTGGCATTGACCATATTACCCCGAGCTGCACTTGCTCGAGGAGCACGTTGTTTCGCTCATGGAAGTCCTTCGTGTTGGACTGAGTAGGCTTGCTGAGAGAACAGAGCGCTGAATCCATCCACGTCCACAACTACGAATAATTTACAAAAACATTCCGACTGCAGATCAGCGCTTGAAAACGGCGATGCAAATCAGCGACGTTGGGCTTCTCCATTCAAAAGTAGAGCCTTCCTAACGAAGCAATTCTCATGTGACACTACATAGTCTCTCAAGCACTCTAGTTCAGGTCTTCTTCTCTCCACTCCATTATCATTTCGATCTTCACTCGGTCGACGTGATGGTAGTAGCTATGTAAATAATAATGATGGATTCCTCCCGATCCTCGTCGCGGCTAAAATTTGTTCGGTGTTTGTCTAAATTCTCAAACTGACAGGGTTTACAAGAGAAATGTACCTAATTTTGTGCGATTGATGCAAATAAATCGGAATATGTCTGACTTCATAAATCCGTGCGGTAAACCGCATGAAAGGACGCCATGTCATTAGATGGTGCACATGAAGTCACCGTGCCCACCCCTGTCTGGAGGTGCCCCTTCCCACCCCTGTCTGGAGGTGCCCCTTCCCACCCCTGTCTGGAGGTGCCCCATTCCCACCCCTGTCTGGAGGTGCCCCTTCCCACCCCTGTCTGGAGGTGCCCCTTCCCACCCCTGTCTGGATCCACCTGTTTGACATTGATACTTAAATAAACAGTAAGTGCGCGTCAGTCAAATCCGACCACTGGCCGGCACTTTCCCCCGCTCCGGATCAAGCAGCCATTGACGCCCTGCAGCTGGTGGAACTCAGCATAGTTCATGCGTTCAGTGATTCTCGGAAGTGCAAGCCCTAGTGCAGGTCTCTAAAGCGAGTGACCAGATTGCACTGGCCAGCATGTGTAGTGGGAATCAACGGCTGCCGCCACTACAGCGTGCACAACCAGAGCCAATCGCAGTGCACAGCCACACATGTCATCGTCATGTTGTATTTGTGAACACAGAATACAAACATACATACAAAGTTGAAACATACACACACACACACACACACACACACACACACACACACACCGGCACTCGCACTCGCACACATACATAATTACACCTGTCAGACAGGGCTGTTGCTAAAATTCCCTACCTTCTTACAGCCTTCACAGAAGATGAAGCCCACGGACATAAGCCATGCCAAGCCAGAAAACACAAAGCCACAGTTGTGACACTGGTTGTCCCGTGCATTGCGCGCTTTCCGCTGTACCTTGAGTTGCTTCACTTCACTGATCAACCGCCTTTTAAACACAATCGGTATGGGAATGGAGCAAGAGAAGTTTTGTTCAGTCACACAAATACCGTTAATTAACGCAACACACTAGTTTTCGGTGGCATATAAGTTTCGGTACCCACGGTTAGCCTTTTTTTTGGTTGTACCAAAAGTACCGAATATTGGAACCGCACATCTTCCATACCGCATCTATAACATTCTACTGGCTACTGAACAGCTAACCCTGAAAAGTGTCCAAATGTTCGGATCGACCAAGTCCATTCTCAGCAACACACATTCACCATCACACAACTAACCATGCAGATGCTAATTTTTTTTAAATAGAACTTCATTGAAGTCATTGCTAGTGCATGCAGTTGTGAAGTCATTGCCGGTGCATGCAGTTGTGAAGTCATTGCTAGTGCATGCAGTTATGTAGTCATTGCTAGTGCATGCAGTTATGTAGTCATTGCTAGTGCATGCAGACACAGTGTGTAGTCATTACTAGTGTATGCAGTTGTAATGCTTTGCTTACCCAACCCGCCGCTGCTCCAGCTGCTCGAAGGCTTCCGCCTTGGCTAGGGCATGGCGAATGCTCTCCCACTCAGACTCGTGCAGCGTTGATCCGAGGCTGTCCGACTGGCCCAGCGACGACCAACCCGCTCCCACCCTGGAAACATGGTGTGCGCGTGGTATAGAAGCACGGAGGAGCACAAGATTAAATTACCAGCGCATTTTTTCCTTTTAATTATGTACTGCTGCTGTTTTCTGGTCTTTTTGTCGACTACACCTGCTCATGTGGTATACCGTATTATCTCTAATATAAGCACAGTCTCCAATAATAGCACGTCTCCAATAATAGAACACCTTGGGGCGGCATTCAAAAAATAAAGTGCTCAGTCTCATAAGCACACTGTGTAAATTCATTATCTGTACCGGCGAAAAAAACCCTGAAATGTGTGTGTCTGATATGAATTTGGCATGGCAACATGCCTCTGAAATGAGGTTGAAATAATAACGGAACAGTCTCCAATAAAGGAACGTCTCCATTAATAGCACGGGGCGGAGGTACATTGAAAAAATAAAGGACCATGCTTACATTAGAGATAATACAGTATGCAGAAGTATTTTTCCGCTGGGAATCAATGCTAATGCAAAGGAGCATGATAATGCCATACTTGAAGTAGTAAGTTATGACTTGTGTACCAGAATGGCAATCGATGCTGCTGATCAAGCCACAGGGCCTCAGATAGATGTAGATATACACTACATTGTACTTCTCCAGAAACGGGTTCTCTACGTATGCTCGCAGCAGAACTTGAATGATTACCAGGTACAGTATGCCTAACTAACCACTCAAGGCTAAATCGAGTTTAAAAAAATGTTATAGGGATCATCTCCCACGCATGTCACAATGTATACTTGACAAGCCACAGCACGTTCTCGTCGCGTCCATGGCAGTTTCTCCGTTGCCGCAATACTATCTTCCTCCTAAGAGTCCTATGCTAATCAGGAGGTGCGACACACATAATATTATAGTAGCCTATGCTCCTGTCAAACAGCTTTGGCTTGAAGTGCTTGCAGACTCGGTAGCCCACAGGGAGTGGGACTGCATCATCTGTCCGAGCATGCATGGCAAAATGGAGTATTGTGCATGGACTGTGAAACTGTAGCATTCAGACTATCCACAGGAAAGCTGCATACAGTGACCTGTATCTGAGGTGGCTTCTCAGCTTCAGTCTGTTGTATCTATACTAGTGGAGCAGCAACGGTGGTGTCACGATTTGTGCGAGTGTTTCATGCTTGTATGTTTACAAGTGCTTTGACTAACCAACTGAACAATAAATCCTTAAAAGTAAGAAAACAATACACAATGCGTGTGCCTGTATCTCCACAGCTCTTTATCATCTTTTGGGTCTTTGATAGTGACTACAGCACTGCTCAGTGACACCCCAGCCTTGCCATTAGTGCCGCCGGGTGCCGAGCATGCAGTCATACCCCCTGCGAACATTGGGCCGCTTTGCACCCCCCATGTACAGTAAAACTTCAGTGGAATGTACCCCAGGCCGAAGAGATAATCTGATCTTTATAGGCAATGTACAGCATATCCAATGTGAAATGACTGGTATTACAATGCCGGGTCCTAAGAAATAGTATCTTTATCCCACCGGACATGTCACACTATCATATTGAGTTCTGGAGTGTATTGCCGCAATTATTTGAACACTCAAAATTCACCCAAAAAAAGAGGGTGCGCCTTATACTGCGATAATCAAATTAACGGTGGTGAACGGGGCAGATGTCTGTATGTCGTGACAAAAAAATGGGGGGGGGGGTTGTGGCTTATAGTTATACTCTGGAAAACACAGTAGGTCCAGGACACTCCATACTGAACTGCTTCACTACACATGTACTGCGACTACGACTCTAAAAATACACTAAGTGCTGCGGCCAGTATACGTTGCCAAGTATTGCCTCCCAGCACCTGCCAGCACCCACAACACCCACACCACCACACAACAACACACAACACTCCACTGCCCTCGGCCACTCCTCCGCAATGCTTACTGTGAGCGCATCTGAAGGTCCTTGTCAGCTGGGCAGGTGAACCGTTTCTCAGGCCCAACATCACTCTCCACGGATATGGAGAAGAACTGATGCTGCTCGCCATCCTTGCGCCAGGCTTTCTGCCTCTGCGCGCTAGTGTCGGTGCGGAGACGGGACTTCATGCGGGCCAGCGCATGGGTTGATAACGGACTAGGGCTGGTGTCTCTGCTGAGCGGACTGGCGTCCCTGCTGCGCGGACTGGAGTCTCTGCTGCGCGGCCGCAGGCGGGTGACAGCAAGGCTGGCTTGAATTCCTCGTCTTTCCTCTCCGGCTCCGGTTGCGGCTCTGTCACAGTTCCGTTCTGGGTCCGATGTGCAACGAACCAGAGCAAGGTCCTGCGAAAGACGTTATGACAACCAAGAAAACCAGTAAGCAACAGCAGCAAAGTCCTTCACTAATAAAGGTTCACACCTAACCGGGGTGTTTGGAGCGGGTCACACTCACAGCCTCAGGTGTCTTGGGAAGGAGCGACATGGAAAGAGGTGCACAGCGTGCAGTGCAGACCTGAGGTATGTTACTTAGCTGCGAACGTGGCGCAAAACCAAGGAACGCTGTCCACTCTCCCGGCCAGCCTCACCCTGGTATCGTCGTTTCTATCGGAGCATGGTCACCGGTCATGATTGTATCATTGCTACATAAATATGACACGCATACTCATGCTTTTGCTAGCGGGTCTGACTCTACGCAACAGAACACATACCGGTACACTACTAACCAGGTTACTAACCTTGCTCCTATCCGAGAGGCGAGCGAGCTTCATGATACCAATACCAGGCATTAGTATTAAATGTTACGTTGATGGCACCTTGTCAAACACGCTCTGTCAGCGCTACGCGGCCGTCTGGAAATATTTGGAGCTTGCACTGTCTTTTCTCCGTTTTGCCGACGGTTAGGAAGCTTCAAGGTATTGCCTTGCGTTCATGGCCCATGGGTCCCCTGCCTGAAGGTACGTACAAGTCGCTGGTACATGGTATCACCGCAGGATGACAGCGGCCTTCTGAAAGTTGCTGAAGAGGAACTTGAGAGGCACACAAACCCCTCAAGAGCTGTGCCACTCGGCAGAGAAGTGGTCATTTCATGTCTTCCCAACACCCAGCAGCTTATAATGTATGTCCGATCCTCGGGTGGAGCGCGCGAAGAATAGAGTGGGTGTCGACTCGACTGTCGATTGAAGGCCACGTGTGTTGCACGACCGCCAGGCTGCAGGAAGCAATGGACCTGCACTAGGCAGCAGGGCCAGGGAGCGTTTGTGGCTTGTCGCACCTAGCCTCGGTCCTTCCAAGTAATAGTTCCAGACAATTCCACCATATTTTCGAGCACATACCTTTGTAACAGTTATTTGGTGATCAATAAATTAGGTCAATGTCAATGTTTATTCGCAGGTACATGTACCAGGGAGTCGGGTTTATACGACTCCCTGGCAGGTACGTACTAGTAGTACCGTAGTAGTAGTAGTAGTAGATCAATACCACCGGAGCATGAGAGATACTCAGTGCAGTGACGATACTGTTCCCCTCGAAAAAAACGTCACACACTCACTTCACCCCTGGAGCAAGGGGTTATCATGGTTATGGACTTATGCCATGGTGTGTAACAAACCCCTCGGCTTCGCCTCCAGACTGATAGGGTTTGTAGCATTTGTTACGCAGTGTTTCTCCTTGATCTCAGGCTTACCATAGATATCATTACGGCGCAGGGAGCGGAAGACATCTACCACCAGTTTGTCTTGGGGCAATCCTTCAGCCGTTTAGGAGGGCAAGACACTGTCACAACAGTGCTAAATCCACACAGACTACATGTATCATAATAATAATTAGTTCACAGCTACTAGCACACGCTGACAGTATCCGGCGTGACCCCTGCCCCTGGCCCGGGTGACCGACGACATGTCGACACGATCGAAGAGTCGACATGTATGTGTTTACTTCAGCGATTGCTGTGGCATCCATCACGTGCAGTACGAGAACTAAAGCAAGAGAGTCGTCGGATCTTCGACTCCTCTCGCGAGTATCAGTATCTATCTTCAGCTTTGTCTTGGGGACCGACTGTGGTTGTCAATGGTTTCTCTCGCCACGCCTCGGCACACAAATCGCCCACACCGCAAAGCAGTCCCTATCTGTGCCATGATTATGCCTTTCTTTAGCCATGATGACCTAGCGGCCGTGCAGGAAATATTTGAGGTAACACCACGGCCGCGCCGGCCTGAAGTATTGTTCGACCTCGGCCTCCGCAGCGCAGTACTAGACTACTGTAGTATCTGCCCACTCCCGATGTCGGGGGCCAGCACGGCAGCAGATGCACCTCCGGCTCAGCTCCGGCTCTTGAGTTGTACTCGTGCACTCTTGGACCTGGAGCATGACGCTGCACTAGACTAGTCTTGGCGCGCTGCTGGTCGTAGAAATCTGAAGGAAGTGAAGTAAGTTTCGATCGCGATAGAAGAAGGCTACATGACTGTGCCTGTATGAAGAAGGAGTTGAGACATGGAATAATTCCAGCGTAAGTAACAACGGTTCTGTGCTGTTTCTTGAAAGGGCGAGAGAGTTCGAGAGAGTGCGAAAGAATGCGAGCGATTGATCTGGCGTTGGGCGCGCTACACTGGGTAACAGTACAATGTAATGCACATGTTTGAGGATAGCAGCGGGTAACGAAGCGGAGGACAGTCACACACTGTGTTGAGAACAGTGTTCGTGAATGCAAACATAAACCGGTGGTTGGTAGAATGCAGGTCTTGCGATCATCTGCACCGACGTCCGCGTATGGGGCCAAGCCCAGGTAACGGTGGTTCAGACCCTCTGTGTTCGGGGGGGGGGGGCGTCCCCTAGAACACAGAAACAGGGGCCTTTGCCCCATATGCAAATGAATCAGATGGTCGCAGAACCGGGACTGTACTGGGTAATACCGTGCCAACCAGTTTTTGGATGCAGCCTGGTCAGGAACACGGTTCTCAACACAGTGTCTCCTCCAGCGTGTTACATGTACCTGCTGTCATACTCAAACATGTTAAACTTTCCAGAAAGGCGTGCATTTATATAATATTATACCAATTATATATGCCTGATGATTGCGAGATCATGAAACTTGAAATCGCAGCAAACAAGCCTTGATTGTCCTTGTTGTTCTGTTCTGTATTACGCTCTGCCTTCGCGGTGTGAGCACTGTCAGCACACTGGGTACACCCTCCGGTACCAATTATATACAATGTACCGTATTTTTCGGAGTATAGTGCGCACTTTAGATGTGCTATTTTAGGCCCTAAATCGCAGGTGCGCACTATGCTCCGAATATGAAATGCATGTACACTCGGACGTCTCAGATTTGCCCGTATCTCAGGATAACTCATCTACCATGTATCATAATCATTTTTTGAAGGAGTTTATTTGGAATGTATTGCACATGTTCAGGATTCAAAAGGAACCCATTGATAAAAACGTGTGGATTACATAGGTTGGCAGTGAAAAATAAGCACTTCCACCTATGGAAAAAAGTTCAACACCCCCAAATTCGAAGCATTTTTGCCATAGGAACTCAAGCTGAAGGTGCCCGGTAGAGAGACGTGCCCGTATCTGAGGCGTCCGGATAAGAGGCGTTTGAGTGTACTTCAATGAAGATTGAAGTGCGCACCCTCAACGAAGATTGGGGGTGCGCGTTATACAAAGGTGCGCACTATACTCCGAAAAATACGGTACATGTAAATGGATTGAATACAGTGCTAATGCAAGCAGGAAACAGAACGCCTACACAATCATGTACATGTATACAAAACGTACGTAATCTGCGTACACAAAGTAGAAGTCCCCCTCCCCAGCTCTGTTATTATCATGATCCATGAGTGCTAGGCCCAGATGTTGCTGAGTCCTGCACTGATATCAAAGGCCCCAGGCCTGGGGCAGCGGAGGTGCAATGTAGGTAAACAATTCTGAGATGAACCTGTATTGTGATAATGCCGACACAGTGTACATGTATATCATGTACTGTTGTATACCCTTAACCTTAGAACTGGGCTATTAGAGTATACTACTACTAGTATTAGTAATTTCGGTTACTAGTCTGAGTAGTACACTGTACATGATCATGCACTTGGCGCTTTTGGCCCTTGAGCACCGAGTATTACAATAATTAGACTCATCATCAAGTTCCATCAGATGTGCGCCTGGGTCATTCAAATTGGCAATGATTGTATGGCAGAGATACTGCTCCCTGTGTGGCACACCTAGTACCTGGGTGCATTGCCAAGTGTAGATCTACCCTGCACTTGAGGCTAGTGCGTAGTGGAGTGTATTGTGTCACATAACAGTGCAGGTCCAGTGTCACTCTAGACTGTTCCATCAGTGTGCATGCACCGCACCACTCTTCTGCTGCATTCCACTGTGAGTGTGAGTGTGCACACTACTATTACTAGAGAATGATACACTAACTATTGTCTATTGAGCTACACTGCATGCATGTGCCAAATCCATGCATCATGATCATGCATGCTACTGATGGTACTACACAACTACACTACTACAGTCTACACTGCACACAGTCAGTACAGCCATGTACATTGTATGCCGCCGTTTCACTGAGTTGCAGAGCAAACGCAGGGAAGGAAACTATGAAAGACCTCGGTTTCGTAATAAATTATTACTAAATCAGTTACTACCCAGTAGGTCATTTATGGTAGACCTACCCTTGCACCATGGACTGAGGAAGCATACATCATGGCCGCATGTCATGATATTTTTTTAGTTATGGATTCATGTTCCAAGACACTGGCAAGACTGATTTGCGGCGGGGAGCGGGGAGGCCAGAGAGGGGGCGGGGACTGCTAGCATTGGTGATTTGAGCCATAGTATGACATCAAAATTGTAGCCCACTATTGGCACTAAACCAGATGACAATTGAGCACTGTGGCATGCATGTATTAGTAGTGAACTGCAAGTGCATGACTTGTACAATCATGTAGGCTGTATCCCACACACTGACATCATAATAGGATTTCAATTTCATTCACTGCTTGAAGTAAATAGCACTTCGTAATGCATTGCCATTATCAACACTGCATGACAGGAAACTTCTAGTAGGAAAAGTTTGAACATGTCACGGTCTGGAACAGTGGAAGGGCATTTATCCGTGGCAGCAAAACAATCACCCCTTCTACACTCTCTGCCGCCATCCACATGCTATCAATGAATGTACTATCAAGGGCTGCCATGATTCTGAAGCACTATCAGAGTCAGGGGACACTGGACAGTGAACTGAGCTGGGTCATGCTTCAAGCATAGCCTATAGGTTGGGCTCCGCATACACAACCGCATGAACAATATTTCCATGCACACCTTCCGGGTAAATAGCTGACTACAATGTCTAGAGCTATTGGAATGGTACGTTCTTTGCAGAGACTCGGACAGCTGAGTGATAAGTCTTTGCACTGACACACCCGGTTGGGGCAAGTTTTCGTACTTCTATTCCTGATGAGTATGACTTTGTGGTGACTTTGATTCTTGGTGGGTTTTTCGTTGGCTTTCTTTCTCCAGATCTGCAAGTTCTCCCCGGACTGTCGAAAGAAACTACCCGGCCATAATGATTCATTTCCCGTCTCCTGGTCTGTCTGTGACCAAACCTGGCTATTGCACGAGGTAGTGTTTCCCTTTCTAACTAGCTCTTCAAGTTCTGGGGAGGGAAGATGTAACAGTATTACTAATTGAGGATGGTCCTCACAGGGTTCTAGCCAGATCAAAATAGTAGGGGGGGGGGGGGGGCATGGGAAACACAGTTACCCCGAACCCCATTTTTCCATGTTCCAAAATAATTGTCTTGCCATGCAAAATGCAACGTACGAGGCGATCTCCAACTTCACCCGAGACGAATGTGCCTTTATGAACCCTTTTTTTATAGTAGTGACTATCGACTGCATTTTCGTAATAATTATGGTCTGAAAAAACACAAAAATCAGAAAATGAGTAGGCCTGGGGGCGGCACTTTTTCACAGGGGGGGGGGGGGCTGCGCGCCCTCCCCCCCCCCCCCCTCCCACCCTCTTGGCTAGAACCATGTCTTCAGTGCCACACCAAGTCAAGAACCCCGGGGCCATAGTGAATTCCAGCTCCCCCCCCCCCCCCCCCCCGCCCATTCCCTCTCCTGCACCGATGCAACTCTGATCTCAATACACAAAAGAGTGTACAGTCAGACCTTATCCGGTCCTCTTTCATCCGGATCCCTCGCCATCCGCAAGAAAATCGTTGGTTACCGATTTACGGCATACATGTACATGTATGCCATGCATACATACAGTATGTGTGTGTGCGATTATCCAGTTCCCTCGCCTATCTGGATATTTTGTGGGAAACGGATGTGTGCAGGTAAGTGAGGTCTGACTGTAGTATAAAAAACAATAATTATTACTAGGAGACTGCGGTATTCATTAGAAACATCCTCGTCACTCCAGGACACATGCAACAAGTGATTGCGTTGGCTCAGTTAGCAGTGCGTTGGTCGCAAGAGTATGGCATATTTAAAGCTCCCTGTACGGGTCCGGAGTCCGGGACAGTATATTTACCAGGGAGTACTAACCTGGCACAAGCGAAACTTCCTAAGCTGGTTGTGTCACCGTTCTCAACACAAGTGTATAGCCGGTTGTAACACGGACGTGAGATTTACTTTACGAACACACCTACATGTTGTAATTTGGTACTCTTGATATTGACTCTTGCCACTGCCATTTGAAGTGCATCTCCTCCTTATCATGCAAACCCTGTTGGCGACACAACTGAACAGTGCGCTGACTGGGACATGTGTGTCAGTGTGCACGTACCAGCAGTCACATGCATACACTTCTCCACACCACTAAACACACCGCATTCCAGAAATACACATAATTGCTAAAGTGTGACAGCCAATAGTCCTTTCAACAAAGATCAAGTGCACCGTGTCACATAACATCCCTCTTACACGCAAGCCCCAAAAAAACGTGCAAAGGATAATCATGCCGAAACCACACATGGATATGGTGCTGCAGTGTAGGCTACAGGCACAGTAACCATTATCAAGAGCACCTAAAAACCTATTAATTTAATATATGATTATTCATTACGATCAATGACTCTGAGCTCCGCGAGACCTAACAAGGTCGAAATAGCTACATATCTGTGGGAATTGAGTAAACATAGTATCAAGAGTACATAACCCCCAGGGGTTATGTACTCTTGATAGGATGCAGTTTATCATAACTTTATGAACTCTTGCGGTTATGTAGGAGGATCTTCATTCTTCACAACGACCATACTGAAGTTTCATGTCAATGACTGGTGTAATAGTAGCATAATGAAGGTACACTGTACTCAAAACATATTCTATAGAGGAACAAAGCAGCTACCGTACATATTTTGCTAATCTGTAAACATGACTTAGCCACCAGCATGGGGGAAGAAGACAGGAACTGTCCGTACACAATGAGCTGACATTGTCTAATGATTGTTTCAACTGTTGAGCTTTACCATCTGAAGCCTTTGAGCACGAAGAACAGCTCAGCGTGAAGCGCATTACTGCAGCCTGGTATTATAGAGCTGAGACTAGTCAGATCATACAGAAGTCACAGAACACTCAGTGGTAGAGCTCAACTATCCCGACCACGATAACACCACCAGCAGCAGCCAGAGCGGCAGCCACAGCAGCAGCAGCACCACCACCATCAAGAACACCAGACCGTGATACTTCTATACCGGCTGTCCTTATCATGTCCTGGCAAGAGCAGGGCTAAAATAATAACACTAAGGAAACACTAGAACTACACGACGGGGTTCAGGACGACCACTAACATTGGACAAGGCAAGTGTGCTAGACCAGCACAAGCACAAGCATGCACAGCGACACCAGACTGCGTAAAGCACGTGAAACCTAAGGAACAGGAGGCTACAAGCGAGAAGGCACAGAAGAAAACAAGCAGGCTGCCGTGCCGTACAGCAAGCAGACAGACACGGATACTCCCATCTTTCAAATATAGATGAGAAAACGAATAACAAGAAAATAACTTTGTTTCAGATAGGAAAGGGGAACTGCACAGACATGCACTGTTGAATATCTGGTGGATCTCGGCTTCTGGGGGAGTAAATAATTACAGCGACAGCAGAAATATTCAGCACTGGAAAAGCACACTTCATAGGTGACAGGCACACTAACGTAAATCCGACTGAGCTGGTGAGAGCGCAAGTACACACACGCACACACTCTCTCGCACACACACACACACACACACACACCACACCACACACACACACTCACGCATATACTATGGATGGCTGGAATTCCTCTGATTAGCGAATACAAAGTTCTGATGTCAGGAGTCCAGGCGGTGGCTTGGGCATCGGGCTGGGCTTCTGTTGAAGACTGGATGAATGACACACTATGATCTTAGTGAGACTGGTGAAGCATTGAAATGCATATGCACATCAACTTGAGCAGAGAGAGAGAGGGAGAGAGAGGGAGAGAGAGAGGGAGAGAGAGGGAGAGAGAGCATTGTTAGGTAAACCAAAAGAGGAAACAATCAGCAGCAGCCAAAACTAAAGAAAAGCAGACACAGCGACACACGGCACAGGTAAGGTAGCTGGTATGATTATGACACACAGTAAAATATAAAAAGGAAATACTCGTAGGGTTAACGGGAACAACAGGGACAACAGAACATAGACAGGACACAGACCAGAAGAGAGCGGACGAACAAACAAAAAACAGAGGGGCATAGCGAATATATGGATGGCATAAGGCAGCAACAGCATTGCATGAACAATCGAAGAAGAAAGAAAAGACAGGAAAAATGATGAAGATAGACCCTTTGTACAGAAAAATGGAAGACACCTGAATGCGCCACACAAGACCAAGCTCCTGCAACAGCTCAAAGGTGACGACGGACGTTGATAGTTGGGCGATTGGGAAGACCAGCCTAGCATCGCCAAACATCATCATCATCACCATCATTGCTACATCAAGTACCGGTGTACAACAACGTACCGGTGTGCCATACAGGCAAAGAGAAAACAGGCGACTTCTCGGAATGCAGTCTACTAGCTTTGGCTATACTTCGGCCATGTACCTCCCTACACAAAACAACCATGAAATAGACAAACACAGGCATGTTGATAAACACAACAGCCGAGACAACAACACAATCACATATTATGTGTTTACATTGTTTACAGTCTAAAAGGAAAGGAGAAACATGTAGGAAGAAAGGGTGATGGAAAAAATGATTCGGAAAAATATGATTTGAAACTCGGATGTTGAGCCATAAATAAATGATGGAGAGTTACTCTTAACTCGTATCCATAATTATGTCCTTTTCCTTTGTACATTTAAAAATATGATTCGCCACTATTAAACTCGCATCTGCCATGGAGTGAATAGCGCCTTTGAATCATGCTGCCTACTATTCATTTTCACGGTTTGGCCCATAAGCGAGGGCGCTTCAAACGAGGAGGGGTGCAGAAAGGAGTGCTCGCTGCACCCTACAGGATTCAAGTTATATTCTCGACACCAGCCGCAATGTAAATCTATGGTTACAGTGGATCAAGCTCAGTGCCTGTATCTAGATTTCTCCATATCCATACAGGTACATAAAGGGGTGTAGGCAGCAGCAGCAGCATTCAGCCCTGTGCAGGTTTTTCTCAGATGTGTCGCTTTGCTGGTGGTGTGCTGTGGCAACGTGTCGAGGTCGGCTGGAGAGCGCAGTTACGGTGCGGTGGTTGATAAAAAATCCAGACATGTACATTGTTACATCACCCAAGGTCGGCAAAGCCCCATCAAGCATGAACTTACCGGTAGCAAGGCGATACTTCATCAATGCGAGGTGATAGCCAGGAGAGGCAATGTCCATATTCAATCCACTCAAACATTGGCCTTCAAAAGAGAATTGTACAGCGACTTGTGGCGGTCGGCCAGGACCGCTCTTCAAATCCATCTTGGCTAAAAGGCTGGAGGCTGCAAGCGAACGTAAATCCAATCAACCAATTGGAACACACAAACAGAATTAACAACATATCTCCCATTAGAACAAGGTCGGCAGATCATGGAAAAGTGCACGAACGTTCCAAAAAGTTTGATAACGTCCCATCACATTGATCAAGGAATTGTGGTTGAGAACCTAAACAGTAGCATCGCACAAACACACAACTGCCATGATCCCAGTTTTCTCAATCAGTTCCTCTCATGGCATGCACGTATACAAAGTTTGAAGGTGTCCGCACAAGCAACTACAGTTTCTGATGAGATTCACAAAGATGAAGGCACGAGATGATTAAAAAAAACCTCTGTATGCAATCAATCTACTAGTATATGAATGCTGCTGAATACTTACAAGTGCCAGCCGCAATTTCAGGAATTTTCCAAACTAACCGATCATTGGCCCTGTGCACAACACCAAACAGAAATGAAAACATGCTTTACAAGTACATTTAAATACCTACTTGAGAGAAACAAAGGGAGAGAGAGAGATAGAGAGATAGAGATAGAGAGAGAGATAGAGAGAGAGACAGAGAGACAGAGAGAAAGAGAGCGAGATAGAGAGAGCGAGAGCGAGAGAGAAAGAGAGGGAGAGAGAGAGAGAGAGAGAGAGAGAGAGAGAGAGAGAGAGAGAGAGAGAGAGAGAGAGAGAGCGAGAGCGAGAGCGAGAGCGAGACAGAGAGAGACAGAGAGAGACAGAGAGAGAGAGCAAGAGAGAAAGAGAGCGAGAGAAAGAGAGCGAGAGAAAGAGAGCGAGAGAAAGAGAGCGAGAGAGAGAGAGAGAGAGAGAGAGCGAGAGAAAGAGAGCGAGAGAGAGAGAGAGAGAGGGAGAGAGAGTAAGAAATAGAGATAGAGAGAGAAGGCTCTTACCATTGTGATTGTCCACTGGACTGCACGTTACTCACACCTTCAGTAGGCGTTAAGAACGACACAAACTTGATGGGTGCGGGGTTGAGTCGACACTGTGGGTTGTATGCGTAATTCACTTTCAGATTGGCTACAGTCTCATCGCTTTTCCACAGGCAGTTGACATGGATAGGTAGTGCTGCAGCTGAGGTCACCTTGGCCTGGTACCGACCGGCAACACAGAAGAATCAGAGCAGCATAGGGAATGAGGAAACATATCTCTTAAAACCATTCACAAACGCTGCACTAGTCGTCACCAAGACATTTTCTACAAGCAATAGTTTCAGCTGTTCCCACCACCCACATCCACCTACATGGTACTTGAAAACGTCGACCTTGAAGAAAGCTGCGTTCGGCGCTGCCTCGTGCTGTGTCTTCAGGAACGCTTGTAACGGTGCCATCTTGAACCTGTAGCACACATCCCCACTTGGCGAGGTAGAGTCGCTGCAAGATGAAATCAACACGTAGAAATACAGGGACACGCACAGTCGTAAGTGAGATACGACTTGGTACAAGGAGTCCATACTACTACTAGTCAGCACATGTGCTCTTGGGCCAACCCTCCCGACTATGACTGGGTACAGTGGTAGCAAATGAAATCCGAGCTCATGTGTGCTACAGCCCGGGAGGTGTACAACTCGAGCACTATGAACACTGGGCCGTGTGTTGTGATGAACACGGCTCTGCTGTAGTCACCACGCTGGATTTCACTTGCCACCGCTGTGTTACATCTCTGTCTCTCTCTCTCTCTGTCTCTCTCTCTGTCTCTCTCTCTGTCTCCCTCCCTCCCTCCCTCCCTCCCTCCCTCCCTCCCTCCCTCTCTCTCTCTCTCTCTCTCTCTCTCTCTCTCTCTCTCTCTCTCTCTCTCTCTCTCTCTCTCTCTCTCGTGTGATTAGCTAGTGCTCTTACGTTTCCAGCAAGTGCGTATTGGCATGCGCCTGATCTACACCGCTGGTGGGATGGATTCGCAAGACGAGCGGTGGCGCTAGCGGTGTGATCTGACCCAGGCAAGTGGATGGGAATGAGAGCTGCAGTTCACCGGTGACCTTTATCAGCGTACTGAATGAAGGAGACGACAGAACACACACCAAGTAGAAGTAGTACAGTTACGTACATGTACATCTAATATCATGGGTTCCTAAGTAGAGTTTCGAGGAGTTTCAAGGAGATTTCCGTGTTTTGAAGAGGCCAATAACACACCTCTTCAGTAACATCATTGTTGGTTGACTGGTTAGACACAAGGATGATACCAAAGTCAGTGCGAGGTATGTCAGAGCGCCAGGCATAGTGATGACACGATGACTGTGTTCTTACCTGGATAGATTGGAGCCCTTGAAGAGAGCGTTGACAGTTTCATTGAACAGGGCGTATACTGACAGTCCAGTGCCATGTGGTGACGAGGCATTGCCGGAAGAATTAGTGTTACTGCCCAAAGAGCCAGACGACATTCTTCGACCCACCTACAACACACAAGCAAACGTTGGGCAGTGAGCAACTTCCAAAACAACTAACGAAACTAGTATGGTGCAACAGAAAAAGAAGGAGTCAAAAATGCCTGCATGCATTGTGATCAGGAGGTCCGAGCTACATCTGATACAATTGATCCAAGGGGATGAGTTGGGGTGAGATACATGTATATGCACACACAAACAAATACATACATACACACATACAAACAAATACACACATACACACACACAAACAAACACATACACACATGCGCACAGAGATACGAATGCAGGCACATACAGACACTTGCCCAACCTACCATTAGTGGACTCTGCGATCGGGGTGATTCGGGCGTGAAGCGGCCTGGACTTGATCCCAATCCGGGCACATGTGGCTTCATGATGCCAGACGAAGGATCTTTTGTGCTCGCTACAGGCAGTGACACACACACACACACACGCACGCACACACACAATGAGCACTGTTCAAAAAAAACAATTCACAGTTCGCGTGAGACTCGGTTTATCAGATAAACCGAGTCTCACGCGAACCGTAATTTTTTTTGGAAAACTCGGCCTCTATAATTATATTATAATTATATAGAGGCCAAGTTTTCCGTTTTCTGTTCAACTGGCTGAGAAAATTCCTGGCCAGTACTTGCCAGCAACAAGAATACACATTGAAAAGGAGACAGCGCTTGGGCATCACTCTGTGGATGTAAGGCTAATTCGGGTAAGCAGAACGCACCTTCAAAACAGCTTGCCCAAAAAGTGTTTGGATAACCGGGGTAGCACCGTACATGCACTTGCAGATTTGTACGATGTGAAACTCTGCTCTTGCAGCGTTGGATCGAGGGTGTGTGGCAGTTGCACACTGCTGGGGGGGATATGGGATTACGTATGCTCGGCATGAAAATGTACAATACCTCAATACCACAATGATTTGGAAGTGACGATGTACTAAACGCTGCGCACAACAAACTGGTAGCATGTGCTCGGATGGCTTGTCTCAACTGGCTGCCAGTTCCAGCACGCTTACAACAAACTAATAACAGTTTATAGCAATAATACTTAGCATACTTGTGACTTAAAAAAGATTTTAATACCCGGTCTCGGCTGGTTGCAAATTCAAAACTCCAACTTACTGACAACACCAAAACCTGCATGGCTGATGAGCACATCAGCCAAAATCAATTTTAAAATCCTGCCAACTTAGAGGATAGCACACCAGTGCCTATTGGCCACTGACAAGCATTGGCCTACATGTTGTGTGGCACAAGACCTACTTGGTGGTGTAGCAGAGCCGGATGACACTGGTGCTGCAGTGAGAATGCCAAGCGGTTCCAGCATGCTGCCGGAGCCCATAGGCTGCAAGGGCGGCACTGCGCCGCCAATGTCATCATCCAAGAAGTTGCGGGCTGGCGAGGACCTACACATGACATTGTTTACAAACACCAACAACAGTGATTAGCCAACTGCAATGCTACCGAAACTAACGTACCAATGTCGGCACAAACTAAATTGCGGAACCAGTGTCTAGCCCCCCATACTAGTGCACCTAGTAATAGTGCCGGTGTTTAGCGACAGGTGGTCTTTCAACACAGGCCGAGCAATGTATACAGATCATGGTGTGTGGCCTGAAAGGATCGGTCTCATAAGGCAGGTATTGGCTTATCACAGTGCGTATTACTAAACACTGTAAATAAAACAAGGCTGACTGGCCAATTCAGTGTATATTGGTATACTGATCCGTGCAATGTATCAGTCTAGTACTTTTTAAATAGCACTGCTAATGGAAGGGACTCTGAGTTTTAAGCGAGAAGATATCGGGTAATACAAGGACAAGGACAATGAACGGCACGTATCAACACCAGAGAGCTAGCTACCAGGGACATACCTGGACGTTGGCTCATTAGAAGACGCTGCAAACGTGAACAGAAGCACACGCAAAACACACAGACGTGTTGAAGAAACTTCAGCACAAGCCGCAACCACCACCAGACATGACTACTTGAAGTAGGCCCATGTACATGAAATAACACCCTAAGTACTATAGTAATACAAGTTCTGAACATCAACATGCAGAATTTACAACTACTTAAGATGATGTGACACTCAACTGTACATGAACATACTTTTTCCAGGCTGAGGTAGATGCGGATGCCATGCACACAGAAAACAAAACAAAACAAACAAACAAACAGAGTGCCAGAAATCAGTCAGTGCGCAAAAATCAAACTCCACACTGTGCTTGCCAGCCACCTAAACATACACCATCTTGCATCATTGTCTCATTTACCCATTTGCTGTGGCTAACTGCAGTGCACAACATACACAATACTGCAGACATACACAATACTGCAGCAGAAGTAAAGCCATGGTGTTGTCAGCATGCCTGAGTACAGGTGGTACAAGTTCAAATATACTGCACGTGTAGTTACTCAGGCAATATGGTGAATTTCTTGCTCTGCATGCCAGCCAAGTCTGAACAATACATACAATGGGAAGATTGAAATGATGGGGCACCTGACTCTATCAAAACACACACACACACGCACACACACAGACACCTGGTCCCTGGTCCTGGTATACACTGCCATGTAGGTCACGTGTTTCTCGTTGAGCGAGACGGAGACGAGAGGAGACATGAGCGTTGGTGACGGGATAAGTCGTTTCGCCTTTTGAAACGCCTCCGGCAATTCTGACATTGCAATTGGAACTTGTCCCTTTCATCAGCAGTTGGGCGCCTGGTGGATCGGTTGCAGTTGTGGATAGCAAAGCCCCGGATCGACTTACAGCAGCGTTCACAAATGGGACAGTGAGCGGTACAGCACGGTTTCCGAATACATAGGCGTACAGGTGAAAGGCTTGTGGCATTGGCAACATTCGGGGCAGAATTGGACTCACACACACACACGCACACACGCACTCACCGGTTTCAGGATACTCAAGCTCTGCACCGCAGCCGTGAGGTCGCTGGAATTATCCGATATTGCCTTGTCTTGCGTTGCATTCACGGGCCTGATTGAGATCGATCTCAGTTTGGATTCAGTTTCTGTAGCACAGGGGAATCACACAATCAAACCCAGCACATTCAGCTGCTATGTGTAGATAGAGCAAAGCAGATACCGGTAAACATTTGAAAGAGGAGGAACTACATGGGCCTGGCAATAGACTGCAGATGGCATTGCACATGAACAGAACGGTCCAAATTGAAAATTGGAGAATGCCCCCCCCCCCCCCCCTTCTAGTAGGATCTCTTACGCACTCACCAGGTTCGTCACTGTCACTGCCATAAGAGAAATCAGAGTCCTTGTCATCCTTGGAACCAACGCGATGTACACAGAAGTCAAGGAAAGAAACCCCCCGCATAGTAGAGCGCGTAAAACAAGAACACGTAGTGGCAGTCAGCAGAAATGTACAGCCAGGTTGGTGATTGATCTGATTTGAGTTGCCAATAGAGGATCCTTGAAAACAGCCGATTCACATTTTCCGAGATAATACGAGTAGAATATATAATATGCTAGCAATGACATTCGCAGCATCTATAAATATCCGTAGATCTATGTACAAGTAGGAGCCACATGTACCAGAATAGGTTGTACACAACAAAACAGCACAAGGAGGATATCTGCATTGTCTGGTCGAATCGAGTAGCCTTCCTCATCTACATCCACATCCACACTTGCTTCCTGCAATGTATAGCAGCAGCAGCAGCAGCAGCAGCAGCAACCCATAATAATAATAATAAGCATGTGATACGGACATACAACCTGGAAAACACTCCACCGGCACCACACAAGTGCCTGCATGTTAGTATACATATTCGTCCAACTAAGCAACACTAAATTACAGCACTGTACAATTTCGTTGCACCACATATCTGGCCAAATGGACAGAGGTTTAATCGCTCATGTTGACGTGGTTATTACGATGCACTGCTTGATGCACGCGTGTTCCACTGTCCGTGCAAAGGCGGCAACGGGCCACATGTGGCTGTACAAGTTTGTACAAGACTGGTTCCGGAACGTCCAGGGATACTCTGAAAGTGCGCGCACAGCGAGTGTTGCATCACAAAACGATGTTGACATGAAACTCATTGGATTAAAGCGTACAAAATGAACTGAAAAAATCCGTTTGGCCAGAAAGTGTGCTGGTTTGCAAGGGTGTTGGATAAACAAGTGCCGGATTAGAGAGGGAAGACTGTACTACAAGATTATTTTGTCCTGGACTTACCGGTCCGGGCGTTGCACTTGGCGTGTCTCCTTCTTTCTCACTGAAGATGCGGAGCACAGAGAAACGAGACAGAGGTGAGGTGTGGTAAGTGTCATCCCACCTCTAGCCGCAGACGGGGGTGCAAGGCTACACGGCTCACGTGCTGTTGGCGGCTACAGATTACAGTGCAGACCAGTGATGCCCCCCCCCCCCCCCCTCCCTCCGGGACATGAACAAAAAGGTGCAGGGCACTGAACATGGAGCATTTTTAAGAGCCCGAGGCTGCTGTAGTATGTTATTCTTGGGGCAAATTTCACTGTGCCATTATCGCTCCATTATTGCATCATCACTGTAACAAGCCAGGCAGTACACGCACACTGTGCAGCGGAACCTCCCTTAGGAAACAGCTACCAAGGCAGGAAACCACCATGGTAAAAGGAGATAACGTTCGGTCCTCCCGACCGATTTCAATCAATGTGGCATCGACCTCCGTGATAAGGACAAGGTGCCACATACAGTCACAGATCTGTATAATCTCAGGGTACTATCTGTATTGCCATTGGAGAGCTTGTACATAGTATTCTAGTAGTGATCACCTGATCTCAATGGCAATAGTGAAGTACATGTTCAACAATGGACAGTCACTTGCCACAACTGTAGCGGTATAGTTAATGCCATCACTGTCAACATCATTACCATCGAACAAGCAGTGTACTTCAAGTAGTTCCTTAGACACTATGGCCGAGAGGGATTAAAAAAAAGCGAAGAGGAGAGTTAAGATTCACAAACGAATGAGACTTGAAGGGCAGATCTTCATGACATAATGAGAACCACGTACCCCTTTCCTTTTTCCTTCTTCTTTTTCTTCCTAAGCCACTTCTTCTTGGCAGATGCCGCTGAGATCGGAACAAGAAGAAAAAACAGCACATAGCAGACACACCATAGCCAAGTGTGTTGTCAGCTACAAGAACACGACTGTCGTAAATCCAACATTGATACGCAGTGATAATGGTTGCGCCATGCTTCTATAAGAACTAGAACCAAGAGTGTGCAACTCCTGTATTAAATAGAGGCGGAGTAATGTACTGACATACTTCCAAGGCCTGATTGTCCCTAAGTGATCCGCGACAGTGCGGCCCTATACAGGGGAAAGCCCCGCAACTAAAGGATAAGCTACCCAAGCGCATTGGTGTGGCAGGCCTGGTCTCAGTGCCGGTTGTACTAGAACTAGAATGCACTAGGTGCGTGTGCACATCCGATGGCTGCACTGAGAACCAGCACTGCTGCTGATTACACAGATGAAGTTACAGCTGGAGAACAACATCATGAACATATACACGAGGGATGCACCTAGCGTGCAAACACTGATGATGATTGCACGGTTGTGTATGAAATTCTGAGTTACAGCCACAGAGCCGTTTCGTCCACTGTTTGACTGTAGTGAACATATACATGATGTAGCAGCACTGTGACTAACCATCCGAGCCAGGATCCGGTGAGACACTGGGCAGCGAACTAGAACTTTGCACCTGGCCAGTAAGTGCAGAGACCGCTGGCAGAACGGGCATCTCCGTCGGTGGCGGCTCGAACTTCAGCGCGGGTGCCAGTGTTGTGCCGCTGCCCCGCACCGCCACAAATTGCTGTAACATGACCTCTGCTGAAAGGGTGGTCTCCTTATCCTGGTGCTTCTTCACAAACTCAACTGTACTCTCCATCTTGCGCTCGACGGTTAATATCGTGGCAACAAATTTCTTCATCTGCGAGAGATGCTCCATTTCCGTTTTCTGCAGTCGATCAGCCAGAACTGTCATTTTATCCCGGAAATCTTGACGAGCTGTCTCCTGTTTCTGAAGGCTTGCCTTGTAGTCTGATTCTATAGAATCACAGAGAGCAAACAAAGAAAGGCAGGGTCATACTTTGCAAAACAAAACAGCACATTTTACATATCACCATACTATAATAAAAGTGAGGGAGAGAGAGAGAGGGGGGGGGGGGGGGGGGGGAGCAGTATTCATTGCAAATCTCTAGATACCAAAACTATGGCTTTGCCTGAACAACGACAACGATGCCGGCAACAATAGCAACAGCAACACCACCGCCAAAAAGAACAACAACAACAACAACAACAACAACAACAACAACAACAACAACAACAACAACAACAACAACAACAACAACAACAACAACACATACATGCGTGCACAAACAAACAAACAAACAACCCCCCCCCCCCCCCGGGGGCCCCCCACACACACACACCTGATTGCTGTGCATGGCTGTCAGCTTTCTTCAGTCGAGATTCAAGCTGGACAGAAATACAGCACAGGAATTGAAGCGGGAGAAACCAGCAGTTGATACACATAATATTGGCCTATTGCACATTAAGGTGTACACAGAACACATTTACAGAGGCAAGCAGGCCACGTGTCATCATTTTAAAGACCCACGCCGCATGGCACTACTGACTACAGAAACAGAGAGCGCCAACAAATGGGCTGTTCATGACTATTCTACACTTTATGACACTAATACAAGTGAAATGAATGCAAGAGACGAATTGCGTTCGCATTCATCTCACTTGCAGAAGTGTCATAAAGTGCAGCGTAATTCGGCAAAGCAAAGGAGAAGAACATGTTGGTAGGCCACTCGAATTTGCCAACTTGAACGATCCCGCATTGGCCAAATGCACTAGCGATCACCAGTGCGCACCGTTCACATGCCACTGTTCTTCAAACGTGTACGGAATCGGTGGCAGAGCAGGCCAGGAGAGTCGAACATTAGAGAGGTTCCGCGCAACATTTGTTTGGCATACCGTGGAATTTCGTGTCAGAAATGGCCGCACTTCGTTCAAGTTCGAATGAGAGATTTCGTCAACATTGAAGTGGAAAAATGTGGCGCGAAATGTCTCTTTTGTCCAACTCTCCAGGCCCTGGGTGTGGGTGATTTTACCGTACAACTTTCTTTGGTAAGCATTACACTGCTTCACACAAGCGTATCAAACCAGAAGAGGCCTCAAGAGGACTCCCGGTCCTGGTGCACACCGGCGATACGTGAACCAAACCACTATCGAAATTAATGTATAAAATTCTAAGCAGTGTGCGAATGCAGCCACTTCGTTAACTTGAGACGCACACATGTGCATTAAAACTATGTCCCTAGATCTACTAGAACAGTGACGAGTATGGGCACTGTTGGGTCGTAAACTGAAGCCGCTGTGCAAAGGGCAATCAGAAAGAAAACCCTTGTAACTGCACCTTTCCCATTGAAATAAACATCAGCAGCAGCAGCACTCACCTTTTCTAGGTCCTTTTGCTTGTGGGCTTCGCGGTTGATTTTGGACAGGTGCTCTACTAACTCACACGCCTGGTGATGTGCCTGATGGTACATTACCTTGCACTGTACCCCGCAAGAAACACACACACACACAGTGACACACACACACACAGAGTGACACACAGTGACACACACACACACACACACACAGTGACACACACACACACACACACACACACACACACACACACACACACACACAGAGTGACACATATACACACACAGTGACACACATACACACACATGTTGAAACATGCAAGACTTCATAAGCACGTATACAAATAAAAAAGGTGCCGTTAATATGATGGTATAATAAGTGTGGAGCATGAATGGTTGCACTGGATGCAAAAAAGCGATACAGCCAACTTGATGAGATGCAGTGAAAGGAAGGTGAGAGCCCAGTTATTAGCTTCTAGACATGGATGTCATCAAGAGTACATAAGTAACATAACCCCCTAGAGTGTGCAACTCCAGCTATGGGGTCTACGGCGGCAGAACTTCACATCACGTGACGAACCCGTACGCATTATTCGCACCCTGTTCATGATAGATACAGGGTTGTACGCAACTCTGCTTTGGGTTCAACTCTCTTGTGGTCACTTTGCACTGTTTGCCAGCTTGACCTTTCGAACCATGTCACGTGATGTGAAGTTCTGCCGTCGAAGCATTGTATACAGGTTGCGCAGGCAGTTGCACACTCTTCGGGGCCATGTACTCTATATACCCATTAGGCCATCATTTTTTTATATCTATGTTTCGCGTCGTCCGCACGCATACGTTTTGATTTTTTTCGGAAAAAAATAAAAAATCGAACATGCACATGCACAGTGTACGATCGTGCGAGTCACCAGTGTGGACTGATTGCATACGGCGAAGCTGGGATGCAGAAATGGCCTTGAGCCAGTTGAGGCCAGCGCCGGTAAATCGTTTGTTCGACATCTGCTAGCAATATTCTATGAGCTTACACCAGACCGCATCGATCGCCTCAAGCTGAGAGGATGCGTCGTTCCCGGCTCCTTGCACCGCTGCTGAAGGCTGAGTACAATAATTTAGCGAAGCAAGGGCACCAACGGTTGCCTCCTCTGTCCAAGTGATGCTGATAACCCAGATTTTGTGCTTCGATGGACGATTTTTCTTTCGCATGTACACCATGCACGAGCTATTGTGCTATGTACAGTGCTATACACCTCTGATGAGCCTTTTTTATTATTTTGAAACTTTTTATTTTTTTCCACCTCTCGCATATGATTCTGGAAGTTGAACTGACGCGAAACATAGATATAAAAAATGATGGCCTTACAGAACATGTGCTCAGGGGCGTAGCAGCCGCTCCGGCCGGTCCGGCTTTGGCCGGACCACTTTTTCGCCCGACCACGACCACCATAGTAAAACAATGCCAAAGTGCCGAGAATGCAGGATTTTGCACCCTAATTTCAAAAAAAATTCCGCGGGGAGATCCCTCCGGACCCCCCCCCCCCCCCCCCCTGGCCGGACCACCGCCAACGGCGGTGCTACGCGCCTGGTGCTGGAAAGGATATTGCAATGCATTCTCAACAGCTTGCTATTTCAGCTTGCTCTGTTCTATGATGCAGTGGTGATGAAAACATCAGCACTGATTAGTGTGGGCTGTGTCTCTCTGCTGCCGTCCCTACAATGCAGGCTACACTCTGTTCAAGCCAGGGCAGTTGTCATTGCCGAGATGAGTCCAACACACACACACACACATACACACACACACACACATACCTAGAACAGTAAATACAGTACCTTGTTAGCATGTGAAGTAGTTTGCTCCAGCGCTGACAGGGCTTCTGCACACGGTGTCACTGCCTGATCCTTAGACTGTGCACGGATGGACAATCAATCACAACAAAACCCTGCACATAAAGTACTGCAGTTTCCGCTCTTCTGCTAAAAGAAGTTAAAGAACTGAACATACAGGTAATAATAATTATAACAGCAGTTTTTTTCCAATTGACTTGGAATGTGGGGAGAATCGGTTGCTTCTATTTGCAAATCCAGAATTGCTTTGTACAATTTTTTTGACTTGGTTTCGTGATTTGCAAATAATAATTGGATCCACAGGATAATAACGGAGTGTTTGACATAGGGATAACACAAGCTTGAGGCTCTTTACAATAAGCATTTCAAAGTTTCCACTAGTACATTCATTGCCTTCTCTTCAGGTGAATACAGGCAGAAGAAGAAGAAACTAGCGAGCACAATAACTTGAACACACACAGAAGGGGGGGGGGGGGTAAAGCTGTGTTCACAACAAACCACGCGGTTGTGCGGATTATGCTGGCTCTTGGGCGCCATGCATATGGAAACGCGCCGAAATGGAAATTTCAACATGTATTATTAGCGCGTATCAGGTGCATACCGGCGTACATGGCAGTCACCTTGACTGGCGGGGTCAATAAATTAGTACTCGAAGGCGCCACACGTCCTAAATACGACTCGAATTGCTGTTTTCGTGAAAGTCTGAGCGCGCGATTGGGCACGCATGAACCGCAAGCGGACCGCGTCAGTTGTGAATACAGCTTAAAGTGATGATTCACACGCACATCGAAACACAGCAAATCCTACAGTTATGCACTAGTGGTGGACGTGTGAAGAGGTGGGATCAACGGGATATGCATTGTGATAACAATATACGACCAGTGAACTGAACAAACGGTGGATGTGCTACCTAACAGCCTGAGCGTGACTGATTGTGTTTTGTTTCTGCAAGCACAGGCTTGGTTCTCTTGTGTGAATCAAGACGACCTTCAAATCACCCAGCAGCCTAGCATCACATATGAGGTGTTTCTCGCGCTGGGAATGAAGCGTCTCTGTAAGTTTGTATCCCTAGTGATGTTTTGGCCTGGAGAGCGCTATAAGTGGTGCTCTTCAAGCACAATCTTCCTCAGTCTAATCAAGCTCAACTGATGAGGGGTGAACTCCCCGAAACTCTATGTATTGAGCAGAGAGCGGTGCTTTTTTTGCAGGTTGCTCAGAATGTTACAAGCGTTGATTACGATAGATCTAACGTATTGTGTATCCACAACTTCACTTGGTACAACCTTCTAGTAGCTGCTCTGTTTCCACAAAGAAACAAGAGACTCCACTGAGGTGTATCAACTCTCTCAGTGCTATACATGTACAGCAACTGAACACACCATCACCTAACTAGCCATACAAAGTACTGCTACAGCACTGAACCAGCTGAATATCCAAAGTACGCAAGCAGACAGCAGACAAGTCATACGCACCAGCCTATACTGCTCTTTCTGATGATTGTGATAGGCGCTGATCTCTTTGGCTAGCTCCATCAGCTTTGAAGCCAGGCTAAGATGTGCCAACGCTACCTTATCCGAATAGGCGCAAACAAGCTCCATCCATGCCGGTGCAAACGCTCTAAATACACGCGGGCACACGTAAACACAGAGCAGATGAATATAAAGGCACACAGCTAAGGTATTCAGACACAGGACACACTGTACATGATGTGCTGACAAAATACCACTATGTCACAAGTATACAAGGTAAGGCATTAAGAAACACACTCCATTCCAGGACCGGAGAGCGTAACCGTACCTGCCCCCCCCCCCCCCCCCCACTGCGCGCGCACACTTGCACGCGCGCACGCACACACACACACACACACACACACACACACACAACGGACACAGAACGACAGCAACGACACCACCACCACCACCACCACCAACACCACCACCACCAACAACAACAACACCATCAATACAAGATCCGAAAGAGTAGGTCATGGCAGTAGTTCGGGCATTGTACTCGTACACTGGGAACTCACCCAATATGTGCACCGACTTGAGCATTGTGCTTGGCTGCCTTTTGCAGGTCCTTTCCGATCTGTTCTTCGGCCTTTGCTCTAGATCAATACAACAAGTACATCATGGAGAGGAGCGCAATATGATCACATCTGATGGCACGACATGGTAAGTCAACATGGCACTACGACAAAGACACACGCAACACAACAGCAGCACTCCCCTAAGCCTTAGCCATGGTCAGCTTGTCAGTCTTGTGTTCATGACATGCTTATGGCAGACAGGTCAGGATAGGATGTGCTCGATAAGAACACTACCATGTGAGCCTTCCTACTACACTGTTCAAAGCATCACGCAAGGTGCACGTTCTGTGCCAAGATGCAGTCGATATGAGCATGAATGCGTGCATCTGAGCATACATGACTCTGGTCAAAAACGTCACATCCCTGGATGTGGGTGGCGTGTTCGTTTTCCCTGCTGTTTGAAGCCGACTTTCGGACTGAATGGCAGTTCGTGCACCCTGAATCCAAGGATCACGCCGCGCTGGCACAAATCAAGCTATAACGGGCGTGCGGGCATGAGGAAGTGCGGCTTTTGAGTGCAGGAGTTCAGCGTGCGGTGTAGTCAATTAGGTAAGGAAAGCACAATGTATATGTACGTATGGTGCACTGACTCATACATACAATCGGTTGTGGACTCTTGGTAATAGTGTGACATGATAGTGAACATAGATTTGTATACCGCAGAAGTACATACATGTATAAGTATAAGTGAAAAGAAAGGCTCAGCGTGTCCCCCACTGCACCATCCACAAAGCCAAGATGGAGACGCCCTTAGAAAATATATACCGTAATGAAATATTAACTGCAAAAAAACACAATATCAAGAGATGGGATCTAAATTGCATTGGGCTAAGTTCCATCAGTTCAAAGCATTATCATACATAGTTCACATCATGAAGATCAACTGTTGCGATTGAAACACTAGTCTTCGAATTGTTCACCGTCATGGCCTACAAGCACTTTGGGATGAATATTGAGTGAACACAAATTCGTGACTTTGTACAAATTTAAAATTTCGGTCTTACCTGTCACGAACAAAGCCTTCTAGTTCCTTGCTGGCATTGTTCGCCTGTTTCGTATTCTGAAGAAGAATATCCAGCCCTCCATCGCCCTAAGGAAAAGCAGAACACTCCAGCATCAGCACAGGAATGTTTCATTCCCCCGGTATCGAAACGTCCATCGTACCCAAAATGCGTCTCGAAATTCAGTCACTGTTGGAATACTACTATGACGCTGCGAAATAGGCCTCTCGTCGCCTTCGGATGAGATTGACATATCGCTTAGATCACCAACACAACCATATATCTAAGAGAGGACGTTCATCCCAAGCAGGAGCGACCCAATCAACTCCAGACTTCTTTGATATCCAGAAACCAAACCAAAATTTGCTTTTGCGTCACACTCCCCTCATGCACTCGACTGCTGAGTACATGAGTGCTGACCACCAGGCCAGGGCAGGGAGTTTGTACGACTCCCTGCTCTGCACACGTCTTCCCTCGTACACACAAACTCACTCTCTGCAGATCTGTGCTGTCCCGATCCCATACATACCCGCGCTATGCACAGACTTCATGCACCTGTGCATGTGTGTGTGTGGCTGGTGCCAGAGCGCAGAGCTAGAGCAAGAGGTGGGTGGCTGTGCCAGTCCAAGTCATGTGCTGCTATGCTAGCTATGCTTGATGGTCGGTCGGAAGATCAATCATCGATGCGATTTGTAGACAACTCGTTGCAACTAACTGTTACCTACAATACTGTCAATAGTCAATACTGACAATAGTCACTCCGAGTATTTATGTCGCAGTGTCAAGCTTGCAAGCTTCATCACTCAGGTGAGCACATGAAGTAAGTCACTAAGTGTACTCCCTGCCTGGGAAGTGGTTGAACTTTGACGTTGAAGACATGGCTTGCTCACGCATCTCAGACTCTTGTCTTGAAAAGCGAGTTGAATGTGTTCGAGTGCAAGATTGGAGAAAGAACACACACACACGTACTGTGACACAGTGACATAAAAGGGGCTAAGGCCGTAAGTAAGGGTCAGCTCTGTGCGTGCGTGTGTGTAGTGTCAGTGGAAATGTAAGTGCAACCACTTACTCTCACTTTACTAGTGATTAGGTGATGTGGCCGTGAATCCGGCTAACTAATACTTTACTCTCTCTTTTTTTTACTGCCAGTCTGGCACAGTATTGCTACAGTACTGGTGCATGACATGACAGTCGACAGATGCACGCGCGTACGCAAAACCAAGATTCGAGGCAAGAAGGAGCCCATTTTATTCCTTGCAAAAAATTACTCCTGACAGGTACTTTCTTCTAGTATAGCTAGCGGAGATACTGCCTGTTCCAAAGGAGCGGTATCTACATGACATTGTACATGTATGAGCAAGAGTATGGGGGGGGTTATACTCTTGGTATGAGTCGTAGATTTACCCGAGCCCCTCAACGGCTCAAGTCAAGGCTCAAGTGTAGGTATCGTATCAAAATGGTTCATGATGATTGTCAGATTAAATTCGCTTCTATAGCCCGTTTGGCCTTGCGAAGTAAAAATAAAAATCATCTACAATGCATGACAACTGTATCATGTAGTATGACCATGGTAGGCATGTAGACTATATATGGGCCGGCACATAGCAGTCACATACCATGCATACCGCGAAGAGGGGGCGCGTAGCGCTCGCACAGTACGGACTGTGCCCGTACCGGCCGTGGGAAAATACTTGTAAAGGTCAAGAGTTCAGTGTTGTCAGCAAGGGATTGATGCCGGCATGTTCAAGTCATATCATCCGACCTGGCCGGCCATTCATCGCTGCTTTCCACCCTGCTCGTCCTGCAGTGACTCCTTCTTCCCATAATCACCCTCAGTGGAGTCTGGGCCTGGTGATCACCCAGGCCTGCAGAACTACATGTAAGTATTGTAGATCTACAATACACACGAACTAACTACATTGTGACTAATGCTTACTTGTGACTGTGTGAGATCGGAAACTGTTGAAAGCGGTCAACACATGTCCTCAGCACGGCATTCAGACACCCACCCACCGCCACTCACATACCGGTAGTCATTCACAGAGATGTCAGCTAAATACTAAAATGAACACCACACACTGACACAGAGTCACCATACCATGGGCACACACAGCACTGATGTGACAGACGCTCACCGAGCTTCCTGTTCTGCGGTAGGCTAGGAAAGACCACAAGTCGCGCTAGCTGTAGACGTAGTCTAGTGCATAGACCTACGATGTATCTGAAGCAGGGAGTAGTACGATCCAATTGTACTACAATCATGTACTCCCTGATCTGAAGATCCATGCATACGACGATTGCTACTTGTATTTCTTCCTGCAGGATACGACTGGTACAGTGGTAGTGCAGTGAGCCGAGGGGTCCGGGTACTAGTACTACAGTCATGACATTGTGTACATCAGGGAGTCGTAAAATACCGGTATTTTACGACTCCCTGGTGTACATGTACTTGACACAAAATCTACATCATATTATGAATATCTTTGTGTCGTATCTAACACTACCAAAAGGTAGTAGATCTAAGTAGTATTCCGGATCCCTGTCTACCACCATGCATGGGCTCTCTTGATCTTGTTCACATTACCCTAATTAGTCAGGACCGCCGGAACTCTGGGGCGGAAGCAGTTTTGGATTGGTCCGGTTACTCCGGTAGTATCATGGCCATTCATACTTTGGGTATGGCATGGCGGGTACGCCTGCCCTCCACAGTAGGAAACATGTATTGGTGGCTGAAAAGTAACGTTTATAATAGTGGGTCCAATAATAAATATAACCTGACCAACCGACCGGTTCCGGCGGGCCTGTTATACGTTAGTACTCTTGGTGTAGGTGGGTCACCGCGCTCTCGTGGTACAAAATCAATGTCACACAAGAGTACATAAAATATGAGCTACAATTGTAGTAGCACCGGTAGCAGCATTGCACCGACTTTACCATAATTTACGGTATTGATGCTACTGAGTACTCCACATTGTACTACTTCAGTACTTTTTCTCACACTCGCATACCGGCACTTGCAAGCCGGAGTACAAGCCCCCCCCCCCCCCCGGGCTTATAGTTATATAATTATTATACTTTTGAAGTATACTCTTGGTACTGGCAGTAGCCAACTAAATGAATACAATATTGTCATACTGATTGTGTGCTCTGTCTGCCTAATTGAAACTTTCCAAGCGCCTGTCAAAACATTGTGTCAGTGAGTACAGTCATATTCTCACATGCAATCACAACTACTTAGCGTGTTACAAACAAAGTACACATTTAAAGATAAAAAGATAAAAGAAAGGAGCGGCAAAATGTTACATGGTCCTTTCTTGGCTAGCTGTACATCAGGGAGCCCTACACACCCACACACGCAGATAAGCACACAGGACCACAGGGACGGGGTGGGTACTGCATGTAGAAACTGCTTCACACCCTGCACTGCAGAGTCATTCAAGCGCTCACACACCATACACGACACCCACTCACATAAGAGCAATGAGCACTTCTACAGAGGCATTTGCCTTGAGGAAAGAGAAAGAAAAAAATGCATTGGGTGACTAACACTATAAACGAAACCTATGGACTGGCTATAGAGGACAAGCACGCACACACACACACACACACACACGCACACACACACACACAGCCACACACACGCACACAGCCACACACACACACACACTGATACACAGCCACACACAATCAGCATGTATGCCAGTTCGTATAGAGAATGGAGCAGAATACAATATTTCAAATTCCAATACATGGCATTCATTGTATGCAGTGTGAGCACTGTTCGACTCAAAGCACGAACGCGTGAAAATCTGCACGAATAGAAGGACAAATACAAGAGATGTACGCATAGGCATGTCAAGACAGTGGCTGAAGGCCATCTGCAGAAAGACACCTTGATGACCCGAGGACATCGTACTAGTTGAGGTGCTTCTCTGCTGTAGCTGCCAGTGCTGCTGAAGCTCTTGCTACTGCATAGCCACGGGTACATGTTCACACACACACACACATTCACGCTTACTGTGAGCCAAAGCGGTCAGCTCTCTTAGCTTTCTTTGCCTGCAGAAAATAAAGACAACAAGCAGCCAGCCACGTTAAAAAGCATAATGTGTGCATTCACATACATTGCACAGATGAGCACGCAAACACACGAACATACATGTGCACGCATGCACGCACCCACACCCACACAGACTGAGAGTCTTGGACGCAATGCAAGAACATGAGTTAGTAACCTGCACAACATAACACTTCCCATGATAAATGCTCTTTTTTATTGCTCATAGTCATAGCACATTCGTACCCAGCTGAAAGTGCCCACAGCATTAGTGTACCTCACATAAATTCTCAAGCAGGTGAAAGAGTCAGTACAAGCTACAGAGGTGCCAGGAACATTTTTTAAAAAGGTCAGGCAGAATACAGTCAATGCATACCTCTACAGTGTCAGCAGGTCCAAAACGCTCTGCTCGCCTCTTCATTGCTTCTGTTTCTGTCGCCTAACACAAATAAAAAGCAGGGAGTCAGACAGAGATCATGCCGCACACAGGCACACGGTGCACAACATGGAAATCGCTGTGCTACATGGAGAAGATCTTGAACGACATAAATACTATTCATGCGTTGAATTCTACACTACCTTTTGCAATCGTGCCGAGGTGACCTCGCCTCCGAAACGTGCTGCTCTGCTCTTCAGCTTGTCAATCTGCACAAGGTACGTTAGGACAGAAACACACACCAACAAAAAGTGTTCAGCAACACATCAACCATACACTCTCACCACCAAAAAACAACTTTGATCACCTCATATTCATAAGCTTACAGGACAGCGCTAAGATGCCACGGTTGAGTGGTATTCGGCACCGCAAATGTACATCGGTCTGGCTTTCATTTGCCACAAAGGCCAGACAACATTGCGGTGTAACTGTTAGGATCCAGCTTGAGCATGTCACAGACCGGAGCTGGGAAATAAAGCTAGTACAACTGTCTGTATTTGGCAAGCACATTACAAATTAGTATAAACTTACATCAGCTGAACTGGCGGTGGAAGAAGCTGCACAAGTATACCAACAGGAAGAAGAAACAAAAGAACATGCAAGCAGTGAATACTAGTATGCTTGAAACACTCCACATCCCCCCCCCCCCACACACACACACTGTAGAAGCAATGCATTCGCTCGTGCTGCAGCATAGTGTCAAGCGCAGAAGGAGGGAAGGCACAGATGTCATTAACCCAACAGTTTGAGAAAAAAGCAGCCCAGCATAAGAGAACATGCCAGAAGTAAAGCAATAACAGTTTACATAGTGAACTAGAACACAACTCCTTTTGGTTTGAAACTAGTATATGAGTAAGCAAACACACATACCTGCTGGCCCGTTTGCGGACGCCCCAAATCTGCACAACATCAAAGCAAAGTATGCAAGTGTGAGTTCACAAAACAATACACATCCATAGAGCTACAGATGTGAAAATCACTTAGTAAGAAGGACAAGGGCACTGTATTGTCATAGATACTAAAATAGGGATAGACCACACTGACACAATACATAATGCACTCATACCTCGCTTATCCGGGCGGTCCCGGACTGGGCACTGTACGAAACCTCGAAATGTCCGTAACTCCGAATCACATACATTTTGATGGGGAAAGGCCATAAATATGGCATATGAGTCCATGATATGACGTTACTATTTCCACGAAAAGTGACAAAAGAGTACAGTGAAACCTGTCTAAGGCGACTGCTCAAGGGGCCTTCGAAACGTGGTCTCTGAGTACAGGTGGTCTCCTTATCCAGGGTCGTTTTACTAAATTGGATGTACCATCCTTTGGTCCTAGTTGAAGTGGTCCTTTGGGACAGGTGGCCGGTCGCCTTATCCGAGTGGTCGCCTTGACAGGTTTTACTGTAGTAGTATTATCAAAAAAATACTTGCCCAATGGCCCTGGGTGCCCGGTAGACTGAAGTGCCCGTAACTCCGGGGTGCAGATAAGTATGAGTGTACATATAACACAGAATAATGAGATACAACCCGCACCCAAAAGGAATGATCAGAGTCTGTTGAAACCTCGAGCAGTTAGCTAGCACGGTGACAAATCTTACCGTTTGGCTCGATCCGCTTTCTTGTCATCAGCGGATGCGGGAAGGCCAAACCGGGAGGCCCGCTCTGCCTTCCGCTTCTCCTCTGCATTCAAGCCAAAGCGTTCGGCTCTCTCTGCTTTGCGTGTGTCCTCTGACTTCACGCCAAAGCGCTTGGCACGTTCCAATTTTCTCTACAGGGCGTGCCAGCACAACACAAGAAACAAGAACAATAAACAGGAGCATGCATACAAAATAACCTCACTCAGGCGAGGCTTGATCCGGTTCACCACACATCATACCAGAACTGACAGCAACGATACTGTACAATAGCTATAGCCTTACGAGTATTCACCGGTTCAACCAGTATATCGTGCAAGTATCAACATGCACGCACACACATACGCACAGGGAGAGAGAGAGAGAGAGAGAGAGAGAGAGAGAGAGAGAGAGAGAGAGAGAGAGAGAGAGAGAGAGAGAGAGAGAGACAGAGAGAGAGAGGGAGAGAGAGAAAATGGAGAGCTAGAGTTAGATAGGCAAATAGATAGAGGCGGCGAGGCAAACCCTACCTCTTCTTCGGTGAGATTGTCAGAAGTAGTGGATGAAGGAACTGCAACACTCTTAGGCCCAGTGCTGTCAGGCTGCATACACAGAGTTACAGAAAGCAAGAAAAACATAGTCCAGGAGAAGGTTTGGGATTTTCTCCTTGTGACCCGTTCTCACACTGTAAGTACAAGTAACAACGTGACTTCTATACATTGGTGAAGGCTTGCATGAACAATCATCGGTATTTCTTTCCTCTAGTCATGAAGCCCTACGGTGACAAGGCTAATGAAAAGCAGGAGTGTGGTGGGCATTGGCAAGCAGAATCTAAAGTATGGCAGGCCCAGCGGAAGTCTAAGCTGCCCCACCAACAAACACATCAACTCACTTCAACACAACTATAGAGACACAGTCGCTTAGCTTTCCAAATGACTGCAAGCCAAGTTGGCAACGAGGACGGCATTCTGTCGCAATACTATGGTCTTGAAAATGCAGTAGCTCACATCAAAAGGCTTTACGGACTTGCTGATGATGGACTTATTTCAGTCTATGAATAGGGTAAACAATGCTGTGCACTCCAAAGCTATTGAAGAGCATACATCTTGTCTAGAGACGGTCAAGAGCTGGTGTCCCCTGGGGCGAGTCCACCGCACTCACGCTATAGGGCTTGAAAGTGATGACGTCAAAACGGCCAGGGAGTAGTAATTTGACATCAGATTTCTATTTTTGGATCCACTAAGGTGTGACTTTGCTATTGCCTAAGTATGTGGGTGCATAGCAACCTACTCATGTCGCATGCAGGTGTGACTTTTATTTCGCCACCAGTTGTAACCCCGCCCCCAGTAGCCAAATCAGTCAGTTTCACTGGCTACATCACCATGCTGTGGGTAAGACCGCTTGAAATGTGCTTGGATCCATACAAAAACTGGATCCAAGTGGATCCAGTTTTTGAATTTTTGAAATTGTTGCTATGCTGTGACGTAGCACTTTCAAGCCCTATTCTTCATACAAGTTCTCTTCATAGTGCCTGCATGGGTTGCAGCTGGGATAGGCATTCCCGGGGCACAATTTCACCAAGGTATCGTCAATAAAGAAGGTGACGAAAGAGGAACGCTCCAAGAGGAGGTAAAAATGACAAGAGCAAAGAGGGACAGCTGATGCCATATCTATCAGCAAGAAGCACCACATCAGCCATAGCATCATAGCAACAAGCACACACACACACACACACACACACACACACACACACACACACACACACACACACACACACAACCAGACTCACCACAGTGGATGTCGCTTCAGCGCCGGACGCATCAGCTGGTGCTGCTGCATCGGTAGCATCATCCTGGGCACTTTGATCCTCGTCGGCCGCAGCCGTTGCGTTCTCCTCTTCCTCCGCCTGCTGTGCAACGTCACCATCTTCTTCCTCTCCAAGGTCCTCAGGGAGAGTACCGCTGTCATTAGTCAGATCAGCTTCATCATCACCTAACCAACAAAGCACAAAGATCAGCTTCATCATCACCTAACCAACAAAGCACAAAGATCAGCTTCATCATCACCTAACCAACAAAGCACAAAGATCAGCTTCATCATCACCTAACCAACAAAGCACAAAGATCAGCTTCATCATCACCTAACCAACAAAGCACAAAGATCAGCTTCATCATCACCTAACCAACAAAGCACAAAGATCAGCTTCATCATCACCTAACCAACAAAGCACAAAGATCAGCTTCATCATCACCTAACCAACAAAGCACAAACATTCAAAGACAAATGCATGAGATGCGTTTAGAGCGAATGAAACCCCAAACACACGTCTGTCGCCCCATTCCTACGAAGAACTGATGCTGGAGAGAGTTTATACTCTTCATGACCTCTATGATAAGCCCTCAATCGCCATGCTCCACTGTACACTGCACAATGGCAACATGGCTTACCTTGAGTCAAGTGCTGTTCCAATCTTGCAACCAGCTCATCCTTCTTGCCCTTGACTGGCAAGCCTAGGTTGGCCAGCTCCCGCTTCAAGTCCGGAACCTGAAGTCACAGAAAGTACAATACATGTACATGAACTGCATTATGCAGCATAAGCGTTTAAAAATGTGCGTGTGCGTTTGGGGGGGGGGGGGGGGGGGGGGGGGGGAGGGGTGATCCGAGGAACATCCTCAAATGCAGGGCACATCGATGTGAGCACAAGGAATCAACCATTCCAACTGGACACCACTCTCCATTTCTCTCTGTGTCAAACTTTGACACGTCAGGCGAAATTACTGGTCAGTCGGCGACACGCATTTTTCACAAAAATTTGCGTTTCACCTGCTGGGAGAGTATGTGTGTACTCGAGTCTCATCCTGAGCACGTTTTTTTCTTCTTTTTTTCAGCACCAGTATAGCTGTATTTTTCATTGCAAAGCCGTCCTCGATTGTTGTGTTCGTTGTTCAAACGAAGTGGACATTCAATCATGAAGGCAGAGGACATAGGAGCCTGATTGGAGTTTCTCGTGGCATAGGACGGCCACACAGAGACACTTTGGGATTTTCTGAATATGAAATACCGTACGCACGATGCTGAGATCAATTTGTGCGAAATCAAATTGTTTGTGATCAACCACATCGAGCAGAACGGGATCCAAACACGAGCTTACCGACGGTTAGGCTGCCGACCTGACTGGACAAATGATCCCTGGCTTCACCAGACGCCAGAAGTCGGACACCATGTCCTTTGCCGCGACGTCCATCTCCAAAAAGAACTCCATCTTCGTCGTGAAAAGGCTTGAAATACTCAATATTCAACCGACATTCGCGGTCTCACCCTTTCTCAGATCGAATCATTTTTTGTTGTAGCAGTTGCAGGGCAGATCCCCGCAACTACTTCAACAGGCGATGACTCCAAAGCATGCCTGGAACAAGCCATATCGAGGTTGCAAGCCACCCCTCTCAGCAAAAAATTCGAAGAAATTCGAAATTTCAATGGTGGAAGATATACTATGAAGAGAATTTCGAAAAGTATGTTTCGCGGAGCGATCGCTCAACCTACGTCATTCAAACTTTGCAGGATGGTTAAAACGTACATGCTAGGCATGGAACCACAGGCGATGATGCCATAGCTGACACACAGAGTAACACACACACAGCAGATTCGTGTGCACAGATACTAAATTAGTGGACGTTGTCATCTTCTTCCCGCTTATCTCGAATGTACTATGACGTGCTATTTCGCCTGACGTGTGACGTTATGGGCTAGAGGACTGGGATTTTAACTTTTTGCCCATTCTAATCCAGAGCCCATTATCACCCACGTTCCCGTATCCGTTACGTGGGACTAAACCTCCCTATTGCCATTTTGCCCGAAATTCCAATGCTGGAAGTTAAACCTCAATATCACTACATGCAGGAATGGCTTTTGTAAGTTGTAACCACTAAATTCAATGGCAGCTTCAGAATCCTGTTGGTCTGCTAAAAATCAACAAGTTTGGTGAAACGTGACCATAAAACTGTGCGGCAAAGTCTGAAACGGTAGAGAATCTCCTTGATAAAGTTCTGCTCACCTTCCATTTCGAAAGATTAGCCCAGTCCAATTCAGCTTCTTCGGCCATTATGAAACAAATGCTAACCAAAGTGGCAAGAATTCTCAGCTCCGTACGAAGAAAGGATTCTTCAGCCCCAGTAACGACAGCACGGTACGGGGTCACTGACTGTAATTTGACTGTCCTGCAACTGGCAAGCACAACGTAAATTGGAATAAAATATTCTGAACAGACTGAACATGAAGTGAAAAAAATGCGCCTTTCAGACGAAAAAATCGAGGATACAGATTCCAGATCACAGTTCAGTTTTGCAGATTCTGCGGAGTCAGTGCAGCCAAGGCGGCGCCAGCTACACGTAGCTTGAATCAAGGTACTGTACGTCGTACACCATGTGTACGTACAGCATTGGTGCCCAGCAGGGAGAAATGTACTACAGTACACAATTATTATTTTGGAATTGGCTGAGATATTCGTTGGGCAATTGGGTTTGTGCCAAGTAATTTAGTTGTGATCACTACTAACACCAGTGTTTGTACTAAGTTTTTGAATCATTCATGAGAAAATGAGGAGAAAGGGAGCTGGGATTGGTGCTGTCAGCAAAGATCGTCTTCAAAAGGTATAAATAAGAAGCACTGATTCCTCAAAATTCGGCTTGGTGCAAAGTGATTGACAGGAAAGAAAGTCGTCAATTACAGTAATTATAAAGCTGCTATGAGTAGAAGCATATCGTTCGCTGCGCACAGCAGCACATGCGCGCGTAAGCCGCATCACATTTTGAAAACTTCTTATCAGACCTTGCCATTGCTCTCTTCTTACTGATTGCTTGGTCTATACAGGCTAAATTTGAAAAGAAAGGAACTGAAATAGCAGATGCCCAAGTCTCACAGGTAATACTAACAACGTATCTCTTTAAAGTTTATTTACATTGCTTACACAACAATGTTCATGGCTGTATTGGGTGCTCCTGAGGAGTGTTATTTTGTTCGCGGTGAGCTAGCAGGATGCCACGTTCACGGCTTTGCTTAGGCTGACTGGCTTGGATGAGAGAAGGAGCAGCATGTGAACTTGAATGTTACCCACCTTCATAAAATCTCAGCCCAGTTCAGTCTAATACGAGCACTATAACGTGGTCTACACTGTGCCAGAATACGGATACGAGATCCGGAAAGTCCAAAACAGCACATGCCCCTGAGAAATTGTTCTTTGGGCAAGCTACTTTCCACGGCCAAGGCTGTTGTTTCTTGCCCGGACTACATGTAATTGGCTGGATTTGGATCGAGGGCGGTGTAAATCATACTTGGAAGTAAACCTCAGAGTCTGCACGTATTGTGATACTCACCCATGTCTTCGTGAAGTTATTATGTTCTGTAAGATACCCAATATATGAGCTTGCCTGCATTACGCCCTCTACTCATGCACTCAAACCCACCTTCGCTCGCACCAACACACCCATTCTTGCTTGATCTATCCGAGTGCCGGCTCGATCTCTATTTCGGGTGCATGGACTTCAGTTCCATACGGACGTTGGTTCAAAACCATAGAGAAAGTGTGGTGTTTGTTTTCCCGCATTATGCTAAGGTGACTGCATGATGTAGGTGTAGGGCAGCATACCGCTCAGCTGGCCCATAGAAAAGAGATCAGCTGCATACTCTTGGTTTTGGACTCTTGGTCCAATGTTGAAGTAATGCCTCTCCTTCCCGTCTCCGTCTTTGGATCTCTTGCAGCTGACAACACATTTAGAACAATTCAAAACTCACCTGGAGAGGTTTGCCAGCAAGCACAAGAATGAAATCCGCAAAGATCCGGAGTTCAGAAACCGCTTCCAGCAGATGTGCGCACGAAGTGGAGTAGATCCGCTGGCATGTAGGTACAGATGCACCGAATACTAGTGGAGCCTGGCATGCGAGTCACAAACACATAATGGGCCACCTTTCTTGGTGTGTGTGTGTGGGGGGGGGGGGGGGGGGGGTGCGGGGTAGTAATACTTTTGCAAATTGTTTACATGTATTATAATAAGTGTCATTGTCATGACTGGTATCTGAGAACCACGGGGAAGTATGCACAACTATGTCCAGTGACCCTTATTCCAGTGGGATGTAATCAGTTTGCTGATTGACTGCTGTGCCTATCTGTTCATTCTGTTGCTTGGGGACAATGAATGGATGTTGTTACTATTGTTTTGTTATGACGTATATGCTGTTGTCTGTGTTTCAACGTTCAACCATGGCAGTCATTGGTCCCGTCTTGTGTTTCTGAATTCGCTCTAGCAAGCAAGGGTTTCTGGGCAGAAATGCTTGGTGTTGGAGACTTCTACTATGAAGTGAGTGTTGACATTGGAAGCAAGCTGTATAACCGTGTACACAGTCAGTGTGTTGACATTGGAAGCAAGCTGTATAACCGTGTACACAGTCAGTGTGTTGACATTGGAGGCAAGCCGTATAACCATGTACACAGTCAGTGTGTTGACATTGGAAGCAAGCTGTATAACCATGTACACAGTGTGTACACAGCCTTTGGTCAAAGCCAATCAACAAATCACTATGACTGTGTGCATGAAAACTAGTAGTTTGACAAGTTCATGACATTGTGGATAATTGGGTTTTCTCTGCATTTTCCAGTTATTTATCTCACTGCGAGATTGTCCTCAGCGTGTCCAGACATATACAAGTAGATCAGTAAATTAAATTTGATAGATGCTGTTCCTTTCTTCCTGTTTGTGTTGTTTGTAGCTCGGTGTTCAGATTGTCGAGGTGTGTATGGCAACAAGAGATAGAAATGGCGGTAAGTGGAGCACCAACGCCCTACTCAAATGTTTGTTCTTACACATGTGTACTCAAAGTACATACTTTGAAGACCTTGTATGTGGATTTGTGTGTGTGTGTGTGTGTGTGTGTGTGTGTGTGTGTGTTGTGTGTGTGTGTGTGGGGGGGGGGGGGGATGTGTGTGTGTGTGTGTATGTGTGTGTGCGTATCTGTGCGTGTGTGTATGTGCATGTGTGTGTGTGTGTGTGTGTGTGTGTGTGTGTGTGTGTGTGTGTGTGTGTGTGTGTGTGTCCCATATGGTGCAGTGGTATGTGCAGCGATTTCCAATCGATAGGTTGCGGGTTCGATTCCCGACGATTATGGTCACACACGTCTTTCTTCTCTTTCTCAGACTCTTCCTGACTTTTCTTTCATTCTCCTGGGTGGTTACCAACAGCCAGTGCATGCCGGAGTATGTGGTGTGATGTGTGTGCGGGAAAAAAGAAGAAAAAAAAGACCAAAAAGTAGGGATTCACTGGCCAGAAAAAAAGCCACTTCAAAGCTGTGTGGTGTAGACCAGGCTGAATAGTGGTGGTCAATTCTTCAGCCTTGCAAGCTGTTGAATGGTGCAATCCCAGCACAAGTTGCTATGGCTTCTGCTGTAGCATCGCTATCATCGCCTCTGGCGATGGGCGTCCAATGGTCAATGGTGTGTGTGTGTGTGTGTGTGTATGTCTGTGTGCGTTTGCAAAACCAGTGCATCATAGATTTGGAATGTTTGAAGATATCTACCAGTGCAATGTTTGAACTGGTTTAGCCAGGGACTGGAGAAGGCTGAGCGGGCAATTAGAATATTTCTGCAACAAAGTATCATATCTTTGCAATTATCTGTCCACCTTTGCAGGTCTGATCAGCCTAGAGGAGCTCTGGCAACGACTCAAGCGTTCTAGGCGGACCAAGCACAGTCAAGAAGTCAGCATGTATGTCATAGCACAATGCTTAGTGACTTTGAGGACAAGCAATTATCCCTCAATTTTCCGCTTTTCAATTTTAGTCCAATGACTGACCACACATGCTCAATGTATCTGCATCAGTGTAATTGCAGACAGGAGGGAGAGAGGGAAATTATTGTTAAAACTCGGAGTTTCGCTCTCTTGGCGATCTTCAGGTTGCATGAGTATAGACATCCGAAAGCTCTTTTGAAGGGTTGAATCCGTTCGTCAACGAAGTGTTATAAACAAAACGTGACTGCTGTGTCAGATCTGTTGTTGTACATGTAGTTACAGAAAGAGTATGGATATGAAAGCCAGAGTGCATGTGCAGTTCCCGTATGGGTGTCTGTCGTGGCAAAATGCCTGGATTAGCAGGATTGCGTCATAGCAGATGCAGATACGCTATAATTGTAGTGCTGGAAGTGGGCTTAGTGTGTACAGCTGAGCGACAGTTGTGCAGCAGGAGACCTGCTTGAATCCGGCTCGTATGCACGACATCACTGATATTATGTAATCGACGTACGTTGCCATGGGTGCAATCCATTCAAGCTTCACGCTCTGGTTTTCATGTGCTCTTGTTGTGGTCGGGGGATGAAACTACACGTGTTGAATTACAACACCAGTCACCCATGTGCAAGACTTTGCTACTCTTTTGCTGCTTCGTCATAACTGCAGGGAAGATGTGTCCCGGGCGATAAAGAAGCTGCATGTCTTGGGCGGTGGATTTGCCATCATACCGGTTGGAGGTCGTAAGCTGGTCCAGTCCGTGCCTGGTGAACTAAACATGGACCATACTCGGGTGCTGCAGCTAGCTGAGGTGAGTCTTGAGCTGCACTGCATGTGACCCAAGATGGAGTTTGATCTCCACCACCTTCCTTGTGTGCAGTTAGGTGTTTGTACTGTTGCTTCTTACCTGTGAGTCCCTATTTTGCTTTCAGCACCACAGTGTTGATTGACACAGTGTTGATTGACACAGTGTTGATTGACACAGTGTTGATTGACACAGTGTTGATTGACACAGTGTTGATTGACACAGTGTTGATTGACACAGTGTTGATTGACACAGTGTTGATTGACACAGTGTTGATTGACACAGTGTTGATTGTGTAAAATGATTACTACGTGTACATGTACTGTAAACTGCCTTCGCGACGGATTAATGTTCGCTATTTTCGCGAGAAGAGCGTAACGCGAATATTAGCCAGCGTGAAATCAAGCTTCAACAGTGGGTGTATGTAGGTGGCCCCGGTGCTTCGCGAACTTTTGCCATCACAAACTTGCTGGTTCTAAGAAATCGCGAAAATTTAGTGACGCGAATATTGGGCAGTTTACAGTATGTCTGCGCCTCTTTATCCATGGTCTTATTTTCAAAACACCGCTGCTTTGCTAGGTATTTTAGATGTGGACTGGCCCCCCTGCGCCATGGCATTCAAGTCAAATTTCAATCAAAATCCGCTTTTTGTCCTTTCTGCTGGGCGGGAAATCCTGTTGGTGTATTTACTTATCACTTCATTTTGCAAAACTTATTTCAACTTTCAAATGTTAGGTGTGTGTGTCTGTCTGTCTGTGTCTGTCTGTGCATGTATGTATATGTGATCAGGACACTGGCCATACATATCTCAGCCAAGTCACCTCGCAGTTGAAGTGGGAGGAGGCGCGTGCGGCCAGCATTTTGGTAAGCTGCCCAGAACTCCATGTTTGCGCATGCTGGAAGTACGTGTACAATCCAGAGTACACTACTCCCAGATGGTGCAACATCCGTATGCTGTGCTGTTCTAGCAGAATTTGAAGATGACATCACTATTATCATGGTGCATGCAATGCTCCTCGTGAGCAAAACTTCTGATGTGTGTCTTCACTTTAAAAACGAATGCTTGCACAGGAGGATCAGTTAGTGGCGTGTTCACCACTTCTCCACGATGCACCTGACAATATGACGATATGATTTACATGTATACACCGTGCATTACATCATACTGTAATAATGACTAGGGCTCAAACGGTTAGTCCGATTAACCGGTTACGAAGAATGAACGGTTAACCGATAAAGATAACGGTTACGCAGTAACTTTTCAGTCACTTTTTCAAGCATCAGGTCGTTGCAAAGTATGCACTTTCGCAGGCTGTCGCACGCGTACGCAATTTCTGGGCTGTCAACTAGGTCATAGTCTGGTCTCTTGGTGGGAGAGTATTTATGAATGAGTATGCAAGAGAATGTACATGTGTGCGTTGTACTGAATAGGGTACATTTTTTGAATGAGTATAGTCAAATAGGAGAATGAAGTCGAAGACACCACTGCAGCTGTACTTATGGTTGATAAATATGGTGGTAAAGACACACCTGGCAATATGGCGGTAAACACACGCCTGCCCACACACGCTCTCTAGGCTGCACAGCTGCAGTGGTGTCTTCGACTTCATTCTCCCGAGTCAAGCTCCGTATGAAGACATCCAAGAAGAAGATTGCCTGATTAGTCCAGCGGGGACGAAACGTACGTCGCAATCGAGCTATGTCGTTGCTGTGTCATCATCTATGTGCCATGCGCTACTTGATGTACCAGCCTGCTATGCCGGATACCGCCAGCCATGCATCGACCAGGCGCCAGGCGCGAACTGATGGTGGTGGTGGTGAGAAGGAGAGCTCTGTGCCAGAACTTTGCAGCCTAGAGAGCGTGTGTGGGAAGGCGTGTGTTTACCGCCATATTGCCAGGTGTGTCTTTACCACCATATTTATCAACCATAAGTACAGCTGCAGTGGTGTCTTCGACTTCATTCTCCCGAGTCAAGCTCCGTATGAAGACATCCAAGAAGAAGATTGCCTGATGAGTCCAGCGGGGACGAAACGTACGTCGCAATCGAGCTATGTCGTTGCTGTGTCATCATCTATGTGCCATGCGCTACTTGATGTACCAGCCTGCTATGCCGGATACCGCCAGCCATGCATCGACCAGGCGCCAGGCGCGAATTGATGGTGGTGGTGGTGAGAAGGAGAGCTCTGTGCCAGAACTTTGCAGCCTAGAGAGCGTGTGTAGGCAGGCGTGTGTTTACCGCCATATTGCCAGGTGTGTCTTTACCACCATATTTATCAAGTATAGTCAAATATACGGTTAAAAAGAGTCCGCAGGATTGCCGTGGCTTATAGGTTATAACCGTTAAACCGACCGTTAGCTTAGCAGTTAACCGTTAGGGGTAAAACCGTGACCGTTTGAGCCCTAATAATGACGTCAACTTGAAATTCTGTAGGGACAGCACTGATAATGGAGTTGCTGTGGGCTTATGTTCTGTTAGTACAATGAAGTAATGTGTAGAAGTGTTTAGCAAGCAATTCACTGTTTTTTTGTTTAATTATTAATCTTTTGGTTCATCCTTCGAGTTGTCCTGCTTGCCTCTCACTCACTGGTAGTCTGTGCGATGGGCTTTATGCATGTACTCACGTACACAATCTTCCAGTAAACTATCTCCTCGTGTGATTGGCAACAGCATGCATGCTCTGTGCTTTCTCTTTGCCGATGGTGCGCGCCACCCATGCTCAGGATCATCTGGTGCGTGAAGGCATGGCATGGGTAGATGACCAAGCAGGCGACGAGAGGCACTACTGGTTCCCCAGCCTGTTACCCGACCTGGCGATGGCTTCGTTGCAGAGCTTAAGGTAGCGCCTTTGCCCATCCACCCATGTTATTTCCCTCGTGCCACAGTCAGCAGCTAGCTGCACCTGCCTATGAGAGTGTGCATTGCAGCATGGCTCCGCTCTCTTCTGCCAGAACTGGAAGCACTCCAGCGACAGTAGCAACCGCGACTGCTTGTACATTGTTCTGTACATAGTTGACCTAGATTATTTGACCTCCACAGGCACGACTGGAGGCTTTCAGTTTTCATTCAAGACAATAACGCCCCTTGCTCTGGGCAAATTACAGCCCTCATGAAAACACTCAATACTTCAAGTACAGACTACATGAAAAAAACCCAGCCTGCTTAGAAGTAGATGTACCGGTAGGTCTTCACAAAAGGTTTCTTTCATCATCTCCAACTAACTCTTACTTGTGGGGTTTTGAAACGCAGTGCCACTACGATTATTTTGTATTTTACTTTTACTCCAAAACCACACTCATAATAATTCATCTGATTAATAGCATATGACTAGTGCCATTTTAAGGTTCCTTCCTTTTAAAAGTTCAAGAATGCCAAGGTGTTTTCCTCGCACAGTGCACGGTCTAGTGAACACTTGTACCAAGACTAGTGCAAGTGCTGTGGAGATTGAGTGTGTGTGTGTGTGCACGTCCATGTGTGTGTGTGTGTGTGTGTGTGTGTGTGTGTGTGTGTGTGTGTGTGTGTGTGTGTGTGTGTGTGTGTGTGTGTGTGTGTGTGTGTGTGTGTGTGTGTGTGTGTGTGTGTGTGTGTGTGTGTGCACGTCCATGTGTGTGTGTGTGTGTGTGTGCGTGTGTGTGCGTGCGTGCTAGCCATGCGGAGTGTAGTACATTTTCACCATCATGTACTATTTTCTTATACTTCAAAGTACATTCTCATAGATTACGTGGGTTCCGGCAACATTTCTCGAAAGTGCGAATGAAAGCCAAAATGGTTAGTTTACTCGGTACTTATTAATTAACAAACACATGGCAGTCAAGCTGCTAATTAGAGAGAGAGGCAGACAGAGACAGACGGACACAGATAGAGACAGACAGACAGACAGACAGAGAGAGAGAGAGAAAAAGAGAGAGAGAGAGAGAGAGAGAGAGAGAGAGAGAGAGAGAGAGAGAGAGAGAGAGAGAGAGAGAGAGAGAGAGAGAGAGAGAGCGAGCGAGAGAGAGAGCGAGAGAGAGAGAGCGAGACTATTACAAAGAGATCAAATTTTAACGGCATTGTAGAATAGAGCATATCCGCAGCTTGAAAGGTTACTACTTGTAGAATAAATGTTATACATCATTGTCATGTGAATTTTCTCATAGGACAGCTGGATAGGGAACAAGAGTTTCAAGCCAAGTCAGGAATGGGGTGGATAATTATGTCGGAGCCAGGCGGACAATAGATAGGCCATGCATTATGTATGTACGCTGTATCTACAGGGAAATTTGCAAGACAGAGGATTTCAATTCTAGAAAAAAAATAGATTGACCACTTCACCAATGAAACTAAAGGCACAGACTTTCCTTATTACAGCAAGGAATACTATTGTCGCTGCCATCATGATATCTCTATCCTTTTCATGTTTATCACTCCAAATATACAAAATTGAACGGTCATCTGGTCGGTCTCTCGGATCAAGCGCCAGACGTGCAGAAGCAGTTGCCACTAGACTTCAAGTTCAGGACAATATGCTTCCAGTATAAGCACTGCTCGCCTAAGGACACTGGATCTGCCGAATCAAGCGAAACAGGCGTAGACTTGAACCGAGCCGCATCTGGATGCGGTCAAGAAGATGGTCCTCGCGGATATCAAGCAGAGCAATGCCGTCGATCTCTTCCTCTTTGAAGCGATGTGCATAGACAGCAAATCCTTCGTTTGTAACAAAATCCACAACCTGCTGGACAGTCCACTTTGCAACATCATTCGGCTGCGGCGAGTAGCCATCTGTAAACTGGCCGCGCTTGAGTGGGGTGTTTGCGTCCCTATACTCCGGTGCCTTCACAGCTGTGGAGCATTACAAACACACACACACACACACACACACGTTAATACATGTGTACGACGATGTGTAAACCAACTTTGGCTGTTGTCGAGCACAATGTGATCAGACGAAACACGAATACAGTGGCAAAGGGTGTGATTGCAGAAAAATGAAGAAAAAAAAAGGATATTTCGCCCAATGGGCATCATCAGGGCAGTGTTGACGCCCAATGCCGCAATGGGTGGAATGATGGCAATACTTTTTCATTCAATGTGTGCAGCTGAGAGCCTGTTCGGGTGATGGAAGTGTTTGCGAGTGCAAGGGAAACGGCGCAGTGGAGTTGGAGAGTTCTTACCTCGACGCACTCGCTTCGGTTCTGCACTGTGGTAGCCATTTACTTCAGTATGATCAGACACATACGCTGCAGGTGCGACAGATGTGACAGCAGCAAGAATCAAAACAAAGACATGACTGTTCTAGTACTACACATAGTACTGTACTTGTTTATGTCAGCCACAGCAATCTACAGTTCATTCATAAAAATACGACTGCTGGCTCTGGTGAGCTCCGGTAATTTGGTGACTTTCTGTGATTTTATCGTACACGGTGCCGTGCCGCGAGATTCGAAATTTGAAAAGGCCGGGTCAAACAAGGTACCTCAATTGGGGTTCAAACTGCACAAGGTACTGTGTGGCAAGTGAAGTGAAATGGGCTGGATTTTCATGGTGTTCCCCAATTCAGTGCTTCAGTACGGCAAAACCTGGCCACAATCCTATTCTTGTTATGGCTTGCTTTTTGGAGATATAGACTTTAGAAACATAAGTAGAAGAGCATTCCATGGTGATTGCAAAAAATTCTGCAACAAAACTCAAAATTTGACCCATTTTTGCCAAAAGCTAAGATATCATCTTATTATGAATGGACTGTAGTTAAAAAAGAAAGTCAACATGTTGGCTACTCAAACAGCAGAATCCAGTTGAAGGAAAACAGAACAAACTGTCACACTGTATGTTACATGTTATCTGGGCCGTAGTTCAGTGTGTGTGTCCAACACTTTTTTTAAACAGTTATAAGCAAGATGTTGTGTGGGCAGAAGGATGACATGCAACATATTGGTCCGGCTTTCTTTTAGTTTTAATCCTTGGCTCTACATCCGTGTCTTGTCTACATACTCACACTGTTGTCAGTTAGTTGACATCTCCCGACAAAGGCAGTGAGTTTCTCAGGATGCTCAACAGTAGCAAATGCAGGGACCAAGAAACCCACCGAGAAACTAGCCTGGCTCCCAGCTGACGTCTGCCACTTACCAGCTTGGCCCGCTCCGAGTGGCGTTGTGGTTCTCCGGCGCCGCTTTGCAGGCAATGGTGCAGAGTGACGTGGGGACCACTCTGGGTCACTCCTATTGGGCTTGCTGACTGGCAGCTCCTCTTCCGAGGAAAACGCAAGGTGGGACGCCATGCTACTTGCTCTGCAATAAAACAAAAGCGTATGACCGTATCACTTGTCAAAAGACTTGATAGCCTCAAACCAGTTACCTGTAATATCACACTACAACACTTCAGGAATGCAAACACCAGCATATCAATTTAATCCTGCACACAGACAAGGAACACTTAGCAGCTCATGCATGCACACAGGCACTAAAAGCCTCAGGTCTCGTTAACTGCTGTACAGTAAAACCTGTCAAGGCGACCACCTGTCCTCAGGAGAAGACTACTGAAACCAGGATCAAGGGATGCTGTTTCCAGTCAAATGCCCTGGATAAGGAGACCGCCTGGTAACAGAGACCACGCTTTGGAGGTCCCTTGAGCGGTCGTCTTGGACAGGTTTCACTGTATAGCGGACAGCAGCTGGCCTTACTTTGCTGAAGCAGGCGCTCTGATAGCTGGTGTCGTGTCCGCCAAAGCTGGTGTGCTTGTGGGGAATGGTGCCAAAGTCCACGTACGAGGCTTTCGCCGCTTTTCATTTGCCGGAGCAGTTTCAACCTTGATCCGAGATGCTCCGTGGGTGTGGCCATTGGCTGGAGTACTTCCAACTGGCTTTGAGCTTACATGATTGGGATTTAGCCTTCGACGCTTTTCCTCCTGCGCAGGATGGAGTCCAAGCACATAAAGAATATTAAAGATGCATACACGCATACCCAACAAGCTATACATGACAGTGGTTCAGAAGACAGATTGGCATCGTGTAGTACCGTACTGTTGTGGCTACTCCGAACTATTCCGAGTCCGAGCAAATTACAGTGAAGTTGGAGTGAACTGTGATCGAATGAACCTTTGTCACTTTCCGTGCTGGTAGAATTTCACCTATTTTTGCACCAAGAGCGGGGGGGGGGGGGGGGGGGTCCTGTCTCAACTATCCTTCTGTGTGTGACACCATTCCCAGAAGAAGAAAGCATTGCCGCTCCGAACAGTGATGCAAGTATTGACTGAATTAAAATGACATGGCGAAAGGTGCAGTGTTTTGCGACTTTCCCTGGAGTTGTAGAGACGTTCCTGGAGCGAAGTGGCAGACAGCAATGGTTTGGCTTGTTGTATGTCTTCATGAGCTTTCCGAATCAAGAAAAGCCGGCGATGCAATGGTTGAAGCCCCCCCCCCCCCCCCCCCCCCAGTATTGGGGTGACCAAGTTGACAAGAATATGTCAGTATCATGGTGAAAGATCACGCCAGTGTTGCAAAATAAGGATCCACGTGCGGAATTCGAACCCAGCACGCGTCTTTCCGGGACAGCGCCCCACCAGCTAGACTACTAGGGATCACACACACACACACACACACACACACACACACACACACACACACACACACACACACACACACACACACACATACACGCACCCGTGGCTCATTCTTGCTACATTGCTCCCCGCTCCCGGTAAAAGGCCGTGTCCTCACGCCGTACCTATTCACGGAAGGTACGATGGGCCGTGGGTTCAAGCCATTGCCAGGCACCAATGTTGCAAAAGAAGGATCCACGAGTAGGCCTTGGCGGATAATGCCGGCATTATATTGAGCATTATACGTAGTTTCGGGCATTAGATTTAGAGCATTTACGGCATTAAAAAGCATTATGTACCAGGTACTGTAGCCATATACGGGGCACTATACCCATTTTTGAGGCATTTCCCCTAGTACGTAGTAGTACCGGTAGAATGACGAGTCTTCTGCACTGCAGTGTCGGAAGTACAGTCGACATGAGAACAGTGAACACCAATCACTACGTATGACACTGGTGTTGCTGCGTAGAGATGTATCCGGGAGGATGTGAAACATGCTAATTATTTTGATGCTGGCCGAGCGCCTGGCATACGCAGCTAGCTCATGACTCAAGCTCAGTGCTGCGCTAGCACAGAAACCATGTGCTTTTTGAGACATAAATCCACGACTTCACGGCGTAGCTCATCCGCGGGAGGATGTGAAACATGTTAAAACTATGTTGATGCTGGCCTAGCGCCTGGCATGTGCAGCTCTGTGCATGCTGGGCTAGCACAAAAACCATGTGCTTTCGGGACATATCCACCACTCTACGAGGTAGCTCACCGTGCAGGCCGGAATGTCTTCCTCCGAGAATGAAAGTACATGTCGGGCGAGATGGTGGGACTGGGATACGGCTGGTCTCGATGAAGATATTCTTAGTGATACAGATGAGAGCGATGCTTTGGAAGCTCTCGCTTGTGTCGATGGAGCGCAAGTATCCAGGAAGCGATCGCTTCAACGGACCAGTTTAGAAAAGTCGGAGGCGTCCGGGTCGTCAAAACAAACCAGAATTGCTCACGGGAAGAGCACTGTGGTGGATGTCAGTCCCGCCAAGAGAATCGAGGAATTCCCGAACGAATGTCTCGTGGTGGACAGCGGTAAACTGGTGTGTACTGCTTGTCGCCTTGAGTTGTCTAAGAAGCGTAGTATAATAGTTAGCCACATTAAAACGAACTGCCACCAGAAGGGTAAGGCTGGCTTGGCCAGTGCGACGATCCGCCAGCAACTGGTAAAGGAGACATTTGTCGCCTATCAGAAGCGACAGCGCGAGCAGAAGGAATTGTCCGGCACAGGATTGACTGAAGCAGTTCCGATTGCAGCGTCCTTACGCAGGATCGAGGTCGTGCGATCGTTCCTGCAAGCTTGAATCCCGCTTGCTAAAGCCGATCAGCTCAGAACTCTGCTAGAGGACGGCAACACACGTTTAACCGATGCCTCGCAGCTGCGACAATACGTACCCTTCATCCTCGAGCAAAATACAGACCTGCTGAAGGAAGAAGTAGCCGCAGCTGACTACTGCGCTGTCATCTTCGATGGGAGCACTCACCAAGGAGAAGCATTCGCTATTCTGCTGCGGTATGTCGATAGGGATTGGTGCATCCAGCAGCGGCTCGTTCGATTTCATGTTCTTTCTAAGAAGTTCTAAGTCCGGCCAGCAACTTGCTCGTGAGCTGATAACATGCTTGTCGGTGAAGTTCGGCCTGCCGTCACACAAGATAGTAGCTGCTATGCGTGACGGAGCTGCAGTGAATGGTGCAGCACTACGTTCCGTGAAAGAGATCATGTACCCCGAACTCATGGACATCATCTGCTCTTCCCATTCCCTGGACAACGTCGGCAAGCGCTTCCAGATGCCCATCCTAACTGATTTCAGCCAGTGGTGGATAAGCCTATTCGCCAGAAGCCCAGTTGCTCGGATTGCCGGAGAGAGCGGACCAGCATAGACATCAGGTCATGCAACAACACACGCTGGTGGAGTCTGTGGGAGGTGCAGAACCAGCTGTTAACCCACTTCGGTGATCTGCTGCCGTTCGTCCAAGATCTTCAGTCATCCCCCTTCTGCCCGACAGCACCTCTTGGACATGCTTCTCAATCCTGAGCAGAACCAACAACTGTGCATGGAGCTCGCAGTGACCGTTGATGCCAGCCTACCATTCGTAACGAAGACGTACCTCATGGAGGGTGACGGTGACATCGTTGTGGATGCTTACGACAACCTGCAGGAGGTTGCAACAGCGGCGGCATTGCAGAATTACCACAATACTGTACCCGAGCATTGGCGAAGAAATATGCTGCTGCTGATGACGAGGAGCGGGCTGAAGAGATCTACCAAGAAGCATGGCGATGCGTGCGGCCTGCTATCACCTACTTCCTGCAGAAATTCAACCACCGAGATAGCCCTCTCTTCGGCATTGTGCGCCTGTTCAAAGCACTGAGGCTATTCTGCCCACTGCGCGTACGCAAGCTACAACCTGGCCTCAACCACGTCGATGAGCTGAGATTGCTTCCAGCTCTCGATAGTGACGACACCATCCAGCACCTGAAGAATGAGCTCCCATCACTGCTGGTTGCGGTGGAGGACATCGAGGAATGTCCGCCCAATCGCCTGCAGTGGTGGTGCGAGCAGGAGAAGCTTCCGGAATGGAAAAAGGCTGCCAGAGCTGTGTTCTGCCTTGCGCCATCATCAGCTGCTGCAGAAAGAGTGTTCTCGCTGCTGAAAGCATCTACAGCTGATTCTCAAGCCTCCCTTCTGGAAGATCACCTGGAAATCATGCTCCTGCTACAGTACAACCGGAGATCCTAAATGCTGAAGCTCCTATCTTTAACCAGATAACCGTCCCTCTGTTCCTTCTAGCATTGTTCACTCCTCCATGGACAATATATCTCGCATATGGACCCTTTGAAGTAGTTGTTCCTTGTTCGCGACCGGCTCCAATGGTTTGTGTGAATATCCATATTATATGCATATTTTATGGTCTATTGTGACAATGCTCCGAGCATTATATGCCCATTTTGATGCCTGATTCGAACATATAGGTACATTTTGAAAGCATTGCTAAAAGCATTAAAGCGTGATTTTCCGAGCATTATCCGCCAAGGCCTATCCACGGGCGCTACACCTAGCACCCCTGCTGGGCCCTGCATCTCTTTCAGGGACAGTGCCCTACAGATTAGGGAATCACACACACTCACATGCCCGTGACTCCTTCTTGCTACACCAATACAACATGTGGGCAGTAACAAGGCAATCCAAGCAGTAGATCTACACCCCTGCCTACGCACCCTGGATAGAACGTCTACGGTTTCTCCTTACCTTGACCCGTTGATTGGCAGGAGCAGGTGCGTTTTGGCACAGTTTGCAGGAGCAGTCCAGTGCGTGCACTTTCAGCAATCCATGCGCCACCGCCTGCTTCATCGGACGACCTTGGTAACGTATACTTCGCTTCCAGTCCTTGCAGGACTCGCGGCCGGATATGTACTGAAAGTCGTTGGGCGTGATCCACTCGCTTTTATACAGAATGCAAGCCCCTCTGCTGCCGCGAGCAAATTTCGATACGTGAAACTCCGCTTCGTTGTCTCCGCACTGTATTGATAATACACCATCTGTCTCCGTCGTCTCCCTAGCGGCGACCTTCTTCTCCTCTTCGTCATCCTCACTGATGTTCCCGTCGTCTGCATCGTCGCTTCCATCGTCGACTCCGACGGTAATCTCGGCACCGGTCACCGCCGTCTCGCCTTGGTCGTCGTCATTGTGCACGTCCGCACCAGGGTCTTCGCTAACCTCAATGTGCATTGAGTGGCCATCGCCACCATCAGCACCATCACCTCTGGCGTTCTGGGAAACCAAGTAAAGCTGTTTTGTAACCGATATCGGCGCACGCGTGGCGCGTGTCGTCCCTGACCCAGACGAGCAAAAAAAAAAAAATTATAGGATATTACTAATTATTACACTTACACTTTCGAATTATTTCACAGAAAGTAGCTGTCAAGTGTTAGTCAACGCTACACGCGATATATGCATCGATGAGACATGCCATTCTAGCAATAATTTTTTTCTTTTTCAGCTTGACAGTCTAGCCCACATGCACAGTACTCAGTAATAATGGCGCATTACCAATACTAGGCAATAGTAAAGGCCAAAGCAAAAAAATAACAGTTGCGAGGAAAGCAACTCACTAACTTGCAGACTCTAGTCACTCTACCCTTCTCTGCAAGAGCGCAACACTGAACAGTCGACAGCTAGACAGGAACACTGCAAAGACTGACTTCCCGTTCCATTCATACATCAAAAAAATGTGACACACACACACCACATCCAGCTGCACATGTCGTCAACGGAGCAAGCACACATGATGAGCTGAAGACATACATACAAACAGCTCTAGCTAGGCGGATTTACCTTCCATCTCTCCGCTTGCGCACTGTGCGCACCGTCCGCTAAATATTCAATACGGACGAACAGTTGGCTTCTTTGCGAGAGTCTGTTTACTCGAGTGAGTAGAGGCCTCCGTTCAAGAACACAACACGGCACAGTGATAAGGATGCTCCAACTTCCAAAGGAAAGTTCCGCACACTAAACTCATGACGGCTTCTTTCGCAGAGTCGACAAGTGCACAAGTCATAGCCGCTGTCGGAGCTTGCGCATGCGTTGACGCACGGTTTGAACAAAATGTCGCACCTAGCGCACTGTAGTACTTCCTCTATACGCTCGCGTATCGTACTTATAGATCTTACTTTTATAGGCCTAGCGCCTGTCGTCAGCGAGTATCGACACGCCGTTCGCTACCGCAGTGTGGCGAGAAAGCAGCCACCACACATCATGGAGTACTCGTACTCAACTAGCTATCAGCTGATCAGTACCTCTTGATATTTGTACTTTGTACTGTTGAGGCAACGAACTGAAATAATAAAAAACAAACAAAACAAACAAACAATAATTATTAGTATATTACTATGTTGTGTGATGCTCGGTATAAAATGCTGAATTATGCTTTCTTAAAATTAATGCGAGGGAAAAAAGAGGACCAAAAGTTTACAAGTAATACAGTGTCAGTGATTTTGCTACATTCATTATGCGGGAATTATACCAATATTATTGGCAATAATGGCAACGACGTAACCTGGTAACAATACATTAGATTACAACGACTGGCACAATCAGGCATGACAGCACGGCTTATAACTATAAGGGGCAATATTCACCAGGTTATTTCCTGTATTACAAGTACTGTAGTTAGTTACATGACTGAATGAAAATAATTCAGTGGTAATAATTATAAACTTAATATGCCTGGAGCTAGCATAATCTTCAGCCAACATCGATTCGTAAGGACTAGGTTATGACTCCTGCAAGGGCTAAAACACATGCACATCCGCTTGGGCGTACACACACACACACGCGCGCGCGCGCGCGCACACACACACAGTGACCGTGCAGCGTGAGCACTCAGCAGTGACAGCATGCATATATGCCGGCTATGAACGTGTCACTGACGTCACGACGAGGGAAAAAATATTCTAGGCCCCATCGCTATAACAACCAAAATATGGCGATTGCACTTCCCACAGCCTGGATCAAGGAGTCGTCAAAATACGACTCCCTGGGCTGCTAGACTGCAAAAGTGCCACCTCAGCTTTACAAAAAAAGACAAAAATTCAGGCACAAAGGCAAAGGCCTGATCTGATGAAAGGGAGCCAGCGAAAAGTTCGGTAAACGTTGTTCTTCTTCTACGTTCTATTGCTGTCATTGGTAAAAACATCACTTACGGCCCTAGTAAAAAGCTAATGGTATTGATGGCATTGGTGAATGTTACAGCAAGTCCCTAATCACAAGAGTCGTGCTGCATTCTGGAAATTCTAATTTTCTTGAGAAATTAGGATATTTAGATTGGATAGTTTTTTTGATACCAGACTACCTGCACGAGTCGAACTTCTTTATCTTAGGGCTGGGTCGTCGTGGAAGACCTTGAGTATGGACCGGAGGGCCAGACGCCGCAAGCATGCTCCCGCGACGACTCCGACGAAAGAGGAAAAACGTGAGATGGATAAGGTGGCCAAGTACATGAAGAAGACCTTGAAAACTAAGCAGGTCACAGTGAAGGGGGAAAACCTGGAGGTGTTCACAGGTTCCAAAGCCGTGGATGGCCTCATGGAGTCCGAGTGGGGAGGTGCTAGCAGGCGTTCTGCCTCAGGAGAAGCCGAGCTTGCCTTTCCATCACGTGTCTCTGCAGCTAACTACTGCCAACGGCTTCTGGAGAATGGCTATTTCCTGCGAGGCTTTCGTGTGGAGGTGACGTCCAGCAAGGACAAGAAAGGACCAGACCAAGGTGATGGTGATTCAAAGTCCTCTGCAGCTCAGCGTAGGAAAGGTAAAAAAGAAGTAAGCGGCGATGGCAGTGGAGCAGAAAAAGAAAAGAAGCAGCAGCCTGAGAAAGCAGACAAGTCAGAGAAATCATCAGAGAAGAAGACGAAGAAGAAGTTCAAGATTGGCTTCCACGAGCGTGAGGATCAGTTCTTTGAGGATTCTTCCTCTGAGATCTTTATCTGGCAGTACAATCCGTCGTCATGGCGTTCAACCCTGATCGGCCTTGCCTTGCTGACGCTTGTTATCAGTCTGACCATGTACCCGCTCTGGCCGGATTGGTCCCGTGTTGGTGCCTACTATGTATGCCTTGGTCTGGCCGCTTTGTTAGGCTTGCTGCTGTTGGCCGAGCTGCTGAGGATTGTCATATTCGCCGGTATCTGGCTGACGACGTGGGGTAGAGTTCACTTCATGATCCTGCCGAACCTTTACGAGGATGTTGGTTTCTGGGACTCGTTCAGGCCGGCGTTCTCGCTCGAGTACATGGGGAAAGATTTGGATGATGATGATAATGATGATGATGACAATGAGAACGACGAGCGGGCGGAGAAGCGCGAGAGAAGCGTAGATACCGGAAGCGACACTGACCGGCCTGATGATGATGAAAGCGCGTGTAGGACCGCTGCCACTCTCGAGGCGGACAGCGCGGACGGATCCCATTCAAATGAAACAACCACCAATGAAGATGGTGATGGAGTGAGCTGAGATATTTTCTTTTATGCATGCGAGTCTTTATTAAATATTGCCCTGCTGGTCTGCGCAAGAACTGTTTTTTATCTAGATAACACTGAGCTTTTCATTTCGCATTGGTTTTTTACTCATACCTAATTTATCGCACATATTCTCCTGTGTATCGACAGCACAACGGTCATCCGCAAGTGTGTTCTGCTTGACACTGTCCAAAATGTTGTTCCAGTGTACATATGTGTGTGTGCATGTGCGTGCTAGCGCTTTATCTGGTGGTGACTTCTGTGGTGGTGTTCACCCATGCATTGTCTCCAAAGCCTGGCTTCAATGTTCAGGACAGTTATTGACCATAAATGGGCAACACTATTACTGTAAAGTATCGCCAGAGCGCCCCACCATCTCGTCCTTTTGTGGTCGTATCGTGGAGGTGGTCTCCTGTCTGTAGGTCCTGCGACACGAACGTTGTACACATATTGCTCGTTTTGCAGACAATCCGTACCTTCAACCAGACACGAGCCCCACACAAAAACCTGCTTAGTGTGACCTTACTTAGTACACTAAGGTTCTCACACCGTACAAACTTCGTTGCACTCTGTCATACGATTTTCCTTTCCCTGGCTGTAAAATCAAGGTGGGGCGCTCTGGCGGTACTTTAGGGGCCATCTGGCGTTAACGATAATTTTCACGGAACGGAAGAGTTTAGTTGCGACCCTCCCCCACCCACCCACCCCCTTCAACGAAAAATATATTGACTACAGCTAGCATGGATTTCAGCTACTAGTATCAATAATTTTCAAAACGAAACTCTCCTCAACCCACCCATCCATAAACGAAACTTGTTCTCTTCGTGAAAAAGATCGATAATTACGGACAGCCGGCTAGCCCCTTTACGGTATAATATGTCATGGTGGTATGAGGGTTGAATAACATTGCCGGTACTTTCCTTTCTTGCAGGTATCTGAGGTTGATTGTGCTGAAGATGGATTCAGATGGAGTGAGAATACTGGGGGAAGGGAGTGGTTACAATATGCAGCCATGTACTACACAATCATTGAATGTTTGCACATCACAAGCAAGAGTACGTAAACCGGAGTATGCATAGCACCACCAGTGCGGCAAAGTGGAATTAATTGTTTTGTCCTTTCTACAAATAATTAATTATCGGAGCTGCGACCCGCGACAACCGCGTTGATTGGGCTGCTGCAAATTCATGAATGAGAAGTAGAAAACTGTGCTTTGCGGTGGGCGTTGCTTGAACAGAACGTTCGTTCGCTCATATTCGTCAAGAACGTTCGAATATGGAGGATCTGAGTTCGTTTCACCCCTAAATTCTTAACGGATATTACACTGTCCCGAACCCATCTGCGGAGTCGGACACTCTCGTTTACGTGCATGTACTCTTGTAACCAGGTGTATATCTTCTCCAAGTACGTACAGCAACTCCACAGTACTTCACACACTTTCTAGTAGGGTACCGGCATATACATGCTCATCAACCCGCATACAGAAAGGCCAAAAGGCATAATGTCAGTGTAATAGTCAGACTGTCCGGGCTGCTCCGGGCTTGAACTTCATGAACGACCAGAATAGCACCAGTGCAACCTACAATAACAGCAGTGGTGTTCCAAACACCCACATACGGGCAGGCATAATCAAAACACACACACACACTCGAGATAAACGGAATTTAAGAAATTGCTAGAATAAGAACAAAGCCGAATAAAACAATAATACATCATCTGGAAGAATATCAAAACAATAATAATTTGACGAGGTCCGGTGAAATAGAGGATCACGATCCAGAGCATGAAGCACAAACAAGTCAAAAGCACGAGAGATTCCTTAAAAAAAGAAGAAGATTCAGACACAAAAAGAACTGAAACTACATTGTTGTAGACAGTGCTGGAAGATGGGTTTCATGGAGCTTGTGATGGGTTTCATGGAGTGGGTTTCATGGAGCTTGTGATCTCATAACAAATTGGATGTTTGATGAACGATTTATTTGATTATGGTAGTTATCTATTGCATCGGGTGAAGTTCACAGCAGGAAAGCGCATAGTCATGAAAACCAGCTTGTGAGCAGAGTACAGGAGGAGACAAGCACCAAAGCAGGGAGGGAATGAGATGACCAGCATCAAATTCGAATAACGTATGAGTCACTGCAGAAGGAAAGAAACGAACAGAAAGGACATTGTATACTGTATAGGCTGCAGCAGCAGCAGAAGCAGTCAAAAACTAATCAGATGCCATTGGTATTGAAATAATCCAGATATGCTGGGCATGGGTGATGTGGATGTAAACTATGCCTCCTTCGCCATATCCAGGCTCTGCAGCCCAAAACCTCCATTCCACGCACACTGTATTTTCTCTAATAAAAGCCCAGGCCTCCAATAACAGCCCAGTCTCCAATAATGACCCGGGGTGAGGGTTGTTTCAAATAATAAGAGCACAGTCTCTAATAGTAGCGCGGGCCACAATTGGAGTATGCAACAAGTATATTGACTGCATATAAAACAACAGTACATCATGCCAAGCACATATTAATTTTGTAAGGAGGTTTTCGGTCTACTACTTCTTTCCTGGCACCTACGTTATTGTGAAGTATCAGTTTTGACAATATTCCTGAGTGTAGAGTTGAGAAATCAGTCTTGATATGGTCAGTTTATTCTATACATAAACACTGTCTATAAAAACCTCGGCCGCGCCTCGGTTTTTATAGCAGTGCAATGAGTGCATACATTCCCATAAACACTACGACATCGGTGTTTATACTATACATAGACGGGAGTTGGCTTGACAGCGGAGCATTGAAAAACTATAAGCACAGTCTCTAGTAGTAGCGCATGTAGAGCTGTCACTCAAATAATAAGAACCCCGGGCTCTAATTAGAGAAAATACGGTGTGCAATTCACAGTTTAACGGGCCGCGTGTCAATGACACTGACTTGGGACGCAGTACTGTTTACATGCAGTCTTGAACCGTGACAATCTCTGTAGCTATCACTGAGATCCAGGTAAAACAAGAAGGGAACTTGAAACTAATTCCAGTATTCTCTCCACTTTGAAAGATACATGGCTGCTTTTCTTGTTGAAATCAAAATAATATTCCCCCCCCCCCCCCAACATCAACCTGATTATTTCAATGCTCATTCAAGTAAGTTAGTTGGAAATGGTTGCCTACCTGTGCGTTATGTAGCGGACCCATCTGAACGGCGTGTAACTGCGACCATTTCGCTCAATGACGCGCAGGTAGCGAATGGCAATGCCAGAGCATAGGAACATCGGCACCTCAAACTCCACACTGTGTACATACGCGCACGTGGTACACACATACACACACACACACACATACGTACACACATACACACAAACATACACATACACACACACGGATTATACACACATGGACACACACACACGCAGAATGGTGGAGTCTGCCGTGGTTTGACTGGCCAGCCATGTTCTGACAGCAATATGGACTGTGTGCTTCAAAGACATGACAGTATGCAACAAGCTACACATCTGCCATCACACAGACAGCGAGCTACAAAACCGACATCAATCAGACAAACTGAAGACATGCTTCGAGTTTACGAAATAACACAGCAAGAAAAGCAAAGTCTAAGAGGTCATACTTCACTGGTCCAATTTCCTTCCTTGTACTTCTGCCTTTCTCAGACACATTGATCTGTGTAACAGGAATAACAAATGCACTCATTTCATAGTATACAAAATACACGGTATACAACTAGGAGGTAGCCAGCAAAAAACAGCATACCAGAAAATAAGATGCCCCATAGCGAACAACACAGCAGGTTTCCAGTAAGGGGTCGTCACAAAAGTTTTCTGTCGTCCCTGAAACGAACATCGTTCCATTTCGTACTAGGACCCCTCCCCTCCCTCTGAAACGAACACAGCTTGCTATACTATGCTGGACGACGAAAATCGCATGCATGTGTATGTCATATGTACAGTGTCGGGCGACTTGCGATTTTGGCTCGCACCCCCCCCCCCCCACCAAATGAATCATGTTCGTTTCAGGGACGACAAAAAACTTTTGCGACGACCTCTAACACCATTCCCAGGGGAGATTTCATTGGTACTTATAAAGAATGTACAGTATACAGCGACAAACCGTAGAGATGACCACCTAGCAGCCAAATTCACTGTCACTAGGGCTGCGTTTACACGACAACGCACGGTCAGCTTTCCGTTTTCGGTCTTGCATTTATTTTTTCCCCCGTTTAGCACGTTTATTAGTACCGTATTTTACCGGTTGTAAGTCGACCCCGGTTATAAGTCGACCCCCCTATCTGGAGGTCTCAATTCTGCGTTTAAAATTTTCACCCAAAGAAGCACTACTAACCACCTCCTGCTACTAACACATCAACAAATCATGTAAACATTCCTTATTGGAGGATATAACGTCCCAATCCTTGAAAAAGGCCAAAAAACTGGCAAAAATGTATAAACATGGTGCACTCGTGCATGCAGTGCAGGTCATTTTTTGTAAGACACTGATAGTTCCCGGTTATAAGTCGAATCCCGGTTGTAAGTCGACCCCCACCCTTTCTCCTTCTATTTTAAGTCGTAAAAGGTCGACTTACAACCGGAAAAATACGGTACATGATCAAAGCTGATCCGAAGTGGTCTCCGTTTGTATCCGTTTTCGTGCGTCTACACGGGAGCAAAGGATCCGCCAAAGTTCGTCATGTGTCAGGTGTTGTCAAGGAAGCACCAACCACAGTCAAGTAATAGTTGAAAACAGGCAATACGACAATATTTATCACAGTCATGAAGAACATTGCAAAACAAAGTTTTGGATTGTCGGATCCGTGTGAACGCATGTTGTGAAACGACAAGTTCTCGAGAGTGAAAGGCCTTCTCGCTTGTGACATTGTGTTCGTTTCAATGCAGCTGTATCCCGACTCCGCCGTACCGCTGATGTTTACGACGTGGCATACGCTACAGGCGCTATGTGCGGTTGGCTGTGTGCGCTGTAGTTGTATGTTGTATGTGTATGCTTTTCTCATATACGCTGTCATTTTCACGCTATAACTACTTGGTGGTTCAGTTCATTCAGTTGTTCCATTCGTTGTTCATTATTAGTAGTCGATGGAAGTGAAAGATATTGCTGAAAATAAATAGTTGTCCTCGTGCCGTGTGGGGTCGTTCGTTCCTGATACTTTAGAGAACCAGAGGGTTCACAACATTTGGCGACCACGTCAGGATACGAAGCGAGCATGGCACAGGAACTATGGATCATCGAAGCCAGCTTTATCGCCAACGGAATTCGGTATGGATTTGAAGGCGATAGGTTGAGAGAATACGTGGAGAAGAGGCTCCGACAGAGCGAGGAGTTTGAAGAGCGCAGTGCTAGACGGCAAGAGTGTGCGCTCCGCGCAGAGTTTAACGAAAAGCTCAAGAAGATGGCCGAGCGCATCGCCGTCAGTACATATTATGAGGAAGCAAAGCGAGATTTGCTTGCCTCGCCCGGAAGGACGCCGGACAAGGCGTGTAAGACTTTGCTTACAGACAAGCAGCGGTCAGAAGAGTGCTTGAAGCCAGTGGCAGGATCAGATCCAAGGCCCACTGCGTCGGTACAGAGCGTGGCAACATCGGTCGGAGACGCTCAGAAGCAGCTGGAGTCTCGGCCGAACGACGTAGAAGCGCAAGACGTAGAGGCGCAAGACGTAGAGGCGCAAGACGTAGAGGCGCAAGACGTAGAGGCGCAAGACGTAGAGGCGCAAGACGTAGAGGCGCAAGACGTAGAGGCGCAAGCGTTAGAGGCGCAAGAGTTAGAGGCGGAAGAGTTAGAGGCGCAAGAGTTAGAGGCGCAAGAGTTAGAGGCGCAAGAGTTAGAGGCGCAAGAGTTAGAGGCGCAAGACATAAAAGCGCAAGGCGTAGAAGATAAGGAAACGAGAAGGGCGATACTGGTTAGCACGGAAAAAGTAAGCGGCGAGACTGTGTGGAACACAGAGATCCGATGTGTGTCCTCGGATTCCGCGCCCGCCCCGGGTCGAAGCAGTGTACCGGTGACCATGTCGTGTGTGACAGCCCACATCGTCGAGCTTTATGACATTATCGGTTGTGTGTTGTCTGGTCCAGCGTCTGCCCCATGTCGAAGTGGATCGGTGACAGTGTCGTGTGCGACAGCCCACAGCGGCGAGCTTCGCGATGTCGAGTTGTCTGAAGTGGTGGGCATTAGTGATATTCTACCATGGCCACCACCGCAGCAGCAGATAACGCGTAGTAAGCCCCAAATCGTTTGACTTGTGAGTTGGTGTACGGCGGTGAGAAGCCCTTTGGTGGGGAGAATGTTGTGAAACGACAAGTTCTCGAGAGTGAAAGGCCTTCTCGCTTGTGACATTGTGTTCGTTTCAATGCAGCTGTATCCCGACTCCGCCGTACCGCTGATGTTTACGACGTGGCATACGCTACAGGCGCTATGTGCGGTTGGCTGTGTGCGCTGTAGTTGTATGTTGTATGTGTATGCTTTTCTCATATACGCTGTCATTTTCACGCTATAACTACTTGGTGGTTCAGTTCATTCAGTTGTTCCATTCGTTGTTCATTATTAGTAGTCGATGGAAGTGAAAGATATTGCTGAGAATAAATAGTTGTCCTCGTGCCGTGTGGGGTCGTTCGTTCCTGATACTTTAGAGAACCAGAGGGTTCACAACAACGCACGAAAACGATACAAACGTGACGGTAACGACGCCCAGCACACCATTTCGACTGTTCACAAATCAACTTGATCCGGCGGAACATTTCCGTTTTCAAATTCTTCCACCTTTGCCAGCGTTTTGGTTTTCTCCCGTTCTGGTGTACAACTTTTACGCTTTGCTCTGTGTAAACGAACCATGCATCCGAAAGGATTTGGTTGGGTTTTCATAACCAACATTGTCGTGTAAACGCAGCCTAAAACTCGCCAGTTAACAGCAAAGATAAAGGATAATATATTCATTGCTTAGAGGGAAAGATGCAAACGGGAAAGTCTGAAGAAAAAAATTGACTGTCACCACCAGGACCAGCAACCTTTGCTTGAGGCCAGCGATAATGATCATTTCTAATTTTAAATTTTCTATAACCATGATAACATGAGACCAATCCACATTTAAAACTGCCATGAATTCATCTACTATGTTGCTAGGCAATGGCTTACTCTGAAACGAGCCGATTGCTCCATGCCGCCCGGGCACCGTCGCATCTTCCAGACCTGCAGCTTCTCAGCGCTCTTGAACTCGGATACTTGACTGGAGCCGGAGGGCAGCACGTGTGAAACGCTGTACATGTACACGCATGCAAGTATAATGCAAGTACAATCCCAATCAGAGATAAGACTTGCCGGTGGCGTATTGCATGCACTGTGTCTGTAGAGCACGGCCCACTTTCCGGTCATGTTCCAGTGACTGCACGCATGTTGGTTCAGCTTGGAGAGCAGGTCAGGCTTTCACTAGCGCAACCGAGAATGTCCGGGGTGGAAGGTAGTGTTACTCGACTAAGGATGCAGTGAAATGCTCGGTGATTGTGTACAGTGTCTAGCAAAAATGCAGGGGGGGGGGGGGGGGGGGCAGACAATACAACTGGATACACTGCACACAGTGCCATTGTCCACCCTGTGCAGGGCAATCATCCCAGGGAGGAGAACAAAGAAACGGCTTTGTACAAAAGGCGGTCTGTCTTCATGGGTCAAAGAAGGTGTTATGGCCGGGTCCGGGGACTTGTCACCGGACACAGCTGGTCTACAAAGACAAGGTGGTCTGATACTGATGCACACACAGCACAGTAGTGTAGCGGCTCAGCACAGCTACCACCGTACACAATGCAGATCATTGCTTTCGAAAATGCTCACCTTGTGGTGGCCTTTGGAACGGGGAACCGCACCGCCACATTCGTTGCATGCCTGCAGAAGAAAAAGCACATAAAGGACAAGGGTTTTTGTCAATTGGCACTACATGTACAAAGCAGGGAGTACTTATATTTTTACTTGAAGTACTTATAATTGCGTTACATGTACGATGATGACGGCAGATGACAAGGCAGAGAACACACTGCTTGCATACACCATCATGCGTGTTACGTGTACTGCACACAGGTACCGTAAAGTCCGCTGCAAACGCCCACCCCATTTTTGCAAGATCTGCTGGCCTGTACACACTGACCCCAAGCACTGTCACCCCTACTGTAGGAAAGCGCATCTCACACTGTAGAGCGAAGAGCGCTTTGCTACGGTAAACTATGAGACAGAATGTCCACTTTCCTGGTTTCAAAATCTCTTTGGGCACTAGCCACAAGCTAGCTCGTTGTGATTTTATGATGATGGCTGTTTCATTTCGCAAATCCAAACGGGAGTTTCTTCCGAGTACCAAGGTAACGAAGACAGAGTATTGCAGGAACCAAATACACTTCTGACGGTGTTTCAACTTTCAAGCCATCATTTCCAACTCACACAACGCTCTAAGGCAAGTGTTTTTCTCGAGCACTTCAGAATTTTCAACAAGTCAGCAGCGACTTTGTAGGTGTAGCTTCTGTGACATACCCTGTTCGACTTGCAACTGCAATACTGCGATCAGTCAAGTTGTTGAATGACGCTTCGTCAGAACAATCACTGTTCCGCTCTGAAAGCGCGACATCGTGGCACTGCAGAAATTTCATGAAAACCAGATGGATTCTACGGCATTACCACATGGAGAGCGAACTACCACAAAGACGACTCATTTATCGAATGAAAGGAAATCTCGACAGAAGTTTTTCTTTGCAGCAAGATGCTGACAATCGCTTTTGCAGAGCCTCCTGGTAAGACATAGGCAGTTTGCAGGCATTACAGCTGTTTTCGTACGCATTCGACCTTAACGCCAGTTTTCTACAACTATTGACCTGAAAAACACGAAAATAGTATGGACCCGCTGGGGTGGGCGTTTGCTGCAAAGTGGGCGTTTGCAGCGAACTTTACGGTACATAGAATTCAAAACTAACACAAACACTCATTCTCAGCAAAGCATGTCGTGCTGATGTTCATTACTGCCGAGTCATAACAAGAAAAAGCCACTCAAGTAGAAGTCTGAGAAGTACATAACACTGTACAGTAAAACCTGTCAAAGCGACCACCTGTCTTAGAAGACCACCTGTCTTAGAAGACCACTGCAACCAGGACCAAGGAATGATATTTACAGTCAAATGACCCTGGATAAGGAGACCACCTGGAAACAGAGATCACGTTTTGAAGGTCCCTTGAGCGGTCGTCTTAGACAGGTGTCACTGTATAGCACAGAAGGATGCACTCAGCGTGCTGAGAGTGCTAGAATGCCGCAAAGGCAGAGCGCAGTGCACAGGGCACATGTTGCCTCTGATGATTGCACCGAGCAGGAAACTAAGAGTTCAACCAATTAGCATTGCTCCACTGTTGTGCTGTAACAGTGTAGAAAACCCCTAATACGATGATGCACACACGTGCAGAAGTCTGCCTTCCATGGTGGGTACTCACTGGTCTTGTGGAATGTCGCACCGCAGTTTCAGTACCACCTCCAGAGACCTGGTAAACAGAAATGAGTCGTAGCAAAAGACACAAGCCATCAGTTCACACGTCGCTAGCGGCGAAAAAACAGGGGTGCATTTAGGGGGAGGGAGATTTGGGATTCGAACACCCCTGCCCCCAATTGTTTCGACCATGGTGCAGGTCTGACTGCCAATCCATGCACCCATGAGACTTTGCATGTGCCACAGCCGGGCCCACTGATAGACTTGCGCCAAACTAGATGGGTCCAACGCCATGAGGCATACGAAGCGTTCACCGACCTGCATCCATCTGCTGTTGAAACGCTCGCTGTGATGCTCCACAAGAAAGAACATCTTCAGCAATATGGTGCGTGGTCATAGGACAGAGAGACCCTGACTAGCGCTGGTGGTCCCTATTATGCCCTCACATCATAAGACTTTCTGGCCAGTCTCTGTGTTGCAGCTAATGCCTTGTCGTCAATTTGACCTCTCAGCGTAAAGCTAACGCACCTGCGGAGGCCCAGGAATTCACAACTGCGGCGGACCAGGAATCCACACCTGCGGAGGCCCAGGAAGGCGCACCTGCGGAGGCTCAGACACCTGCACCAATGGAAGTTGCCGACGAGGTTGGCAAGGGGGTAGAGATGGCGAAGGCATTCGAGCGTGAACTAGAAGATATGTTGGTCAACGCAAGTCAATAGATGTCGTAAAGGCTGACAGTTTAGTTGAAAGGACCATCCCCGATTTTCAAGAGGTCAGAGGCGATGCCGACACCACTGGTAAATGGCACAAACAAGCAGTCCTGCGTGCCCAGATAATCGGGATTGTGCCGAAACCACCAAGAACAGCAGGTCGTCAACAGCATCGCAACAATGTGGAGCACTCCTCAGCTGAGGAGTACTATCGTCGCTCGGTCATTCTGCCTCTGATTGATCACTTTCTCAGTGAGATGAAGGAGTGTTTCTCTGCCACCAGCTGTCAGGCTGCACGCATTCTTTGCTTAGTGCCCCTGGTACTGGTCAAGCAGCAGGAAGGCGAACACGATGCCAACATTGAATGCTTGGCCAAAACATACGCTGATGACCTGCCAAGCCCTTCAACTGTATCCGCTGACATCCGGAAGGATGCGGAAGAGAAGACTGCTTCACTTCCCACTACCCCACAAGAGGCTCTTGTGCACTGTGATGCTGATGTCTTTCCAAACATTTACGTCCTCCTCCGGATAGCTTGCACACTGCCCGTCAAGTCTGCATAGAATGAGTGATGCAACAGTGCCTTTGAGACGGCTGAAGCACTACTCACAGTCTACAATGGGATCGGAACACCTGGCCTGCCTGTAGGTCATCATGGATCATTTCGTGCCAACGGAGTCGTACCAGTCCCCAAGGGTACGGATGAACAATACCAACAGAGCCTTAAGGTACGCTTGGCTGACGACTTACCCATGGCTGGTCTACTCCAAGTCCATGGATGGTGGCTACTGCCTTCCATGCTGCTTGTTTTCTTCTCAAACGGCTGGAAACAGAGGTGTACTTGTTCGCACTCCCTTCCGCCGGTGGACTAAGGTATTAGATGCGTGTCGTGGCCACGAGCAGAGTAAGTATCACCTTGATGCCCAGGTGGCATATGATGAAATTCTAAGTAGAACATGGCTGAAGCAGAGAAGAACGTTGCAGCTCGGTTGGATGAACGCAGCATTGAAAAAATTCTGAAGAATCGCCAGGTCATCATGCCTGTAGCCAAATCAGTGCATCTCTGTGGCAAACAAGGTAGCAAGGTATTCTGTAAGCAAAATCACCCAATCCTACAAGTAGGATTAACTTTTTGTTCTTTAAAATTGGACTTTATGAACGTTATGTGTGAACAAATTGACTTGGCAGCATGCCATAGACAAATATGAAAAGCATGGACATTTTCCATCCAGGAATAGCAAAAAGAAGCAACATTCAACTTGGAAGACTAGATTCTAATCAAGGTGCAGGCTGACGTTGCATCTGCAGGTGGGGTGGGGGTGGGGGATAGCCGGCATCCAAAATGGGAACTGATCACTCCCGAGTCCACATCCGTGCACTGGATGCTAGCAGACAACCATCAGTTGTGCGAACGCCGGCTTCAGTCCACCCCAAGGAATCTACGGCGGCTACCGCAAGTGCAAAAGGAGTACGGCGCGGTAATGAAGCAGCAGCTGGAGCACGGCATTATCGAGCTTGTCCCATCAACTGAGAGCAATGTGCCGGGTGAAACACATTATCTGCCGCATCATCCCGTGATCCAGGAGGACAAGAGCACCACGAAAGTCCGCGTGGTGTATGACGCCTCGGCCAAGGCGGGCACCGCACCATCACTCAATGAGTGCCTCCACACCGGGCCTCCTCTCATGGAACACATTCCAGATATACTGCCGCGTTTCCGTGTAAACAAGGTAGCGGTGACATTGAGAAGGCATTCCTGATGGCTGGTATTGCCAACGAAGACAGAGACGTCCTGCGATTCCTATGGGTTAATGATGTCAACAGCGACCAACCCAACACCTTGACGTACCGCTTCACCAGAGTGGTATTTGGTGTGTCCTCCAGCCCATTCCTCAGCGAGTGTTTAAATGTTGTTCGATACCGACTCGCTTGGGCTCCAGTGGCCTGCTACAATGATGGTGATTTTTGGTGCGATCTTGGCATACTTCGGACGCTGCTCGATCGGAGAACAGTGCAGGCTCTTTGAACCACGGGCACGACTCTTCGATTCAAGGCTCACAACACTACGGGATCTGAAAGTTTTAGGTCCGGAAGCTCTTCGTTGTTTTGTCACTTGTCACGGTTGTGGACTCATCGTTGTAGCATACTCGTATTATGAGGCTGGACTATTCCATGCGGAAACTAAAATTTTCTTTCTCAAAGTCCAACAACCGGCAAGGAGAAACGCACGTGCCCTGACTACATGACTGTACATACGACTGATGTACGAATATAGTACATGACAAGTACGGGTCTTGACTAGTCTCTTGTGACTCGAGTCTTGTAGATCTACCACACGACTAACGTAGCACGTGCGGCAGTGCGGGAGTAGTGATGCGTTTGTTGACCACAGCTAGCATGCACGCAGAGGCCAGCGCGGACGGAAAAAGTCCAACTCGGAAACGGCTAAAAGACGGGATAACCTCAAGATTTGCCGAGCTGAAAATCACAGGGTACGCAGTGTTTGTAAAACTGAGTCGAATGGTCTTGGTCACTCCCGAGTTCACACCAGTCGCCTGGTCACCGTGCCTGCAGTCTACAACTTTCACACCAAGGTTCAACTCAAATGTTCAAAGGTTCAACTTGAGTAACAGGAACGCAGTAAAAATTGTAGCCTGCGGGCACGGTGACTGGTGTACGCATGGGCATGTGACCGCTTACTCACCCGTGTTAGACTGGGAATAAGGGCCGAACGTTGCATCGCAGCCTTTTCGGACCAAAACCAGTCGACTCAGTGTCCAAAAGACTACAACTTATGGACCAATCGCTGTCATCCGTGCTTTTATAAGAACGAAATGGCGCTTTTACCGACATCTTGCATACAAATCCCCATCTAGTAGGGCGCAGTCATCCAGTTTCGGTGGGTGTGTGCGAGTTCGATTGGGAATAAAGTGGGAAGGGAGTGTCTCAGCTTCCTCGGACCAAGACCATTCGACTCAGCACCCCGAAGACTACAACTGGTGAAAATTTGATTTTAGGGTATACTTCCCCTTTAAAACTTCAAGTCCATGGAGTGACCAGGAACTCTAGCCGTGAAGACTGTAGAGCTCTAGCCACGTAAGCACGATTACAAAGACATAATTATATGGCATATTCAATGCGTACTTTGAATCATTATCTTCCACCATGACCAGCATTTGGAATGGCAGCTTATGTCGGAAGTCTCCAGACAGTCGATAGCGCATCGCAGTAAACTGCACAATGACAACAGCAAAGCAGCGGCAACCACACAGTAAAAGCTACTGACATGAGACTCATAAGAGTGGGTCCATTGTTATTAGGCATATGCCTGTTTTGATTTCCACTATAAATAAAGTATACAACAACATACAGCAAGAGGTTTGGAATCTCTTATTCTCATGAAGTTGTTGGGAAATGCTACCCCATACAGAAAAAAGAACAGGTCACCCAGTTATTCGAAACTCGGATGTTGAGCCAATAATAAATGTAGAAAAGAAAAGGACATATGGATACGAGTTACGAGTAACTGTCCACCACTGTAACTAGATACTATATACAGTCAGAAAGTGCAACAACTACCCAGTTATAAGACTCATAACAAACTAAAAGTTATATTCAGGGCCAGACTAGTGTCGACGGGCCAGGCGCGTACCTTGCTATACATTCAAGGTATTCATCTGTTGGAATGGACCAGCATGACCTGACTGTCCGGTTGTGAATGCGTGCAAGTCTCAGGACTTACACAAATGAGTGGTGCTTGAAGTATTGCAAGTCGAAATGCTCTTTTAAAAATCATGCTACTTGTACTTTTAGAAGTACAATATGATAAAGATGCCGGAATTCCCTTCAGCACTTGATCATGTGACTACACGGGTACCTGGTCATAACTCCTTGAACGTTTCTTGACAGAAACAAAACATTTTTTATTGCGATATTAAAATGTTGTCTTCTCGTCGAATATTTCAAAACAAAACAGTTTGATAAGTTTTCATTTCGTGTACGAATAGATAAACTCCCCACTGTACACACCTTTATGCAGCACAGGCAAACGAAACAGGTCAACGAGGAGATACAGAACACAAATAAACCAAAAAAGAAATCAAGCCAGTCCCAGTAAACTAGTGAAAATACACAACTCACTGTTACTTCAACATCGGAGACAGCCCAGAACCTAGCAGGGGATCAGGCGCATCCATGTGGGTTGATGAGTGCACATATCCCCCCCCCCCCCCCTAAAAACGCACGCTGAAGCCCAGTCTGTAATGTCACTACATGTACGTACTTCACCATCTGGAGGGGTAATTGCCAGTGTTCGGTCCTTTTCGAACTCCTCCATACGCACACACTGGTGAAAATTGCAGTCATCCAGTGTCACGCCAATAGCTCCTACAATGAATGAAACAAAGGAGAAGAAGAGCCACAAGTGAATCCCATGCTCACATACTTGTAGTGCTTTCGGTGACTGCACAAGCTGTCGATTTGCCAAAATGTAATCGTCCATAACTGTGGATTGCTTCGGATTTTTTATTCAAACTTTCACAGCTTATTCCTAGCATATTCCTGACTCAGAAAAACGAGCGTTTTATCATTTTATGCCAAGCTCGCAGATTCGATTTTGATGGTGAACTCCCTTACCCTAGTAATATCCTACTTCAAGTACAGTGGAGATTGGATATAACAACACTCCTTCGGGAGAAAGCAAAATGTCGCTATATTCGATCTGTCACTAAACCTGATCTTCACATTTAGTATGCAATATGTATATCAAAACGACAGAAATGTATCGTAGATATACATGACATGTACATGACGTGGATAACAGATGTTTATCTATGTACATGTGTCTTGCATGCATTGTTCAAGGTATCCCGCACCGCTGCAATGCGGCTACAACGACGTGCAATGTAAAGCAGTGACCCGGACTGAGGTCCGGGCACGTGGCACAGCCATATACCATGTTCCAGATATGCCAGTCTGCCTGATACAAGAGGAAAGTCGTTATATCCGATGTATTTTCACTGTTTTCCAGGTCTTCGGGCACCAAAAAAGTGTCAGTAAATTCAATCTGTCGTTATTTTCGAGGTCGTTATACCCAATCTATAATGTACAGAAAGGACTTTCTAAACGACTTGGGCAACAGAATTGTGTCACTAAACTCGATTTGTCGTTATACCCAAGGTCGTTATATTCAATCTCCACTGCATACAGTATTATATACAGTGTGACCGTTTAGTGAGTGGAACGCACGTAAAAACTCACCAGGACTAGTGGATGACCTCTCAACGACGATGTCCTCCGAGAGGCCAAGGCGAATTTCTGCATCGGACAAGCCCAGAGAGGAGAAAACAGGAATGATGTCACTGCAAAACAGGAATGACGTCGCTATAGTGGTGGCAGGGGCGACAACGATTGAGGCAAACCGCACCACTGTTAGGTCATTCCAAGTACACTATGCACACGCAATGTGCATGTAAGTATTGCACTGCTACCATTCAATGATATTTTTCTTGTATGGCATGGTAACATCAAGTACATACAGGTACAGAGAGCACATGACAACACACTGCTCACAACTACAACTAGCAGGAGTACTGGAGTAGCCCATAGAAAACTCACCTGGGTTGCCGGCAAGAAAGCTTTTCATCTGCACAGAGCCGTCAATATCGGCTCGCAAGACACTGCCCTGTTAGACGCAAACACATTGCACACAGCAAAGTCTTGAAAATGAAGGTTTGTTTCAAATAAAAATGAAGGTTCTTCGAATCTTTGACACCTTCGTTTCACCCCTAGTGTTTTCGCATTATCTTATAGGGGCCATCTGGCATTATCGATAAGTTTTAAGCTTTTAACGGAACGAAAAAGTTTAGTTATGACTCTCACCCACCCAACCTCCAGAACGAAAAATATAATTATCAACTTGACAGCTAAAATTGATTGGTGTTTCAGCTATCATTATTTTTCGAAACAAAACTCTCCTCGACCCACCCAGAAAAGAGAATTTTCAATTCGTGAAAAAGATCGATAATTATGGACGGCCTCTTACCCTAGTCCAAACATTAACACTAGGGTAAGGGGCCGTCCATAATAAATTAATAATCGATCTTTTTCACGAAACGAAAAAGTTTCGTTTGTGGGTGGGTCGAGGTCAGCAGCACTGTGAGCGCTATGAACCAAGTCGCCAACTCAGTTGTGAAGTATCATGGCGGATAAGGCATTTTTGCAGTCAGACGTGACATGGTTCGCTCAAAGGACCTGCAAGATTTGGTCCGAATTATTCTACTTGTAAAGTTGTGGGATAGATCTTGTCCTGAGCGCCAATGTGTCTGGAAATGACCGTGATTACATGGATGATAGCAGCAGTAGCAACAGGGAAGAAAAATAATGACACTAACTCCAGCACTTTCAAACGAAATGTGTTTTGACCTGTGCCATTCTGCATTGTACTACTCCCTGGATATCACCCATGACCGGTGTTTCTGTGCATTGTACTACTTCCTGGATATCATCCATGGGCGGTGTTTCTGTGCGTACGGTGAGAAACACTGTTGCGAGGTGCACAGCGCGACGCAGCGCTGCAAGCATAAGCCTCGTTCTGGTCACCCAAGGTTGCCGTCTGATCGTGACGACAGCAGGTAGCTCAAGGTCATGTCCCTGGCTAACAGGGCGAGCTCAAGAGAGACTGGTGCAAAAGCATGGGCTAACTCGTCTCGAGTCGTACGGTATGTTGCAGACTGCTGAAAGCTGGCCTGAGAAGCTGCGGGGCCACAAAAAGCCGCACGTCAGCCACAAAAATATGAAAAAGCGGCTAGCCTTTGCCAAGGCCCACCCAGGATGGACTGTGACCAGCGGAGCAATGTGCTGTGGTCCGACAAGTCTAAATTTAATATGAGAGCTTCAGACGGCGTGGTGTATGTCCAGCGCAGGCCAGGTGAGGAGCTGCTGCCAGAGTGTAGTGTCAGCACAGTCAAGCATGGTGGTGGCTGCATCATGATACGGGGCTGCTTCGCCAGCAACAGTGTCTGTGAGATATTGCATACGATTACCAGACAACCTCGTTCTCTTGCTCTCTCTTGCTCTTCTTTTCTCTTGTTTTCGTTCACCTGAGTTTACAGTCTTCTCCTTGTTGTAGCTTCTTGTTTTCCAGCGCTAACTCCTTGCGCCGTACACTGGCAACGTTGCTGGCGATCCGTCATGGCAACGCTCTCATACCTTGTTTTGCTGTCCGCATGCTACACTGTTTTCGGTTCTTTGAGTTTTTTGATGGGAGAACAATATTTCCATACAATGATGAATTTATATCTATAAGTAGTTCTCAGTCTGATTCTAGAAATTGTAAATTGGTCCTTCGAGCCTCTCCAGACGATGGCTGACGCAGTGAAGCAGAACTCCGTCAGAAGCTCGCCAAGGTGAAGGCGAAGGCAACCTTCACGAACCTTCGCTGCGGACTACTTGCCGCCATCAACGAACTGGACGTAGGTAAAGACGAGATAAAGTATAACCTTGTTCTACTCGAGAACGGCATGAACGCCGTGATGGGTATGGTATCATCACAGAGTTGGCTTGCAGTATTAGTACCAGTCAGGACAGTGTGTTGCTTGACAGTCTAGGCAAGGATGCGGATGATTTGGAGAAACAGTACACTGATGCTGTCACGCGCCGTACATGGCGTTTTCGAGCTCTCTGCAGCAGCCGTCGCACACAGCGTTTTCGAGCTCTCTGCAGCAGCCGTCGTGCACGGCGCCTTTGAGCTCTCTGCAGCAGCCGCTGTACACGACGTTTTCGAGCTCTCTGCAGCACCAGCCGTACACAACGTGTTCGAGCTCTCTGCCCCAGCCGTCGTACTCAGCGCCACAGCAGTCGTTGACGCAGGTCACGCAGCAGCCGTCGTACACGCCATCTTCGAGCTCTCCGCAGCAGCCGCCGTACACACCGTTTTCGAGCTCTCTGCCGCAGCCGTCGTACTCAGCGCCACAACAGTCGTCGACGCAGATTACGCAGCAGCCGCCCGCACACAGCCGCACAGCACCCGCTGTACATGACGTTTTCGAGCTCTCTGCCCCAGCCGTCGTACTTAGCGCCACAGCAGTCGGCGGCGCAGGTCACGCAGCAGCCGTCATACGCATTGTCGACGCCACACCAGACTCGGAGCGACTTCCAACCCTAAACCTGGCGCCTTTTCTTTTATCATCGCAGTCAACTCGTTGAGCCGTTACGCCGCAAGTGTCGCCACATGCACAGACTCCCTCACCTTACAGCTACAGAGGTCAAAGTCAGCAAAGCGCGGCGCCATCCGATGTCTATCGCCATCTGAAGAAGACCACCATCCCAATATTCAGTGGCGACAAGAAGGTGTATGATACCTGGCGTACGGCCTCCATGGTGTGCGTAGACCAACAGCCGATATCAGCCGAGTTGAAGCTCCTCCAGCTCCACCAATGCCTCACGGGCCTGCCGCTCAAGAGCATTGAAGCATTCGGCTACTCCGCGTCCGCCTACTCAGCCGCAATAAGTCGCCTGGAGCACAAGTACGGTGGCCTCCGTCGTAAGACGGTCGTCCACATGACCGCCCTATCGCAGTTTACGCCCATTCGGGACCGGGGCACTGCCGCAGAGTTCGAGCGATTCGCTGACTTGCTGCAAGTCGCGATCATAAGCCTGCAGGACGTTGGGCGAAATGGTGAATTGGCTGCTGTGACATTCTGCACCCAATTGCAGCAGAAATTGGTCCCGGAGTTGCTGAGAAACTACAACAGGTGGCGATGTGATGCAGGTGCTGAAGAGTCCCTACCCCACCTACTGCAGCGGGTGCTGCGCGAAGCAGACTTCCGCACGGATGTGGATGAGACGCTTCACAGCATTACCAACACAGCACTGAGCTCCCGGTCGCTGCCATCCGCCAAGCCTTCCAGGTCCGGACCAGCTACGACGTCAGCCCTAGCAGTTTCGTCCGCCAACCCTTGTGCGTACTGCTCACAGGATCACGATGCCGCAGAGTGCTCCGTCATCACTTCACTCACGAGAAGGAAGGAGATCGTGAAACGAGACGGGCGCTGTTTTGTGTGCCTCAAGCGGCACCACATGGTCCGCAACTGCCAATCAACGTTGAAGTTCACCAAGTGCAGCCGGCGACATCACGGCAACAGCTGCGATGGCGCGCTAGCGCTTGCTGGCAAGGGCAAGTCTTCCTGCATGGCCACCAAGTCCGTTCAGTGCGGCTCTACAAGGTCAATGGTACGATGAAAGCAGGCCAGTACGATAATGATCCAAAGAACACCACTCGACAAAGGCGTACTTGGTGGCATGCCCATACCGCGTACTGGAGTGGCCGGTGCAGTCGCCGGCCGGGCCTAAATCCGATTGAGAACTTGTAAGAGATACTGAATCGTCACCGCCATGATGTTCCCCAAGTCCCGTCACCAGAAGCACAGCTGTGAGAAAGTGCAACGTGGCATGGCAAAACAGCAGGGATCGGCGCGTAAAACCCTTTTCGACCACGCCGACTCGCATGAAGGCAGTCGTCAAGGCGAAAGGAGGACTAAGTGATAATATTGTGATAACAGTACACTGATAGACTCGGATGGAGAGCCAAGGATAAATTTATAGTACTTATTCCTTGGTCCTTTTTTCTTTACTATAAGTACACTGATAACTAAGTTACTTATGTCTTAGTTGATGTCGATTACGTAATGACTTGGATATTTTCTTGGCCATAAGTTGACTTGATATTTTATTTCAGAGCTATGTAGCCGTCACATAATGGATAAGAATACTTGTAGGCTCTCTATATAAAGAGATAGTCAGCTTCAGTAGTTTTTCCCATAGTGTACAAAGATTCTCTCTGGAAACCTATTTTCTCTTTGGCGGGCCGCAACATTTGGCCACCACTTAGCTAGCTCAACGGAATGCCAGCAGGCCCCGGTATTGGAGGAGGAAAACACACTGACTTACATTTGCACCAATCAGCACTGTCATACGCTCCAGCAAGTCCACGAACAGCTCGTGCTTCTCGTCACCCTAAAAGAGGAGAACAACGACCAGGCATATACCAGTAATCAGGATCGCCGTGTGAACATGGCGGAACTGGCAACATGGGCATCCAGCAAGACAGTGCATTCCAACACGCAAACAACACCATGGGAAACCTGACAGTGACAGTCGCCTAGTATGGAACACATCACGCTGCTATGACAAAAATCATCAATGAGACAATGAGCTCCAGGTCATGGGAATCGTTGCTACCTTAGAATCAGAGCCAAACGCCACAGACTTGTTGGCTGCAGAGCTGGGCAATGTGCGTTGCTCGCGAGCCTGCAGCCGGGAGAAAAGAAATCAGCAGACATGAAATGGGTACACGGCAAAGAAGTAATCCATCAGCCAAGTATTTTCGGCTGACTCCGGCTTGCAATGCAGCCGGTGTGGTGACACTTTCTTTATGTCAGGGAGCTATGAATTGTAACTTCTCTTTAAATTCTGGACAATGAGGTCTACAGATCAAGCCACAGACTACATCAAACACAAACTGGACAAAGGATTCAGGACACTCTTTTCAAAACTTGGCCGTTTTGAGGAAGAAATCACAAACACATGATTGTAATGGCAGTTATTCTGCCCTGCAGCATGCTGTACACCGGTATTTCCGCTCCTCTTTTCGGTTGGTTCTGGTATCAGTGAATTAAAGAGAGTTTGAGCAAGGACTCTCTTTTTTCTTGCTTTGAAAGGTTAGGGTGTTAGCAACTTACGATGATTTTTAAACAAAAAAATGCAGATGCGATTTCAGCAACTTTCACTTGCTTTGGTATAGCTATGAAAAGCTCCAGTTGCAACAAATTTCGGCATCATAAAGAAAGGGCTACCCTGGGTGGGCTGGCTCTCTAAAGATTCAGGAGATTCAATTTCGTGTTGAGTTAGGGGCACCTTGGGTCCCACCTGCACTCCGTGCCAATGGGTGAAGAACAATTTACATGCAGGCACGCACACACACACACACACACACACACACACACACACGCAGACACAGATACACACACGTACACACATGTACACACACACACGTATCCACGTACACACACACACACACATACACATGTACACACACATGAACCTACAGGAGCAATGCCGGGTAGTCGGCTTGTTGTAGGCTCTGTGGCAACCTCTACAGGCTTGTGAAGGACACATGCCTTGAGGGCTTCTGTGGATGTAACTTGTGGATAGCCAAAATCCTGATGGAAACAAAACAAAAGAGAAACGATAGCTGTCCTAGAAAGAGTTCTGTTACAATCACATGTATGTACATCCTCCCGAGTAAGGACACAATGCAAGAATAGCGTAACTACAGACAAGCATGACTGGCTTTAGGGCTGTACTCACAATACTCGATGTTTGAACCCAGATACTTTGTAGACAGGCATGAAAAGACACCTGGCGTCGAGGTGGTATGAGTGTTCACGGAAACCAAAGGTACCGTGTTAAAAGGTTTAAATTGGTTTCGAAGTAGCACAAGTACAGTAACATGTTGTTGATCGGGTATGCTGGGATGACTGCTCACCAACCCAGGCATTGTGATCCCCATACCAATAGAGAGCGTTTGGGAACACGAACACTATACCACCTACCAAGACTTCATCCAGCAGTTCGTACACCAAGACAAAGTTGAGACGGATAGCCTCCTCGTTGAGCACACCACAGTAGTCCTTACACAAGCCTGATATCCTGGCAAGAAGAAGGCAGACAACATCACACCAGCCACGCACGCACGCACACACACATACACTATCAGAACAATTCCATGCATGATACATGTACAGCTATCCGACTGGATCAAGAACAAACATCATTTTGAAGTCAACAATGTGCCTCGCATGGTACAAGCACATCTACTCCATAGTAATGAACTTCATATCATTTTTATGTCCAGCAAAAGAGAAACACTTCTGCCACGGTATGATATCTGAAATGCTCCCCTATTAGAAACATGTGACCCGATATTTAGTCTTTAGAGTCTATTTTCAATTTTATTTCTTACCTCGTTAGCAGCTCCACAACAAATGTCGGTGCTACATTGAACTTGGTTGTGCAGACAAAGTAGAGGCCATTGCGACGGATGTAGATGAAGTGATTGCCTTCAACATTCTATTTACAGGTGGCGCATACACATGAACGCACACACGCACGCACACACACACACACATAGATATATCAGGATCTGCCAGTTATTTCAGCAAAGATCTAAAGCTTGATGTGATGTGCAGCCAGAGTTCATACCACACCACATTGATTTTGAAATGCTTTAGGCATGAACATCAAGGTCCTTATACTGGAAGGCTAGCTCCGCAAGAATAAACAAGATCACACTTGCTAGTGGATGCAGGTGCTTTGCAACCCACCAGGACTCATGAATCACCCATGTGTTGCCACATACTTAGTAGCCTGCCAAGTCTCAGCCATTCTACAACTGGGTTAATTGAAGCAGTGTGAGTCAAGTGACATGCTGAAGCCAAGCATCAGCTGCCAGGCAAACATCTCTCTCTCTCTCTCTCTCTCTCTCTCTCTCTCTCTCTCTCTCTCTCTCTCTCTCTCTCTCTCTCTCTCTCTCTCTCTCTCTCTCTCTCTCTCTCTCTCTCTCTCTCTCTCTCTCTCTCTCTCTCTCTCTCTCTCTCTCTCTCTCTCACGGTAGTCCAGCCCCAGAGGTTTCCGTCTTGGTCAACACATCTCGAATTTTTAAAATAAATCAGTGGCAGTAATCAGTCAATGTTGCTTGAATTCTGGTACACTGTGCCAGCCATGAGCCTCTCCTACCTCTCAATTACACTGCTTACATAATTATAATACCCATGGCCAGACGCACACACACGCACCTACAGTCCATTCATAAAAAGATGGGTCCTGGCTCTGGCGAGCTCCCGTATTTGGCGATTTTTCGTGATTTCATCGTACACAGTGCAGTGCTGCGAACTTTGAAATTTGAAAAAGGGTCCAAAAAGGGTGCCTGAACTGGGGTTCGAACCGCAGAATGCACTGTTGCAGGCGGGGTCACACGGCCTGGATTTTGATGGTTTTTCCCAACTCAGTGCTTTTGGGGCAAAACCTGGCCGAAATCCTATTCTTGCTATGGCTTGCTTTTTGGACAAAAAAACTTCAGAAACATAATTGGAAGAGGATTCCATATGGGATTGCAGAAAAAAATTCTAAAAAAACTCAACGTTTGACCCATTTATGGCCAAAAGCTAGAAGTTCATTTTTTTCTGAATGGACTGTATATCACAAACAAATCAGCAACGTCAAGAGGAGTAAAACCTCGACAAACACAGCAGTAGTGCTTACAAATATAGGCGGAGGGAGACTGCCAGGCCATGATTTGATCTTGCGATAAAAGATCTCCGCTGTGCCTTTCACGACGTCACCTCGATCTATGCACGGCCGTCAAGGCTAATAGTAATACACAAGAGGGCTGAGCATTTATTTCTTGTTGGTGACAGGACCCTGAAGGTTGGTAAAGTGTCCAAAGTGTCCATAAAGTGTCCATATAAAGTGTCCATATTGTATGCATACATTTTCAGAACAGCAGTTTCGTTAATTTTTTATTCCGTGCGAGTTGGATATGGCACAAGCAAAGAGCAAGGGCTGATTAGTACATGCCTGGCCGAAAAGGCTGCGTTCTCCTATTAGTTCAGGGTCTGCCTTCTCTTCGGTATGGCCAATTTAGATGGATGTGAGCGTGTGTGCCCCCCCCCCCCCCCCCTACGCACACACTTCAAATAGCTGTGCTGTGTAGACCAGGCTGAATAGTGGCGTCAATTCTTCAGCCTTGCAAGCTGGGGAATGGTGCAATCCCAGCACAAGTTGCTATGGCTTCTGCTGTAGCATCGCTATCATTGCCTCTGGCGATGGGCGGCAAAGGTAAATGAGTGTGTGTGTGTGTGCGTGTGTGTGTGTGTGTATGTGTGCATGTGCACATACCGGTATGGACATGCATGCATGTGTGTATGCAGGCAGCCCTCCAGTAGACTAAACTGCTGGACTTTGCTATTACTGTTGTTTATATAAGGCTACCTAGTGTATCTATTGTACATGCTGCCGACCGACCATCGGTGCATGTATTTTTTCGAACTTCAAAATTAATGACTATACTGTACATTATACTTCACCAAACATGTCACAAAATGGAGAAAAGTCTGCAGTAGGCGAAGGCATGATAAATCAATTTTACGAGGGAATTGATGACGTGACCGTGAAATGAACAGAAGTCCCAGTTTAATCATCATTTCACTTTTCGTTTACACACAACGCACAACAGTGTGTGAGGATACATTCCCGGAAGGCAATAGTGTCTCCACGTGAGGAAAGGATGAAAAACTGAGAAATCATCACAATCGCCGATATCGACTCCTAGTGATCAGCACTAAATCGTGTCCTCTGAATTGATCGAGTATCAGGTACTCCACTATAATTATTACAATTATAAACTCAGTAAATATTCGAATTCAAGACATCTACAGGAGATGTTTTTCAGGACAGCTGGAGACAACTATGAAATCAAACCTCTGTCAGACATTTAGAGGCCAGAGGTATAAAGAATAATGCAACCTGGAGAAGAGGGGAGGCGAAGGACAAGAAAAAATGAACCCCACACTGGAGTGCAGTGACTTGAATTGTATTATTTTTGTCCAGCTAGCTGCAGACTCGTCGACTCCAAACATCTGGTGAACATGACTGTTCTGCCTGGTTGTCCGGAGCAGAAAGCAGATGTTTTGGGAAACTCCAGAGAAACGCTGGTTTTTTTCGTGCTGCCACCAGGCGCTATGCCGAGTTTGCGTGCGTGTTCGACCTAAAACCCGGTCATAAATGCTGAGTTCTTGGTCGATCTTTGCAATCTCGTAGTGTCGTCAGGGTGCGCGCGTGGGAACGCGTTGCAATGGAAACGTCGTACTTGACTTGATCGACGGCATGCAGTCTTGCAGATCTTCGAAAGACAAAACTCATAAAATAAAACACGCAGTTTGATTTTATTTTCTATCTCCACTCAGGTCAAGCACAGTTTCAAGACTAGAGTGTATTTCATTTGCCTTGATCTGCAAGCCACTCAGCTCATCAACCAGCTTATTTTTTGGGAGCTGCTTACGGAAGGGAATTGCTGTTGTGTAGTCCTGTAGCCGCCATATTGCTGGTGAAATGTCGTCAGGTGGTTTGCTACCTTTGGAACTGGTTGACAAATGCATCGGGTCGAAAATCCATGTCATCATGAAGTCAGACAAAGAAATCATAGGAACACTTCTGGGCTTCGACGATTTCGTTAACATGGTGCTTGAAGACGTGACGGAGTTGGAGACCACACCGGAAGGTCGCAGAGTGACCAAGTTAGATCATATCTTGCTGAATGGAAATAACATCACAATGATGATACCTGGTGGTGAAGGTCCAGGTTTATGATGCAGCCTCCTTGTACAGTAGAGTCGCGCGTCCAAGAGCGTTGTGCGTTCTACTGTTTTATTTCTACTGACTGTGCAAGTGGAGTCTACATGCTCAGTCTCAGCGCTGCTACTAAGACCAGGAGTTCAAGGACTCTTGCTGATGTTTAACCCACATATTATACTGCTTCCTGTTGGTGCTATGCGTGTTTGCAAGACCTACTCGGTGTGCATATTATTATTAGCAAGCGTCCGTAATCTTGAGGGATTTTTCAGTTTAATATGGACAGGACTCTTGCTTGTAAGGTGTGTAGAAGTATGTATGTATCTGACTGTGCCTGAACTTCATTGCATGAGTCGCTTCTTCCTACTGAGAATTGGTACGATTGTGCCTGGTTTAACCTCGTTTTCTCTGTTTGCGCTGATGAGTCAACAAAGGATGAAACAGTTCTGTCCGCAGATTGAGAATTAGTATTACGTATGTTCGGCTACACCAGGCCCGATCGTACCAGTACTCTTCATTGTACGAAGACTATATTATACACATGTAGATCTACCCTCTTTTATCTTTTTGATTTGAAGTAAAAGTTAGTTAGTTTGAACCTGGGAGTGCACTGTCTGTAGTATCAAGAGTACATAACCCGTACTCTTGCCTCTTGGTAGTATTTATCCTGCTCCCTGGTTTTGAATTGTAGCCCGTTCGCCCAGCTGTGCGGCGCCGCAGTGTCCTGAGTCAAACTCAAAGTGTCGTACCGTGGCTAGCGATAGCTAGCGCGCTGTACATGTACGAAAGTCATGATGTAGCTCGGTTTTTGAACTGTTTTTCCCGGACCATGCACCATGTGCACGCACGTGTTTCTCTTTGCTTGCATATGCGCATATATGCTGCGCGGCCGGCACACAGTCGCCGCACGCGTGCTTCTCGCCCATGTGTCATTGCATGACAGACATGTGCATATACGCATGTGAACCATGCGGGAAAATACAGCTTCTTTTTTCTTCTTCTTTTTCTTTGAAACGTTGTCCAACACTTGCACTGGCCACAGACTTCAGTCAAGAGGTGGAAGAAGCCTGCCATGCTTCCAGGCGCTAGGCTATAGGCTACACAACGTTGTTGAATCAACTGTTACTTCAACTCGAGTGACTGAGTGTGAAAGCTTTAGCTAGTCGCGTGTGGAAAGCTTTTTCGGCGTGAAACCGTGAGCAACAGGTGGTGTGGCAATTTTTTGCTTCGTTATTGATTGGTTGGGACCACAACCCGCACAGCTGATCTCCGAACCCGCCTCGAGGAACGTTCGCCGGCATATCCACTCCTTTTCTTGTGCACCTTGGTGGATGGCATACGGCAGAGGGTTCATTCAGTACAACCGATAGTATATGCATTCATGACTTACCCTATGGTGGCCAGAAAGCTGCACTTACCGTGTGGAGGACGATACCGTTATGTGGAGCGGAGTGCATTGTGTAGTTCAGGCTAATGTCCAATGGTGTACACGACTCGTGCTGCGCAGAGGCTTGGCAGTGAAGAGGGAGATAGCTTCCACAGCAGCTCAGAGAAAAGCAAACAGTCGTCGAGATTCTGGTGTACGCGACCAGATTCAGTATGATGAAAGGTGGTGGCGAAGTTCACCGGACAAGGTGCAGCGGCTTAGGGAGGGTCTTGTGGCGCTTGACCAGTCGACATGGCATGGGTTTCGCCCACTAAGAATATTCTCCTTGGCAGCTATCATTGGTATGGTTGCTTTGTACGCATTCAGAGATGAAGTACGAGAGTACTTTGCCGAGGAAGTAGCTGGTGTGGCGAATCGCAGCATGGGGGACGAAGAGCTCATCCGGCGTGCTGGCGTTCTGGCCACAAGTGTGGTCAGCGATCAGGCTGTCCGTGACCAGACAACGGTACTTCTGAAATCCAGTGTGCAGGCTTTGCTGGCTGATGAGGAGCTACGCAAGCAGATGCTTGGCTACTTAGCAGAACTGATCCGTGACGAGAACACAAAGAAAGCCGTGGCTGGCAGCCTGTATGACCTTGTGCAGACGCCTGAAGTCCAGCAGTTCATGAGTGAATTCTTTGTTACAGCTCTACAGAGCCAAGCAGTCACTGACCAGGTGAATGCTGTAGCTAAGGATGCAACTCAGCACGTTTTAGAGGATGAACTTGTTCGAATGATGGCCAGCGATGCACTATGGGATGTAGTTCGGGGCTCGGTGTGGAAAAAAGCAGAAAAACCACCTTCACCTCCTCCAAAAACTTAGGCTTCCCTCATATAATAGTTCTCTTATCTTGAAATCAGATATATGAAAATACATGCCAATTAGTTCGTGACAGCATTTCATAGTTCACTTGTATTGAATTTTTTGAACAATATATTCTAGGCTTGAATGTATGCATTTCCAAAAAGTACCAGTCATTCCCTTGATGTGCAGGATTTTACTCTCTTAGGCATTCATACTTGAAATGTTGTGGTCCCTTTTTCTAGTTGCAATTCTTTTGATCAGCTGGAGACTCCGTTTCGGATGCCTGATCTTAGCAGCTATTTTCATTGTTCAAGCTTGATTTTTTTGTTTTTGTTCTTGCCAGTTCTAAGTATAGCTGTGGCTGGTCTATGTGCTGTACAGCTGGCTCCCAAGCTCTTCATTTTCTGTCGCTCTTTATAATACATGAAAGTTGTGTTAGATCGCCATCGTGCATACATGCCTCTGTGTGCGTGTGTGTGGGGGTATGTGCAGATGCACCTGTTGCAGAAAGAACAGAACTGATGATGATATAATTTTGAAATGAATGTAAATACACTCATCAGCAGTCGAGTTACATGTATGATCCAAATGTTTTCTCGTGGCATTCATCAAGAATCAGTCAATCATGACTGAGCTGATTGTTATGTAACTTGTGGTGTTAGTGGACAGTATTATAGCGTAACTTGTGGTGTTAGTGGACAGTATTATAGCGTAACTTGTAGTTCCTTGGTCCTTTCTCTTTTGTATAAATCGGTCAATCCTTTTTTTTCTCCTATAGTTCGGTCCTCACCACTGTCTTTAGTTCAAAGGATATGACTTGTTTTCTTTTTGTGGTATTTGTTAGTAAATTGTTACGCTTACTGTTTTATGGGGAAATGTGTGTTCTTTACTGTTTCTATACTAGTACTTGAATATATAGCCTGATTCTCTTCAGTCTAGTTATACCTCATTGTGGTGACTGATTGCTGATAAATACCACTAGAAAACGTTTGGATCATAACTCGACTGTTGCTTTGGGACTGCTGACGCGTGTGTTTACATTCTTCATTTCAATATTGCGATTTTTTGTCTCCTCGTCGATTATTTACTGATGATACTGTATAATTCAAAGCAATAAATGAAGCAAGTTGCGCATTCAATACACACACACACCAATACCAATGGTGTGTGTGTGTATTGAATGCACAACTAACTTGCTTTATTGCATTGATTTCATTTGTCTCCACGAAAACTGTTTGATCATATACACTTTTCATGTGTTAATTATTAAAGTGTACATTGTGCTTTATGTACTATCTAAAAACGAATATTCGACATCCGATGTGCCTGACATTCTGTCATGGAAGATGAAGTGAAATAGTAAGTAACCAAAGGCAAACCTTTGCATCGTTCAAAAAAATTCTGCCAGGATACTTTTCTGTTGTTAAGCTTTTGCCAGAATGTATTGATCTGCTCAAGAAACACACACATGAACACCAAAGCATGTTTTGGGAAATGCTCCTGAGAAGCAGGGTAGAGACTAGAGGCGTCTGTACTTGAATATGTCTTCCAGGGCTTCAGAAACGGACAGTGGATCCACCATGCCCAGGTCAGCCATGCTAAGGGCAGATGGTGATACTACGTTATCCTGCTGTAGCAGGCGCACCTGGTCCAGCGTCAGAACCTTGCCAGGCAAATACTGTAGGACCATAGCTTGCAGGTAGGCCATGGGCATAGGAATGGGCAGCAAAATGCGCTTCCGCCTATCGGCTTCCAACATCATCTTCAGCAATTCCTTGAAAGTGAAAACATCTGGTCCACCAAGTTCATATGTCTTGCCCTGTGTCTGACCAGTAGTTAGGACAGCAATGCATGCCTCCGCCACATCGTCAATGTGCACTGGCTGAAACTTGGCATGACCACCGCCAACTAGCGGCAAGATTGGCGATAGACGGGCCATTCGATCAAATAAGGAGAAAAACCCATCACCTCGTCCAACAACTAAACTAGGTCGAAGTATAGTGGCACGAGGAAACTGTTCTATGACTGCTGCCTCGCCCTGAGCTTTGCTTCGGGAATAGCTGGAGTTGGAATCATCACTGGCACCAATTGCAGAAATATGTACAAGTCTCTTCACTCCAACCTCTTTGGAAAGGGCAGCAACAGAGGCTGCAGCTTGATGGTGGACATTGTCAAAACTACCTCTGCGGACCCCCTCAGCCAGAATACCGACACAATTAATAACACCATCGCATCCTGTGAGTGCCGCGCGTAATTCGTCGTTGTTGCCTTTCTTACTGGCATTGGCCTCAGCGAACTCCATGAAGATCTTTGGAACAGAGTCATCGCGCTCCTGTGATTCACCAATGCTTGCCAGGCCCTCCTTGATCTTGGACTTCAAGCCAGGCCGATGACGGCGACGCACATTGCCACCACTGGTGAAGCCCTCCTCGATGATCATGTCCTCGTTCTTGACTTGGCGCTGTATGTGATGGGGATGGCGTGCGATGATTCTAACACTGTAGCCAGCCTCGCTCAGGCGCACAGCAGTTCGGCAGCCAACAAAGCCAGATCCGCCCACTATGCCTACAGTGACCGAGCGCCTCGGCTGTGCCACTGCAGCAACCACATGTAGCCGACATCCCAATCTGCAGCACAGAAAAATCAAAACAAGATTTACAAAACTTTATTCAGCATCAGTAAACTGAACTCTTTCCAACTGCTGAACAAGATGTGGCGTGTCAACATACACTAGGGCAGGAGCAACTTCAATATGTTTAATGAGCGGCAAAGCGCACCAATCACCGTGTAATTAACCATTACATAATGTTCAGATATATCACCCGCAGGGTTCTGTCATCGCACGTTCCACAGTAATCTCAACACTTCACAAGAACAACATTAAATCTCATAAGCTTTGAAAAGTCTGTGTAACAACTCATTCGGCAGACAGCTAAAACAAAGTCATATAATTACTTGTATGGTCGTGGAGATGTATATGATACAGTACAATATTGATCAAAATGTTCAAATGTGGGAGGTAAGTTTAGTAGTGACATGGGCCCATATCACAAACTCGATATAATCACATTCAATGCACAATGGTCAGTCACTGCGCATAACGGCTTATACATGCGTATACCAGATTGTCGGAGGGTATGCCTTGTTTGGGAAACAGAATCCATGACATCTCTAAGAAAAGCTAGCACAGTGCTTCCAAAATGCTCACCTCGCCGAAACAGCACAGATAGACGACATGATTTGTCGCTCTCAATCCAATAGATTCACTCAGTTATCACAATACCTTCATAGTTAGAAAGGAATGCAGCACTGTAGAAAGGAAGAGCAAATCAAAATTTCCTCAGCCAGCTGAGAGATTGCCTTCTGTATTCGAAATTTTTTGAATTGCATATCTATCCGTCTCGTGGTCTACTACTGGCGTACTGCCACTGGTCCGTCTATGGTTAGTCGTGACGTCACATTCAAAAAGACTTTGTGAGTGCCTCTTGAGATGCTCAGACGGTCAATTCAAGCGCATTATGTACCTTGGATATACTCATCAGGGAGTCGTCAAATACATCGCGATATCGATGACACGTGGAGGTCTACAAGTCCCTAGCCCTCTGAGTGAGAAAAGTATTCCCAAGGAGAAGTGCTGTACTGTAGTTTAGATTGTTTTCTTTGTCAATTACCAGACATGGATTTGATCAGGAATGGCTGGTTCTCGGAGATCAATAACCTATGGCCTGGTCAGGCAATGAGCATCGAGGTAGAGGAAGTTCTTCACCACGAGCGCTCGGACTATCAAGATGTTCTTGTCTTCAAGAGGTATGGAGTATGTTACTGCACACTCGCACCACCACTGCATGCAGTACTAGTATCTATGTTATTATAATTGAAATGCCCACACTAGCCAAATGATAGGCCACTCAAGATTCATTCACTGTTTCGGATCACCCACTTCCTTGAACATGATCATCAATATTGGTCGGTCAGTTTGTATATTTTGAAAATTACTTTTATTTTACTGCAGCTGTGTACATGTATACAGGCAGTGTACCGGTAAATCGCACTACTATATACATGTACGTAGATGGCAGTAGTACTGGTACAGTCAGACTTCGCATAACCGCACACATCCGTTTTCCAAAATGTCCGGATAGGCGAGGGCACCGGATAATCGGACACACATACTGTATGTGTGCATGGCATACCGTATTTTCTCTATTTAAATATTAAGAGCCTAGCCCGGGGTTCTTATTTTTTCAGTGACAGCTCTACCCGCGCTACTATTAGAGACTGGGCTATTATTCCCGTAGCTATGCAGAAGACGTTACTTCAGTAACGTCTGGCGCTAGCCACAGCTTTAATTTGGTGTTTATGTGTTTGTTTGTTTGTGTCACGGCTGGAGCTATCCCGTATCTGTCCCGTATCTGTGACTACAAAGGCTCTACAGGATTGCACATAACAGCTGTCCACAATATTTGCGGGCTCCTGTATCTGTCCCGTACCGTACCAATATTCGTCGTATCATGTATACGACTCCCTGATGTAGAGGGAGATTTGGAAAGAAATAGAGAAACGAGGAGGAAATTAAATTAGAATAGACGCCGAATAGGTGATAGGATGCGTCCGCATTAACATACATGTACTTTGGAAGAGATATCCCGTCGTCTCCAAAATAAGCGTGAACGAGCGATTCAGCGCCGGTCACAGGAAACGTCGGAAGAGAGATCCCGTCGACTCCAGAACCCCCCTGATCGGCAGAGTCCGCCGGTCCCAGGCAACGTCAGGACAGACATCCCGTTGAGTCCAGAACGCCCGTGATCGGCAGAGTCTAAGCCGGTCCCAGGAAACGTCAGGACAGACATCCCGTCGAGTCCAGAACGCCCGTGATCGGCAGAGTCAGCGCCGGTCCCAGTGAACGTCAGGACAGACATCCCGTCGACGCGCAGAAAAACTAAATATGCAGCCTCTTTTGCAGTCGGACAGGGTACGTATTATAGGAGACTGTAAAGTTATATAATGTCCAAATTTCCACGTGGGCAGCAGGTCACTCGCGTTGATTTTTCGACGTGCGAGCCAAATAACGCGAGCTGAACTTTCGCGTCGCAGACATCCGGTCGACGCGCAGAAAAACTAAATCTGCAGACTCTTTTGTCGTCGGACAGGATACGTATTTTAGGAGACTGCTAAGTTATGTAGTGTGCTCCACAGGCAACCATGCATTCGGCGTCGTCATTGGCTCAACAGGTCAATGTACATGTATTACTACAAAAAGGCCAGAAAATCCGATTACTGTATTAAAATCAACTAATTTTCGCTGGCGATTTAATTTCGCTGATTTCGCCGCTTCGTACCAACCGGCCAAAGTAAATCGCAGGCCAAAGTTTGTCATATAGGCAAAAGATGCATGATTGAGCAATGGATGCATGTGAGAGCAAAAATACCGATCGATTTAAAATTTGACGTGAAATTGCGCGTCACGTCGGAAATAACGTGCATCTTAACCGCTCTAATAGAGAGGTTTCTATTTCTCATCGGCCAAAATTTGTTGATTTACAGTATAAGGAGATAAAAAGAAAAGAAGGAGCAAACCAAAAGTAGATAATTATTAGAGAAATAACAATCCGCAATAAATTCTGCAAATACTTTTGCCTCAGTTCTTATAACATGTACGATGAGCTAGGCAAAAAAGCATAAAAGCATAGCGTAGGGCCCTGAGCTTCCAAGCTCTCTCGTTCACTCTTATTTTTTCAATTGTCAACTATCAAGCCAACTCCATACAGGCATCAACTGACCATATCAAGACTGATTCTTCAACCCTAAACTCTTGAATATTGTCAAAACAGATGTTTCACAATAGCATTGGCGTCAGAAGGAAGCAGTAGACCGAAAACCTCCTTACAAATATGTTCTTGGCATGTTGTACTGCTGTTTTATATTCAGTCAATATACTTGTTGCATACTCCAATTGTGACCCGCGCTACTATTAGAGACGGCGCCTTTATTTTTTCAATCAACCCGCGCCTGCGCTACTATTAGAGACTGCGCTATTATTAGAGACCTGCGCTATTATTGGAGAAAATACGGTATGCTGTAAATCGGTAACCAACGATTTTCTTCCGGATGGCGAGGGATCCGGATAAACGAGGACCGTATAAGCGAGATCTGACTGTAGTCGTACATGCACTACGTGTAGAGCTTGCACTCCTGTACCACAGATATCTGATAGCATCCGGGCATGTAGACCTACCTATGCCCTATCATGCTAGGAAATCCATGTGGGTTAGAGGGATTGTCTGAATCCCTTTCTTCCTCCCGCCTTGCTTTATAACTAAAAGTAAAACATGGTCAACTGACCTAAAATTAATTTGGCACATTTTGAAATAACGATTTTCTAAGACATTAGATTGGACCAGACCCACGACGTTGCACTGTGCTTTTTTCTATGCACCTGTTACATAGGCGCTGATGTCATGTCCTACATAACGTACAGTGAGCACCCACTTCAAAGCAAAACGGCTTTACATACATGTACATGTGCGCTGTGTATTCAGGGTGGCCTTGCTGGCTCTACTACGCATAGTTATACTAGTGTCTACCCAGCCACTGCCGGTAGTTTGTAGATTTGATGCCTGTCATATAGATCAATCCTGAGCTATGTACATAATTATGTAGATGATTTTTGAGACTCGGCGTCTGTTGTGCATTGCTGCATATTCACTCGTAATGTGTGTGTGTGTCTTTGTGTGTGTGTGTGTGTGTGTGTGTGTGTGTGTGTGCGTGCGTGCGCGCGTGTGCTCATGCCGGCCTGTCTGATTGCGTACGTTTGTCCGAATTTGCCCAGTAAAACGTATGGCAATGTATTAGTCTTAGACGGTGTCATTCAGCTGACGGAGAGGGATGAGTTCAGCTATCAGGAAATGATCACACACCTGCCAATGTTCAGCCATCCCAATCCGCAGAAGGTGAGGGCATGACTGCGCTGGTCAATACCAGGACAGTCAAATGTACAGTGCTGCTCAATGAAATCCAGTCACGTCACTCAAGTACGCGCCAGGCGTTGCGCAGTCCTAGACCTGCCAACACTGGGCTGAGAAACGGTGCAAGGCGCAAACTTGAGTGACGCGACTGGATTTCGTAGAGCAGCACTGTACATGATGTTTGTTTGTTTGTGCAGGGATATACTGTACTATTGCTCCACTGCCAATCCTGTTTGGTTAGACAGTAGACGGTGTCTGGCGATGTACAGTACTTCGGGTGTGTGGCAGTGATAGCTAGATGTAAGGATCAATTCATGGTGTGAGTGTGGGCGCGCGGTGGTGTGTATTGGTATGTGTAAGCATCGGTGAGTGGATCAGGGTGTTGGTACGTGTGAGAGAATTGGTGAGTGGATCAGGGTGTTGGTACGTGTGAGAGAATTGGTGAGTGGACGAGGGAGTTGGTGTGTGTGTGTGTGTGTGTGTGTGAGCATTGGTTAGTGGATGAGGGTGTTGGTAACCCTAAGGGTCCAATGATAACATTCTGGTATTGCTGTACATGTATGGTGACTCGCTGTTACTGTTGCCACTGTCCTGTCCTGTTGTTATGACCTGCTGGTTTACGCCATTGTTTTACTGTTCAGCACAGTGTTGTAGCGCAATTACAGTTCAGTGACAGAAGGCATCTTTTTTTGTCATACAAGTAGTCCCACCACTTCTCACACCTTGTTTCCAGGCATGTTTTTTAGGTGCTTTCACACCTCTTTATGTGAATGTACATGTGAGCTTACATGTGAGCTTACATGTGAGTGTGAACGTAAGTGTGGGCATAAGTGTGTGTGTGTGTGTGTGTGTGTGTGTGTGTGTGTGTGTGTGTGTGTGTGTGTGTGTGTGTATGTGTGTGTGTGTGTGTCCCATATGGTGCAGTGGTATGTGCAGCGATTTCCAATCGATAGGTTGCGGGTTCGATTCCCGACGATTATGGTCACACACGTCTTTCTTCTCTTTCTCAGACTCTTCCTGACTTTTCTTTCATTCTCCTGGGTGGTTACCAACAGCCAGTGTATGCCGGAGTATGTGGTGTGGTGTGTTTGTAGAAAAAGAAAAAAAGAAAAAAAGAAAAAAAAATGGAAACATGAAAAATAGGGATTCACTGGCCAGAAAAAGTCACTTCAAACAGCTGTGTGGTGGATACCAGGCTAAAAATAGTGGCGGTCAATTCATCAGCCTTGCAAGCTGTTGAATGGTGTAATCCCATCACAAGTTGCTATGTCTAAAAAACATAGCTGTTCGCTATCATCGCTCCCGCGATGGGCATGTCTGAGGTCTGAGGTGTGTGTGTGAGTGTAAGTGTATGTGAGTGTGTGTAAGTGTAAGTGTGTGTGTGTGGTGTATGAGTGTGTGCCAGACGTACCATTCAATGATGGTGTGCTTTTATCACGTTTAGCGTAGCTCATTCCACCTTGCATTGTATGATATAGGTCCGTCCGCCTCACCAGTTTCCTCACATTCCTGATGATGGCTTCTGCATGGCCGATTGAGATGTGAAATTGTGCAGCAAAGAGCACTAGCTTTGGTAATGGCGTAGGGCTTTGCCTGTATGGTCACTGTCATGGTATGCAGCTGCTAGTGCAGTGAAACCTGTTTAAGACGACCGCTCAAGGGACTTTCAAAGCGTGGTCTCTGTAACCAGGTGGTCTCCTTATCCAGTGCCCTTTGACTGGAAATAGCATCCCTTGGTCCTGGCTGCAGTGGTCTTCTGGGCCAGGTGGTCGCCGTATCCGAGTGATCGCCTTGACAGGTTTTATTGTACTTGTACATGTACAACACCAGTGTATATTGCCGTTGGTCTTTGTCTGCCTGGATCAGGTGCTCATCATTGGCGGTGGTGATGGTGGCGTTGTCCGTGAAGTCCTGAAGCACGCCACCGTTGAGCAGGTCGTGCAGTGCGAAATTGACAAGGTCAGCTTCTACGGCAGTGTACCTGTGCACTGTATAGCTTGCAGGACAATGTGTTGCACTTGCATGTACATGTATTCGCGTGGCTTTGCGGGTAGCTTACCTATGCCGTGTGTCAGCAATACACGAATACATGTTGTAAGTTGCTTTGAGTGATTTTGCAGCATGAGTGCTGCAAGTCATGCTTGCACACATTGCACCAGGTGATATTCTGTCTCGTGTAATTAGTTAGTTTAGTAGCGGGTGCCTGCCACCCGTCCCTAGCGTTGCGAATAGTAATACCAAATGCAGGTGCAGTGCCTAGCACTGCCAGTACTGAACTAGGGCACTGGCTTATTGATCTCAGCTTGATCTGGTCGAGGACGACTGCTCCTTTAGCTTTCTGCGAACGGTACAGCCTTGGCCGTTTGTCTCTTGTAGTGGAGTTAGTCATGTGGATTTTCAGTTGTTCTGAGGATTAGGTTTACTGTTATGCTGGTTCAATGTGTAAGCAAGTGAATGTTGCTTTATGCTGTACACTAGATAAGTTAACAGATGGACGTTTGCATTTGGCCCTGTTTAGATGGTGATTGATGTGAGCAAGAAGTACTTGCCCTCAACAGCCTCGTGTTACTCCAACCCCAAGCTCTATCAGCATGTTGGCGATGGATTCGCTTTCATGCGCGAGCACAAGAACGAGTTTGACGTGATCATCACCGACTCGTCGGACCCGGACGGCCCTGCAGAATCCCTGTTTGAGCAGCCTTACTATGAGCTGATGAAGGCTGCCCTCAGGCCTAATGGCATCATCTCCACACAGGGTGAGCGATGGAAGTGGACATGTTTTCTCGGCTGTTGTGTGAAGAGATTGTCCTCGGTTGTGTGGGAAAGGACCACTACTTTTCTATGGGCCCGCTGCACGGCATGCTGCCTTCATACATCACGCAGCCTCATCTTCGCACAGTTTTGCTAGGGCCTGCCAAAGTGCTACGTGGGTATTATGAGCTCTGAAGAATGGGTGTCGGTAGCTTTGTTTGTTTTGTGAAGACATGCCTGTGCATGGACATTCTGTTCAGTTGGTTGTAGTGAGTCCGATACATTCCTGTAGACTCAAGTTCTTTGCATGAGGTACAAGTGCTGTGTCGTTTGTATGGTGTATGTGTATGTATGTGCATGTGTGAGTGTGTGTGTGTGGATGCATATGTGAGAGTGTGTGGTGTGTGTGTGTGTGTGTGTGTGTGTGTGTGTGTGTGTGTGTGTGTGTGTGTGTGTGTGTGTGTGTATGTATGTGCAAGTGTGTGGATGTATGTGCATGTGTGTGTGTGCATGTGTGTGTGTGTGTGTGTGTGTGTGTGTGTGTGTGTGTGTGTGTGTGTGTGTGTGTGTGTGTGTGTGTGTGTGTGTGCATGCATGTGCATGCATGCGTGTGTGCATGGGTGTGCGCTGTTAGGTGAATGCATGTGGCTGCACTTGCTACTCATCAAGAAGATGCTGCAGTTCAACCGTGGCCTCTTCCCTACGGCTGAGTACGGATTCACAACCATCCCAACATATCCCAGTGGCCAGATTGGATTCATGCTGTGCTCATGTAACCCAGTAAGTACAAGCTGCAGTCAGTACTAAAGTCAATAATGTATGATAATATACACGGTAGTGCTGTCAAGTACCGTTGTACCATAGAAGCCTGCCAAAACGTTCATCTGTGTAGTCTAGCAATTCTGAACTTCTTTACTAGTAAGTTGGTATTTCAAGTGTACGAGGTGAATAGCAATTTCTGGACATGAAAATAAAATAGAGCCCCAATGGCTGTGTGTTTTACATTTTTCATATCTTTTTGTATCTATTGAATGGCCTAATCCTTCATCTTTCCAAATATGTGACAATTGCTCATGCTGTGATCCCAGAGACTTTATAGCAGGACGTTTTCGACAGGCCAATTTTTTGGCCTAAATTTCAGTGTATGGAATTCTGGACATGAAAGTAAAATAGCGTCAATAGGCATCCTATTCTGCACCATTTTGGTTATTTTTTCTATTGGTGGACTGCAGTTGGCCTCTTCACACTTCCAGCCAACAGGTCCAAGACTATACAGCGTCTCAAGTGGAGTGCACACGGGGAAGCCAACCATTCGTCCATTACTTCCTATTTTACTCAAAATTCAAAATCCTCATGCGACATAGTACCACAAAACTCGTTGAAATGCCTCACAAGCAAAGGCTATGAACAAGGCACCGACACGAGGAGAAACTACAACAGCCCAGCTGTCAACTACGGCAAGAAAAATCTTCATCAACCTGAATGACTTGACTCTACACGCGACGAAAAATTATTTTACTCGAAATGTCCAGAAATGTACAATGTCCAGAAATAGCAATTCACCTCGTACGTAGTGGATCTACTATACAGCTTTGTTTACATACTTGAGTAGCTAATTCCCAGGTCACATTGATGTGTAGCAGGTGTACCTGTACGCTGTATGAGCAGGGAGTGACTGCACTGCTCTTGCACTTGTATTCGTACTGCCGCTGCTATATGGCGTATAGTTCAGACTTGCCTCTCCGCCCCACACGTTCGGAGCACAGCACGAAGGGTTAAACACTCTGCCGATAGCTTACGGCAATATGGAATGTGAAAAGGCTGGACAAGAACGTTTTCAATCCACACTGCACTTCAAGAGACAACTTTGGGCATATAGTACTAGTACAGTTGCCAGCACTGTCGTTTGGAGGTTTTATGTGGGTAGTGTAACTTTACTAAGTAGAGACAGGACCTAGGGGTATTCTGGGGTTGTGCTGTATTTGAACATCCGGTGTTGTGTACATGCAGGAGACAAAGTTCAGTGAGCCAGCAAGGACCATCACTGATGCAGAGGCGGACGCAATGGATCTGAAATACTACAGCTCTGCTGTTCACCGTGCTGCATTCGTCCTTCCTAGATTCGTGCAAAAGGTGAGTGTGCGAGAGACCGAGATAAAGACAGACAGAGGATGAAGAGCAGAGAGGGGAGGGATGAGGGGCGATGGCAGCCCTAGCCTACCTATCATGCCAGTAGACTCAAGCAGAACAACAGAACTGCTACGTAACACCAGTACCTGTATAACTGTGTCAAAGTTCCCCATGATCTAATGGGAGCTAGAATCCTGCGACAATGCCCAAGGGGCTCGCCTCTTATCTAGTATTACGTAGGGCTTGTCTCGAAGTGCTTGGTTTACATACAAGCTCTGATACATAGGCCTGTTGTGACAATACAATCATGTACATGGGCTCATCATGCTTCTGCAAATGCTAACTCTCTCTCTCTCTCTCTCTCTCTCCGTGATGTTTGCGTTCTTGTATAGGAATTATCTGGCCTATAACCAGCATGGCAACACATGGTCATTCCAATAGGACCCACTGTGAATCAACTACTAGCTCCAACTACAAGAGTCGTGTGCAGTTGGAGAACGAGACGTACAAGCCCACAAGGATATCACAGTGTGATGCTTCAACGACCGCAATTCTGAGCAACAGAACGTTCTCATTCAGCTCCAGCTGCATGCCGCGCAGTCGTCTCAAGCCTAAAATTCTTTAGCTTTGCGACTGCTTTGCACACCTGCGTGTGTGCCCCCCTCTTGTCAGTTCTGACTTGATCTCCCCTCCGCTTCTCAAAGCCAAGATGACGTTACGAAATGACCTGCTATAAGTTATTGGACCCCTCGGGTCGACTTTATATTTCAGTTCATTTCAATTCAGCGATAGAATGAAAAACGACTTTCATTTTTAAATAAAAGCATAAAAAGGAGTAAGGTTGAGATAAGGATGTGTTAAATTGTGTGTTTCATGCACAAGTATTTATGATGGGCAGCGGAGAAATATCGAATGAGTTACCCTGAAACTATGATGAACACACAGCCAGCAAGGCTTGTTTTGTTTACTGACAGAGAAAATCAATGCAAAGGCTTATTTGTGCATTAGCCGGCCATGTTTGTACCACATGCAAGATTCTGACATTCCACAAGTCTACTTTATCCAGCAGGTCGTTCGATTTCAAGCCTAATTCTGCGCACACGCCTAGCTTTAAAATATGCCATCCAACACGCATTGTATGACAGTAAAACACACAGACACAGAAAATAGTTCTATAAAAAAGCGTCTCAGCAAATTCCATCAGCTTATCAACGGTGAAAACGAGAAAGACGAGTGACTGGTTATATCTCTGCAGACTCACCGCGTCCACTCTACACACTACTACTACTACTTCCAGACTTTGAGAACACCATCGCGAGACGCGGTGAGCAGGAAGTTCTGGCCGCCGGCATGTGCCACGGCCATGCCCGTGATGGCGTCCAGGTGTCCCGCTGCAGGTGGCCGTGGCTTGTGGTGCTCCTCTGTTGCCTTGGTGTCGGTCTTGACCGTGGTTTGGACCAGCTCTTGAACAACACTTATACCATCCAGCTGGTGTTTCCTGTTCAACACACGTGCACGTACACAGCAGAACCAGTACAATTATTCCCGAGCCGTAGAACTGAACAACATGTATACAGGAGCCCAATGCACCAGTTATGTACTCTTATGGAGCGGTTACAGATCAGAGTGTTTCTACTTTCTAGCCTTGGTAATACACACACACACACACACACACACACACACACACACACACACACACACACACACACACACACACACACACACACACACACACACACACACACACACACACACACACACACACACACACACACACACACACACACACACACACACACACACACACACACACACACACACACACACACACACACACACACACACACACACACACACACACACACACACACACACACACACACACACACACACACACACACACACACACACACACACACACACACACACACACACACACACACACACACACACACACACACACACACACACACACACACACACACACACACACACACACACACACACACACACACACACACACACACACACACACACACACACACACACACACACACACACACACACACACACACACACACACACACACACACACACACACACACACACACACACACACACACACACACACACACACACACACACACACACACACACACACACACACACACACACACACACACACACACACACACACACACACACACACACACACACACACACACACACACACACACACACACACACACACACACACACACACACACACACACACACACACACACACACACACACACACACACACACACACACACACACACACACACACACACACACACACACACACACACACACACACACACACACACACACACACACACACACACACACACACACACACACACACACACACACACACACACACACACACACACACACACACACACACACACACACACACACACACACACACACACACACACACACACACACACACACACACACACACACACACACACACACACACACACACACACACACACACACACACACACACACACACACACACACACACACACACACACACACACACACACACACACACACACACACACACACACACACACACACACACACACACACACACACACACACACACACACACACACACACACACACACACACACACACACACACACACACACACACACACACACACACACACACACACACACACACACACACACACACACACACACACACACACACACACACACACACACACACACACACACACACACACACACACACACACACACACACACACACACACACACACACACACACACACACACACACACACACACACACACACACACACACACACACACACACACACACACACACACACACACACACACACACACACACACACACACACACACACACACACAAGACATGATGCACATAAGAGTAGATAACCCCCGAGAGTTTACGTCATTTTTATGATGCAATAAGCCCATTGCGCATTGCCAAAGAAGGCAAAGATGGAAGGTATGAGTAATGCATGTGAGTACATTGCACTGTTCAACACCCTAGCCGACCATGCCCAGGTGGCTGTGTGGGGTGTTCATGGTACAAACCATGTCATTGTGCAATGGGCTTTATACAACGCTCCTTGCACAAGTGATTCACGACGTTTGTACCGGGTGTCAACGCGTCACACATGTTTCCTGGTGCTAGTTTGTACGGGGTCGAATGGGGAGTTGTCCACCACAGGTCTAGGATAAGTCTGATGATACGTGTACTGCACACTGCATCAAAACATTGACGTCAACTTCCATTCTGTCAGGACAGCACCCATAGTGGAGTTGCACACTCTTAGGGTCATGTACTCTTGGTATTATTGATGCACATTTCTGTAGACGAACACACAGTCAGGCATGTTATCTTTGTGTTGTCAAAAATGGATTTAATGGATTTACTTAGATTTAATACAAACATTTGAGGAGTCCGTGGCCATACCTATACTTGGCTGTTGTGACCTCTTGATCAGTTACTAATACTGGCGGTAAGAGTAGCCTGGACTCCAGCTGGTTGGCCATGTTGAATAATCGCACTCGCCGATCACTGCCACCCAGCATGAGAGCGTTGCCGCCAAGGCTGTGGTGAACGCAGAAACTGCGGATGAAGTGATTGGAAGACTGTGCACGATATGGGTAAGAAGATTTGCAGAAAATACATGTACGCACACACGCACACAGTCCCCACAGAACAGTGGCCAGACAATAGTGCCATAGCGTTAGCAGTGGACCTACTATCACATAATGCTGAAATAGTAAACTGGACTATTAATTTTCAACAAACCCAGACTCGTATTGGAGCATGGTCTTCTATTTGAGTTTTTTGTTGTTGTTGAAAAATGACAGTACAGTAGTGCAAAGACTCAAAGAGAGCTTACCAGATATGGTATGCCAGTATATTGGGGTTTAAAAAATTGCCAGTCTGCTAATCACTGTCAGCTAATGGTACTATAGCTGCGCTCGGTGAAATACGACCCGAAGTGCAAAATTGGCACCCTGTACCAGTTCTGATTAATTTACTGTATTTGTTCATGTGTACGTCCAGCCGCCGTATTCGTATTTCTGCCAGGGCGTCAAGGGCTGTGCAACTTGAGGGCGCTAAATATGCACTCTGGGTGGGATTTCACAGAGCGCAACTGTACTTGTATTCCGGAAACACAGCAGTACTGTAGTGATCCTTGGGAAGATGAAATCTTGCTGACGGCAGAACTCCACTCCGGACTCACCCGATTAGTGGCGAGCGGGGCGCCAGAGCAAAACACCTGAGAGCGACTGCTGGTCTCCATGTTCCACAGGCTGACCTCGTTGTTAGCGCCAGCAGACGAGATAAGACACCACGGGTCCATTGGGTGCGGGGCCAACTGTTGAATGGGGAACTCTGCAGGAGCAACAAGAGGAGACCACAGTACACTGTGTCATCTTACACACAATTTGGAAGGCAAAACGTAAGCCACTGCTAGAGAAAAAGCGCGCCCGCTCATTACAATTCATCACAACCGAACTCACAAGGTTGCTTAGGATGATACTGACACAATATTCACCTCTAGTTACCTGTAAATCAATCTTCATCGGGGAGCTTATTCATTGCCCCTTTTCAGAGAGTCTATATCTCATGACGAGCTACATGCACAGTGTGAGAGCTTGGGTAGTATTAACACAAGTTGATCAGATACATTTTACTAGAGAGCAGCACAGCAAGTGATCGTACACCACTCTGTAGTAGACTGGCAGAGTCCAGTTGATTGTGAGTGGGTAAGCACTTGGAGTAACTGTCACTAGTACTAGTAGTAGGTGTATTACATGACTGCCATGTGTAGGTAGTAGCTCTTACTGGCAGGGTGCGTCCACGTGGAGACGCTCATGTGGAAGCGGAGATCCCACAGGGCATGCACGCCAGCCTCCGTACCCACTGCTAGCCAGCACTGTAGACGATCCAAAGCAGCACTCGTCACCAAGCCTGTAGAAGAGCAGTACCACAGTGAGGAGCAAGTTACACGCGCACACAACGATGACCATGTAGATTGTCACATGCCGCACATTGCTAGGAATTTTTGATCAGGAAAGGCAAGCACACTAACTAACTTCACTAAGGCTGCAATACCAGCAAAACAATAGAGTGTGTACCATGCAGTTGAGAAACACTGTAATCTTGCCCATAAAAGCATAACCGATGTGTTTGAGGGTGCGCTATGTTAGCCACACAGCTTTGGAGATTCTACACCAATCGGAAACACTATTTTAAAAAGTTGAGATTGAGTAGAGCGATGTACAGTTGTTGAGTAGAGCGATGTACAGTTGTTGAGTAGAACAGGCCACAGGTCAATGGGCATCGCTAGGCTAGAGGATCATTCGCAAGCTGCAATACAAAAGAGTGCAGTGCACATGCACAATAAAAAAGTCATATAGATCTAAGTGACCCTGCAGTAGACCTGCACACCATCAACCCGACATTACCACCCCGACATCATGACCACGACATCATGCAGCATACCGTGTTTGAGCGGGTTCTGCAGGCTCCATACTGGCTTTCCGACACGCGTATCGCACGCCACAATGCGCCCGTACAGCGTCGAAGAGACCAGTAGTCGCCCGCTGTTCATGGCGTGCAGCGACAGCAAGTGATCTTTCCTTGCAAGACCCATGTCCATCAGTGGCGAGTCTTGTCTGAGAGCGGATATCCGCTGGTCACCAGTCAGACTGCACAAACACAACATAGTCCATAGCCACAGGAGTGCCACAGTTAGTTGAATAAGTCCCCATCACACTTACTTCAAGCATCTACCAGGAACAAAGTTACCGTCGTGGACATTGGAAATCCGATGGGATGACCGTGGCCGGCGCCCTTACTGCTTTTAGCCCGTACATGCACTGTAGATCATGTATACAGTGTAACGATGGACCAGCGGTGCTCGCGGTTGCAAAGCCAGCACCCCGTGGCCACTCGACTTCTCAACGGATTTCAATGTCCGCGACAGTAAGCTACCTCTGTCTTGCGAAGGTACTCAACACTGCAAGGCAGAGCTTTCAACACAATATCAGTTTTCAGTTGTCAACTTACAATATCACATAATATTCAGAGTACTAGCTGTAGAGTGGATTTTTTGCTGCTTTTCCAGATCCTCCAGACACACACACACACACACACACCTCTTCATACACATACCGTCGGATTCAAGAAGAGAAGGGAATTGATACGGCCACCTGCAGCGATACCACACGGAACAATAGTGAAAGTTTAACCTGAATGCTAGTCCTGAATTCCTATCAAAACAAATTTAACAATTCATCACGATCCACCGGTTGCTCTGGTCACATGCCAAAACTTGAAGGAGATGGAGGAGATCTACCATACTCGTATGTCATTCACCTACAACCCTCCCCCCGCATGGTGCTTACTTTGGGCATGTGATAGCATCCACACAACCATACACATCCATGCACACACAGGCATACATGCACACACAGGCATACATGCACACACAGGCATACATGCACACACAGGCATACATGCACACACAGGCATACATGCACACACAGGCATACATGCACACACAGGTATACATGCACACACAGGCATACATGCACGTACATGCACGTACATCCACACCAACACAACCCTGCACACGCGCACACCCACACGCACACAGTGACATGCACACACACGCGCACGCACACACACACACACACACACACACACACACACACGAGCGCACGCATGCACGCATGCACGCACACACACACACACACACACACACACACACACACACACACACACACACACACACACACAGACACACACATACATACATGAACAATGACCCACAGCACCTCACCTTGCTTGTCATAGGTGGCCACAGATCTGTGCGGCAGAACACTGCGACCTTGCAGACGTGAGCTGTCCCACACGCGCACTGAACTGTCATCTGAACATGTCGCATACAGGCTATTGTCTTCCGCAACAACAATCCTGAGCATACGCATACACGCAAGGTCATGACACACACACACACACACACACACACACACACACACACACACACACACACACACACACACACACACACACACACACACAGGCACGAACGCACGTACACACACACACACACACACACATACACACACACACACACACACACACACACACACAACCACATAACTGTTAGCACGAAAAAGGTGTGAAAAAGGTGTGAATTCTTTTCCTCGTGTACGTCAGTACATGTACTACTAACAGCAGTACATGTACAATGCTAGCGAATAAAATCCAACCCCAGAACAGCTCCCAGGGCAGCATGGCCCCAGGACTACAAGCAATGGACTGTGCAATAAATGCAGCTTTGCTCGGTGGATTTCATTCGTCAGCACTGACGGTAGTACAGAACACACAGAGTCTGTTACGGATACCGTAATGTCGCGTGCATTAGCCGGGGCTTATATGCCTATAAGCCGGTGATGGAGTCAGGCTTGTACACAAGACAGGCTTATACACGAGACAGGCTTATATGACAAGCACCACTCAATGATCAGGCTTGTATGCGCAAACTGCTGACTTTTGGACGTCAAAACCAACATTTTCCAACGGGATTTTTTTTCTTTTTTTTCGACGGAGACGGAAAATGCCATGGGAAAGGTAAGTTTGAAGCTTGAAGAGTGCTGCATGGCCGTCGAGCGCAGCTGGTGTTGATTTCCGCATCTTCCCACGTTTTCCGCGTGTGCAAGTGTACGGTACCATGCAAACATGAACATGTAAAAGGCGCGCTCACCAGTCTTGCGTAGTAGCCCGGCTTACGCACGCGACACGTGGCGCGTCTCGTGTACTGGCCCGGCTTATGCATGCGACAGGCTTGTACGCGAAAAGCTGTTGCAGATTTCATGCTTCTACACGAGACAGGCTTATGCACAAATCCGGCTTATGCACGCGACATTACGGTACTAGCTCCTGAACCAAGTTACCGGTATCAGTCAGTACTAATACACATACGTGTACTTCATACACAAGTGTGCACATTGGATATGTACACGTGCAATACACTGCTTGCTGCCAATATCACCACAACCACTGTCCCCGACGCCCCCCGGTCCCCCTCCCCCCCTCACCCCTCACCAGCCCACCCACCCACCACCACCCCATGGACATTTGAAAGTGCTTCATCAAACGCAGCGTCAAATGACTTTATAATATATCGAAGTTGGAACATCAACAGTCGAAAGCCAAGGAGTCCCTTGATCCGACTGCTGTACATGTCATTGCTTCTCCATTTCACTTCCCCTGAAGGTCACATCAGAATACATGTATTTGACATCTAGTAGATTTCAACTTACTGATTGATGCAGCTGCGGTGTTCGTGCATGTGAGCCACGTTAGTACCTGTCGGCACCCAGCTGTTCACAGACAACAGTAGAACAAAAATGGCTGGACGTTGACCACACCTCAGTGCAGACACATACCACTACCGGCAGTACCGGATACAAACATTCCAATGTGTCGCACACGAGAAAAAATAGAAACGGCGAAAGAAGCTTCAGAACAGAGCCCTGGCTAGAAAACACATACATGTACATGTACATGATTATACTGTCAGTCTTACCCAGGTGAAGTTGTATTACTTTCAAACTGTCTCACACTAGCCAGCTCCTCAATGCGAGCAGTGCCTTCACAAAGATAATACACAGAAGCAAAACAAGTAATTTAAAAAATCATCTCTCTCTCTCTCTCTCTCTCTCTCCGGATGGGCGAGCAGACACATAAACGCATGCACCCCGCAACCCCACGCACACACACGCACACACACGCACACACACGCACACACACGCACACATACAGTGATACGACAGTACATGCGCAAGGACACTTTCCACGTTAAGTAGTTTGCATGGCTGCACGCATGCAGTCAGGTGCACATGTCACACACAACCATACGACTACATACATACGGCCATACGTACACGCGGCCATACATCAAATCCCCAAGCACCCTTGTGGAACACACAACGCTGGCCAACATTACTCAGCACCCCATCAAAGGCAACTGTAGCTGTGCAGCTGCAACAGTAGAGGTACAACAATAGTAGAAGAAGCAGCAGCAGCAGCAGCCGTGGCATCTTACATCTCATGTACTGAGTGTGCCGATGCTCCAGCATAGACTCCAGCTCTTGTCGACAAAGCCTGGGTCGATCTACACGACACGTCAACAAGATACATCACACAGTGGGTGAGATACGACTGAAGGCTATCTACCGCATGTACCAGTGATTAGGTGATCCTATTCCAAGCACGACTTCTACCCACCACCAGTGCATGTCACATCCAAAGCAAACAGCAAATGTTCCACATTCCATTATACATGTGCGTTGAAGCATCCTTGTACCCTGGCAATTCAAATACATGTACTTCGAAGTACTACATTGGAGTCGGAAATGGTACCACCCCTAAGTGTAGAGCAACCCAACTTTCTACAATCTGCACAAGTGCGGCAGTCTTCTTCCCTGCAGAATGCATGCATGAGCTCAGGAAACAAACACACAGCGTTGGTCAGTCCAAGCTCAGAGGGCAGGCTGCTTTGGCTGAAGCATGCAGCATTCGCTGCAGCACTGGACTATTGGTCTGCCAATACACACACCTAGCTAAACTAACGGGGATGTTATCAAAACACAACGAAACCAAACTGACCTTCAGTGGTATGTCTTCCAGACAATCGATCTAAAACACATGCACACCCATTCACAAACGCACACATCAGTATACATACACAGAGAGCATCAACACAAAAAACCTAGCCTGACAAGGAGGAATAGGACAACCTCTGGCTTTGTTGCTAACACACAGTGGAAAGCCACGATGCATCTAATACCCTCCGCGACCATCCCACGATCACCACCTGCCATCAGTATGTTGTCTTTTAGGTGTATTCTACTTGCAAGTATTATCTATTCAAAGTGGCTTATCAGACATGTTTGGCAGGCCCGTGCATCAGTGGGCCCACAATGCAGCAACATGCAATGCTGATGCTTTGTGCACAGCGCACAGCATACACACGCTGTGGAGTTCCCCATCATTTATTCGTCACTGCCGACACGATATGAGACAGCGTAGGGCATTCATCGTTCATCCATCATTGAAAGATGACAAGCGAACAACAGAGTGTGTGACACGCTAATGGCAACTTCACATGCCGTGTGCATGAACATGATCATGACAATCCCTACACAGACAATCAGCTTCAATGTTCACAACGTCATGAGTGTTATCACTCTTGTTCTGCCCCCCGCTAACACCCGATATGGCTTTAGTGCAATTTCTTATTTGGGCGCTGCCAGGTGGAATACACTTCCACCGGCTTGCCGCATGTCTAGTTCACCAGCTGAATTTCGCTCATCCATCAAATTATACCTAGGGTTCCCTGTAAAAAGGCGCTGACGCCTGTTGGGAATTCCCTAGTAAAAGAAGAATAAAAAAATAATAATAATAAATAATCACATTCATATTAATAAAGCTGAAACTCACAATCATGTGCGTGAAAGATAGGTTGCCTGTAGCACAAACACACAAACACAGTGTACACATACATACACAAACATACCCAAGCACATCCACACACGCATACCCATACACACAGAGTAGAATTAGGTCCCACAGCTGCGAGTCAGGTGAGGGGCTGCAGACAGCCCACCAATCCAGTGCCGTGAAAGCACAAATCTGCACAATTTCTCCCTTTCGACAAACTGATATGAGAAACTGCATGCAATTTTACTAAATCAAGAGAACATGTCCCACCCCTCCCTCTCTTTCCCGTACCTTTGACAATGTGAATTCAGTCCTTTGACTTAGCTTAGATGCAGTGGCAAAGCTGGAATGTGTACACTGGTACAGGCCACATTGCTACATTACTTACCTAAATGGTCCTCCTTGTGTTCCTCCAGTAGTTGCTGCCGCAGAGCCGGTATTGGATGACGAAGGCTTCATAGGTGACTGCTCGCTGGTCTCACTGCTGGAGTGTCTGCCTGAATGCGGTGTGCCAGTAGCCGACGATGACGAACCCCCAGCTGCTCCCGGCGACGCGTCCGCTTGCGTTTGAGATCGGGACGAGCGCACCACAGGCGTCTTGCGGGTCTGGTTGGCAACGCGCTGCTGCTGTTTGCTGCTCGGCGTCGCCGTTTCCGAGCGATTGCGCAGCGAGGATTTCCTGGAGTCGCCACGGCGCGGCCCAGTGCCCTTGTCTGCTGGCGTTGCCTCCTTGCCGCGTGATGATGATGATGATGATGATGAGCTGGATTTAGATGTTCCAAACATCTGATTCCACTCCTCACTCTGTACACAGCATGGAAAGAATACATGCCACGCTGAGGAAATGCTCGTATTCTATTCATTCATTCTCTCATTCTCCCATTTACTCATTCACACATTCTCTCAATGTTGAAACACACACGTCCAACGGCTACGCAAGAAATTGAAGAATGCAAGTCACAACTGTCGTTCAAGTCACAACTGTCGTTCTGTCGTTCTGTGCAATATTTTAGAAAACGGGACACACCAAAGTACATGGCACTCAGCTCTCTTACCGTGCGCGCGCGCGCGTGTGTGTGTGTGTGTGTGTGTGTGTGTGTGTGGTGTGTGTGTGTGCATGCGTGTGTGCGTGTTTGTATGCGCGCGTGCCAATGGTGATGCTGATGCTGCTGTTACTGTAGTATTTACTAACCATGGAAGCACTATCTGTTTGAGTTATTGCCTTCTTAGTCAACGTGTTCCTGTAAGTGGAAACACACAGAAAAAAACTCACTACTAATTTCACCGAAGAGAAAGGGCGGAAAGATATACAGAAAAAGTACAGACTTTTCTGTGTGCAATGAAGACATCTTACTCCAGTGTGTGCTAATACCGTAGTATGTGCAGCATCTTACTCCGGTGTGTGCTAATGCGTGCAACGGCAAACGTGAACGTACACTTTGATCATGTCACACACGCACACACACACACACACACACACACACACACCACACACCACACACCACACACCACACACCACACAGGCAAACACAGAACACACATCCTACCTTTGAGGCGGATTGGATGCAGTGGCCAGGGACATGTGCGTCTCATTCTTCGGCTCATTCCTCACTCCAATCACGCGGATGTCCCGATGCGGCCGTGCGATGCGGCCCTGCTTGGCCAGGTTGGTTGGGGTGTCTGATTTACTGCAAGGTTCGCAACACACATACACAGCCAAACAAGTACATACATACAGTGTACAGAGTAACCTCCCTACTACGTACAACGCCCTGCTGCACCAGATATTGTAATGTATGGGGACGGGTCCTGATTACACAATGTAGTACAAATTTTAAATTTTTAAAATTGGCAACAGTTGAGACTGAACAAATGCTTTGAAGTACATGTATGGCCTGAATGTACTTGTAGAGGCGTCGTTACTCTTTAGCTCATTTCAGGTGTCCGCTGAGGGTGTGTACCGTGTGCACGCGCTGACACACGCACACGCACACGTTGCCAGAGGAGCAAAGTACACAGCAGCTGCATGCATTATTCACTACACCAGACTAACAATGCTGCTACTGAATGTGCACGGGTGTCATGATCAAAGGACTTAGGTGCTTCATGACACCTTTAGCACAACCATTATAGAACAGCCTAAACCCAACAGCCCTGCACAGCCCTGTACAGCCCAGCACAGCCCTGTACAGCCCAGCACAGCCCTGCATAGCCCTGCACAGCCCAGCCCTGCACAGTCCAGCACAGCCCAGCCCAGCACAGTCCAGCATAGCCCAGCCCTGCAGAGCCCAGTACAGCCAGGCACAGCCCAGCACTAGCACTGACCTCATTGTTTGTTTGCGCTGCACATGCTTGATGTAGTCCTTCATGGCCTGCAGTAGAACGCAGCAAGAAACACAGTACGAGAACATCCAAAACCTCTTACAATCTCGTACATCCAGAATACATGTACAGAACACGTACATGAAAATCCAGAATTACAGTACGCAGATTCTTCTTGCTCTAACTACACAACTCGCACACAAGTATATGCGGATCAAATTCAAATGCTGACAGAGTACTACTAGTAGTCAAAGCAGTTGGCGAGCATTTAAGACCAGATCACGAAGCAGAGGTAGCTAAAGCCAAAAAGCAAATTGCTGTAGGAAGGGGGGATGACGTGCCACTTTTTGGTGATTTCTTGCCTATGTACATGTACCGGTATCACATTGGCAATGGATCACATTGGCAATGGATCACATTGGCAATGGATCACATTGGCAATGGATCACATTGGCAATGGATCACATTGGCAATGGATCACATTGGCAATGGATCACATTGGCAATGGATCACATTGGCAATGGATCACATTGGCAATGGATCACATTGGCAATGGATCACATTGGCAATGGATCACATTGGCAATGGATCACATTGGCAATGGATCACATTAGCAATGGATCGCATTAGCAATGGATCGCATTGGCAATGGATCACATTGGCAATGGATCATATTGGCAATGGATCACATTGGCAATGGATCACATTGGCAATGGATCACATTAGCAATGGATCACATTGGCAATGGATCACATTGGCAATGGATCACATTGGCAATGGATCACATTGGCAATGGATCACATTAGCAATGGATCACATTAGCAATGGATCACATTAGCAATGGATCACATTGGCAATGGATCACATTGGCAATGGATCACATTGGCAATGGATCACATTGGCAATGGATCACATTGGCAATGGATCACATTGGCAATGGATCACATTAGCAATGGATCACATTAGCAATGGATCACATTAGCAATGGATCACATTAGCAATGGATCACATTAGCAATGGATCACATTAGCAATGGATCACATTAGCAATGGATCACATTAGCAATGGATCACATTGGCAATGGATCACATTGGCAATGGATCACATTGGCAGAGCATTGATCACTACAATCACGTACATGGATTATGATAATGTGTACATTATACAGAATGACGGCGAGGTACACAACTGGTTCAGCACATCTGTATCAGAGGCTGGCGCACTCTTACCCAGATACTCTCTTCATCTTGGTCAGACAGAGGACTGACTTTGTTCAGCAGCTGCAGTATGTTGAAGGACACATACACATACACACATGCAGCATAACAAATGGGATCAAATCCCGTACTCAAAAGCTGTTAGGGCATAGCAGGGAGGTGGTGGAGGTGCTGGTGGTGGTGATGGTGGTGGCGGCGGCGGCGGCGGTGGCAGTGGTAGTGGTGGGGAGGGCATTGGTGAATCAGCAAGAACTTATAACCTTAACAGAGTGTGCATACCTGCATTTTAAAAGTTGATATATTGCAGCAAAATCCAAACATTACATCATGCACAGGCGCGTGCGCCGGTGCCCTTCAAGGGGGGCCTCCCCGGGAAAATTTTCAAAAATGAAGCAAAATCCTGCATTTTGAGCGAAAGGGGGGGGGGGGGGGGTTCCGAGCACCCAGGAACCCATACGGGGCACGCGCCTGATGCAAGGGCTTCCAGGTACTCAAAAGTTAGACTGTACGACTTAGTAGGTAAATCCAAGATTGCCTTGCGCACAAATCATGCGTACTGCCAGAGGTTGGAACCACTTACGTGTGCGTAAAACTGACGTAAGGAGCTCCGATTCACTGTGACAGAATGATCTCATGCACAAAGTGCTGCCCACTGCTCTTGAAGTCATTACAAGTGTACAGCAGCAACTCTACTCGCAACACTATACATGAACTAGTACTAGCACTCACTGCTTGGAGCTCTTCGCTTGTCGACATGGGTGCATAGTTGAGCTGCGGCTTGTGTTGCCTGCGCTTGCCACCTCTGCGATCCAGCCTACAAGGAAAACAAGCACCACTCCATTTATCCGTTGCATATCTAGACCAATGCCACCCCCGCCCACACACGCACGAAAAGTTATACATTGACACCCACGATACAGGTGAACCCCTGCACTACGCACTCAGTACTCACCAGAAGAAGAATTCTTCAATATTCGAGAATTGAACTAAGTTGTCATAGACCTTCTGGCTCAGCGGTGGCTTGAGCAGGGCCAAGAGAATGTTCTGAACAGGACAACAGAGATACCAGAAGTACACAGCTCAGGCAGAAAACCAGCAGTGGGATTGGGCAACATAGCAATGCTGCTGGATTACAGATTGGGCTGAGATTAGATTTAACCTCTACAAATGCCTACTTCACCAAAAATGTTGGAAATGCACTAAAGTTAGTGACTAACAAGTCCTTTAGCAAAACATCAGCTACATGGTAACTAATTATCTTGCAAGTCTTCAACCTGAATGCCTAGGTACCTAAAAGATACAGTGGGGAGAGGCACTTATAAGCTTACCAGTATACACAATAGGGAGAGAGAGAGAGAGAGAGAGAGAGAGAGAGAGAGAGAGAGAGAGAGAGAGAGAGAGAGAGAGAGAGAGAGAGAGAGAGAGAGAGAGAGAGAGAGAGAGAGAGAGAGAGAGAGAGAGAGAGAGAGAGAGAGAGAGAGAGAGAGAGAGAGAGAGAGAGAGAGAGAGAGAGAGAGAGAGAGAGAGAGAGAGAGAGAGAGAGAGAGAGAGACAGGCAGACAGACAGACAAAAGACGAGGAAATAAAGTTGATCAATATAGCCAACTCAAAATTGGATGATTTGGCGGCTGGTACCAATGTTAAGCTTACCTCATTATCCGCAGCAACAACCTGCTCTGTTAGGTAGCGTTGAAGGTTGGGTAATAGAAGACATTGAAGGTCAGCAACACTTAGCTTACGTGCCACCATCGACAAAAATCCAACGGCCGCGGAGCGAATTAGAAAGGCCTGCAAAGTAAACAGGAGAAGCCATCCAATTGACAAGTCAATGGTCCTGACATACTAGTTATGCCATCAAAGCAACCCAGCACAGGAACAACAAAGAGAGCAAGCTACACAATTCATCGCGCATCTCTCAATTCAAGACAAGTTACACGGATGCTTCATTGCAACTGCCTTGGTCAGTAACTCTGAGCTCCGCTGACGAGATCTAACAAGATCGAAGCAGCTATTATTACACCTGAAACCTGGCAGGTCCCTACCACCGAAATTTTAATGCACCTAAAATTACGTGTTTTACAGTAGCACAGCACATAGTCTGGTGCAATCACTACCAGCTCTACTCACAGGGTGGCACAGAAGTGGCAGCACCTCCAGCGATAACTGGTGCAGGGAGAGCTTGTGGAACAGACCTGTGCATCAGGGAAACAGAACACCTCAAGATTCAACACCAAAACTCGTATCAGAATTTCCCAATTTCCCAAATTTAACTTCAAAAAAGCCAACTTGAGGCATCTAGCTAACCAAAGCCAAGTGAAGAATTGCACACAGGCAAACAGGTCTAAATCAGAGATGATCCTGGACGCAACATACCCAGATAGGACAGTGACCTCAACGCCTCCAATGCTTTGGTGACTACTTGCACTTCAAAATCACCAAGTCCCTGTTGGAATTGACAACAAGAAGCAAAAGAGAACAACACAAGGAACATTAATAAAACAGCAGGACTTGCCTGGAAAAACCTTACAAAACCTGGCCGTAGTGTCTACATTGAAAGGTTATGGATGAACTCCGACATCGGGCTACAGTAAAAGGGAAGGCGGAACCGGTATGGTTGGTACAGCCATGGTTGATGCGACCATGCTCGGACCAACTGGTTGGCCATCAACGTGTGTTTACTCCCGAGGACGTAATGTGCACTCGCCGTATCATACACAAAGTATAAATATTACGCCATGGCCGGACCAATCGACACCGCTTCCGCCAGTCCGGAGTAAGACACATGTACTGTAACTCAACACATGCTAGCCAGTGACAAACTTTGGCAACTCTCAAAATGTGAACTTTTCACCTTCATCAAACGGAGGTCGTTCAGGGCTTGCCGACAAGATATTGATCAGTGCCAGATGGTAGATCTTGTTCTTGCATGCAATAGGGCTTACAAGGGCCATGTCAAAACCTGCCAACTGGTTCTAAACGTCAACGCGTCTCTTTTTCGCCGCATGAATCTACAGCATATTCTATGTCTTCACATGAAAGCATCGCAAGTGTACGGTCAAAAAGACGCGGTGATGGAGGGAAATAGACAAAAAAAAAGAAGCTAGGGCACACTCGGAGTTGAACCAAGGACCTCTCGATCTGCAGTCGAATGCTCTACCACTGAGCTATATGCCCAGGCACAGATGTGAGGTCTATTCACAGGCACATGGACCAAACATGACAAGCGTCACTCTTATCTGTTGTTCCAGAGTGAACAAGAAGCTGAAGCTGTTTGCCAATCTGTTTTCCCATCGCTTGTGTGGTGAGCGCTGTTTGCCACGAAGTATCAAGTGCTGGCGATAGTTGTTCTGTCTCTAGCTAAGTCAGTCTCTCTACTCTGCTCGCAGACCGTTTTTAGATCGTCTCTTTGCCGACTTTGGTCCACAGACAAGCCTCCGTCGTCTTCCGGGTAAGTTTCTGCTACCGTTTTTGGATCGTCTCTTTGCCGACTTTGGTCCACAGACAAGCCTCCGTCGTCTTCCGGGTGAGTTTCTGCTACCGTTTTTGGATCGTCTCTTTGCCGACTTTGGTCCACAGACAAGCCTCCGTAATCTTCCGGGTGAGTTTCTGCTGCTGTGGTTAGTCCCCTTCTCATGGTCTATATCGTACTTGTGCTTCGTTTCAACCCGCGGTATTCTCTATTGGCTCCATGGCTGTGTGAGCTATGATGCACGCGGTGTCATTCTTGTATTGCGTAACCGTATCCTGAGACACCACAAGTAAAGCTCATTCATTGATTAGGGAGAGGGAAAAAAAAGAAGCTAGGGCACACTCGGAGTTGAACCAAGGGCCTCTCAATCTGCAGTCGAATGCTCTACCACTGAGCTATATGCCCAGGCACACTCACCCAGCAAGCACATACAGAGATGTTTCACATGCGTGCATGTGCGATGGGAGCCCATGTCCATGTGGTTGTGTTAGGTACCTCCTCCCGTACCTTTTCTAGCTGGCCTGCATGCACTTGCTTGGTCTTTGTCTTGCTTGCCTGACATTATTCTATACGAACTTCTGAGATTCCTTGTCGTTGTCAACTAATACTTGACCCGATCGTCTAATTGTGACTGTGCCGGTCCTAACATTGGCGCCCAACGTGGGGCTCGAACCCACGACCCTGAGATCCGTAAGTACCCCTTCTAGCCCTGTCTAGCCTTGTCTTGCTCGCCTTGCTTGGTCTTTGTCTTGCTTGCCTGACATTATTCTATACGAACTTCTGAGATTCCTTGTCGTTGTCAACTAATACTTGACCCGATCGTCTAATTGTGACTGTGCCGGTCCTAACATTGGCGCCCGATCTTTCGCTCGACCTCACGACCCTGAGAACCGTAAGTACCCCTTCTAGCCCTGTCTAGCCTTGTCTTGCTCGCCTTGCTTGGTCTTTGTCTTGCTTGCCTGACATTATTCTATACGAACTTCTGAGATTCCTTGTCGTTGTCAACTAATACTTGACCCGATCGTCTAATTGTGACTGTGCCGGTCCATGTGGTTGTAAGAAAAATGCAGTACTACTGTAAATCACCAAATTTTCACACTGACGTCTCCAGCAATCATGAAGTTATCATCTGTGGCTGGGAGAAGGCTGGCTTGTTGGACGCCATTAACCTCACCAAATCGTCAAACTCAGCATATCCTAGCACTGACAGCCCTAGGCGTACTGAAGCAGCAGATAACCTGCACCGTGTTTGGCAAAATGGTTTAGTCGCTGAGCACTACCTGCCGGCTCAGATGTGCCAGTCGAAGCTGGATGGCCGCCGTGGTGGGTCGAATGCTTGCACGGCCATTGCCAAGTGTTTGGTAGATTGTGCGATCCAGAACACCTTGTCGCTACCCAGTCCTGGTGAAGCACCCGGCACGGCTCTGAACCAGTCTTTTGTCCAATGCATCAGCAGAGGAAATCAGCTGTATGATGCACATCCTGAATGTGATGGTTATCTTAGCTGCCGCCAAGTCATCAACCTTTGGCAGGAGCTCAGTGGCACTTTATCAGGAGACGAGCATTTCTACCTGTCAAAAGAGCACTTGGCGCAGGGAATTGCCACCATTGCAGAAGAAAGCCGAGCCGGTACAGCTGTTGGTGTCCTCACCAAGTCTCCCTTTTCAATCTTTCTGGCCTTCATTAATGGCAGTGTGTTCGTGTTTGATAGTCACATGCACTTTGTCCGCCAGCAGGGTTGTCACGGTGCATTGGTTTGTATTCCAAGCTCTCATTGTGATGCCTCAGCTGCTCCGTCTTATGTGTGCAACTTCTTCGACCGCTGCCTTCAATCGGCATTCATGAAGCAGGCTGACCTCACTCTGTTTAAGGTCGAACGCTGCTTCGTGGAACCTTTTCATAAAGTCACACATCATTCCATTCTCAACACTATAATATTACTACTTTTCTACATGAAATATCATATCGTCAGGCAATGACTGCTTCATAAAAATAACGAACACACCAAAAACAATCAGGATATATTCTCTGAAACTTACACAGCAGTGATGCAATACTTGTAAAACAATTCAGCGCTATCATGCAGAACCACTACAACTTGCACTGTTCTTGATACCTACTACAGTCAGACCTCGCTTATCCGGTCCTCTTTTATCCGGATCCCTCGCCATCCGGAAGAAAATCGTTGGTTACTGATTTACAGCATATGCCATGCATACATACAGTATGCGTGTTCGATTATCCGGTTCCCTCGCCTATCCGGATATTTGTGTGGAAAACGGATGTGTGCGGTTATGCGAGGTCTGACTGTAGTACGTTTTTGTGAGTTTAACATGATAATAATACTACTAGTATCACATTCGTACTATAGAAGCCACTGCATACGTATAGGATATACCCTTCGCTGGAGTGTGTATGGAAAATAGACGCCAAATACAAACCGAGGCCGAAGGCCGAGGTTTGTTTGGTGTATATTTTCCATATACACTCCAGCGAAGGGTATATCCGATTTATACCTACCTCAGTCTGAATCCTAAAAAGGAGTACATATTAAGTTTATTAACAGTATTTATTCCCGTAGCTATGCAGAAGACGTTACTTCAGTAACGTCTGGCGCTAGCCAGGGTCCACACAGCTTTAATTTGGTGTTTGTTTGTTTGTTTGTGTCACGCCTGGCGCTATCCCGTATCTGTCCCGTACCGTACCGTACCATCAAACACAGCTAGCTGGCCACATGCGGCTGGCCGCAATATTCAAATAGGGCTTTCAAACGCAAGATCATAACGTGAAGCAACTTGGAAGAATGAGTATGAATGCGAAGTGTATGAGGGAATGCATGTAGGGCGATAGTGCGGGTTCGAATCCCAGGTTATGCCTGAAAAAAAGGAGAATTGAAAAATTTTATAACATTCCTATGCTTTTTTTGCCTATGTCATCAATGCGGTAGACGGTGTCGTATTACCTCGACCGTACCTGTCCCGTACCTGTTCCGTACCTGTCCCGTACTGTACCGGACCATCAAAGACGGCTGGCCACAATGCATATTCAAATAGGGCTTTCAAATGAAAGATCATAACGTGAAGCAACTTGGAAGAATTAGTATGTATGTATGCGAAGTGTATCGGGGGATGCATGCAGGGCGATAGTGCGGGTTCGAATCCCAGGTTATGTCTTAAAAAATTGGGAAATTTATAAGAATTTATAACATCCCTGTGCTTTTTTTGGTCTAGGTCATCAAGGCAAAAAAGCATAGCGTAGGGCCCTGAGCTTCCAAGCTCTCTCGTTTCTCTCCTATGGTGTATATCAACAGTATTTATTTCTCTGCAGTGGTGAATATTACCAGTATTTTTTTTTTAGATTTTATGACTTGGGGCTCCCCGCGTGCTAGAGTGTACGTGAAGTGTGTGGGTACAGTGAGGGCTGCGTCCCACCCGCCTGTGTGGATTCACAGGAAGTGTGAGTAACGAAGTCTGAAGAGAATGTTGAACAGTCTCTGCTGGGATGACGACTACACCATAGCTCAGTGGTTAGAGCACCGCTAGCTACAAGCGAGGGTCCCTGGTTCGAGTCCTGGTGGTGACAGTCAATTTTTTCTTCAGACTTTTCCCGCTTGTCTCTTTCCCTCAAACTAGTGAAGTTTTTTTTTCTTCTAGAAAATACAGTGAATATACACTGGCCGAGGCTCTGTGTGATGAATAGAGGTGTATATTAAGGTAGGTATAAATGTAACTATATCACTAAGGGGCCATCCGTAAATAATGATACTTATTTAGAAACGAAAACTAGTTGTTTAGGGGGAGGGGGGTAGAAGAGAAACGACTAGTTTTCGTTTCTAAATAAATATCGGTATTTACGGAAGGCCCCTAAGTTATGGAGAAAGAGAGCAATTTTTTCGGCAAAAGAGTGACCCAAACTGACATTGTTTGGTTTTGGTGACAACTTTTGGCCGGCGATTAATTTTGGCCGATTGGCATTGACCGGCGAAATCAGAGAAATTAAATCGCCAGCGAAAATTTGTTGATTTACAGTACCCTGGTAAGTACGACATCGGGTGCAAGACAAACCCCATTAGTAGACAATGATCAAAAATCCCCTGACGATTGAAACGTGTACATTCACGTCCGGATAGTAGATAATAACACTTGTTGTAAGACAAACAATTTGACCCCCGGGTTACGTACTAACGAGGGTAGACCTGTAACGTTATGTGAATCCAGAGTGTTGCAGTGGGTGGCATGTTGATGCATACCCCCCCCCCTGTGTGCTTCATTTTTAATGTCGAAAGTCCGGCGAAACACATGATTGTACCAATGCAACATACCTGTTGGAGCAGAGGCATGACCATGCTGAGACTCTGTGAACCCACGTACACAGCCACTGGCACAATGCTGTCAAAGAACGCACCGCGTAGCTGTGCATCTTGCTGCATGCAATACATCACACCAATACATGCACGCATGCGCATGCGCGCGCACACACACACACACATACATACACACACATGCAAACATACACACACATGTGCACGCACACGCACACACACACGCACACACACACACACACAGAGCATGCACACAACATAGACGCCACTATTGAACAGCTGAACCGACTGCACAGTGAGCATGATATACATGTACAAAGATGAGGGCCACAATCACCACGAACAACACCACAGTTGTTGTTTTGCCTCTCCGTCTCTGTGTAAATATTACTTCAGTACTAAAAAAAATAGAAATAACGAATACTTCAGTAGAAAGGTTGCGACTTCGGCGGTGATAGTAGAAGAAGGTACATGAACATATGGCTGCTCCAAACGCTGGAACTCGCGCTTCCTGCCAACTGGCTACATGTATGAGGAAATCCTGGAGTTCCAATCTGAACTGGTGACCACAAGTCATGAGATGTTTATACCTACGATCGCAGGGACTACGCAAGGTCGACTACCAACATGAGCAGTAAGGAGCAGCACCAGCACACGACGCTGGCAACACTCCTACTTTTAAAAACAAAGTTTAAAATCCATGCAGCGTCATGGTTCAGAAACACACAGGGTTTCAAGCGTAATACTCCATGCATACCTTGTCGTTTTGGAACGTGATCATGTGAGACAGTAGCACGTCATTTGCTGTAGGAATCACCAAGACACAGCAGGACACAGCAGACACAACAGTGCAAAACACTGGATTCAGGCCGGCCAGCATTCACCATATCGGGTTCAGTGAGCAATCAGGCTAGGCTGAGCACTCAGCACTAGCCCCCAAATCCTTCAAAAGTCAAAACAGTATGAATAGGCGCTATCGCTTTCGGCATGTCAACATCGCAAGACAACGTTTACCTAATCAACATGCCACGGTTGGCTATCACAGCTCTCTCGCACTATGTGTTCCAATAATAATTATTATTATTGGACCACGAGTTGAGTGAAATAAAGTACTTGCTTTGTAAAATAAAATAAAAAATCACGAAACTTGCAATCTAGCCGATTCCTTTGTGGATACGGTAAATACAACATGACATGTACGGAGAATACATGTACATACACACTGTGTACACCGTATTGAATATTCAGGGGAAAGCCCCTATTCTAGGATGCGGGATATCCGGCAACAATTAACAGATTAGAATTCCTACATTTTTGCCGGCCAAAGAAGAGACAGAGGCGGTTTATTCCACTTCCTAGCAGCGCCCGTTTGACCATGTTTACCTGCCAGGATGAAGCAAACAAACACATCAAGAAACACAATCACAAACACGCTGAAATTCCGCTACACGCTTGTTGCAGTGTACCGCATGGAGTGCAATGTCAAAAGACCAAGTCAACTATGCAGGCAAGCACATACATAATATTGCTGGCACATTCACACTATGTAATGACACAGACAACACACACATGGCAGTCATAACAGGAGAAGTTACCTCTGCTTCAGTCCTAACTCAGCACAGCAAAACAGTAATGGTGAAGGAAGGAAATTCGCATGCAGCTATACACGGGCTCAGGCATGCACACACACACACACAGACGTGCACACACACAAACACACAAACACACACACACACACATGCACGCACACGTCTTTACCGGATCACATAGCAAGGCGACGATCTGCTTCTGCACCATTTCACGAATGACGATTAGTTCGGAGTCAAAACCAGCCTGGGCAGTCAAAGAACACGATACGAAGACAACACATTCAACAAGGAGTAAGCCCATGGTGCCGGACTGCCGGTGCAGTGTGGATAATGCTGTATATGTTCTATGGTAGTCAGTGCAACTGTTACTCTCATGTAAGAACACTCCATAGTCCAGCGAGTGGAGATGAGATCAAGTCTGAATCGCGAATCTTCCTGCAACAACTTTTAGCTCGTTCTCGGAAGTTTCGGATTTAGTAGTTACCCCGGTACCATTTCACCTGAACAGTGCTGTAAAATAAGTGGAAATTCGCGCGCAGCGGACCTCGGTCTTTTACTCGGTCTATATTTCTCCATATCGATCTCTTTCTCAGTCAATAATAGATACAGTACATTATGGAAGCACATACAGTAGAACGTCGATTATCTGGACGTCAACTATCCGGATGATCGATTATCCGGGTCGCCTGGTTGGGCTGGACAATACAGAAAATTGGGAGCTTTTTCGAGGTCTTTGCTGATTTTCCCACTCGGAGTGCCATTCAAGCGATGCACAAGCTGTATTACAACAGGTCGGAGTCAGAATGTTTAACGATAGTGTCATCTTGAGGAGCTGGAGTGCACCTAGTTCCTGTTGTACTGCCGAAGGGAAAGATTTGAAATTGATGAAAACATGCGGGGAATATGCATGTACGTTTGTGTTTTAGATAGATGTGTGACTGCTCCCGTATCCGAATATTCTCCCATCCGAACCTCCTGGAGGCAGCCTGCGTCCCAAGGGGTGCGGATAATCGGCACTCTGCTGTAGTCTTTTCTGCAGGAAAACAATACAACCTGGCAGGTAACTAACCATAGGTGAGAGCGCCGCCGCTCGCTGATCCCGCTCTTCCTGAGGTGGATGGTCTGGACCAGAAGCCTCCCGGGCTGCTAACACGGACAGTTCCAGGAAGCTACAAAAGAAAGGAGCAAGATACAGCATGATAGAACTCTATAGGTACTCATGTCATGTACATGTACATGTTGCTGCAAAACTCTACCAGACTACAAGTGTGTAAGTAAGATCGTGAACGTAGTGGATGTTGCAAAGTCCAACGAGTACCAACACCTGCAGTAGAGCTATAGGCTTTCAGCGCTGACATCTTTGCAGGTAGACTTCGCAAACAGAACACCATAATGCAAGAGTTCGCCTGGCTGACACGGGTTCTGGCGCAACCCTCAGTTTTGTTCCACCGCAGTAGTCGAATGCAACGCTGAGGCAGCCAAAGGTGCAACAGTGTGCATGCATTAGCTCAGGAGACCAAGACCACTTGAGACTGTATACAGGTGGTCTCATTTAACAGCTCAGGCAATCAGCAGCCACTTACTTCATTGACGTCTGCGCCAAAGTGACAATGTTCTCTGCCAAGGCCAGACGCACCACCAGGTCCTTATCTGGGTTAGATAGTTGTGCCTTTGAAAGGGAACACACAACACACAGCAATGGTAAAATATAAATAGATGCAGCATGCTCATTTACTCAATCAGGAAGAGAGAGGGCGTATCTACATTATAATATCTTGGCAGCAGAGCCAGCAAGCAGCCTGTTACCTAACAACGCTACTTTGCTAGGCCAGAAACTCACAAGTTATACAATTTGAGGCCCAACACACATGGATACAAGTGAAATCATATGCCCATTACGGCTACCACCCCACCCCCTACACACAGACCGGAAGTGAATTCTGCCAATGGTTTCATGCAATGGCTGAGGATGCAAGGCTCTTCATAAGGTGACAATTCGCTGAAAATAAACGGGCAGACACTGAGCTTAAGTCTATCTGCACCGCAGCCCCAAGAAAGGAAATAAAGCATAGAGCATCGAGTACAGTGCATGTCCAGCACACAGCCAGTAGGACATATACGTACATGTAGCTGCAAAGCAACCTACTCACCATAGCCGGGAAGATGTACTCGGGAAACACACTGACGTCACTGCACATTTACCACACCACAACACAACACAACAGACAACATACGATTACACATCACCAGCTTGTCCCGCAGCAAGAATCAACATCTAACTTGGAGCCGTGCTGCTGGAGTGGCAAACGAAGTTATCAGGAGAGTGTATGCAGTGGTAGAGAGTTGGACGTCTTACATACAGGGATAGCCGGCAGGATACGTTCGCGCAAACATATGAGTACATGTGACTGAATCTCCATGGCAGCATCACGCTTGGGATGAATCCTGCCGTCGTGTAAATCGCCTCTTACAAAATTGACTTGCCAGCAGTAAATTGTAGTTGTAGGCATCTAGATGTACTTCGAAGTACAGGCTACAGCACAGAAATGAGACTCACAAGCAAGATGCTTGCCGCATGTACTAGAAAAGTACAAGAGAGAATACCTCGCCCAGACCAGCATACCTTTTAGGAATCTTCTTTATGCGCATCATGCACTGGGATAGTCCCAAGATGGCCGCTGCCACTACCTTCCCCGCTCGGTCGGATAGCATGTGTACCTGCACCATCACAAAGCAAAGCAGCCAAGGGATGAGGACGCATGCACACAAATGCGTACTGACACACACACAAGCAAGTGTGGCGCAATCAAAGGACAGCTTCATTATACCCATGCACTTCATAGCTCGCACCCTAGGTCTTGGTCAACTCACAAGCTACTAGTACTACAGGTACAGTGCGTATCGGTTATAGCGTGGTCGCGTAAAAGAATATACTGCCTACAAGAATGAACGCTCATGTTTTCATAATCATAACATGGATTTCAAGTGCACATTTATTCTTACAAGCAATTTTATCCCATAGTAGAATATATCGGTCCTAAGAATGGACTTTGTGTACCGAAACATGCCAGATTAGTACAAAGTGTATCGCCTGTAGTAATTACATCTGTCCATTTCCGTTCTGATCTGACTCTCGTTGCGTCGTAGTGCTGCAGATTCCAATGTTGTGGTCATGTAACCCATGTTGCATAGCCACATGGTAAGCCTATGGGACTATGACCAGCCACATGCACAGAAGTACTGCGTTGCATGTACGATGATCTTCCTGCCCATGCGCACATGCATATGATATGCCACACTTGATTTATCGTGTGTAAGAAATATCGGAAATAAGAAAAGAAAGTCGTTTTTCAAACACCCACGCTATAACCGATACCTACTGTACAGGTATGCCACAATGGACATGCGATCTTATTGACTGGGCACGCAACTTGAGCCATGCTTGGCATACACCACCAGCAGCAACAGCACCAGCAGCAGTAGTGTTAACATGGGTCAGCAGAGGCCACAGCCTAGTACAGGTACAGTGTGGCTCTAACAGTAAGTTGAACCAGGGCAATGCCTTACCAGAAACGGTACATATCTTTCCAAGGCGACCTCATCCGAAGTATACATGGCCAGCTGAGTCAGGAGATTCACACCGGCATGCTTGCTATGGAAGGTGATGCACGCACGGATGGACGACATCACAATGGATGCCAGAATAAGAAAGCACTCTGCAAAAGGCACAAAAAGAAAAAAATGGCGGCATCAGTGTATTCGTCCCAGGATCCAACTGCATTTACCCTCTAAACCGGGACACACACACATGCACACACACATGCACCCCCAAACACACACCTACACCCTCCTCCCCCCCCCCCCCCCCCCCACACACACACACAAGCGGAGCAAAATACCTTTGCAGAGGGGTTACACTGCTCACCTTGTCCTGCCTTGTGTTGCGCTAACGAGTCTGTCCCTGGCACCGGCGCCCTATCAATACCTGACAGAGTATTCACATTGCCAATGGTACCCGCATTCGCTGGCTCCGGCAGTAAATTGGGCACAATTTTATGTTGCCAGTCTCGACAGAGCCTGTAGCAGCAGCAGGAGAAAACGATTGCCATCAATGCTTCGGAGTGTTAAAATCTCATGCATTCAGCTTCTAGCCTTCCACCAAATGTCACGTGCTACAATAGCCCACTCTTGGAATTACTATCTTAGTATCTAGCATTTGCGTAGGCAGATGTGAAGTAGTGTACATTTTGGGAAAAAACAATGTGTTTGCAATGCAGAGTACCCGACTGTACACACACAGAAACTAAGTTGCACAACAGCATGTGCAGCGTCTGGAATATTCCCAGCAAGACTAGTAAAGAGGTACGCCGCAAGGAGAAATCAAGGAGAACGAGATCAAGCACACAAATTTCAATGCATCTCACGATTCCTCGTACCGTGCTATTCTGTCGTCAGCAGACATGATGGGCTGGCCAGAGAAACGACGGCAGTATACTGCCAAGAAATGTGAGAACTGCCTTGGGAAGGCCACACCTGCAAGCACATAATCACACATCAATGTCAGGAAGAGAGGGTAGACTTGATACAACATTGTCTAAAGAGACGGAAAAAACGAGTAGAAAGTACACCTTTGATAGGAATAGCAGATGAGCCATAACAAAAGAGAGAGAGAGAGAGAGAGAGAGAGAGAGA